TTAGGGTAGTCTACCTCTATTCCATTTCTACTCTGGACTTTCCCATAGTAGCCTTGCTCTTACATCTACTGAATCTCTGGAGTTCTGCCAAACTCCTCCTACATCTGACTTCCAGACTACCCTGGACTGTGTTGCACTTCCCTCCTGCTTTCTGGAAATTAAGGGCATGTACTCAGGTGAGGGTGTTAAGACCATGCTCAGGGGTAAGGCAGAGTCTGAGGGGCTTGGCTTCAGCTCGTATGCTGCGCCCCTTACCCAAGTATGTGCCCCTAATTTCGGATTGTAGTCCAACTCGAGTTCTACGAGTTCTGACAGGATGTCAGAGTGGAGGTCCTCTGAAGGAGGACCAATGAACTACTAGATAAGTGTGGGAACGTTGGGTGGAGATTCATCCGCCCTACAGGGGAGAGTTAGAGGGCTACTGCAGTCGGAGCTAACAATAGGGATGGAGCGGGGAAGACTGCTCGGATGAATTCTGAAGCAGAACGGAAACATGGAGGATAGAGGTACAAGAGGATTGGCCACAAGTCCAATGCATGGGAAAGACAGCGGAGGCGTGGGAAGTTGGATGAGCGGAGAAGGTGGCCGACCTAGGGAGTCAATCCCCTAGGCCAGCAAACAGGAGTTGACTTGGGTTAAGCCTAAGTCAAGGAGCAGAAGAGCAGGGCTTAGAAAAGGTAATATTCAGACTAAAGATCTACAGACAGATGTACATATGTTTATATACTCTAAGTAAGTAGCATAGCATAGCAGAAGGCTATGTGCTGAGTGTACAGAATTACTGGAAGGATGACTGAGACATACAAGAAAAGGCTTGGAGAACAGTATGTATGTGATGGATCAGTAATCACTCTGGTATAGGAATTACCCATGATCCAAAAGGAGGAACTATGATAATAAACAGAGATAGGACCAGTTGAGTGGTACCTAGTCTAGGAGTGGACTTGTGAAGCAGTCGGGTGGACTAATAGTCAGGTGAGGCGATACAAGAGAAACTGGAGGAACCGAGTGGGTCGGAAAAGCGGAGATGGTGGAGGGAGTAGGAGTAGGATCGGTCAGATCAATGGAGCGGAGGAGCAGAGCTCCAGATAGGGTCGGAGGGTAGGGATATGGTGTCAGAGGAAATAGGGGTAGTGTCGGAGGAGTGGAGCAGAGTTGGGCAGAGGTAGCAGGGCTAGTCCTGCTGAAATGCACTTCATGCATTGTTGGAGAAGGAGGGATGGAGCAGACAGGGAAACAGGGGGTCGGACCAATAGTAGGGATGTCTATGAATGGTATTGGGAGTGGCTGAATCAGGTATATGACACCGACGCAGAATGGAAACATGGAGGGCAGAGGTACAAGAGTATTAGCCACACGTCCGACATGCAGGAAAGGCGGCAGAGGCGCAGGAAGTTGGACGAGCAGAGAAGGCGGCTGACCTAGGGAGTCAATCCCCTAGGCCGGCAAACAGGAGTTGACTTGGTTTAAGCCTAAGTCAAAGGACAGAAGAGCAGGGCTTAGGGAATGTAATATTCAGACTAAAGATCTACAGACAGATGTACATATGTTTATATACTCTAAGTAAGTAGCATAGCATAGCAGAAGGCTATGTGCTGAGTGTACAGAATTACAAGAAAGATGACTGAGACATACGAGAAAAAGGCTCGGAGTCTAGTATGTATGTGACAGATTAATAATCACTCCAGTATAGGAATTACCAGTGATCTGAAAGGAGGAACTATCATACCAAAAGGAGGTAGGACATGTTGAGTGGTTCCTAGTCTAGAAGTGGACTGGTGAGGCAGTCGGGCAGACTAATAGTTGGGGGGACTGATGCGAGGGAAAATGGAGGAACTGAGTGGGTCAGAAAAGTGGAGATGGTGGAGGGAGTAGGAGTAGGATCGGTCGGACCAACAGAGTGGAGGAGCGGAGCTCCAGATTGAGTCGGATGGTAGGGATATAGTGTCAGAGGACATAGGGGTAGTGTCGGAGGAGCGGAGTGGAGTTGGGCAGAGGTAGCAGGGCTAGTCCTGCTGAGATGCACTTCATGCATTGTCGGAGAAGGAGGGATGGAGCAGACAGGGAAACAGGGGGTTGGACCAATAGTAGGGACATCTATGAACGGTGTTGGGAGTGGCTGAATCAGGTATATGACAGAGGGGCACAGCACACAAGCTGAAGTCAAGCCCTTTGAGTTCTCCTCCCCTTGAGCATGACCTTAACACCATTTCAGATGAAGAACCTGAACCTCCAGCCCATCGCAAATGCAAGGCAGCAGCTCCCACCAAGAACACTGCCACTAGATTGAAGAAGAAGCAGAAGAAGAAATAATGACCGCTCTCATATCCAGAACACCTCATTTGTACTTTTTTTCCTGTCGCTATCTCATTGCTCTTTTATTTCACTGCATGCACTAGCCACATCACTGTCTCACTTACAATACCTTGCTCACACTGTAATACCTTTTACTAGCTGGCAGACAGTCAATTTCATCTTATATCACAATGAGAACAGAATGTCTAAATATTTCTAAGCATCACTTAATATCTGATGAAGTCTGAGTGTCACACCATTTCTGAATGCTACAGTACTGGCATCACTTTTTCAACACCTCTGTAGCAGCTTTTTTTTTTAATCAACAAGCCATTGGATACTTCCAAAAAAACAGCATAAAAATACATGTAATCTGATTTTTTGGAATTAAGCACCCATGTTTCAATTTGTGAACCAATTTTATTTTTTTATTTGCTTGTCAGTCTGTTCAGATTTGCCCTGGGCTTTCTTCACAGTTATACTTTGCCAAAAGAGCATTCACACAAGCCAAATCAAAGCAACAGACAGGCCAGTTGACATCTGTATACATACAAAGGGTATCTCTGAGGACATTGTATTGTACAGGGGCATCAAAAATAATTGCATTGATGGAGGCTTAGTGTCATATCCATGATCCAGACAAGTCTTCTCCACCCTCATTCTTAGTCCTCCACCCTCCTATATGCTCCTCCACCTCTCAAAATGTATCTCCAATGTCAGGTACATTCCTTCGCCCCTGACTCAATCAAGGTATGAGGCACCTGTCATGTTAGAGACCATGCTTGGATAGAGAGGCGGAGGGGTCGGGGCTTGGCTTCAGCTCTTGCGCTGCGCCCTTAGCCAAGTACATGCCCCGAATTTGGAGTGGGTCCAACAATGTCCAACAATAGGATGGGCAGACCACTTTGGTCCGCTTGGTGAGTCAGGAGGTAAAGTGTTACTAGTGGTAATCTGACTAGGAGCAGAGCATGGAAGGCGGAGGAAGTGGGTCGGAAATGGAGAGGAGCAAGGGGACTGGGTTTGGGTGGGTCAGAGAAGTAAGAGCAGATGCTTAGAGCGCGGCTCTAAGTAGGAGTGGAGGGTCGGAGGTGATGACAAGGTAAACTTGTGTCCGGAGAGGGAGCAAAGTCCTACGGAGAATTCCCACTAGTGGAGACAGTGGGAAGACAAGTAATATTAAGACTGGGGAGTAGCTAAGTACAGGATATGTTTTTATATACTTCTATGTAGGAGGTGGTGACTTGTTAGTCCTTGGTATGAGGCTATGTACTGAGCATAATTTGTAAGTAGACACGGGTGAAAAACATAAGTCGGGGCAGATATCAATATGTATGCATCAGATCAGTTAGTTGAGCAGTTATAGAAAGTACCAGTGATCCAGGAAGTAAGTGCTATGTGCGAATGGGGAAAGTATATACCTAAATGGGGAAGGAGTTTACAGAAGAATGGAAACAATGTGGAAGGTAACCAATGAGGTGGTCAAGCGGAACTGTAGGAGTGGATGCGGGAGCCAACTGGGATGAGCAGAGGGCGGACGGAGCAGAGGTGGTAGGTAAGCGGGGGAAGTATAAGGTTGGGTGGAGCAGATATTAATATTGTCGGAGTGGTCAGATCAGGTATATGACATGTCAGTCCATTCCGAGTTTCCTTTGTACAGTCTGTTTTCTGTCTGGTCTTGTACCTTGTATGATCCGATCCTCCATTCTAATTTAGCTTGTTATATACTATGGTTCATTGTCCCTTTTATTATTACTTTGTACTCCACTGCGCTGTGCCACATAGCCCAGATTCTTGTAAGATAGACCTCGTTCATACACCGATTCATCACGTGATCACAAGTCAGAACACGTCGTTTTGGCTTGTAACTCTACTTCAGATCAGAATTAGCGAATTCTATTCTATGATTCTGTGGGCATATACAGTGGTATTAAAATAGTCTACTCAGAATGGTTACTTTTTGTCAATTGAATGAGTAGTAGGCATTTTCGTGGTTGATGTACCGTTGTGACTCATTTGTGACTGATGTGACCAAGCGGTGTGAACAGTAGGGAAACATAACAGACACCAGTTCAAACCGTTTCGACAGCCGTTTTGACATTGTATGGCTAATACTAGTGGCGAAATTATAGTAGAAGTAGTAATAATCAAAATTAGGTATCCGAGTCTGGAATATGTTTTAAATTTCAATCAAGTTAATTTTGCAGTTTCCAACTCGGCCATTATGGTGTCTGGAAGGATACGATGACCATGATACTGCTTTGAAGCCCAAGCTGCCTGCTTCCCGGTGAGACCTTTGCGGTAGGCATCCATAAACCTAAGTGAGCGTGTAGAGAATCTGAGCCAATATTAGTGTATGTGAGAGAAATTAAAGCAAAGACTTACCGGCGAATAGCATCGAGTGGAATAGATTCCAGGGCAGTAAGGACATTGTGTTCGAGATCGGCCTCTTTGGAAGATACGGGAAGCTCATGATACACCCGCTTTGAATAACCCCAGCATTGCTCGATAAAATTCAGTTCACAGTGGAATTTCGGAAAGAATATTGCCCGAAAACCCCTAGCTTTGCATGCATTCTCAAGCAACGACTTGACATTTACGAAATCCGGCTCGTTGTAGAGCATCCTCCGGCAACAGCAGCGATCGACGCCCTTCTTGCACTGAAATTTTGGACATTCAGCTCGAACCTTTGAAACGTCGGCATGACCTCATTCGTGGAGTATGGTAGCCATCCCTTTGAAGACACCTGCAAGTTCGTGGCCTTCAGAGTAGTACAATGACTGGGGAGAGCCATCTGCAAATGTGGCACCACACATTCTGACCCTCGTCTTCTTTATCTCTCCGCTAGGTGAATAGACCGGCTTCCCATTCTCATCCACTACATTCACCTCTACTCCCCAGTTCTTTGGCTGTCTACCTGCACCCCAGTCACTTCCATCCCAGTCCTTTCCATGCTTCGGGGGGTACTTGGGCATTTTGCGAGCGGATAATGCATCGTCGGCACGCTTGAGGTGAGTGGTCGCATTGTCAAAGACCATGACATGATCTTCATCCGGGAAATGATCACATAGGATATCCATTGCATTTGAGGCCTGATCGAGTATGTTTTGTGTCGTGAAGTATCCATCGCGAGCTTTACCAGCCTTGAACAGTACACGAGCATGCTGCTTGCCATCAGGTGACTGTAGCCATCCATAGTCAGGGCTGACCATGTCAGCAACCATTAACAAGGCACCCTCACCCTTTGCATAAGGTACAGCAGTCTCTGATTTATGCACCCATCGAATTTTCCGGCGGTCATTCGCATAGTATGTTGACTCATCATGATTCCAGATAACAACGCGTCGAGCGGTCATTGGTGGTGCCTGACATTCGCTTCCATCAGTCGCATAAATCCGAGTGCGTGAGAGAAGTTCAGCCCAAACTGGCAGAAATATTAACTGTCTATATTCCACCACATCGCATCGCTCATGCCCATCAACGAACTGTCCCGTCGGTGTCTTTGACCATCAGTATCCCACATGTTTCATCCAACGTTGTGCTGTTGCGAGTGAAATGGGCTTCTTGAGCTTTAGCCGAGCGAGTACATCTGGATTTTTAATATAGTCAACAATGTCCATTGATCTGACATACTTTCCGATCCCCTGTAGATGGAGGAGTAACTCTCCTTTAAAATCCTCGTCTTCAAGAATGGATGAGTTCCAGGTGCCATAGATATTGAATGGGAGATCATTCCGGTCCAATATGTAAGCTCTCGTCCATTGACGAAGACAACCTGCTAACCATGTAGACTTTTCATATGCATTTGCAGTCATCAGTGATGCGGCTTGCCACCTGCAGGCACCAACAGGCTTTGTGTAGTTCCATAGGAACATCCGCATCTTTTCGAGCCGGCTCCGCAGCAAAAGATCGAGTTTCGGGTCTTTGTGTCCAATGCCCGATGTCTGACATGGTTGAATGAGGAGCTTGAGATCACTCAGTGCAGCAGCTGCTTCAGCAACAGTTGGGGGAGGGATGTATTGTCCAGCAGTGAATGGAGGTTGTGTCCAGTGTATGTTATCCTCGGTGACTTCCTCGTCTTCCTCCCACTCTTCGTCTGTTTCATCTGCATCCGAGTCCTCTGAGTCTACAGTGGTAGTCTTTCGACCACAAGGTTCCCAGTCATTGATTACAGTTGGACTTGGAATGACTGGTACTTTTGAGTGACAGAGAGGGGGATTTGTCGGGTGTGACCCAGGGAAAGGTGCTGTCTTAGTCTATCAAAATGTTTAGCCATTTGCTGAGAAATCGTGAGTCATTAAACTGATTACATTTTCCATCTTCTCACTGAGCTTTTGTCGTTTCTGACCAGCGCAAGAACCTTGAAGGTTTGCTATGTGTGAGGGCCTCTTTCGTGGCATGGTGAGGTGATTAACTATTGAATTTTCGATAGTGCTAATTACATGCCTGTCATGTTGGTGGCGTCAGGCTTCAACATTGTTGGCTGAACAAACAGTATAATGCCTACTCATCTCTCAATTCTCCAAATTAGATTACAAAAATTATATAGCCATCTTGCCACAGACTCTCCGCACATAACCTTAGAACAGATTCCATTCAGACTTCATGTATAATGCATTAGAGCTAAAACCATCGAAATGTCACAGTAGATCACGTGATGAATCGGTGTATGAACGAGGTCTATCTTAGTATATAAACCCTATGTATTCCAGTATTGCTTCTACAATATGAATGTAGACTCAAACCTATCCTAACCACCCCCGACTCAACTTAAGTCCTGCTCATCATCTAGTCCAACTTTGAGACTTATCTCACCAACCTCCGCTTCTGTCTTCTGACAGTCCTTGCCTTACTTTCTACGTTGGACTTAGTCCCTCATAGCCTTACCTCTGTTGGAGCGTGTCAGACATAGTTCCCTGCTACCAAACCTCTGTCAGAGCATGTCAGAATTGATCTTCAGCAGCCCCTATCCATCCTCCGAAGTTAAGGGCACTGTACTTGCCTAAGGAGTGCAGCGTACAAGCCGAAGCTAAGCTCCTCCATAACCTCTTTCCTACCTACTAGGCACAGTTCTGACACTTAGACACCTCACAGAGCTTGTATATACCCTTCTAAACATTGTTTACACTTACCCAAGGGCCCTACAGGCCTCCACAGGTGCTAGAAGGCCCTTTTTGGAGACATGTTTCAATTTTTGATGATGAAATTTTCAAACTTCAGATTTTAGTCTAACTGTCCAATGGGTAATATTATATACATGAAACTGAGTCTATTTCACTACTTTATATTGAAAACAATGGAATTTTGAAGTTGCAGTAGCAAATATATGTTGAGCATGTTTGACATACCAAAAAAAAGTATTTGAGCACTGTAGTGACGATGTCAACCTCGACTGAAGTTGTCACTAGCATTCCTATGGATTGTGTTAAGGTCATGCTCAAGGGGAAGACAACTCAAAGGGCTTCAGCTTCAGTTCGTGTGCTGCGCCCCTTACCCGAGTACGTGCCCTTAATTTCCGAGGGTCAGAGGGGAAGTCCAACAGAAGTCCAGGGAAGTCCGGAGGTCAGATGCAGGGGGAGTTTGGCAGAACTCCAGAAGGCTGGGAGAGAACAGAGTAAGGCTTACTGTGGACAAGTCCAGAGTAGAAACAGAATGGAGTGTAGACTACCCTAAGGTAGAGCCAGAGATTTAGTCCTAAGGTTTTAACCCTAAGACTCGGAGGTAGACAAGAGGTTAGACTCAAGTCCGGAGAAGCAGGAATGAGCAGAACTAAGATGATATTTGAACTGAGGAGTTCCAGAGTTTTACAGGAGTTTATATACTGTAGGTATCATGTAAGTAAATCAGTCAGCACAGTAAAAGCTATGTCCGAAGCATATGGAGGGTCTATTAGTGAGTGTACAATGGATCAAGGAAATGAGGTCGGAAATGAAGTGCAAACAAATGGATCAGTAAGCAAAGCGGAAAGGTGTACAACTGGTAACCGGAGAGCAGTATTCTAAAAGGAGATAGGTGTGAGTCCGGAGATGAAAGTGGAGCACTGGGTGGACAACAGGACAGAGAACCGGACTTTCATAGGGGAGAATCCGGAATTCCAGATCCGGAAATATGAGATATAGTGTCGGAGAAAATAGGGGTAGTGTTGGAGGAGCGGAATAGAGTTGGGTGGAGGTAGCAGGGCTATAGTGTACAAAGCACTAGGATACCATCTCCGTAGGGAGCTCTATAGTACAAATTTCAATGTCCAATGAAAATTCTATAAGGAAACAAGCAAAAATAAGCAATTTTTCGAAATTTCCCATTTTGTTTCAAATTTTCCCATCAGAAAAAAAATTACCCCATGCTCCCTAGACCCTGTTCATCTCCCCCAGACCGTTCATATGCCTCCTGTGACAAAGAAAGCTGCTCGAGCAAAGAAGCAATGAGCTGACTGTCCTATATTTAGCTCTTTGCCATCACCTCAACCAGAAGAGGGGTCAGACTCGGAGTATGAGGGCTCTAGTGGGGAGAGTGAGATTGAAGCAGATGACACACCTGGGTCCATTGTTGCCCTACAGAACCTCTATGGCATGTTTTTACCTGCAAATCTTCAAGCCAAGGGCAGTAATTTAACTGGGTCTGATGGGTCTGATGGTGAACCACAGGTGAATGTCTCTGAACACATATGGAATTCAACCATGCTTACCATCAAGCCTGGCATACAGCAAAAGAAGCAGAAAACCATAAATAGGCCAGCTGTTTACCAGGGAAACTCTCGGACATCTCAATGGAGGAAGAAGTCTTTATGGGACCAAGCAGCTAGTAGAGCAAAGACAATAGACACATTTTTTGTGAAGGTTTGGACATACCATAAATGACTGCTGAGACTTACGTCGAGTTAATTAGAGAGATATGACTCTCATGTCCAAAAAGGAGCAGTTCATCGCCAAGGAAGTGGAGCCTATACAGCAGGATCTAGCACTTGAATATTCTTTGGAAATGGGTTTCGACCTGATGGAACACAGCGCTTCATTACTCCAAGACGAGCTGAATGACATCACATCAATACCGTGGAATGAAGAATTCGATCCAGATGAATACCTTGAGGTAAGTGATGAATTGATATCGCTACTTTAATTAGGCTGATTCCACACTAAGGCCATTCATGATGGGGACGAGCTGGAAATGGAAAATTCGGATCTCACATTTAGATCAGAAGATGCAAATGACATTCATCATGACAGTCCACTGGCACCCAGGGCCCAAGAGTGGCTAAAGGATGATCATGATGATGTTGAAACTGCGCCTGATACAGACATTTTCAAGATCGTGGATGCCTGCCTTTGGATGGTTAAAAACCTGCAAACAAAGAAATCATTGAAGATGATTACTTAACTTACTGCGATGACACAATATGTCAAACTGCAAGCGCAGTATCGCTGTCATCCAAAGTGTAAAACTCTGTGTTTGAGTGCAAGTCTTGCAATTGCATGACGGATGGGTAAGGGAAAGAAGGGCACTGGAGCATGAGAGGGAGGAAATTTTGCACATCAAATTCACAGGAATAAGCTCTACCTTCTGCGACATCACTGCCTTCCTCCATCAAAGAAAGGTAATCACCATGGACAATACACATTGTTAGATAATGAGGCAGTCGTTCACAATGTGCGGAGGTATCTTGTCATGCAGAAGCTGGGCACCATCACTCCAAGTGCCATGTGTCGTCATGTTAACAAAGTCATTGCACTCACACTTGGCTTAACCGGTCCGAATAGCCACATCAGTGAATGTACTGCGGAAACCTGGCTGAAGAAACTTGGATACACTTGCAAGAGTGTCTGGAAAGGCATATACCATGATGGACATGAACGTGATGATGTTGTGGAGGCATGGAAAATATTCCTTGAGAAGATCACCAGGTACGAAAGGTAACTGAACATGATCTTACTGTCGTATGTGCCACTTACTTGAACTACATCTTGTGCCAGATTGATGGCCAAATATGACAATCAAACTCTCATACCCATCCCACCATCCCTCACCCCTGATGAGCAAGAGCATGTCCTCGTTACCCAGGATGAGTCAATTTTTCATACAAATGAACACCAACGTCGCTCTTGGCTTTGCAGTGATGACCAGGCTTTGAAAAGGAAGGGGAATGGTCGTGCGATCCATGTTTCCAATTTCATTTGCAAAACAACTGGCCGACTCGCTTTATCAAAAGAACAACTCACACAACAGGCTACTCTTCCACTGGAACAACAACTCAAGGTCACAGATGCCTGAAAAATTATCTATCCAGGAAAAAACCACAAAGCAAATTGGGATCTTCCTCAGCTTCAGACCCAAATGGTTGACACCATCAACATCTTTGAGTTCTTGCACCCAAATAAGGTTGCTGTATTCATTTTCGACTGCTCTTCTGCCCACAAAGGTCTCGCTGCGAATGCATTGAATGTGAACAACATGAACGTGAAAGGTGGCAGTAAGCAAAGTCACCTACATGATACCATCATCCCCCTCAACAATCCACCTCCGAAACCTGGTCAACCGGACACACGTGGAATGCCACGACAAATGGTATACCTGGCAACACACCCCGACCCCAAGTTGGCTGGGAAACCAAAGGGAATGAAAGCTGTTCTTCAAGAACAGCAATCTGTTTGGGACACGCTGATGGAATGGCACAAAGGGAAGGTGGTTGGGAAGTGTCAGCGCTGCCAGAAGTCACAGGCAAAAAGGGATGCAGAACAGAGATTCACATTAGCAGAGGCACTTGGACAAGAAGCACCCGAAACAGGCGAGCTGCAGGCAGAGGAGGACAAGCCAGAAACAGACTTGGACGACAATTGGTGCTGCATGTACCGTGTACTCTCACTTCAAGATGATTTTGTCAACGAAAAGCCACTTATCCAGCATTACATTGAGAGCCATGGCCACGTTTGCCTTTTTCTTCCGAAGTTCCATTGCGAACTCAACCCCATCGAGATGCTTTGGGGATATGCCAAGTACCATAAGTTTTTCTTCTTGTTTTCCACTGCAATTTTGATTCATTGATATTCCCACGTGGCACAGGCTATCAAATTGTCACTGATGGCAAATTCTCAACCACAAAAACACTGGTTCCGCAATGTCTCGACATGTGCGATGTTTTGACCATTCGCCATTTTTTCCGCAAAGCTTGGCATTATATGGATGCCTACCGGTATGTTTATTGTTGAGTGATCATGCAATGCTGAAGTTTGAACAGTAAAGGACTCGACGCACAACAAGCAGCCTTCGCGGTTAAGAAGTACCACTCCCACCATTGTGTTGGGCTTGCAACGGAGATTTTGACTGCACTGGATGCTGAAACTGCGAGCAGATGGCTTCTGTAGATCATACTTACTATCTGCTTGCTTGTATACCTGCTCAGTTACCCAGAAATACCATTTCTTGCAACATGTTTCAAATTTCATTGGAAAAATTTTCAACACCTCAATTCTCAAAATTCTAATGAGATAGCCTTAATCTACAAGTAAAAAGAATGCATGTGCGCTACTCTACGGTACAAAGCGGTCAAATTTCGAGGACTAGATACATTTTCAAGTTCGGGCTAATCCAAGAGGCTGGAAAAGTGCTTTGTACACTGTAGTCCTGCTGAAACTGCACTTCATGCATTGTCGGAGAAGGAAGGATGGAGCAGACAGGGGAAACAGGGGGTCAGACTAGTGGTAGGGATGTTCACAGGTGGTATTGGAGGTGCTCAGATCTGGTATATGACAGATTGCCAGACAAGGCCAGGTTTCAGCTGACATTGCTGACATGCATGATGCCCTAGCCATTGTGAGATACCACTATGTCTAACTATATATGAATTGAGCAATTTTGGTGATGTGACTGGTGTTAGGTACCGTGCTGACTCAGGAAGCAGAGGGGTCGGGGCTTGGCTTCAGCTCTTGCGCTGCGCCCTTAGCTGAGTATGTGCCCCGAATTTGGAGCAGGTCCAATGTTGTCCAACAGTAGGATGAGTAGACCGCTTAGGTCCGCTTTTAGGGTCGGGAGGTAAATGCTACTAGTGGCGGGCTGACTAGGAGCGGAGCAGAGAAGGCAGAGGATAGTGCGGAGGGTGGATAGGAGCAGGGGGAATACTTGATAGGGGCGGAGAAGTAAAGAGAAGACTTAGAGCACGGCTCTAAGTCAGAGCGGAAAGTCAGAGGTGACAACAAGATGAAACTTGTGTCTGGAGGAGGCAAGGTCCTACTGAGAATTCTCACAAGTAGAAACTGCAAGAAGACAAGTAATATTCAGACTGAGGAAAATATCTAAGTACAGGATATGTTATATACTTCTAAGTATGAGGCAGTGATCAGGATAACTATGTTGTAAAGCTATGTACCAAGGATATAATTTGTAAGTACTTACACAGGCGAAGACATAAGTCGGAGCGGATATCAATATGTACGCGTCGGATCAGTGATCGAGCGGTAAGAGGAATTACTGGTGATCCGGAAGTAAGGGTCTATGTACTGAAGGGGAAAGTATATATCTAAAAGGGGAAAGAGGTTCCAGTTGAATGGAGACGTTATAGAAGGGGACCGGTCGGGTGGTCAAGCGGAAGCATAGGAGCAGAATGTGGACTGTGATTGGATGGAGCGGAGGATGGATGGAGCGGAGGTGGTCAGAAAGTGGAGCGGATATTAATATTGGAGCGGTCAGATCAGGTATATGACAGACGGTTTGTAAACATTTTTGCTAATTTCAATGTGCTTGCCATTTTGTGCTTGTTGTGGGTGATGATCAATGAGTGGGTGATGATTGAATGATGAGCAGGCAATGATCAGGTGATTTATTTTGTCCAAGGGCAAAACTTCAAGTTTCACCATCACATTTTGTCACCAGTGTAAAATTCAAATTTTTGGCAGCCCCTAATTGTTGGACACAACTTACAGCAGTTTGCAAAAAGGTTGACAGTGCATGCGATCTGAATGATTAAGGAAATTAAATTAAATAAAGTCCCTACACTATGATACTTCGACTGTACATAGTGATCAATGCATATCTAATCATCATTCTCTACTTTACCCACTGTCCAGGATGCAAAGGCAACATTCATCCATATTCAATGAGTTGTCTGAAGACACTACCATGGAAGCAACACCCGACACAACTACACCATCCACGAATGAGACAAGCCTTGGCCTGGATGACCAAGAATCAACACCACCACCTGTAGTTGTCGCAAAGAAACAAGGCTGTCCACAGAAGCAATCTGCAACAAGTACTGGTGAGCATGAGCATATTTGATGTACTGCAGGACATATATTTTTGTCAATAAAGCCACGGAAACAGCTGTCGAGACGCACTCCGAACTGAAGAAACCACCTGGAATAACTTACTACCTTACAATGTTCTCTGATGCTCAGATGCAAAAGCCTCAAAAACAGCGAAAATCAGTCAACACATTCATGGTCCAGTCCTCCGACATCAAGTATGATACCTTGAAAGCCCAGATTCTAGCGAAGATCTCCGAGAACTTGAAACCAAAAATCACTGCCTTCAAAAATTACACCATTGCATGGACTATACCCCAAACACAAGCATCTTCAATTCCCCTCTCTTCCGCTGCTGATTACCAATTTCTCCTTAGGCTTGCTGTCAAACAAAAGACTCTGTTGGTAAATTTTGTCATTGAGACTCACTTGATGAAAAATAAGGTACATGGGTCAAGTACCATTGACTATATGCACTGCAAAACATTGTTCTAGAAGGCTAGTAAGAAATCAAAGAAGGCAAATGAGGATACAGGAGAATGACCATGAGGATGCAAGCCAGGATGGTGGCAGCAAAAACAGTGAAAGTGAGGATGAAGATGACCGGCCAAAGAAGAAGGCAAAGTCAGGGGTAAGTTTTGTCCTTTGTTTACTAGCTCATTGTAATGACACAAACATGTCCATAGAAGAAGTCCAAGTCCATCATCGAGACTCCACTGAATCTGAAGATCAATGCGAAGATTCGGCTCCTTCAGAACCGCTGGATGTGTTCAAAAGCCAGTTGTTCCTCCAATCATTGTTTTATTCACCCAGAGCACTCTGAGCATTTTTCCCCTGGTCATGAACATTTCTCCATCTGGGCTGCTGCTTGGGTACCTCTTTCTCAGGTTTCATTTCTCATTGAATTGCTCATGTATTTTGTGCCTGCTATTGACAGAATAAAGACAAGAAACTTGCAGACTTAGAGACTTCCCCGAACCACCACAAATTCAACACAGCTCCAGGTCGTAAAACTGCCAATATTTCACCTCTCCTACAGCATCGACTTGCTGACCATAATCAACCAACCAACAATGCCGGTCCTGTCATCAACTTCAACATACCTCCAGAATTACTTGCTGTTTTTCACCCTGCTCCTGCCCAGCCTGTCATCGAGCATGGAATACCACCTGCTGCACACGATCCACAATCTCTTGTCCAATCTGGTTGGCAACATGGCCCAACCTTACTCTCAATGGTTCTGCAATGCTGTATGGGCTTAGTGAGGAGATCAGAACGAAGCTGCACAAGAAGTGGTTGTACTAGTGCTGACAAGCTGACCTTCATCATTGTACCAGAAACTCAAGGAGATGGGCTTCAAATATGGCGAGATTGCAGCACGAAGCAGCCCATGAGACGGTGGTGCCAAGTCACCATGACAATTTCATTTCTTTCGACCCTTCTTGACGCATTGGACACTCTTCGCACCATTGGAATTCTTTTCGCACTGTTCGTTGCATGTTGCCATACTCATATTGGTACATTATGCTTGTATCATGCTTGCTCGTTTCATTATTATACCGGTTTCAACGTCTAAGTACCCATGTATTAACCTTCGCTCAGAAGGTGATACTCATGCACATACTTCATAATAGTCACATCGGGAGAACAGTTTGGTGCTTGAGAAGTGTGAAAGCTCTTCAATGGATAATCAGGTGAGTGGGAGGCATACGAGACGTACACCTACATACTACCATGTAAGCACAGACTCAGAAACATTGGTACAGTACGAAAATTATGCATACCGCTCCTTGAATCAGGCCCTGATCCCTTCTCCGTGATGATTGATACAGTTATCCATAACAAGGACACTGAGCTTGCCTGGATATGGGGTGCACAATGGCAACTGTATGAGCAGAAATACATCAATAAATTTGTATAGACCAAGACATGACTTACAACTTCCTCCTCGAGAAAAGTTCTGTACTTCTGTGTCATAAATGAACCTTCAACAACTGCTATAGCAATCATCCCATCAACAGTGAGAAGGCCCAGCCCAGAGACCCGATGACCACGAACAAACACCTCCTTCTTTGCAGCACATTGCCCTGTCTTCAACCTGCCATAGTGTCGAGTAGTTGTCCTTTCATCCTTCAAAGTTTCATCCATGAAGCCCAGCTCTTCAGGCTCATACTGAGCCATCCTCCTGATGAAATCAGCATGGCAGTCCTCGTTCCTTTCTCTAGCAATTTTCTTGAGCTTCTTCAAGGACATCCCTGCACGAGCAAGTTCTTGGTAGATGGTTGTATAGTGGACGGAGATGAACCTGTTATGGTTGAGTAAGTCCAGTAGTTCATCAGAGGAACCAGTCAGGACGGTGGTTGATGAGCCGAATGAGGTAGTTTATGTTGTCAAAGTGAAGGGCTCGTGGATGGCCAGCTGCTCCGTAGTTGTGTTGGACAACATCTCCTGTTTCTTGCCAGAGTTTACGAACACACCAAAATGTACTTTCAGAGAAGCCGACACAATCAAGAATCTGTTCGAGAGACAGCATGTTGTGCTCATAAAGGTTGATAGCAGCGAGTTTCACATCGCGACCTGATTTTGCAGAATGGCATAGTAGCACGCTGGCAGGAAAATGCACTGTGGTGGGTCTGGGACTTTTTCTTTTTTTAATTTCCTTATTCATTCAAATCACTCGTCCTGTCAACCTTTTTGCAAATAGCTGTAAAACATTGGCAAGCATATAGCCGCGGATTAAACTTCAAGTTTTGTCCGAAGTTTTATGTGATAATTAAATTTAAAATTCAAGCAGACGCTGAAAATCTGATCATATTTCTTATTTGTGTTGATGTATAGTTAGTGAAAACATGGCTGCGGATATTTCATATTTTGGATTTTGCACACAACGATAACTAAATTTGAAGTTATATGCCCCTTTTTATGTCAGTTCAAACTCCAAATATTTTCTTCACATTCCATACAACATATAAATCTCTCCTAAATATCAATAACCCCAATGTGAGGGTTACTATCGGTTACGGTCTATTCATGACGAGCCTCCATTTCGTGAGTCACACTTTTGGGCATGGAAACGTGATGGCTTGTCACATGGTGTAACGGTATGTCACGAAATTCACCGCGAAAAAGCGTGACTCACGAAATGACGGTCCATCACGAATAGATCGTAAGGGATAGTATCACGTTCGACCAACGTTTCCCGGTATTTTTCAGACCTCAAAACGTTTCTGAACGTGCGAAAAAAACCGCCAACGCAGCTGTGAACTCCCCTAATAATTCTAGACCGAATGCAAATAATAAAGAGATCACACATAGCACACCGCAAAAGCGACCCTCCTAGTACGAGTCCACTTACTGCATCTTATTCTTCTTCCTCTTCTTCACCTCCCTTCCTCCCTCTACTGATCCCTCCGGCTCCTCTAATCGCGCCCCAAACTTGCCCGCCCGCTTGTTAGCAGCCCTCACCAATGCGCGCTTTGTTTCGCTGTCTGGCCAGTTCTTCAAATCAAAGTACAAGGGTGCGTACTCAAGGAGCCTATCGAAGCGTCATTCGCGTCAGTATGCAAATCAATACAGCATAAGATGCCTGACAACGTACCACTCTGGTCGGACATCCGTGACAATCCGTATATACGGTCTCGTCGTGAGCACAAACTCGTTAAATATCACCCACTCTGGTTGCGTATCAAGCCCGCACGATGGATGCAGCGCCACGACCTACCACCCGAAAAAATCACATCAGCACGCCAAACCTCCCGAAACTAAAATGACGCACTTGGTTATCCTTCACGGTCATATAATTCCCCTTCTCCCCCTCCTTATGCGCGACTTGCATGAAAAACCCGCAGCACAATGCCTGTCTGATCGCCATGTACATCTTCTTCTGATCTTGCACGCTCACGAGCTCCACCTCAAACCGTTCCATCGTTCGTTTCAGCTGTTCGCGCACGTTGTCAGCTTGCATGAGTGCTCGAGCAGAGAGGTAGTTGTTCCAGGTCCAGTTTTTGTCGTACTGGTCTGGGGTAGTTGTGAGTGGGCGAGTGTGGGTGTATGCAGAGGAGAAGGGGAGACTTACTTTGAGTGTAGTTATTGTACACGTTCAGAAGCGTTAGGTGATCGCCATCGGGGACGGTAAGTAGCGCCTTTGCAGCATCTGCTTCTTTTCGTTGGTTGTTCGGCCGTAGCCATACATTTGGTACTACAGGCGCGTCAGATAAGAGTAAACCTCAGGGCTGAGTGCGCACCTGACAGCATTGCAGTGATCGTCAAGATCTCGTTGCTGCATTTAAACTCCGGACTGACAATCAGCATCTTTGAGAGTTGTGGATCTAGAGGGAACTCTGCCATGATACTCCCCAGAGGCGTGAGATTCCCCTCATCATCCAACGCCGCGAGGTAGTTCAATAGCTCCAACGCCCTCATCAATGTCTCTGGTGCTGGTGCGTCCACGTAGTCAAATTTGACGAGATCCTGAACGCACGTCAGCCCGACTGAAAAATCACCCCATCACATGCTCACCTTAATCCCGGCCTTGACAAGCTCCAGCACCGTATTCGCCAAATTACTCCTCAAAATTTCTGGATGTGTCTGCTCCTCAAGCTCCGACATAAAGTCCTTCTCCGTGTATAACCTAAAGCATTTGCCCGGCCTCGTTCTCCCAGCCCGACCCGCACGCTGCTGCGCCGACGCCTTGGAGATCGGGCTCACAAGTAAACTCTCCACGCGGATGCGCGGGTTGTACACCTTCTGCTTAGAAAACCCTGGGTCGACGACGTACACAATCCCATCGATCGTTAGCGACGTCTCCGCGACGTTCGTGCTCACCACGACCTTACGGCCTGGAGGGCCGTCCGGACTGCCAGCTTTTGGCGGCGGGTCAAATATGCGCTGTTGCTGTTGCGGCGGTAGTGACGAGTAGAGCGGAATGCACACGAGCGGGCCTACACTCTCGGGGTCAGAGTTGACGAGGTCGTCCGCCTCGAGCTTGATCTTGCGACACGCATCCTCGATCTCCTCCTCACCCGTCAGGAACAATAGGACATCACCCGGCTCCTCGGCACGATGAATCATGAGCACAGTGCGAATGGCAGCCTCGACGTAGTCTGGTTCTGGTTCCTGGGTGTAGAACACCTCGACGGGATGGGTACGGCCGGGGACCTTAAAGAGCGGGGCGGGGGTGTCGCCGGAGACAGCGAAATACTTCTGGAACTTGAGGGCGTCGAGAGTGGCGGACATGATAATGAGCTTGAGGTCTGGACGGCGTTGGGCGAGGGTTTTGAGAATGCCCATGAGGATGTCGGTGGAAAGGGTGCGTTCGTGGGCCTCGTCGAGGATGATAGTGGAGTAACGGTTGAGATCAGGGTCGTTCATAGCTTCGCGGAGGAGCATTCCGTCAGTCATGTATTTGAGGAAGGTAGTGCCGGGTTCTGTCATGTCTTCGAAACGTATGGAGTAACCGACCTGTCGGCCGAGTTGGACTACGAGACGACGTGAGCTCAGAATGCGATCAGAACTTGGAACAAAAAAAACGCACCATCCATCTCATCCGCGACGCGCTTAGCCACAGACATGGCAGCGACTCTGCGGGGCTGAGTACATGCCACAATCTTATTCCTGGTATGCGGAAGATCGGAGTAGGCGACAAACTGAGGTATTCTATCGGTGATACAAAGCGTTTATAAGTAACTGTTCAAAGCTGATGAGGACGACGTTTGGCTGGGGATGCCAACTTACTGCGTGGTCTTGCCTGAGCCGGTCTCGCCGACCATGACGATAATTTGGTGTTTATTGAACTATAAACATCAGTCAGGGTGAATGGGGTGAGGTAGGAAGGACTTACTATCTTGTAGAACTCTGTCATCTGTGCAAACACAGGGAGCTTTTTACGGGCTTCGAGGATCTTTTTATACTGTGCAGTATGGGGCTGCTTTGTAAATGGGTTTAGATCATTTTCCTAAGCAAACTCCTGAGTCAGCCAGCCTCGACGTAAGTTAGAAATTGAGAGGACATACCAATGCCTGGCGAACTTGATCCGCGTTGACCATTCGGGGAACAAAACCAAAGAGAGGTTCCCTCGAGGAGCCACTGGCGCCATTGAGAGAGCTTGAAGTAGTATGCAACTCAGTGGGACGTCGATGGGCAAGATATGGGTTCTCTTTCGGTGTCAATGTCATTTTGTGGGCCGGGGAGGTCGTGGTCCTGATTCAGGATATGTCAGGGTTACATAATCATGGAAAAAGAGATGTGGTCCGAGGCGATTCAACTCAGCAGGTGTGTTATCTTAACCCGCAATGTGCTACCACTTATGCATGCAGAGTATCCGTAAGTGGTAGTGGTGGAGCCTGAGGTACGGGAAGACGAAAAGGTATGATGCACTACACTGTTGACCTAGAACGATGCTGATACGATTTCGTCAAAAAAGCTACCAAGATAGATGGAGCCTATCTAAACTCGAGTCCATGCAGACAAATGCCTGTATCATCATGCACTACGCTCTAGAACTAATGATGCCATATCTGAGGCCAATTTCGAGGTCTTCGACGCCGCATATATACAACATCAGTGTTTCGATGGCCTTGCTTGGATATACCAAGACCTCATCCGTATCGAAAGTGACGTGGTGCTATGCTTTCCACCGAGCTACGAGATACATATTAAAGAGTACCACCATGATCTCAATGCGACCCTTTAGCGCGTGATGGATCCAGAGGCCGAAGCAAGTGTCATGCTCGACCTTCATGCCCGGATTAAGGAGTACAAGAAGAGCATGAAAAGCTCAACGTGGCCGGAGTTCCTTGATCCACCGCTGCTCGGTGGCGACGAGCAAGGACTACTTGGAAGTGATGGCCAAGAAGCTCGATGAATGATCCAAACCCTCATGAAGACGAGGATTCAGGAGTTCGCTAGGAACTACCTGAGGTAGACAGCGATGGGCTCTATGTCACAGAGGACGCGGTTATCCTGTTCCAGATACGGTGACCCGACAGATCGACACGGCGACAGAAAGCAGTGATCCTTGCTCACGTGGTGGGTGATGTGAATCGAGTTATGAGGAGGAGCATGCATGGCAAAGTTGAGGCGGAGCTGACGAAGCAGAGAAATCGGAAGAGGTTGTCAGGGGGCTAGCGGAGTACTGTATAGGCGCTTTCGGGACGAGTCAGACCCCTTGTATCAGAGAAGTGACGAACGCCCGTCAACGAAAGGCTCGATAACGCTATTGATAGCGACCTGGATGTTGCGAAGAAATGTATCCAAAACTTTTATCGACAGTATTATCGACTTACGACGTCGCTGATCAATCCTACATTGATCCCTCACTCCTCCTTCTGCTGCTCGACGCCTTCTTGACAACGTACCTTACCATTGTACTACTGTACTCGCATGATATCAGATTCTTTTGTTCCATTGTGGCGTACACTCGTCGACTGCGCTACATACGAAAGGGTAATTCTAGAATCTTCGTGGCATCTGGCTTAGGTAACTTTGAAATTACTTCAAGGATATGATATTCCATATACACAGCAAGCGAGTCCGACATCTTTGACAATGACCACCTGGGCTCAAGCCATTCATCACCCTTGGTTCGATCCGTCACCTCTAAAGCGTAAAAGCTCTACCGCAGACGACGAGCGTCGTCCATCGCCCTATCAGCGCTCGTCACCAAGCCCCACGAGCGGCGCCAAGCGACGCAAATTCGACACACTCGAGCATGGGTTCGCCCACCTCACGCTCGCCTCTGCGCCGGTTCACCCCACAGCGAGTGGGCTGGTGATTACGCCCATTCATCCCACCGCTTCATCCCCAGAAACTACAGTATTTTCACCTGCTAGTGTTGTCCTCCCCAGCTCTGTCGAGGAACCGCCGCACGAAACTGAGGCATTTGCGCCCGAGGTGAGCATGGACGAGGGAGACTGTAAGTTCAATTCAAAGTCTATGTATATGTCCTGACAAGTTCTGTAGCCTCCAAGTTGCACAACAAGGCCCCGCGTTTTTCGATATCGACGCCTTTGCTTCGGCGCATACGAAGACACCATACGGCTCCCCAGCCTATCATTCCCATTTCATCGCCAAGCACGGCTGCTGGGGCTGTTATATTATATCGGCCCTTGCGGCCGCTCTCCCCCTCGCCCAAAGTCGAAGAACAAGCGGGGGAGTCTGTAGAGGAGATCATCACATGCGGTGCTGCTGCCAGCGTTGAGGTTGACGATGACGCGATGGACATAGAGTAGAACCACGTCACATACGCATTCGCACCCTTTGCTTTCGTACTTATTAATATCCTAACGAAAAATCGACTCTACAAAGAAACGAACCGCTCATCTAAATGGGAGAATACGGTAACAGGGAAACCAAAGAAAACCAAAGAACGGAAGAGATATATTGAAGCTTGTGGCGCTGATATCAGCGGCTGTCGAGATTGCGGGTACCGTAAGAGAGTATACCGCTCCCAGAGGGGCCTTCTTCAGTAGGATATAGACCTTCTGAGTAGTTGATGTGAGAGTGATGGTGCCTGGCGTGGGCGTGAGGGTGGGGGACATGGTGCATTTGGGCTGAGGTATACGGGGGACGTAGGGTAACAGAGCCAGATGAAGGAAGGGGGGGCTTTGCAGAATGCGACATGAGTGTAGGCTGAGGATTAGGGGGTAACTGGGGAGTGTTGCCCGGGTCTTGGAAGTGGGCAGCAAAGGACTGCGCATACGGGTTGATGTGCTGTGGCTCGTCATGGACGGGCAGGGTAGGAGGAGCGTCTTGCTCCTCCTTCTCAGGAGAATTGTCATCTGCATCGTCGTCTGCAGGGTCACGAACTGTAGCTGCCTGAATCTTTTGGGCAGCTATCTCCTCTGCTGTGAGGAAGCGGCCACCGGGGCCGCGGGGACGACGCATTGCGTGTTTGTGACGACTCTCATGGAGATAAGGCTATAGAAAATTAAGGAGAGATTGAAATAAGAAACGGAAAAACATACCTTTCTCTGCCTGGAGAGCCTGTGTACCTCGTCTAGTCTAGCACGAGCGACACGACGTTTGAGGATACGAAAATATTGTTTTGCATTTACATAGAGGGGTTCTTCATCTACTTGATGGTCGTCTGTTGGAGTATTTTGATGAGAAGGTGGGTCAGGGTCTATGTGATGATGAAGGAATAGGTCATCTTGAGGAGAGTTACGAGGGGAAGAAGGACCTGGGGAAGGGTTTCTTGATTGATGGTAAAAATGATGATTGTAAATATCTGGTTGATGACGAGAAAAGGGGGAAGCGGGATGAGTAGTATGACCCGCTGAGTAGTGGTTTAAATGATAAGCGGAATCGAGCAGCTGATCGACAGGATCGCCCATTGATTGGCTGCTGCACAAGCGTTGACTCTAACAAACTAATCCACAAATGTCACACACATAACAAACTCAATGTCACACTAATTTACGTAAACTAGTTCTTCTTCACTTCAACAATGGAATCAAAACTGTAAGAAACATACACAGTCACAATTCACTTTAACTCATATATATTTATTATAGAAAAGCATTAAAGGTCACAGAATTAAAAGAAATACTTCAGAAGGCTTCAATTCCACCAGGAAATGCAAAAAAGCAAGATCTCATAAACAAAATCATCGCAAACCCATCTGCTATTGAAGTATTTCACACTCTACATCCCGGAAAGAAACCAGTTCCTGCTGACGATGACCTGGTGTGTACGCTTCGGTCTCCTCGCACATACGCTAACCTTTAGTCAGCTCGCCCCTCCAGAAGAGTACGTCGTCATATCCTCACGTGCACACACGCTAACCCTCGCCATAGAATCGACTGGGCAGTCGAAGAGGCCATTCCAGTAGTCCCCCCCTCTCCTCCTAAACAAGCTCCCGCCTCTCCCCCAAAACCTAAGCAGGTTTGCCACATTTATTTATTAAACTTGCTCGCATCATTTCTGATTTCACTCCAGCCACTCTCACCTCCTGTTCCAGTCGCGGAACCACCTGCACCTGCACCTGCAGATGAAGAATCCGAGAAGCGCAAAGCTCGTGCAGCTCGCTTCGGTACAACCTTAGTTGACCCTAAACAACCCAGTCCGCAACAGCCAAAAAAGGTCAAGGTACCTTCTGGCGAGGTGAGCAGCACTACCTACCAACCTCTACTCTCTCGTGACTATCCATCTATAGGACGCCGACAAACTAAAGGCGCGGGCAGAGCGGTTCGGGATGACCACTTCAGTCACAAAGACTAGCGGAAAGCGTGTAGCACCTATCGAACAAGTTGATCCCGAGGAGCAGGAGCGTAGGAGGAAGCGTGCAGAACGGTTTGGCTTGCCACTATCCGTAAGTCCTCTATTGCCGGTACTGCATCCACTCATCGACTACCTTAGGACAAGGCATAGAGTGTTTATTCTTGACGGTACAGCTTCTATTTATCCTCATCGTGTTGTTCATATGTATACGCACATATCATTTTGAGTGTACCATGTAAATCCTTAAAGCTGTATTCTCGAAAACTGTGATTTTGCTGTATATATTTGGAGTCCTTCAACACCCTTTACCCTCAGCGGACGATAATATTAACGAACACTACTCATGCCATATAGCTAGGATCTTCACCAACTTCGCACTCCATCCGCCCACCACCATGTCCTACACGTCCTACCCCCAGCGTTCAACGTGGCTCGACTTTCTTGGGTTCCCCCAGGACTACGGTCCTTGGACGTATCGTGCTATCCCAGAACCTTTCGTCTCCTCCGAGCTTGCACGTCTTGCTTCCGCCCACGTCATTAACTCCACGACGAGCTGCGTCTCTCTACAGCCATGTCCAGACCCAGAACAGCGATCCCAGGACCGTTTCGTCGTCCTGGAGTGGGACGGATGGTCGTTCTCTGCGGTGTTTGACGGTACGCGACTTGATTTGATTCGAAATGACTGTCTCTCATACTTGCGACAGGCCACGCAGGGGAAGAAGCCGTAGATTATGTCACCAAAGAGCTCCCCTTGTCCATCCACGCAGCTCTCGCCAAGGCTCTCACCGATGCAGGTACCACACCCCTCGCGCCTTCCACCGTCTCCACCCTTCTGCAATCGTCTATCCAAGCTGTCGATGACGCCCTGACTGACGCAGTCAAACAGCTATTCCCCGACGAAGCAGCCCTCGCAGCCCTCACAGACGAGCAAATCAAGTCAATCATCAACGGCCCTACGAACCCCAACAATCTCGCCATTCTGCGCTGCATGCGCGGTACGACTGCGCTCGTTTCGCTCGTAGACCCAAGGAAAGAGAACCTCTGGGTAGCCAGCCTTGGAGATTGTCAGGCTGGTGCGTGTCGTTTCCGCAACGCTTGAACATACCGGGTTGATGTCATGCGCAGTGCTCGGAACCAAGAACTCTAATGGTACATGGGATGCAACTATCCTCAGTGTACACCACAACGGCACGAACCCCGCCGAGGTCGCACGTATCCGCAAGGAGCATCCAGGCGAATCAGAATGCATTAAATACGACAGAGTTCTCGGCGCAATCGCCGTCACACGAGGCGAGTACTTCCTTCCACACCCCCACGAGCTGCTGCAAACACGAACGTTTATGTCCAGCCATCGGAGACCACATCTTCAAGCTCCCAACATCCTACACCACCCGCGTCTTCATGAACTGCGTCCCCGGCTTTTCCGTCTCTACCGAGATTGGAGATTTCCTCCCGCACAACAAATCGCCGCCCTACCTATCCGCTCTCGCTGACATCAAACACGTCGCTCTCCCGCCATCCACATCCAACACATCTGAAGCATTCTTGATGTTATGTTCGGATGGCCTCGTAGATCTGTACGAACATACGAATGTACGGAGGCTTACCTTGGAGGAGATCGCCACACAGTGTGTCAACATTCTCGGCGAGTCTATGGATAGGAAACATGCCAAGGTCGGTGGGGTGAATGAGGACAATGCAGCACTAGTGCTACTGAGACACGCGCTAATGGGTGGAGGAGCGGATGACCTAGACCGTCTGGCGCAGATGCTCACAGTGGAGATACCCTGGCGGTGGATGGATGATACAACCGTGCTCGTGCAGAGCCTGTAATATACTTGCGGTCCGCGGAGCGCATTATGACGTTGACATATACCGGCTGCTATAACGTCGCTTAATAATCAACTGCGGTTGTGCTACTGATAATAATAATCTTTGCTGATCGTCACACACCAGCTATCTAGAGTCACCGATATTCGATCTTCGCTGTTGAAAGTAAACTTCAAGTGGCATCCATGGATCCAGCTAGCCAGCAACACATTTTCACTTGTCTGTCATGCTCGATAGCTTTTCTTTCCGCGGAGGAGCAGCGTATGTCCTGGCACTCGCCCCCTCCTGACCTGATGGATTAATGTATGCGCACACAGGCACGCACTACCGCTCAGACCACCATAGATACAATATGAAGCGTCGCGTCGCATCCCTGCCACCAGTTAGCGCTGCTATCTTCAATCAAAAAGTCCTCGACCGCCGTCAGGAGACCGCAATCATGTCCTCGCTGAAAGGGAGTACCTGTGAGGTGTGCGGGTACGTTCCTTCTGATCGCGATGTCCGCTTTCTTTCACTTTATTCTGTGCCGATTGCATATCCTCTGTACAGTTTTTTGATCAAGGCGCACTGACACACGAGCAGGAAAACATACACAACAGAAAATGCATACAGGTCTCACATAAACTCCAAGAAACACAAAGAGAACGAGCTCAAGACTGCCTCACAGCCATGTCCACCAGTACCCCAGGAAGACGAAGTGCCCAGTGCCCCTGTAGACCCCCCACCATCATCCACCCTCCCCATCATCTCCGAAACTCCCATACCCAAAGACTCGACCCTCGGCGTACCCGCGACCGCAACCGAAGACGAAATAAACGAAAGCATAGACGCAAAGATAGCCGCTGCCCGCTCACGTCTTTCCATAACATCCTGCCTCTTCTGCACGCATACTTCCTCCGCACTCGCAGAAAATCTAACGCACATGTCTTCTGCACACTCCTTTTTTGTCCCTGATGCCGACTACCTCATCGATCTCCCTGGTCTCATCACATACCTCGGTGAGAAAATCGCGGTTGGAAATGTCTGCATTTTCTGTAATGGCAAGGGACGTGAGCTGCGGACGCTCGAAGCAGCACGGAAACACATGCTAGACAAGGCTCATTGCAAGATCGCCTACGATACCGAGGACGACCGACTCGAGGTGTCAGATTATTATGACTTCACGACCTCGTACCCCGCTGAAACGCTGAAGAAAAAATCCAGACAGCCACGCGCAGAGGACGAGGAGTGGGAGGACGCTGATGATGACAGCGGCGAAGCAGAAGAGATCGTTGATGACGACGCCTCAGAGCCTCCTGAATCTGGTTCTGATGAAAGTATACCTGAAAACCAGATCACCTATGGAGATACCGAGTACGAGCTTGTTCTTCCATCCGGTGCACGCATCGGACATCGGTCGATGAAGCGCTATTACGCACAATCCTTGCTCGTGCACGCCAGAAGAGAAGATGACCGCAACTCCGGGATCGCACTTGTCCGCAGATTGCTCGCAGACAAAAATTCTGCCCTTGTACCCCGCAAGGGTGGGTTTGGTGCATATGGACAAGGAATGGAAGTTGCTAAAGCGCGCAATCGTGGTGAGGCAAGAGAGGCAGGGAGGCATGTACGAGAGTTCAGAGATCAGAAACGTAGGGAGGATTTCAAGACACGAGTAGGCTTCATACACAACAGCCAGAAGCACTTCCGGGACCCACTTCTTCAGGTCCGTTTTATGCTTAGACTGACCTTCAGTTATTACTCACCCTCATCTGCAGTGAAAGTGAATCAATTGACAAAGCGGAGATTTACTTTGCATGATATAATACGCATGATATTCCTTTGGTATTCCCAGCGTAAACTATTATCCCATTTTATCTCGTCCCATGGAGCGTCTCTAGAAAGCGAAAACATAAGAAATATGCTAGGATATCAATGAATTGAACGAGCGACCGGAAGGTTGATCTCAGTTAAGTAGGGTATAATGATGTACGACCGATAGCAAAAAGACAAGATACAAGAAGGAAACATATCAATACAGATAGGCCGCGGGCACTACACCCTCCTGGCCTGTTTGCGGGTTCCGTGTGTACCACCACCTGGAACAGAACATGAGCAGAGACCAAAAGGCTGAACGATAGCACTTACGCAGCGTCCCGATCATCTAACACTTCTACCTCCAACCCCGCCGTCAGAGGTAATTCGCCTTCACCCGTCCCATCGAACGAGTAGCGAGCGTGTGCAGGGCGACTGAACTCCTCTTCCGCAGCCATTGTTCCTACAACTGCGTCTGAAGGAGTTTCAGCTCGCAAGTAGTTGCTACCGTCTGGTCCAAATGGATCAGGCTCGACTGAGATTTCCCTCGCGCCCTCCTCCTTCTCGGCGCCGACAGTATCCAATGGGCTTGGGGCACCAAGAATCGTCGTTCGGGTGGCCGCGTTGATGTGCTCCAGTAATGACGATGGTCGGTGTTGGACTGAATCATCGTCGTCGTCATCACTGGCATTGAACTTGGCCAGTCTATCATCGCGACGGGACAGTAGGGTCCAGAGGATGCCAATGAGTGCCAGCAGGAACACGACCCCAGCTGCGATGGCAATGGAAATAAGAATGACAATACCAGTTGCGAGGAACTCTGCAAAGATTCATGAGCTAAGGATCGGGAGGACTAGAAATTACCCACGTTGCTGAGTGAAGCTGAAGTTTGCGATCGAATAGAACAGTGAAGAAATCGAGCCCAATGCTCCCTGAGCAGTCATGGTCACCATAAAAGGAATAAATGACGATCCATCGAAGAGAACAGAGGATGCGGAACCGAACGAAGAGTCGGTCAGCGCGCCGGAGATCATCAACATCCGGTCGGATTCAATGATGCTGTTAGTTGAATGCGTGTTCAGCAAGGGAACCATGAGAAGCTGGGAAATGTTGGTGTTGGCCTGAAGCGAAGATCCAACATCGCTCCAAGAAACACCATCCCAAAACATCATGAACGGTGAGGAGCCATCAGCGGTGCTGGAGATCAAAGATATATTAGAGATTATACCGATGAGCAGTATCATCGCACCACTCACCGACCAGCTGCAAAGATGCTAGAAGAGTTGCCATTGTTGACCTCTACTGCCGTAACAGGCCCTGGGATTTCAGCACTGTTGCCGACGGCGGCCCATGTAGCATTCGCAAAATAATACTGTGCGACATTGGTAGTCGATCCGCCCGACAATGTGATAGATCCAGCGGCAATCAGGATGTCTTGATTATTCTACCGAAAATCAGTTAATCACACAATGCCAACCAAGAGAATAGAAATGTACTTACACCTGCATATGAAACAGACGAGATATCTCCTTGAATACCCCCTCCGAGCGCGCTCCACTGGTTCAACGAGGTATCAAATAGACAAATCCCTTGGCAAGACACTGAACCAGCCTGCGCGAAAGAACCAGCTACAATGACGGCATCGGACTTATAGATTGACGTCGTTATCGAGCGAACTACAACCGAAGACCCTGCTGAAGGCTGTAATGGTTGCATAGAGGATGTATCCCACTGCTGAGCAGACAGGTCGTAAAGAGCCAATCCGCTCGCTGTGGTGCCAGTGAGGCTGAATTCACCACCAACGAAGAGCTGTTGTTTTTGATCGACATAAACAGCACGGACGATGCCATTGATCTGAGTACCAGCGAGTGCGGAAATTGAAGACGTAACAGTATCATAGATGGCAACAGCGGACGAGGTCGTAGAAGAAGAGGAGAATGAAAAGTTGCCTCCAATGATGGCTACCTCATGGGAAGTGGAAACATTCGTCCAGAACGCCCCAGCAAGGACAGCGGGAGCAGGAGCGGGCGGGGAGGGCGGCAGAGCGCTTGAAGATGTAGTTGTGGTCTGCCGAGTAAATATGGTCCCAATATTGAGGTGAGATATCCATGCGGAGGGTCCGCGACGGATGTGGGGGTGACGCTTCGTTACGGTCGCAGGGGAAGACACATTCGTAATGCTGTCTTCAAGCTGGATACCCATTGGTGTCACCTGAGGGCCAGTGCTTCCACCATTGGACAACATCACGAGGCCACTGGCACCATACTCTGCCATAGTACGCACACTACCCGCGACGAACTGGGTTTGTTCCTGACCCGTTGCAGGCAAAGTACCGTTGCCGACGAATGACATGTTGCCCACTACAAACCCACCGCTGTTCGTCCATGATCCAGTGTTGACATCCCAGGTGGCCAAACCACCGGCGGTGACACCGGCAGCCGACGAATTGAGTGCCTCAGTGAAATTGCCTGCGACCACGATTTGCCTGTTGGCGAGCGCAAGGCTAGCGACTACACCATTGACTCCTGCGCCCATCGTCTTCCACGAATTGGAGCTAACGTCATATATGGCTACACCCTTAAGTTTGCCCTGCGTAGAAGCTGTGTTGGTATCCGTAAAAGTGCCGCCAACGTAGAGCTCGTTGCCGCTTAACACGATAGAGGTTACAGGCCCGTTAAGACCATTACTAGGAAGGGCAATCAATGATCCACTCTTGAATGCGACGATGTTTGAGACGCCGTTTGTCGAGCCAGAGATAAGCTGGAAATTGCCGCCTAGGTAAACGGTGCCAGACGGGTGCTGTGCGACAGCTGCTATGGACGTGGTGGTAGAAGTTGTAGCTCCCAGGGCGTTGTAGAGATCAATGGATACCGTGTCCAAAGAAGTCTCACTTGTGTTAGGAATGGTTCCAGTAGCGTCAATGCTCGCACTGGAGCTCAACGGCCACTCGAAGAAACCGAAGCCATGCTGAGAACTGCTAGTGGAGTTTGACCCAGACGACCCAGACCCGGCAGCGGATGTCACACTCGCCGACGTCAACACCAATGCGACATTACCAGCGACAAGCTCGTACTCCCCACCCTGCCCACTACCTTCGGGGTTACTCGCGAGTGTCATGGATACGGTAGTCACGAAGTTGGTGGACGAGGGAACAATTGAACCACTGTAGACAAGTACGGTCGTGTCGGTCTGAACCTGCTGCGAAACAGTAGACACCCAAGGCTGCGTTCCGCCGCCTGGGAAGACGGTAACCTGGACAGATGTGCGGAGGTCACAATCTTGGAAGTCTGCGCAGCCCGGAATAACAAGATATACGTCATACTGGCCGGACGCAGAGACGTATGGGTGCCATGTAAAACTGGGAGCATCAGAGGGAGACGTGCCAACATCCACTGTGGACACGAGGACAGTTTGAAGTGTGGCAGGGATATTGGTGGTAGAGTTTTTGGTGGTCCACTGGCCTGTGCTAGTGGTGTTGGATGGATTAGGTGCAAAGCAGGATTGCGCGTTATCACTGCTAATTGCGGATGCGAACGCGCCGGAGGAAAGGAGCTGTAGCATATGCAGACCGGGAGCTGCACCCGTCCAACCTGATAGAGTGATCTGCATACCAGTCAACGTCACCGGAGCGGTGAAAATGAAATCCTGGTATAAGATTGATGAGTCGGTCGACAAAGGACAGCTAGCTGAGCATGTCATATTCTGTCCCGTTGATGGATTAACATACGTCAAGGTCTGGACGGTATTGTCTGGAATGGACGTGACACTAACGTAGCGCAGAATAAGATAATACATATTATCGGCCCGTTGAATGACACATACCTGAAAGTCGTCGTACCGTATCCGCTCTGGAACGTGTTGCCAAGGCGAACGCCATAGGCATTGATAGACGAGAAGTCACGGACAGTAATGACAGCGTCATTCCCGTTCGCAGCCAACCACGTGTTGCCAGGTCCATCAGGACCAGCAGGGCAGAGGATATTCAAAATATCGCTGAACTGAGGGTCAGATGATGATGGTTCTCCCAGAATTTCCGCGCCTTCGAGAGGAACAGGAACGAGTGATGAAGAGAACGGGGTAGCCCCAGGAGAATAAGGGACATTGGGATTATTGGTATTATTCAATGCAGTGGTATTCGCAGCGAGAGAAGTGATGAATGAACCGGCAAAAAGAAGGCTATTTTCCGAGGAGTTGGATGTGATTGAAAGGACCTCTGCGGCAGCACCTGAGAAACCTTTGAATGGGGGCGCGGACCAAGAGTTGGACTTGGTGTCCCATATAGCTACAGATGAACCAGGCGACGTGAAGTGCCCGCCGACCCAAAGCTGGCTGTTGGATACATCGCAATAAAGCGAATATATTTGACCATTTGGCCCATTAGATCCAAGCGCAGCAAACACGCTAGAAGAAGGCGTGTAGGAGGCGATGTTGGTGGCGGAGGTATTGCCGATAGATGAAAAGGATCCGGCGAAGTAGAAGATGTCATTGATAGCGCAACCTGAGTCGATCGCACCGCCTGAATTTGTAGTGCCAAGGGTAGTTAGGGCGCCTTGACCGGTACGAGAGAGTAAAGAGGACGTAGAAGGGTCAAATGAGACAGCGGTAGAGTTATTGAATAAAGTGAGACCTGCGAATGCGCCGGCAAGACCGACCTGGCCCATGCGGCTGAAATCGAGCATAGGCAATGAAGCTAACGCGGGCTGGGCGAGAAGAGCTGCGAGGAAGAAAGTTGAGAGCCATCGCATCGAAGTTGATGAGTACCGCGAATGCATTTTTAGTATGAATGATTCGTCTCCACGGTATACGTTCGTTCGTTCCCCTAGGGTATTAGACCCTGATGGAACAGAGTCCTCAACAGAAAAAACTGGAGTTTTCAGCGTCAGCCCAACGACGTTCAAAAGAAAGACAAGAAGTTGAATCTTCCCATCAAAAACGCGTTCCAATAAACCAACACGTCCACGTGGACCAGGTCATGGACCAGTGCGGTGCACCACACTTTTAGACCGGACTGCCTGCCTCGCGAAATCCACACACAACTGTTAAATTAGCAGCTTATTTCCGACCTCAACCATCTCCGAAACGGAAGAATTTATAGTGAATGCGGTCCAGTTTTTACATTGCAATAGAATGGATCAACTGGGCACTGCAACTTGTGCCAAAAAAATCTACTCTAATCCTTCTCATCCGGATCTAACAGCCGTTGAACTCGTGTCGGCAACACATCCGACTGGCTGTAGGTGAGGTGAACCTGAATCTAGAATTCTATATCATCGCAATGTCAGACACGTTCCAACCACGCATATCCGATCAAGATTCACTCACTGAGGATATCTATAGCGGTGCATGTTTGGCCTCTTGGCATCAGCCTGCAAAATAGTATTGTCGGAAGCTTGTTGTGACAACAACAAGTGTTTCTCATTGATGGCTGCCCAGAAGTCACGCGGCGTCATGTACTGAGCAAGCCATCGAGTCAGATAGACGTCTTGGTTTGGCGAAGGAGCCCATTTGTAGAACCCGACTGCAAGAAGAGAAACCAGGGCTGTGTTACGCCAGAAGGGTGTAAAGAATCCAGCTAATTGGAATGCGCCGCGGATGAGTCGAATGACTTTATGGATGTGACCGGAATATCATACCTTCCCGTGAATAATGAGTGTCATCATGGTGCTCATGATGAGTATGACTGTCGTGCGATACGAATCTCCGCTGAATGACTGAAACGCTCCCAACTGCGTACTTTTGGCGTAAGAGCAGGTTTGCCCTCGCCAGCGACATTGTGGTTATAGATGAAGTTGCTCGTGACGCCTCGGCAATTCGCTTGCGGACTTGGAAGTTCGGCTGCTGCATTGCGTGTTTCGTGATACGGTGATTTACATTCTTGCTCGTGTTGATTTTTATCGTTCATCGTCAATATCACTCATCTGGCTTCGTCTAGCTAGCTCTTCTTTGGCCAGAGTACGCAAATTTTTGCCATCAAAAAATTCAACTGAAATTTGTTGTAGGACTTGTGTATACCCAACCATTGGTCTCGACCATGTTAAGACGCGTACTACCTCGCTTTCCGCTCTTCAGAGTCTCTGCACCCATACTTCCGATATCGTCGCGAATAGGTGTTCGTTCAGTGCCCGCGATATCCCTGACGGGCGTCCCTCGTCAGTCGAGCTCGAGGCTGTTTCACCATGTCCCTGCTCGCCTTACATCAACAACCCCACCACCTCAAAACGATCCAGGATCACCGTTACCTCCAAACGCTACCCTCTCTCAAAGGCTAAAACATCTCATTAAATCCTATGGATGGTATGCCCTGGGAGTGTACCTCATCTTCTCTGCACTAGACTTCACCGTCGCGTTTGTTGGAATTAACCTGGTGGGCGCCGAACAGGTCGCGTCTCTCGCCGCCTACGCTAAGGAGATCGCTATTGGGTTCTTTCATACCAAGTCACCAGAGCCTGGGCGTGATGAACTGGAGAGCCCTTCTGCAGGAAGTGCGGGTCGCGAGGGCTTATATGCCACGTTGGTATTGGCTTACACCATTCACAAGACGCTTTTTTTGCCTGTCAGAGTTGGTTTGACGGCCGTTTTTACTCCACGATTGGTGGGCTGGTTGCGCACAAGAGGTTGGGCAGGTGGTGAAGGCGCGAGGAAAGCAGCACGCGATATGAGGGATAGGATCCAAAGAAAGGATTAAAATCAGATGATGCGTATTGGGTGAGAGGCAACTTACAACATCATTTTATTTACACCACTCAGACCATAGTCACATACTATTTGCATGGCAATTGTGCATCCATTCATATTGCCATGACGCTAATTTCAAACTAGAGCGATATTTGTACTGAGTCAATTACATAACTACGGCACAACTTGCATTCAACTTGATCTTATTCACTTGAAGGCGCGTCAGGCAGATGCCTAAGGATTTCCCCAATTCAAAATTAGCATGCAGCTAACTTTGGGCTGTTGCAGCATGAGATATGTTGTGGGATGATTAGTGGCTTGACTCCCAACTCGGGCTGCGACTTTGCAAACACATCCACCACCGAGGCCAGGTGCACTTGGAGTTCGCGAAAGCACGTGCGAGTACGCTTCAAACGCTGCATCCTGCCCTTGCTCGATGCCCATCAGATCGGCTTGCACCGCAAGTTTGACGGTGCACCCCGGTGCCTGTGAGAAATACAGGGTCGTACTCCAGCCGAGCTCACTCCGAAAGGAATTCCTACAGTGAAGAAGATGCATCTGAGGATCTTTAAACCAATGAGAACGCCGAAAAGCACTTCTCGCAACCTTAAGGACCACAGGCCTATGCTTTGTGGCTCTGTCGTATCCTATGCATATCTGCCGAGGCTACGATAGGTATGTGCGATCCAAGCGCAAAAGCTTGTGACCTGCTGACGGTCACATCTCGAAGGGCCCCAAAAAATATTGGTTATGGGACCCTTGTAGAAACTACTTGTCCTAAGGTAATAGGCTGAGATATGCGCATCTTGAACCTGGCGTAATAGTATAATCGCTGTCAGGTTGCAAACAGGTGGCGGGGGCTGTGGCGAGCAAGTTTAGAGTCATAAGTTACGTGGCACGTCTCGAACTGTTATTACACGTGCCAGTGGTTTTGACTGCAGATTGTCCACATGGCCGTTCTAAGGGTGTCCGAACGGAAGAGCAGATGGACAAAGCGTAACGAAATAGCGATGTAGTTTACACGGCTAGTAGGAAAGATCTAGCCGGGCCATCAGATAATCGTGAGTCATGTACTTCGAATGGAAAATGCCGATTACTATACTCCAGAGGCTGAAAAGATTTTCTCTAACTTGAACCCAATCCACTCCTGATGCAACTCGATAGCTTAAAGCACCACAGATCCTGCAACCGTCGCTTCTCTCTTCCTGCAATCGATGGCAGTTGGTGACTACCACCTCCCATACACATCGACGCCTTTTGAGGGTCCAGAGAAATTACTGGAGATTTGGTTCGCCCCTTCTCCTGTACATGTGCCAGATGCACACGCACCAAAAAATGGCCGTATAGGCCTGAGGAATGTTCCACAACAAGTATGGGAGGACATGCTGGACATCGTCAAATGCAAGGTCCTCAGTGTTATTGAGGGCGAAGAAATTGATGCTTATCTTTTGAGGTATGTGTCATCGATCGATCGTCCCTTTGATATTTCCTGTACAACCACGTACAGGGTCATCGATTTAATATCTCTTAACTGTTGATTGAATTAAGAAGAACTCTTCGCTCATGTTTCTTCAATTTAGCGAATCATCTCTGTTTGTGTTCCCGCATCGCATTATCCTGAAGACATGCGGCACAACGTTAAACCTCCTCGGTCTTCCGCGCATCCTCGAAATCGCGCAAAACTTCGCCTCACTCCCATCTGTTTATCGATGCTTCTACTCACGTAAATCCTTCATGTTCCCTGAGCGCCAGCTCGGCCCGCACCGAGAGTGGAAGGATGAAGTGTCGTTCCTTGATGCCATATTTCCAAATGGAGCCGCTTACACTGTAGGCAAAGTCAATGGCGACCACTGGCTGCTTTACCTAACAACCCCTGGACAAACTGGCGCAAATGGGGAGACCGCACCTAGTTCTCCCGATGCTTTTCCATTGCCACCTCTTCAGTCCGAGAATGAGGAGGAGAATGAGACAAACCAGACCCTGCAACATGTTGAATCCGAAACACCAGTTACTCAGGACTATACAATCGAGATCCTCATGAGTAACCTTTCTCCCAAGGCTCGCGAGGCCTTCTTCATGGCTCCTCCAGTAGAAGATGCACCTCCGGAGAATCCGTCGGTCATTGGGAGGACTTTGTCCTCGGCCATTGGAATTTCAGATCTTTTCCCGCCTCATCTTACTACATTGGATGCTTATGCGTTCACCCCTTGCGGTTACTCTTCGAATGCCCTCCTGAAATGGGGCGACGGAGTTGAAGATGGCCACGAGGGAGAGGGCTACTACACAATCCACGTGACTCCTGAAGCAGGCTGGTCCTATGCCAGCTTCGAGTGCAACGTGCCACTGTCCACTTCTTCGTCTTCTTCAGCAAAAGATATCCCCGATCTATACACCCTGATCAGACGCGTCGTCGACATCTTCCAGCCCGGCAGACTCAGTCTGACCCTTTTCATATCCAACGTCGATAATAGCAGTGCTGAAGATGACGAGGGTGAGACTGCTGTTGAAGCCGCCCAACGGACCTTCAAATCGGCTCTGACAGCTCAACGCCATGTGTCATGTTCTTCTAGTGATTCAGTGACCAGCCACAGGGGTAAACAAAGTGACCGCATGTTGTATAGGAGAACCGACAAGATCAGTTATCGATTTGGTGGTTACAATCTTGCATTTGCGAGTTTCGAGTGTCGATGAAGATGTCATCCTGGTGGTGTTAGGTTGTACGCTGAAGTTATCTTTTCTCATCTAGATGCGCTCGTACTTTCCTGCCAATCTACTTTTTGCTACCTTCTCCGTTTCCGCTATACGATCCAGATTTCGGATTACCCCATGTTCGTTGCGTTCGCCTTGTACACATGATGCTGTTGATCACCATTACATTGTTATGGCCTCGGTTAGTGTCAGCTGCGCGAATCTTCGATTCACAAGGTCAGGGCACTTTCACGGCATGAAGTTCCTGGTCTCTAACTCCTAATGCGCGTTATCGGAAATGTCCGTACAACCGAAGCGCCATGGGATATTGCTCATGTTCATGGGAGATCTACGATAGATTTGGAGAACAAAACACCACGGTCACTGATCGCTGAGCGTCCCCCTGCACATTACCAGTATGTAAGTGTCAGAACAAAGTTTTTACTTGCTCATATGTCATTCGCCAGAACCTCAGTGCAGTTTGGGAGGCCCTTTGTGGCATGAGAAATTTCAATTTCGTCCCAGTCATCTGTGCGAGGAGCATATGCTCTTATTTTTCACTGGTGGTCCGCATCAGTTTCAGGTCTTGAAATGACCGACATGGACTTAACGCCAATAGCGCCTTGGATCTGGACCAATCTGGCTATTCATGGACGCATACTAATACCGCGCTAGCAGTCGTCGTGTGCTGCAGTCGGCGGGCCGAGGCTATATACCTCAAAAGTTTCCCAGTTCTGGATTCTTCATCGTTTACTTCCTAATACTGACGACCGAGGAGGACGTCGATATTCCCGTGACCACCTGTCTTCGGGGTTGAATTCATTTCTTGCCACATGCCCCAACCCAGCGAGCCTCATCGGAAGCCTCAATCCGCGTATAAATTAATCCAACCATTTTTGCAATGTCCCCAGTTTTCTACCAGAGTGCGTTGCATTAGCTTCATACCAGCGATGGTTTACAGCACAGTCAGTCTTCAAGCCGCCACGTCCACCGAAAACCTTCAAGCTCTTGAAGAAGTCAAGGATTTCTGTACAACAGATCTCGGACGGGGAGGCAGGGAACGATGGACGTATCACTTACTGCCAGAAGCTGCACTCAATGTCGAGCTGCATCGCCAGTCTAATGCGTCCTCTTCAAGATCCGTAGACAGCGTCACTTTTCAGCCATGTGCGGCCTACGCCGATCTCAATCAAGACCGGTACAGCATTGAGGAGTGGGAGCTCCCTGGCGGAGTTTGGGAATTCACGGCAATCTATGATGGTGCTCTACATTCCTGATGAATGTCATTCGTATCCCCTTGCATAACTAATGGCTGAATTTTTCTAGGTCATTGCGGCCATGACACTGTGAACTATGTCCACAAGCGGCTTCCATCGATGGTCAGGATGTCATTGCAAGCTCTTCTTCAGAGTGTACCTATCACATCCCTGAAGTCGGAATTGGTCTCGGAGGCACTGTGTAACGCAGTCAGGCATTTAGACGAGTCTATTCGTTCTGACCTTTTTGACTTCTTGCCTCACGACCGCCTTACAAAAATGAGCGACATTCAACTCGACCAATATGTCTCACGACGTTATTCTGAATGGAATGCTATATCTTCACGTTGCACTCAAGGCTCAACAGTAATTTTGGCTTTATCCGATCCGCTGAAGAAAAATTTATGGATTCTCAATCTGGGGGATTCCATGGCCGGTAAAGCACAGCCATTAATCATAGCATCTCCTTCCTGATAATATTGCAGTTCTTGGCAGCCGATCCTTGTCCGGGAAATGGTCCGCAATTATCGTCAATTCTGTACATAATTGTGACAATCCCTCGGAAACTCACCGTATTCGGCGAGAGCATCCATCAGAGCAAGCTTGTGTGCGTGACAACAGGGTGGTCGGATATCTAGCACCGACCCGAGGTATTTCTTTTCTATTCAAATATATCAAATGGTACGTCCTAACCCCGAGACCCTTTAGCGTTAGGGGACACATGGCTTAAGGTTCCTTCGGTTTACACTCGCCGCGCCTTTGCGCCGCACTTGCAAGATTGGTTACCTCCACGTCAGGTGGTAGAGTATGCCAGTCGTATTCTTACTCCTCCATATGTATCCGACCTCCCTGAAGTCTACCACTACTCCCTCGACATCTCTAAACAAGAAGTATTCCTCATTCTATCGTCTGATGGCCTGCAGGACATGTACGACAGTCACGATATTCAATGGTCGGACCAAGAAATGGCAGATCGCTGGGTGGGCTTGGTTGGACGTCACATGCACTCCACCAAGGATGTAGACATGCAAGGCAATTTAGCGCTCAGGCTCCTCCGGGATGCCGTTGGCGGAAATAACACAGAGCTTGTTTCCCGAAATCTTACCTTGGAAATGGAAGACAAATGGATGGACGATATCACGATTCTAGTGCAACGATTCCGGTAGATCTGTTTCATGGATAGTGTACCTTTGGCATATATGTTACTGTACGTATTTATTCTAGACCTATGATAGAGGACTTAATTCATGCATTATCCACGGTTTAAGTTTCCCAAAACGCTAACCACTATGCCATACTTGCTAGACAAGGACGGTGCAGATTCCTTAAGATATACTTCCCAGATATCGTGATATAACAATAGTGTCGATCTTGGACACCATTTTACACCCTACATGACGTCATTCATTGGCCAATGAGATCCACTTCGTATGGGGGATAAGCAGGCTCGAGTTTCACACTGTGACCCGACTTGTTTCGCAGATTGCATAGGGGACACAGACGAATGAACATCTCGACCATCGGCCAGGTTATGGTAGCCTATGGAGTATTGAATGAAGTCGGTGGTCACAATAACAGAACACATACCATTCCTATGCGCCTTGCCTCAAATAGCATTGAAGAAGATGAGCCATGAGCTCGATGAGCGTAGACAAGAATATCGTAGATCTGGTTTTGCACGGGAATGCGCTCAAAAGCTCTCGTCCACTCAAATCCACCGAAGTCGTGATCAACAGCATCGACTTTTGAAGAAGCCTTTCCGCGATTGTCTATGTGCCCGATATAGTCTTTCCTGAGCTTCTCTTCTTCTGCGACCTCGAGGTGGAAGAAAGAGTCCCGTGGTATCAAGAGAAGGTGGGATTTCTCAGATCCCAGTCGCACATGATGAATTGTCAACCACGTGCGCAGCCGGTCTGAAAGACCGTCGACGCTGCCTTTCGACAACGCATGTGACGTGGCAGCGTAAATATTTGGTGCAAATGCAGCAGTTTCATGAAGGTCCTGCGGCAGATCGTGGAGGAACTGTGCAAGGCTATCCTCAAAGGACGCTCGACTCGGCATCTCGACTGAATTGACAGTTACCAATCCGCTGCGAAACCGCATCGGGCAAAGGCGCAAACGACTGTATGTGCCCATGATTCAACAAGGGATTTCGTGACTACCATCCCTTGGTCAGAAGGAAAGGAATGCGAGATGAATGAGATTGGGTTATTGGGCTGGGTGCGTGGGGTATCTTTTTGGAGCCCTGAACTGGAGGGCCATCCTTGGCCATTGTAGTCAGGAGTGAATCGACCAAAATGCGAATAGAGTGAAGGTTCACCCTCTTGGGAGCCACCCCTAACACGGGATGCGGATGAATCTGATGCATCACGACTCCTCGATGATGACGCCACGTTTTGTCCATAAAAACTATGGCCGTCTCTAGACTCATCATTGCGCACGAAGACGGTGTGCTCCTCTGGCGACGGCACGTCAGAGACCAGAAAAGACGCCGTCTTTGCGCCGTAGGGAGCCGTCTGCCTGTCTCTCGCCATGCCATGATCGGATGGAACTTTATGCCTCTTCTTAGGAGTATAGTTGCACTCAGTTGCACTCTCTTCTTCCGCGCAATGGTTGCAAACCGGCAAGTTACGGTCACACTTTGTCAGAATGATAAATAAGATCCATGTAATTATTTCATCAAGTCTTAAACATACCTTCATATTTCTGAGACGACAACGATCACACCGCGGGATTCCTCGGTGAGCAGGTGTTGGTAAAGGTGTATATCTGCAGTCCCTCCCGTTCGCATACGAGCAGTGATTGCAAGTTGGAAGCACTCTATCACACTACCCAACCGTTAGAATTTTTGGAGAGGTGTACAAGCTGGCACACACCTTCAAGTTATTCATCCGGCAGTGATCACACCGTGGCTTCCCTCGGCGTCCTTTCCATTGCGACTGGCGAGCCATGAACATCTTGGGATTGGGAATCCGGATAGTTAGTTGTCCATCGTCGTTCATATCTCCAACAGAGTCTGTTCCATCAGGAGATTCAGACATGCTGTGTGGGTATGCTGCACTGGCTATGAGCCCCAAAAATACACAGCACGGATTCCCGGACAAAAAATCTGTACCCTTGAATGCAAAAATTGTAGAAGGCTGGTAGATTTGTCACTAGTAAAACGACTGAATGAGATGAGGAGAGAACAAGGTAAGAACGTACGTACAATAAACCCGAAAATTGCGAGGGCGTACAATATTCTTTATGAGCGCCAGAGACAGTGGTAAAACTGAGACAATATAGATGTTTTTAAATCATCCACCTCTTCGTGTGATTTGACGGAGTTGCAAGTCGTTCGTAGGCAGCTTTGTGCAAGACGATCAGGGCTTCACCAAAACCTTGCCAAAACCTGAACTTACTTACGGATGTGACATCACTGTCACGCTACTTTTTAGGTCAAAGTGGTTTGGAAACAGGCCAACCTTAAATGTTCTGGACGTATGATCAGTCCTTCAAGCTCAAGGGTCTTTCTCATCTTTCTCATGGCATAAAAGCGTATTAATCTGAAGTCGCCACGCAGTGTATCAAGGCCTTTCTCTCAACCGGTAGCCATGGCTCAGCGCTCGGGGGGAGGCAGCGCACGTGAACTTTATCATGGAGGCATAACTGAGACACAAGTACTTGGTTATTTCCTTGACGATGATCTGTGTCTTATAGACGCTTAGCTTGCTCCACGGTTAATAATGTTTGTAGCCAGTAGGTATCATCCATCGCCCTCCAACTTCCAAGCTTTCTTAAAGTGCCACGATAACACATTTCCATATATGGAATCTGTAGTTCATGAGAAGTCCAGACGTGGCGGTGAGTTCAAACGTTCATAACGTTCATTTCTCGGGATTTGCATGTGATCCCGCTCTTGTCAGGGTCTAAATAAAAAGCCGTTTCCGCTGTCAGCCTGTGAGTGAGACGTATTTTGTATCAAGGAGTACTAGTGATAGTGTGTCAAGGAACGATTGATACCTGTATACACTCAGAATAGTTGCCCCGCTCGTTGAAGACTGGGTTGTAACTCGAAGATCCCACTTCAAATACTCGATGTCACCTCCAAAGTAGCGCATGTGCGTGTACTTCTACGAGTTTTTGAGTTACTAGAGCGCATGCCCAGCGCACGACACTTTAGGGAGATGTCATCATCGCGAGCTTCTTAGCCGCATCCGAGCCGACCCGGATCTGTTGCTCAAGTACTCTCAGGGGTGTTGCAACCAATGGTTGCATCTGATTCGGATCTCATCGCCATACACGTGTGTGCCTATGTGCAATTCATCTATGCAGGTTCAAGCTCGGAGTATCGACAGCATGATGGTCAGGCAGAACTGCAGAACTATCCCCATCCGTTGCCTTGCGTACTACTTCCAGGCTATGAGCATGCCGTACTCACCTTTGAGCATAAAACCGATGAAAAGTATACCAGGCTACATCACCCTCCCTCTTGAGCCACGCATTATAGTCGACGCAATTCATCAACAAGATGCGCCCCACGAAATATTTACTCGGCTTTGTGATGCATCTAGCATTCAATTTAGTGTCATCAACCATGGACAAGCGGGGTTGCGTTGATTTCTACGACCCGGCTGCCGGAGGCGGATCGATGCTCATTGATGCTGGCGGTGGATACGGCGAACCTTTGAATGTAGCTCTCTTTCATCACCGCCCTTATGATTTGACTGACTTCGGCGGTCGTAGGTCATCATCTCTGGACTTAGCTCACCCGCAGTCCTCACATATGACGGAGCTATCAATTATGCCCGTGCTATTGGATTGTAAGCGTAGGAACATTCGAAATCCATGGGACTTGCTGATCTTCTCGTAATAGTTCTGAAGAATGTTTTGGCCTTCACTTAGGTGGTCTGATGTCCGCTAACTTAGGAGACGGCGATGGATGGGTCAACCAAACGATTGAAATTCGCCAGGATTATGGAAGTGCAGGCGCCGGAACTTGTCTCGAGAGCCTCATCGGCGGAAATCATTTTCGGTAAGCTTGTTTTCTAGTTATGGACGGTCAGTAGTGATCATACTCTTCCAGTATTTTTGTACAGAACGGCACGGCGGCCGACAGTGGTGCTCTCTTTCTAGCGTGAGCACACCTTTAATAGTCTATTTTTCCACTAGCTGACTTGATGCTGCCAGGGCTTCTAAAGAGGAGGTACATAAATTGGACAAGATTTGCAATTCTTACACAGCTGAACGCCACCCTTAGCCTTTGACGGAGAATCATGATATCGTGCCAGACGGGTACGATATTGGCCGGTGAGTAACTCTCCATGTTCGTGACGAACGAATATCCAATCCTGTTTCAGCAACAACCTGGTGACAGGAGCAGTTGGTCGGACAAGTTACGGTGGGGTCAAATATAGTACCATTGCCCAGAACATCACTGGTCTCCTCGCAGCTGGTTCTGATGGCGTTAACCATGGTGAGCTTGGCTGATTAAGATTAAGTAATTGCTCGTCTGACTATCAGCTTCACTGTCAGGCATCGCTCAAGATGGTATTGTTACGTTGCTGACCGTTACGATCATTTAGATGTCCATATTTACTTGTCCTTTTCGAATTTCCCTTTGTAGCTATTCGTGTAATCATGATTCATTGCTCGTCTCATTATCGAGCATTGACAAGTTAAGATGCTAGAGTTATGGTACAAGTGCTGTATGAGGTGTGACACAAATCAATGAAGTAAAGCCAAACGCAAAGAAAACAATCTTGGAAAGAACCGAAGACTGTTGATCCACTGTCACTCACAAATCCAGATCCACTTCCCCCTCAGCATCTTCCTCATCCCACATAGACTCGTCATCGTCTTGCGATGGCTGTGAGCACTGCAATGTCTCAGGTACCTCAGAACTTCGCGACAAGCCGTTATACCCGCATTCGGACCACGTGCGTTCTTCTTCGGCTTCTTCACGGGTACGGCGTCGAACGCGATTTAGAACGGAATCAAGTTGAACGTAGTTTGCATTGTCCAAGGCAAACTTGCGATGCCTCCGCTCCTGCGTATGCTGAGGGACGGATTGTCAGAATACTATATAGAGTATTAAACATGACCCATACCGTGTCGAAATCATCGAACTTGACGCGACAACTTTCACAATAACCGGGTTTGCTCCCTTCGTCGCGCTTTGGTAATCGAAGGGTATTTGTACTCCTACTTTTCCTGAGCGGCCCATTCGGGCGATCTGGAATCGTAAGGGGTGGACCCATGCCTCCTGCTTTTCGGCCGAGAGTGTGGGTTGTATTCGGGGCTTTTCGGGATGTCACGACTTGTTGCTGAATCCTGCACCGAAGAGAGGCAGGTAGTTCCAGCGTCCTAAAAGCACCGCTCGCGTTGGATGTTGTACCTCTCGTGGATGTAATGCCGACGCTGTTCCCGGATGCTGCTACATATGATCCAACACCTGTCGAAGCAAGGTAGCCTGAGGCGGTCGCTGACTCTCTTGTATCCCCATCTGCGTAGTCACCATCAAGGTCAACATACTCTTCCATAGTTGCATCAACAGCCTGACGGTGCAAATTATTCATCGACACTGAACGGCGGAGGTCTCCGGTTTTGCGCGAGAGCATCTGGACTTCCGCTTGCCTTTTCCGCTTCAGTGCCCTAGCCACCTTCTCCGCGCGTTCGTTCTCATTCTCCCTCTCCGCCTTCTGTGCCTTCTCCCAACGCCTCCTTTCCCTTTCATCAAATTTCACAAAAGGCCCTCTGGACCTTGGATCACAGTATAGAACAGGATACGCGGGTTGCTCCTTCCCGTCGCAGCCCCTTTGTATAGGATATTCTAGAGCGTGAATTGTTGCCAACTCCTGTCGCACGTCCTCTATAAGCACGAAATAACTCTGCTTTGAAAAATAACGATAATCATGTCGCTTTTGCGTCGGGTCACGTTCGGTAGTGGTACCATGGAGGCGTTCGGTTTGAAGTAGACTAGATAGCGACCGCTTGTTTGAAGCAGGGGCAAGGGATGTGGTTTGTGCAGGAGGTTTCGTAGAGCAAAAAGCAAAAGCTGGGACATCGCATCGTTCCAGAATGCTGTCAAGTTTCGCTGGGCTCCATATTTTCATGTTAAAGGCCTTCGCCTTCTCCACAAGATTGAAGCTCTGCGAGGTGGCATCCTCGGTAGTACTGTAGATCAATTATGTTAGCGAGGTCTACATAACAGAGCGGCGTAACGCACCGTCCACGGAGCTTAATTGGGCTTTTCAACGAGCCAGCCCGCGCGGCGAAGCCTTGCAGTCTATTCTCCTTGTTTGCAGTAGGGTCGATCGGAGTGACGGGTTGATTGGTGATAAGATGTGTGATCTCGTTGGAGAAAAAGTCATCTACTTGCTAGAAGCACGTTGATGGTATGTCAGATGCTTGTGCAATCAGCACGGAGAATCGACCATACTGATTTGAGGTGCATCACCCGCGCCGCTAATGAATCTCGCAGGGCAGCACTCTCAGGGTCCAATAGATCTAGGTCGAAGTAGAAGACCCATCCTGGAAATGCGCGAGTGTACTTGAGACGAAACTCGGCTTTCTGAGCCTCTCGTTCCACGCGCCTTCGCTCCTTATCCTTGCGGTCCTCGCCGTGGGTGGCTTCTGCTGGAGCAGCTCTCACCCGCTTGACGGTTTCAGGCGTTTCTCCTGCATGATCCGGTGATCGAGGACGTTTAGCCAACAATGAAGCTGAACGGAAGTCCTTGTTTGATGGGGGACATGCTAGGAGGAACTTGAAGTGGCAGAGTGCGTGTACTTAGTGGACGACGGTTGGTCGTAGGCATGACTGAGCCAATCAAGACCCAGACAAATAGTTCCGGTAGACGAAGGCGATATGTTGAACAAGAGGCTATTGGAAAGAATGGTGGGAAAAGATAAACTAGGTGGTGAACCCAACTTGATGGCAAATTGACATGGACGCGACGCCCAATTACTTCCGAAGAACAAATAAACAACGCGTCCGATGAAACAACCAATGCAATATTATATTAATTCGGTACAGCACTCATTTAACTTGCCATTTAATGTTTCAGTTGAGGGTTCAATTGAGTGGGTTGCAACTTCAGCTGGAACTAACATGCATTAAGTACTAACGGTGATATGAAGTACTGCTTCTACCCTCAAATGTTCTGCTGTTATTAAGTACACTAGGTTGGGGCCAGACGCGGCAACAGCTGCGCCAACGATAACATGTGCACGAACAACTAGTATCTCTTGATAGACCTTCGTTGATTCGGTTGAACAGTTGAACTTCATGAAGTCGTTTCGTAACATCTGACACGTGCACGAGAGTTGCACGTGACAATCACATGAGCGCGTCAACGACAATTGCTGAGATTGGTGCCACTTGTACAAAAACTAGAGATGAAGCTCGAAGATGAATACACTACCTACCTATTAACGTGATACATGGACCATGAAGTCAAGTAGAACATAACGATAATAATAACAATAATAAAAAACAACCAACAAGAAACCAGGCCAAGGAATACACATCCTGTGGCCGAAACTCGAATGAGCATTTTCCAAGATCGAGACACGTCAGGAGTACATACAGGCAAATGCATCCGTCACTTCAGTCAACGGGCTTTCCGTTAATTCCTTGGCGCGGCTGTCTGCGCTTTGTGAAAACAGAGGGTCATCCAACGCCATGTAAGTGTTGTAGGCAAAACCCAGAGAAGGTTGATCACAAGCAGCATGCTGTTTTGCCACAGGTTTGATCCGTAGAGTACTTGTAGACTTGTTGCCCTTCACTTTCACGGATATGGGCATCACCGGGAACGGGACCGCCTTATCTTTTTTGGCCATCGGCTTGCCTTGACATCCAGTCGGGGAGATGTTCTCCTTGTTTGAGACAGATTCAGGACGAGTGGAAGGCATTACTACTTGTAGAGCAAGGTAATATAGAAGAGATCGTGTATCCACCAAGAAGCTCAGAGTAAAATAAGTTACTTGCAGAAGGGGTTTCGAGAGTTTATAAACTCGAAGCCTCGCCGCATCTGTCATGGCAACTGTGGACTGTTCCTCAATTGGTGGAAAGTGTGAACAATGGTTCATTAACCGAACAAACCCTGCCGTGAGATGTCGAAGGATTGGCCTGGTAAGACATTTGTGTGCCGTATCAATGGAATCAGTAGACACAAAGATGGGCAAAATGGTTGCTCACTCAGAGATTGTAGACACAATAACAGACGGGGTGCCACCATGTTTGGTTGTATTAGGAATGGAAGGCTTTGCCAATCAACACCAAACAACAGCAATGGCACTATGTACTTGCCAAGCACTACTCACTAACGATATCCATCGCGTATTTTGGAATGTCACTTTTTAGCGGTGCCTGGAATCAGCACGAACATGGTGTGGACACCGGACCTAGACGTTTTGCCGCCTATAACTCCTCAGTTCTTCGTCCCTCGAATGGTTAACAAACCTCAAGACCCCATAGTTTAGTGCAATCGAGAAGGTGAAGGCCACAACTCTAGTGAACCGCGATGCGCGTAATCTTCCCGACTCGAATGATACAGAATGCTCTCAAGATATTCCTGCACTTCCCTCGCTGTCACCAGAGGTACTATGGACAAAATCATTGACCAGTGGGGATCAGCATTCAGTGAGAACTCTCGTGAGTCGTGGCATGAAAACTCAACAATCAAATGTAGGATCGAGTTGTCTCTTGGGACATTCTGCGCCGATTACACCCCGATCGTTCCTGCAGCACGCCCTTCTTGACTGAGCAGTCTTCTGAAGTATCAGCTTCAGCACAATACCAGTCAGATTCACTTTTTTGTGTTGTTAATGCCATGACAAACGAAATATTTAGCGTGCAACCTTTGCCGTTCGATCTGCGAGCAAGTGTAATCTCTGTAAATGAACTTGAGCTTCTTGAGTCGTTGAGAATGACAGTTCTCGGGACCTCGTCTTTTCTGCATACGTGGGATCCTGATTCAGAGAAGTTCTTATCATTCGGAGGCGCAGCAAACCTGCCAAGCAGGTTCATTATTAGTGGTAAGGATGAGACGATGACTAGTAGGTGAGCAAACAACTTTACGCTCGACATGTTTGTGTAGTGATGCTATGCCAGTCTCCTACGGCGTTTTTTGGACATTGGTACTTTGATGCGACGCTTGGAGGTATTCCTGAATGATTTGCGAACACGGTAGGTTTCATCATCCCACTCGTGAACCGCATCGTCTAAAGGCAGCGCAGACGCAAACTAGAAAGTGAAACAGTCCACGCTTTCTCGCATGCGCTCTCCGTGGTGCTAGTCTATCTACGTGACCAGCTTTCTCGTGGGCCTCTCTCTAACTTTAGTATCCCCGTCTCTTCAAAGACCTTATCTGCGACATGGTTGTATTACGGGGATTTTGAAGAAATTGTCGTCTCTTTAGCGTCACTTTGCCAGAGGGTATGTCCACTGACGCGCTTTCGTCTACCTCTCACATCCTCTGTCAGGGCCTTGGGCTGTCCCCCTCGCAATATCCACGATTTACAATGAAACCAGTGGCTCTACTTTCTCGTATATACAAGTATCTCGATACCCATTTTCGCAAATCGTCTCCCCGGGCTTTGATTGCTGTGTTCGCTTATCTCCTGACGATGTCCTCGAAAAACTACCTACAGTCATTGTGTCGCTCGGTTGCATACACTGATAGCAATGGACAGCGGACCGCAACCACCCAATATCCTCAGCGGACCGCAGTCGGTCTGTTGGATACCGAAGACATTGATCATGTTTCGCCTGAAGAGGATGGCGTTCTCCTTGCTGAGGACGATGAATTGCCATCTTTTATACCACGCGAATTGGCCGAAGCGTTGCCATCCGCTCAAAAATCCCTCAAATTGCTTGCTGCCGCACAACCCGATCATCCTGTACTCAACCCGCCGGTGCGGCGACCGTACATCACTTGGGTCTGGTCAAACAGGGACATCCGAGACATATGGAAAACGGGATCTCTCGGAGAGGTTGGTAATGTAGCGGCCGTCATAGCCCCCCACAGTCCCCCCGATCTAGCTTCGGCTGATATCAATCTTCATGGGTGCGGCTACCAGTCCGACCTCGTTGGTTTCCATATTTTCGATCTGGAGCCTGGCTCAAGCGGTGACAATACATTCCATGAGCACTCAATGCACGCTGCATTGGGAAGCTTCATCCAGTCATTCCCACCCGTTCTCCCTTCAATCGCGCCGAACCTGAGTCTCCTAACTAGCCTGGTTTTTTCTCCAGCTCATCTCACACGCTGCCTCCCTTTCTAATGCACTATTATCGATATTCCTCGACCAGAACTCGTTCCTCTACGTACACGATCATCTGGTTCTGCTTCGCTCACATATGCTCCTGACCTCCCCATCGTTCAAATCACGACTCACAGCTGCCTTGTTCTCTGACACCGATGATCGCGAGGTTGTCGCTGGAGGAGGAAAATCATTCGCATTGTCCCGCCAGAGGAGTAGATCAGGTGTTGGAGGGGCTCAACATCGCGCCAGTCGTTGGGCCGTTGGCTTAGCCCCGTTCTTGACAGAGCGAGGGACGTGGCCTCCTGGGGGTGCCGACCTTAGCTTTTTCTTGAGAACAGTCATCGTGGACTCTCAAAATACATGCTTACTTGACGATGAAAGTCAGGAGCATGAACTCGGGTCGAGGCGCATAGCAGAAGAAGCTGAAGTCCGTCTTGGGTTCGCCATCAAAGACCTCGCCAGCGATACGGGACGTGAACGATGGCTTAACCCACTTTGTAAGCCTAGTTTACCTGATGTGCTATACGCGCACACTAATCCATTACGCACACTTAGATATCGAGTAAGTTGCTTGGGTTTTGCCGTAGATGGAAACTTCATACATCTTCACCAGAGCGTTAGACTTCCTCTATCTCGACTACAAAGTGCCTCACCCTTTGGACGTGGTTATCACACCGGACACTGCATCAAAGTATCAGAGGATCTTCTCTTTTCTTCTACGCGTGATGAGAGGTGAGTATCGAACGTCTCCTAGCTCTACATGCGCTCAATGAAATTATGTAGTGGAGTCTGCTATTCGCGCGGCTTTCAGGATGGCGAATCAGGATGTGCTATTTCCGACCTTAAATCAATCCAGGAAACTCCTCACCCACTTCCGTTTCGTGGCGCATTCGTTCGTGGTCACCCTCTCCGCGTACATATTCGATGTGGCAATTGGGGGCAACTTTGACGCGTTCCTGGCTCGAGTCGCTGCGTGTCGTTTGGGTACAAGCTCTGAATTTACGGATGTCTTTTCCCTTGCTAAGGCTCATTCGGCTGTCCTGGACGACATTCTCAGTGCTTGTTTGATACGCTCGGCTCAACGGGCAGCTGGTGACCTACTTCGTGGGAGCTTAGAACTTGTCCTGGAGCTCTGCGTCATGATTGGTGACCTCAAAGACGGGCGGCTGCAAGAGTATCAGGCGTCATCAGCTCTTGATGTCCTCTTTGCTGCATTTCGCAAGAAAATATCGACCTTGGTATGTAGTCGATCACTTTGCATTGATGAAGCTAGTAGGCTCATGCTTTCGGTCGCAGATCAAAATCCTGGAGGTCTTGCTAGAGAAGGATGTGAAATCATCGCAACGCCAGGAACTTTTGCTCGCGTTACAGGAACAAAGCGATGTTCGCCACGCCCCTGGCGGTCTGGAGGCATTGCGCCACCTCATATTACGCCTCGATATCAACGAGTGGTGGAAGAACTCGTGAAATAAATGCAATTCTATGCAGCATGTGAATTACTTGATGGTACATGAGATGATGTGTAGTATGTGTTCCCGTATAAGACATAAGCATAAAAAAGGACAGACACTGGTATAACAAAGCAAAATGTGTCTGAAGGGCTACATGGTAGCACTGCGGTAACGAAGAGAAATGGCTCGGATGTGTTCAGTCCCATCTAATTTTCAAAGGCTTCATCGAAAGGTTTGTTACCGCTCATACCTGGCGCCGACTTCGTTCTCGACTCTCGTGCGATGCGTCCACATTCCCTAGCCCATATAGCCCTGACTTCCTCTTCACGCACATCGCCCTCAAGAGAACCATCAGCAACACCAAGGCCACGCAGGACTTCATCCGTGCGAATGGTCTCCACAAGCTTGATGTCTTGCCCAGCTGCGGCTCCCTTCGCTACTCCACCGAACGATGCAGCTCGGCCGAACGCACGACGACTGGTCTTCGACGGAGAGGGAGTTGCAATGCAGGCAGAACTCGACGACACAAGTCCTACCGTCTCTAGTATTCCTACCAGGTCGGAAAACTCACTTCGGGAAACTGGACTGAAGATGTCGTTATCCGCACGGGTAAGAACAGTTGAGTAGTATGCATGGAGTTGGGCGACGTCAAGTCCAGCAGTCCTTTGAGAAATGGCAGAGTTTGTGCGCTTCATAGGGGTCTTGGTAGGCGTCGAAGTGGTGGAGACAGAGAGGGCTAAAGTTGCCCCCATCCGCTTCGATGCAAGAAGCATGCACAAGAGAGCCAGTCTGACTTGCAGGCCAAGGTTACGGACCTTGGACACGGTTTCATTGCTGGTGGTGGATGGTGCCAAGGAAGAGGAGGAGCGACCACCGCCAGTAGAAGGCAGGTAAGCCTTGAGGGCAGCGAGAACGTGATCTGGTTTAACGCTGAGAGGGGGAGAGGCGAGAGGATTTGCATCTGCATCTGAGACCTTCGAACCTGTGACAGCCAGGTCTATTGCTCCCCGAAGGACCTCAAACAAGGCTCGAACGTCGCCAGTTTGTGAGGCGATTTTTTTCGTCAGGAGAGTCAATGTTGAAGTAGGAAGGAACTTTTTGACTTGTTCTGTTGCTTCCGGGCATTGTGGATTATCATAGAGAGGTGACAGACGTGCTTGCAGCACCTGAAGAAGTTGCTGGGAGGAGTACGCGCCAAAGTGAAGGGTCAAGGTGCTAGAAGCTTCACGAATAGACAACTGGGCCAAGGAAGATGTGAGGGTATGGGTGTTTGCAATTCCGATAACGCGGAGGGTGGATGGGTGGTGTTGAGACAGGGAGAAAATTGACGAAAGTGTCTGATTTGAAGATGCAATATGATCGAGCTCATCAAGCACGAGAACGCTGGTGCCAAGGTCAGAAGACGAGATAAACAGTAGTAACAGCACATACCATTTATGATCTAAACTAGGGAGTGCCTTCTCGACCGCTTGCTTGCCCTTGGCTTTGCCAGGTTTTGCGGTATTCTTGGAAGACTTTGTGTGGGATAACTCTTCGCAAAGACGATCCCAGAGGGCATCAACGCCACCCAAGGCCATGCAATTAATAGTAATCACTTTCAGGTCGGACGTCCCTTCAGACTTCTCCAACGAACGCAGGACGGAGTTGACGAGGGCGGTCTTGCCAGTTCCAGGTGTACCAGAAATGTATAAGGACGTATGTGCATCATTGGACCACGAAGAGGTGATGAACTCCAGGATACGCTGTCGTTCGTCCTCCCGGCCAGCTATAGGGGATGAAGTGGTGCTGGTCGAACGAAGAAGTCCTCGAACACGAGTGTATACAGGAAGTAGTAAAACTGGGGGAGTTGGTGGGGGAGTGGATATTACTAATTGGCGAACGGAACGCGGTGTATCCACCGTTACGTCGTTCCACGCGTCAATGCGAAATGGTGGTACGTTTTCCTTGTTTGAATCTCCTTCCACGGTAGAGAGAGATATGCGGGCACGTTTCGATTTAGGGCTCTGTTCTGGGGTTAACATTTGGTGCGACACGGTTGCAATGTCACTCGTTGATGCAGATGGGGCAGCCTTTTGGTCAACGTGATGAGCACGCTTTCCAAGGACTGAACCTTGAGACGACCGTGTTTGCATAGTGGATGTTAAAAAGTAACACGACCTTTTTATAAAAGAGGTTAAGGAAGGCGACGAGACCTTGCCTGAGTACCTTTGTTGGACCTTGACTACGACGTTGAATAGTGAGATGGACAAGTTCAAGTTGACACTTGGTGTGGACGATTCGCGTTTAAGCGGGTCCCAAATTTCAAGCTCCGCTGATCACTCATTTCAACGCGACGCGCTTGAGACGCGTAAGTCACGTGACTAATTTACGCGTATTCTAATTTTAGACTTACTACATGATTCTTCACCGCGGCAGCCGCAGCTATACTTCGATTCTTCTGATTCGACCACTGTCCACTCTGCTGGCGATATACCTCGAATATGTGGTCATGCCGGACAGGGTGGCATTTGAGTGGAGATAGGTTTGCAGAAGTTCTTCTGCTAATTTACTTACAGCATGTCGGATGAATCTGACCGCAGTACTTGGCACCCATGGGTACGCTTTTTTCCTTTAAACACCACGTTCGGTGCTCCCCGCCTTTTGCACCTGGCAAAGTATCCCAGAAAATCAGGTCGTAAGAATGTCCCACTCACTTCCGGCTGTGGCCTTTGTTCTCGCTTCGCAGTCCCTCGTGGTTGCAGCCAACAATGTGTACCTGCGGGAATCAGTGTGAGTCGTGTGATGATATCAATGCATTATCGTCTCAAATTTGCATTAGATTTATCCTCGCCCGCGATGACGGGAATGGCGGTAGTTCATCTAGCACCACCTCTAGCACCACCACCTCCAGCACCACCAGCACCACCTCCACCACCTCCAGCTCCAGCTCCAGTTCTAGCTCCACCACATCCAGCTCCAGCTCTTCCACATCCAGCTCCAGCTCTACAACATCTAGCTCCAGCTCTACAACAACTACCAGCTCTAGCTCTACAAGTACGACTCAGTCCAGCTCCAGCTCTACAACTACCACTACAGGCACGCTCACTAGCTTTGACTCAAGTTATACAAGCAGCACGAGCTTCAGTTCCTCACGTTCAGCCCAGAACAACGATGGCTCGACTTCAACTGCCAGTCAAGGACTTAGCACTGCAGCGCGCACCGGTCTAGCATTTGGAATAAGTGAGCTGACATTGTTCGAACCTTTTCCTCCAAAATGTTGACCCAATTCCAGTGTTTTCCTTAATATTTTGTGCGATGCTGGTTTGTTACTTGAGGAGACGATCTCGTAGGGCTCGGGAGAACGTCAATCACGGACCTGCCGTTCTGTCGTCAGAAGTCAGTCAATACCGTCCCCCTGATTCCGTTACATCTCGAGAAAGAGAACTTCCTCCACCACCTCGGCCGGATACTGCGTATCCGAATTCACCTGACGCCTCGCACTCTCCGCCCCTTTCGGCCGTCTCAAGCGCCTTTCCCTTGTTGAGCGACGATCCGCGTCTCGATTCACGCCCTGTATCTGCTTGGAACCGCTACAGCGCATTGTCACAGGCAACATATACTCAGCCAATGACTACGCAAGATGCGCCTACTCTCCCAAATCCCTACGATCCATTCTCAGCATCCACCCGCTCTGCGTCCTATATATCCACGGCCTCTTCCCCAACACATACAATGCTCTATGGCGCTACTCTCACGAGTCCGTATGAGGCATTCTCAGCACCCACCCGCTCTGCGTCGCATGCATCCACAGTCTCTTCTCCAACACAATCGATACCCTACGGTGCTTCGGTTCCCGCGAGTGCTGCAACGAGCACTTCCGCTGCCCCGGTGATCGGTAGCTCCCAGCCTCAGCGCCGACTTTCTGCGCTTCACGAAGGATTTGACTCTGCACCAGAAGCAACTCGAACTTGACCACGAGAAGCGGAGTCTTGATGTTCAAGAACCGCAGGACCCTCCACCACAATATTCTTCTTGAGTGTACATCACGGACTATATTGTATTCCAGCTCTTCCGTATTTTGGACTATTTCTTCAAATGCTCTGATAAATACTCGATCGAGGCCTCAACCTCGTTCCTAGGTACTCGTTGTTACTTAAGGCACATTCTCCTGTTGTTTTACCTTGCTGATCTGTCGTATTCTGTTTAAGCTTGGTATCCCTTGGTCTATCCTTCTTTTCCCAAGCAATCGCAATCTTACTTGGGCGAGTTCTCTCAGCTCAAAATCGAATCCCCACATAGTCGATTTCCCAAGCATGTAAGAACTTGAACGCCGCGTACGGCGTTCCTTAACTCGGTCACCCCCCAGCTACGGCTGCTGCTGACGAGGTTTTTGATCACCCCCCGGCCCATTGATAACGTCTAGAAGTGCGCGTCTCACCGCTGTCCGGCTCCTTTGAGCGCGTGTTGCCCACCCTCGTCAAAGGCTGATTGCACGCCACGGTATCATCCAGCGATCGCCGAGGGAGACGATGTACCACGTGATCATGTTTGTGCGGCAGCTGTGTCCGATGCACAATCGATGCAGCATATGCTGTGACGCTATTTCCCCAGGCCCTTTTAATTGGGGACTGCAGGCCGGCCGCGTGACTGTCCTGGGCACCAAGTTTATTCCAGATTCTATTGTCTGGGACACCGCACCAGGGCGACTGCAGGCAGAGCTTCGCAGGCCAGCAGGATCGCTCTGGGGTGAGGTACTACTACCTCCCACGTGCTTCCACTGGACAGAAAGTCTGCACTTCAGACATTTGGCCACTCTAGGGTTAATCTATCGTATGCACTTCTGGGCCAGTGTCTAATGTGGTCTGGCGTGGTAACCTGTAACGCACAGCTCAGCTATTCTTGAAGTCTTCTCATCCGTACTTCACAGCTCTCGAGAAATGAGTACTGCTCGCTTGCAATCATGAACCTGGCGACCACCCAATGCATCGGATGCCCAGAACAGAGCATCATGTATCATGGACGGGGGAAAATAAGTGGTGGGAGTCTTCCGCTGACTAAATGACTAACGCCTCGCATTAATGTTGACCTTCGTCCTCGGCGCCCGTGCTAACTTGGGAACTCGTGGAAGATCTTCATATGCACGCCTTTTCAATAGATCGTTTCCTTTCACCGCGTTTGATGCTCCCCGCCATTTGCACTTAGCATAGCGTCACAGATCCTGAGGCCGCAAGTATGCCTCACTCGCTTCCGGCCTTGACCTTTGTTCTCGCTTTGCATTCTTTCGAGGTGGCAGCCAGCACGCCAGAGTGAGTTCGTGTGATAATATCAATGGATCATCTTCTCAAATTCACGTTAGAGTTATGCTCGCACGCGGTGACAACGGGAATGGAAACGGGTCATCCAGCGCCACGACATCGACATCGACATCGACTACGACCGACATTTCTACTACTCACTCCAGTTCCACTTCTACTACTCACTCCAGTTCCACCTCTACTCACTCCAGTTCCACCTCCACTACTCAATCCAGTTCCGCCTCCACTACTCAATCCAGTTCCCCCTCTATTACCCAGTCCAGTTCAATTTCTATAACTGCCAATACAGTGACGCTCACCAGCTCAAGCTCAGGTTATGCAAGGACCACTGGCACCAGTTCCTCGAGCTCAACCCAGAATAACCAATATGGTTCGACTCTGACTTCAACTTCTAGTCAGGGCCTAAGCACTGCAGCGCGAACTGGTCTGGCATTTGGGATAAGTGAGCTGATGTTGTCCGAGCATTTCCCTCCGAAATATTGACTGAGTTCTAGTGTTTTTCTTGATATTATCCGCGATGCTGTTTTGCTACCTGAAGAGACGATCTCGTAGGGCTCGGGCGAAGGCAAGTGAGGGGCCTGCCCATCTGTCGGCGGAAGTTAGTCAATATCGTCCCCCCAATCCTGTTACGTCTCCAGAGAGAGAACTTCCACCTCCGCTGCGGGTTAATCCTAATCGCCGGAATCCATCCAATATCTCGCGCTCAACCCGCCATTCAGCCAGGTCAAGCATCGCTCCCTTGTTAAGCGACGATTTCAGCCGAAATTCTCACCCTGCGTCTACTTTGGACCACTACAGTACATTGTCGCATGCAACAGACACTCGGCCAGTAACTACGCAAGATGTGCCTCCTCTCCCAAATCCCCACGACACGTTCTCAGCACCCACCGGCTCTGCTTCGTATGCATCCAACATGATGACGACGGCCGCTTCCCCACCACATTCAAATGCTTATAATGCTTCAGTTCTCACGAGTACTGCAATGACGGGCACCATTGCTGCGCCGGTAGCTAGCTCCAGCAGTTCCCAGCCTGGACGCCGGCGCTCTGCGCTTCACACGGATTTGGCTCGCCATCAGAAGCAGCTCGAGCTCGAGCACAGGAAACGTCTTGAAACTCAGGAAGAACTGCAGGAACCTCCGCCAGAATATTCTTCTTGAGTACATATGCATCACGGACTATACTGCGATCACTCAGCGCTTTGGACTATTTGTATCGCTTAAAATTCCCTGACTCCTAAAATCCCCAACTTTACCTGTTTCTCTCTCTCTATAACAAGTTTCGAACCGATCCCCTGGTGGTAATGATCATCGGTCACCTACATCGTATAGGTACGTTGTTTCGGTACATTTTCCACAATTATTATTTATGTTTATTCGCATAACCGTCAAGCAGACATCTCGATAAAGTGACAGATTTTATGTGCCAAGTAGTGTATAAGAGAATTAGACCTTTGACTTGAGGAGCTCGACAGGATCTCTATTTCGGCCTTTCTTCGTGTGTGAAGCATCCGCGTGAGCTCTTTCCTGTGGGGACATTTAGTGATTAAGTTGCTGTATGAGAAGTACACCTGCCTCCATTTGGTAGGTAACACATCAGTGGAACGGCTGAGTACGGCGAGCGCCTGCAGAGAACAAATTAAAAAAACTTAAGACTCATGGCGGGCAATAAAGCCCATCTTGCCTTCTTCTGATCGTGTGGCGTGATCGGGATCAGTGCGTCCAAATCGACTTCAAGGCTATGAGTGAGCCGCTTCAGTACGGACGAGGGTAGAAAGTTATGAGTGTCTACTCTGCAATTTCAGATGCCCAGATGCCAAGCCATTCGATTCGTTTTGCTGCGAGTTTTTTGTTCTCGTGTCGTAGATTGCGGCTGCCGTACTTGTATACGGATAGAATGTCGAGTCCATACGCATCGCCATCGACAAGCGCAATGATTGGGATGCTATTGAGTATGATGATGAGTGCTTGGAAACGCTGCGGATTCCACTAACTGCTCCGGGAGGTTGTCTGACAAGGTCTTCACAAGTTGTCGAGTAGCCACGTCAGGATATCCCTTGCCCTAGAGGAAGCATGTGAGCAGCAATGCAGTTAGTGTCGCACCACTTAATCACAGTAATTATGAGCCCGGGACCAGGGAGTGACCGATGACTTGCAAACTGAAAACGGCACAGCGTTTGGAAGACGGCCTAACATGAGGGCCAGATCAATACATCCTGCAAGGGACGCCCTCGAGGCAATACCTCTTTCTCGACCACGAGAATCCATGAAATATCACCTTTCAGCTCGAATCGCTCTATGGTTTCAGCGGTAGGTATTAAAGTTCCCTGACAATAGCATTAAAAATGGGCCTGTATCTGGAAAATGTATTTACCTCTAAGTCGTTGATAGTAATTGTTTCGCCTTCGAGAAGGTGCATTGTCAGCCCAGTGCCGCATATAAGCCCCTTTGATGCAGCACGCTGCAACCACGTTCAAGTACGTCTAATGACAAGGTGAAAGCGAAGTTACAATTTTAAGGTCGGCCCGTTCTAGGCCCAATGTCACGGCAAGATCATCGACCAGCTGGCTCGTATGAGTAGGTGACGGTGACATTCTGTACTCAAAGAACGCACTCGATCAACAGTCCCCTGAGCTTTGAAGAGGGGAACGTCCTTGTAGTACATGTCTCTAGGAACATTGTCAGCTTCTTCTCGGGCCCTTCACGAAAGATAGATACCGCTTTGTTAGTGGCACGTTATCGACCAGGGCTTGGTGAGCGAAATCCATGACGCGTAAAATCTGTGCTTTGTTCGAACGGTCGTTGAATAGAAACGAAGACATCAAGAAATGACCACAAGACACACCGAATGGCTTCAGGCTCGCTCCTTTGCGTTTGAGAGGGTATCGGATAACTCTGGTGCTGAAAGAACTAGCATATAAGGGGGTCGCAGTAGTATAAGTATTCTGACCGACGGTCAAGACATTACCATTCGGAGGATGTTTTCTGACGGTCGGCTAACTGAAGCTCAATTTTCGAATATTTTGGTCTTGAATCGATAGCTGCTCGAGAAGTACTGCTAGATGCTTTATCACTTCGTGCATTTCGTGGCGAACCAGCAAGCTGTTCAAGGAACGTCAATGCTAGCCGTTCAATTTTCTGTATTGCCTCAAAGCTTATCGGGCCTGTCAGTAAATGGTCAAAACATCCCATTTAACATACCGCAAAGAGTCCTCTTCGTCATCTTTGACCAATTCTTCCGAGTCTGACTCTGTGTCTTGCACATCCGGCCATCCATCATCTGGTCCATCGGATTCACAATCGCTATCACCCTCAGATACATGTCGTGCACCAGGGTAAACGTCTTCGTGAGCCTCATCTATGGTTGAATGATGTAGATCCATGTCCAGATCGAGGATCAAAGCCATTTGATAGTACTGACGTGAGAGGGCAAGTCGTGGGTAATTTGTTATTGACGCGTCGATCACGTGCTCACTAAATCAAGTCGATTCATTCAACTTCAACGTTGCAACCCACAGTAAGTACAAAACAAGAAACGGAATACAAGAATTGACGATAATCAACCCCAGGGTGAAACATCTATATCGAACCACTTGGGCAACTTTTTCCAGAACTCTTCCTTTGCTGCATCGACTTCCGCCCCGAAGTCACCCCGGCAGGTTTCGCACGTTTTCATGGGAGAAACTTCGCTGCCCAACGGGTCGTCACGGAGCTGCATTTGTTCTGCTTCAGACATCGCGTACAGTGGATCGGAGGTGCGGTTGCTGATGATGCCGTTGATGTCTTGCAGAAGTTCGAATGTGATGGCCTCGAACGCGATCTGACAGGTCTTGTTGACGGGGTGGCTATCCTTGCGATATTGACACAATCGAGAGACATGCCTTCCTTCGAGATGGTTGACGATGAACGTTGAGAAGAAACGAGAAGCCTGTTCGCGACCTTTCAGAACGCTTAGAAGGTCGGCGTATTCTAATGTGACTTGTTTTCCGGTGAGTGGTGACACGATACCGACCGCGGCCTGACTTGGAGTGGAACGAGATAGGTCGTACATCGCGGATGGGACAAGTGGCGGGTAATCGATTTCACGAGCAAGTTTGATGATTTCTCTGATTCAACGAGTGGTCAAAATTCAGCAAGGCAATTAGTCAACTCGGCTAACATAGGGTGAGGCAGAGATTCGCGTGGTGTATATGTACCATCTTTTTCGGTCACAGAAGCCTCACGCGCGTCCCATTGGGTAAGGGTAGTAGGCCAGGAGGCGGAGAGCGCACGTAAGATATCCTTCCGGAGATGGTGCACCTTGTACTTGGTCAACATGCGGAGAAGGCCTGAGACCGTTGGAAAACCCTGTGAATCATATGTTACAAAAGATCTGCTGTACGTTAGCTAGAGTGGAGAGAAGAAAACACATGTTCTAACATTCCATCATATAACGCTTTCAAGAAGTGTTCTATGTCTATAGATTGGTCTGGTAAGATGAGAACTGGGCAGCCTTCGAATGCTGGAGCGTTGTCCATGGAGCGCATGAGCTGATCTAGAACCTCGGAATGCCGCGAGACAAGACCTCGATGAACCAAGAAATAGGACGTGCCGGCGAGTATAACGATATTTCCGTCGTTGAAGTAAAGATCCGTATGTTTGACGGCCGTGTGCACGTTGGCAGAGTGCCTGTTGGTGCTAAAGTCTGCCGAATTCATGGAGATGAAGAAGATAAAGTAGGCGGAGGTCACAGGATGCTGCAACCCGTACATAACAGCGTTATTGCCGTATAACTGACATCAACCGTGGGAATCTTAATTTTCGGTTTGCCCTCAAGCATTTTACTTACTCTTCTTTAGCACGCAGTTGCTTGTCTTTGCTCTTGTCCCAACTCGTCTTTTCTTATTTTCTTTTCAATATGGTCGATGCTCCAAATGTTCGTATAGTTCCCGGTGCCTCTCCTGCCGTGTCGTTGGCGAAAACTCAGAAGAAAAAACGCCGATCCAACAAGCCAAAAACTGCAGACTCGCCTGCTGAGGGCTCCGTCATTCTTCCCGAGGCTACTTCTGCTACTCTTGTTGACAGAGCACCAGAAGAAGCGGATGTGAAGGAGGGCACTGTCGCTCCAGAAGTTGTTGCGCCGTCGGAGGCACCAACTTTTGACGATTTGACCACCAGATCTAGTCCGGTTGTAGAACTTCTCCAGAAACGGTTGAAAGCTTTGAACAAGAAAATAGTACGTGAATATATATACATTCCGGATTCCGCACCAACGTAGCTAACGTATGTCTTCCAGTCCCGCGTAACGAGTTATGCATCAACGGATTACGAAAAACTGAATGATGACCAAAAGCGAACTCTGAAGACACTTCCTTCTTTGGAGGCCGTTCAGAAAGAGCTTGAAGACGTGAAAAAATTGATCGAGGTTCGAATAAGATCATCGTTTACCTATCGATAAAAATAATCAAATGTTATTTTGTACCAGTCCCACGAAGCAGATCTTGCACGCGAACTAGCAGCCAGACGTGCAGATACTGGAGCTACCGAGGCTGCCAGAATCGCCGACGCTGTTGCTGCTGCCGAGGTAGGAAATTGGTTGTAATTGAAGGTTTCGTAGCTGAGTTCTTCCAGGCATCGTCAGTCAGTAAAGCCTCTGCTATACTGTCTCTAATCCATTTGCATACATGTCTTTCAAATCGCCAACCTCTTCCGGTCGTTCTTGATTTCAATGATGCTGAAGGGGAAGCAATATTTTCTCTTTGCTCAACCCTCATCAGCGAGGAGTCCGAATTCAAGCAAGCAGCAGTGTCCGGTCTGCTTTCTGGAGAAGGCGCCTTCGATGGAGTTTCGTGTAAGAACATCCCTCTGACGCAACAACCCAGTATCACACTGACAGTCTGATAGATGCAAGGCTGCTAGATATTGTGCAGTCCTTCCTGAACCCTCCACGTGAACCGACACCTTTACCGGCGGAGCCAGATGCAGCAACAGAAGTTTCTTCTGAGCCTGCAAGTAACTCGCAAACTGAGTCTCAGCCTCTTGCTGGCATTCCCGCTGCCAGTGGCAGTTTGAGTGGTGCCGGTAGCTTCCGTTTCATGCAAGCGAGCGAGCTTGAGACCACTGACTTTGAGAATACTGCTGAGTGGGTTGAGAAATCCGAGATTGAACTGACACACAACGGTGTTCTCGAGCACGCAGAATCTACACCTTCAGCCGCAGAGGGGGATGTAAGTTAGAAATTCCTCAAAGATGCAGTGTACTTTGGATCATATTGACCAATTGGTCCCCACAGGGTGCACCTACACAGCCCATTGATTGGGCTGAGGCAGATGAGGAAGGTGGTCTGCCATCGATCGCAAACCTACAAGCAAGTTTCGCTCCTTCAGGGTCAGCAACCCCTGTTGTTGAAACTGCCGACGTATCCACACCTGCACCTGTGAATGGCGTGGAAGCTGCCGCTGCCATACAGTCTGATGATGGCTTCACGCAATCACGAGGTCGCGGACGTGGACGAGGTTACCGTGGTGAGGGTCGTGGCGGACGTGGCGGTGGCTTCCGGGGTGAACGAGGTGGCTATCGCGGAGAGCGAGGCGGCTTCCGTGGTGGTAACCGAGGCGGCGAGCGCGGTGGTCTGTCACGATCATTTTGTTCACGGTATTCGCTCACATCATTGCTTGCAGGCTACCGGAGCGACCGGGGTGGACGGTCTGATGGCGAATGGCGGAGCGACGAAAATCGTGGACGTGGTAGGGGACGTGGGCGTGGACACAGAGGCGGAGACAGAGGGGACAGAGGTGGGGACAGGGGGGACAGAGGAGACAGAGGTGGAGACAGGGGAGGTGAGTAATCCATAATGCGGCCTACAACAATTTCTGAGATACTGAGATACAGTCTTAGGCTATCACGAGGGGCGCGGAGCTCCTCCTTCTTGAGAGTAGTTTCTGTGAACACAAAGGTGCTGAAGGTCTCGTAGAAGAACGTCTTGACACTCTGACCACAGTTGCATGCATTGCTATGGCATATATTTTTGATGTATGTACACCTTGGCTTCACATGAAATGACATTATCCCCAGTGCTTGCCTATTTTTGTTTGAGAGCGTCGCGATATCGATCCCGATTTAATTCAGATATTCGCATTGTATCAATCGACCCGAAAATACAACGCTTGAAACCGACCGGCGAACGATGTCTGTGATATCTGAACTCGTGTCATCAATCTTAATGCGTATGCACTACTTTTTTCATTTGATTTTCTTTATCGACTACCGGGGTACTAACTTAATCTTGATTGAGCCAAAATCAAGTACGATACAGCATGGGCATCTGGAGATATACCCTACACAGTACCATCGGATCATATTCAACTATTGCAATGTCGCGCCCAATCTGCTTCTTTCTTTCAATTGGACGGCTGTTTGAGTTCAATTGTGGCTCCAAGAGTGTTGTTGCATCCTGGGACAACGGCATTCCCACAGTAGTCACACATACTTATAGTCATATATAGTCCACACAAATATTCCTCGTTCTTTTACTGTAAGTACCGCGAGCGGCCCTCAAGGCCTCATGTACAAGTGAGTGTTTTCTGACATCTTGGAGAAGCCCAATAACATTTTTAGAATGTTGGCAGTCGGCCGGAAGTTAGATCTAACATAAAGCGAAGATGTCGTACATACGACAAATTGTGCGAGAGTCAGCGAGACAGTGCACGGATCGATCATCCAAGCATTTTTCCTGAACAGTCGAATTTTAATCTGAGGGTTTTGCGCCAACACAGCCGTCCGCAGCGACCTATTTGCGCACTTATACATTGCTCTGATTGATGAATCACTACTATGTACATACCTGCATAGGAACTAGAGCGTTGATTATTGACCAGGACAGTAGCAGTCTTTGGTCACCTAACAAATATGACGGGCGATATATTCGCGATATCAGGACATCCTACCATATCCGCATAATCCTGTACCTTAAACTTGCCCTAAACCCTCCTAAATCTGATATTTTCTCCCCAGAAAGGACCCGTAACGCTGTGCATATGGCTACGGTACGGTTGCACCGTTACTAAATCTTTGAGGATTCAATGATTTCGTTATCCGAAGATAGCGAAAAAAAATAACAGGCCGCGGCGAGTGGATCACTCGTTAATGGACGAGCTTGGACCTCTTTCTTTCCCTTGCGCTCGCCTAAGATGTCATTTTTGACAATCCTCATCGACGATAAATCTCCTCTGATACAATATGACTCTGGGTTCAATCCGGGGGTCGCTGCAGATGACGGTTCAGCAGACAAGTCTGTCGTCGCCATTGACTTACCTTGCGAATGATGAATAACAACAATTACCAGATACTTCCGCGGGACATTTCAGAGGTCGAACGTGGTGGGGAGTGTCGCCAAATTCTCCTTTAACGGTACGGCCGTCTGGATCTACGGTGCTAAAAGATCGAATCATGGTAATTACACCGTGACGTTTGACAATGCAAATTCGGAATACAATGGCTCTGCCACTCCCGATGAATTCCAACAAGTGCTCTTCACCCAGAGTGGCTTGACACAAGGCCTGCATACAGTATCTCTTACGAACACCGGCCCTGCCGCGGGCTCCTGGTTCGATATCGATATGGTGGAGTGTGTCTAACCCTTGACCAAACCAACGGCTCACTGTTGTCGTTAAGGTGGCCTGGCAGACCGAATTTAGTGGAACCCAGTTAATGACAGAGACGGTCGACGACACAGACACTAGATTCCAGTACCAGGGGGCAGCGTGGAATACGAACCCAACTAATGCTATTTTAAACCTGTTCAATAACGGGACTGGGCAGTGGGTCTCTCTCCCGAGCTGTCACGGGGGTTTTCAATAACGTCGTTTAGCTCCACGAGCATTGTTGATGCCACTGTAACCTTAACATTTACAGTGAGCACTGAGAGCCAAAACTTATCCATATTTATGCTGATGGTTGATTTGTCCCGCAGGGCAAGTCGTGCAGCACAGAAGAACGTTAGAATTCCCAGCTCACATGCAACATCTTCTCAAGCCGAATCTGTGAGCATCTTAGGCACTGTAGGCCCTGGCAATGGTCTATATTCCGTTTCTCTCGACTCTGGACAAGCCACCCAGTACAACGCCACCGCATATGACACTTTCTATGAAGTTGTGCTTTATCATGCAGACAACCTCGGTCCTGGTCAGCATCAGGTGACCCTCACCAACCTTCCTGAAGCAAATGAACAGACACTCAACATAGACTACGCATTGCTTACATCATCATCATCAAGGTGAGCATGCTATGTTTTTGTGCTGATTTCGCACATTCACATACGTTGTGATGCTAATTTCGACTTAAGCTCCAATTCTTCCAGTTCGTCAGGAAGCGGTTCAACGTCAGGATCTTCATCTCCGACGTGCGTACGTCAACTAAATTCTCCCATGCAAATCGGTTAACCACTGCATGTATGCAGCGTCTATGTGGCTTCAACGTGAGATAAATTACTTTCGACGACCTCGATAATTTATCCGCTCCGCAGAAGCTTAAGCTCAGGGGCTATTGCTGGTATCGCCGTGGCAGCGACTGTGACTCTCTCTGCATTGGCAGCTGCCTTCTTCTTTTATCGGCGGTGGAAATCGGCCCAGGCAGTGTCACAGGACTCGAGCCGGTTTAATACAGCTCAAAATTCCCCAGAAAATGCCAACACGGGTGCTTCTTCCTCGGTAGGAGACAAGCCTTGTCAGACATGACACTTCGTCCCAAGGCACTTCATGGCTGTCTTACCAACAGCCAGACAGTGATCATCAGGTTTCGCCGCGTAGTGGAAGTGGACGACATATTCCTAGCTCTAGTATGCCCACTGTAGACGAAGTTATGGGCTCGTCAATACAGTCCCCAGTCGATATGGTAAGATTTTTTGTCTCCACCTTGATGAACAGCCTTATTCAAACTCTTATTATAGCCCGGAAGTTCACGTCGTCCTCTACCTGAAGCTCCAGGTACTCAACAAAATATATTTCAGCGGCCAGTGCCCAATGACTCATTGGGAATCTCGAAAACTTCGGCGGTGCAGCGTCGCGCATCTGCGCAGAGTACTTCTGCAACCATTGGGGATATCCCGCCCCCTCCCGACTACATGCAAGCTACCCGATGATCTACACAAGTCCTTTATGTTGTTCGTCAATACATTTCACTTATTGTCGCTGGCTGCGTCTGTCATAATCTTCGTACTCGAGATTCGGGACTATCGGATGCGTTAACCAGTAGTTGCACGACTTTCCCTATTTACGAACGCTACCAGCGCAGCTTATTTTCGTGTCGTATTGTGTGCATGTGATGTCTGGAAGTCCTATACGAGTATTATAATGTCGTTTGGTAGATTCTGACGTTATTCATGAGTGGGTCAAGGTCTTGGTGTAACTAAACCAGGGATTATAGGCCCTGCAGGTATTGTTGCAGTAGTTCCACACAAAATCTCATCATCATCATGAGTGGCTTTCGCAGGTAATTTGGTACCTTGCTAAGTATAAGTATAACAAAGATATCGACTGTTCATCCTCACTGCGCGCGCGAGTGACCAGTCCCAGCCAGTCCCCTGTTACTTCCGAACCTTCTCAGTTCTAACTTCTCAGCACAATCTCAGCAGTTGCGTAAGTTTGACATCAACAAAAGAGCCTGAACCGTATATGCTGCCCGAAGCATATATTCATATATATGTCGCAATGTAAGACCTTGTGTACAAGTTGCATATGTCTTAAAAGCTAAATCACAGTTCACATGCTCATGTAAGCTTCACAAGGCCTTGCATGCTTCGGGCTCTTTTGTTGATGGAATACATGTCGGACTCGTATGTTTTCTCCTTCGAAGGGAATGGAGAATTTTGGACGACTAACTCGAAAGACCAGCTCAAGACAAGCTGATCAGTATCTAATGGGCACCCTCGCCGCCAAGGAATGGCGGGCGACGGTGCGTGGCAACCTCTTCTTCTTCCAAACTGACCTCGCAGGTGAGTACGTATAGTCCCAATAGTGCACTTCCTTGCTTACCAGCATTTTCCATAGCATTTTCTTTGCGTTTCGCGGCTGTATTGAAGTTCACAGTGCCCGGGTGTTGACATCTTGTAGGCATGTCAAGCTAACATCACCCGCACCCATTGTCGCGCGTCGGTGCTGCTACTCGTCTGCATTCGTTCGGACTGGTTCGTGCTTGTTTGCGTGCATTGGCGCTCGTTCGCATTTATGGGCACTTTGTTGTCGATGTTTGTGTTTGTCCCCGTCTGCCTTCGTGTATCCTTACCATTCACAAACATCGTTCGTTTATGGCTCTCGGCAAGTGAGTTTTTGTTTTGTCTACTTGTCTGCACTTGTCTGTGCTTGCCGCCGTTCATTTTGCGTTTTGGATTGCCTACACTAGTCTAACAGTGTATACTACTACTAAGTGCAGCAGCCTTTGCCTCGTGTTAACGCGTTCCGTCCAATGGGTGAGTGCTTCAAGTTCATATCTCAACCCATACCTGCAATTTACATTTACAGTACTCGGGCCGTCACTGGCGGCTTTGGCCCGGCCTGGACTTTTTTGCAAGCCTGAGCCGTCTAAAGCCAGGCCAAAGGCGGCTTTCGAGCCAAGCCGGATAGGAACATCACTAACTTAATCTGGCATTGTACTGGATGACCTGTCCAAAGTCGAGAGAAACAGAGTATAGACTTTTCTCTCGACTTTGGACAAGCCATCCAGTACAATGCCAGTTTATACAAGATGTTCTATGAAGTTGTGCTCTATCATGCAGACAACCTTGGTCCTGGTCAACATCAGGTGACCCTTACCAATCTTGCTGCAGCAAATGGACTCGCACAAGAACTCAACATAGACTACGCATTGCTTACATCATTGTCATAGTGAGCATGCTGATCTCGCACATCATGGTGCTAATTTTTACTCCAATCTCGATTCCAGTTCATTGGGAAGTTCAATATCTTCAGTGTGCGTACGTCCACTAAATCCTTCCGTACAAATCGGTCAACCTCTGCCTGTATGCAGCATCTGTGACTTCCACGTGAGATAAATTACTTTCGACGACCTCTGATAACTTATATGCTACACAGAGGTTTAATCTCAGGGGCTATTGCTGGTATCGCCGTGGCTGCTGTTGTGGCTCTCTCTGCATTGGCAGCTGCCTTCTTCTTTTATCGACAGTGAAAATTAGCCCAGGCAGTGTCACAAAACTTTTACTGGATTGATACACTTCCAAATCCCCGAGAGACGCCGATACGGGTGCTTCTTCCTCGGTGGAGACAAGAAGTAACGCCAATCTTATCAGACATGACGCTTCATTGCGGTCTTACCAACGGCCAGACTATAATTATGAGCCGCATGGTGGCAATGGGCGTCACGTCCCTAGCTCTAGCATGCCTGCTGTAGAGGAAGTCATACTAAGCCCGCCAACTTCACATTCCCCGGTCGATGAGGTAACATTTTTTGTTGCTTTGATGATCAACTTTATTCGACTCTTCTTCTAGCTTGAAATCCACGCCGCCGTCTACCGGTAGTTCCAGGTATTCAACCATATACACTTCAGCAGCCGGCGACTGATGACTCGTGGGCATCTCGAAAGCCTCGGCAGGTGCAGCATCGCGCAGCTGCATAAAGCGCTTCTGCGAGTATTGGGGACACCCCCCCTCCTGATTACATACAAACCACCCGGTGATTTGCCCAAGTCCTGTGTCCTATTCATGTTTATTGATAAATGACCATTATACTGCCTGCCTTCATGCTGACTATGTCAGACGTATCCCCAATATCAAGAAATGCCGTTACATAGTAGTCGCACAATTGATTTGTGTCTATTCACGAATAGCACCTACACAATTTATTTTCGTACCGGATTTTATGCGTGTAATGTCTGGGATCTTAAATATTTCACATTCAAGATGCCTGGGGTGTCGCTTTGTATAACACACTATGTATACTGAATATCGTATGCGTGTAAGTATTATGTTCAGGACGACCACACATTATTGATAGGATGGAATACGACACCGTCGATCCGGACATTCCGCCTTATCGACTCCATCCGACCCCACACAACACGAGAAGTTAGTTTGAGTCAAATGCATGGTGAAATTCTGCGGTGTGCTACTGATATACAACGGTGATAATGGAAACCGGTTCTTGTGTGAAATGCGATTATGGGAAGTGCGTGATGCGGCAGTGTGAAGCATATTATGATGACGTTGAAAGTCTTGCATGACTGAATGTAAGAGGACGAGGGCAATATAAGCGAACGAGAGCAATGGAAGCGAATGGGAGCGATGTAAGTGAACGAGAGAAATGCAGACGAGAAGGCAGAAGCGATAGATAATGGACTAAGAAAGGGGGATATTGCCATAGGCCCTAAGTGGCGACCATGCCTGAGAGAACACCTTCTAAGAGAAGCCCCACGGTCCCGCCGATTTGTGCCCGGGCATGTGGGGATGGCCAGAGGCGACCCAGATCTGGTTGCAGCGGTCCAGGAACCATGGTTCGGTCATGGGAGTCCAGGTGCTGTTGTATGTTTCAAAGGAGAAGAGGGGGGCATGAGATGGGATGTTAGGATTGGCCTTGATATGACGAAAGAGGGCTGCATGAGGACAGGTGGGATGGTTTCGGGCAGTGATGTTGATGTCGACGCCGTTAGTGCCGGTGGTTTTAGTCCATGGTATATGGAAGGTCGAGTGTTGCACATTGTCAGAGTCATGAGCAGCAATGGGTAAGACGGAGCGGGTGACGTGCTTAGTTATATCAAAGGAATCAGGAGCGGGAATGACTAATTCCTCAAGACTAGTAGTATTGTAAGTTTGAAGGGGGTGAAAAAGAGACTGATGAAAACATACCGACAACCGCACCAGAAGGCAAGAGAAGCGATGGCCAGGACTGAAACATCGAAAGTACTGGAGAGGTCAAGGCCTTGGTGTAACTGAATGAGCGCTTCGAGGGTGATTGGTGGACGGTGCTTGGGGTCCGAATCCGGGGGAGCGAGACGGTGGAGACCGCGTTGAACTTGACGAAGGCATTCGGAGCGTTCACCATGCCACTGAGCACCATTAATGACGTGCCAGAAGCGAAGGCCGGCAAGCCAATTTTCCGCGGTGCTACTTGGAGATTGAACCGGCAGCGTCTGCAATGAAGATGGAAAGAAGGACCTCGGAAGCGGGCATACGGTCTTGTTCTGGTATGGAGAGGCGATCACAGAATTGGGTGAAACGTAGCAGACCCACGCCATAGTCATTGTTGGTGCTTTCATCGAGAGACTGTGCCATGACAAAGAATAATTTGATTATATGGGACTCGGGATAATGCTGTTCTAGTGCATGCTGAAAACTGAGACCGTGAGGGGTGGTCCAAAGAAGGGCGCGTTCGCTTGCGAGTACGGGAGGACGGTAGGCAGATGGAACGATAGAGGTGTCGCTGCAAGACTCGTTTGGTATGCTAATGGGGTCGTCGGGACGATTAATGACGGCTGCCTGACGGACCTCAGAGCTGTTGCGAAGCCAGAACTCGGCGGCGGCGGCGTCTACGTCTATGCCACGTAATCCTTGAATGGTTAGGTTCGAGTTCGACATGAGCGATGACGAGGGATAGGTCTTCAACGTTGGGTATGACGACGAAGATGGGATCCGGATTCCGCCAATGATATCGGATGTACTTTGTTGGTATACGACCATCAAACACAATTCTAAGTAATTCACAATGCATGAAGACTGGTCGCACACGCTCCTCCAATCTGACCCGATGCGCTTCTATCGCGCCAAGCGCGACCGCCTACACCAAGCCGTCACGTCCAAGTACACCATCCTTGGCTTCATATCTTCTGGAACATACGGTCGCGTGTACAAAGCGCAGAGCGTGGAGCCAGAGGGGCAGATCCATGCCATCAAGAAGTTCAAACCGGACAAAGAAGGGGATGTTGTCACGTATACTGGTATCAGTCAGAGCGCCATTCGAGAGATTGCAGTAAGCTTGTCTGTTCTGTTCTACATCAGACGAGTTTCAAGTTTCGGTTTCATCCAGCTGAATCGAGAGATCTCTCATGAGAATATTGTTGCCCTCAAGGAAGTTATTCTAGAAGACAAGTCGATCTACATGGTTTTTGAATATGCTGAACATGATTTTCTTGTAGGTCCTGTTTGTCCGATTATTCATTTGACCATGCTTCATTGCTTCGGCGCAGCAAGTAATACATCACTATTCGCAAACCCTTCGAATACAGATCACATCACAAGTTCTCAAGTCCCTCATTTATCAGCTTCTAAATGGCTTGGTATACCTTCACTCTGCACATATTCTTCACAGGGACCTTAAGCCTGCCAATATCCTCATCACTGCATCTGGTGTGGTGAAAATAGGAGATTTGGGGCTTGCACGATTAATATACCAACCACTCCAACCACTGTTTGCCGGTGACAAAGTCGTCGTCACCATTTGGTACCGAGCTCCTGAACTCCTATTGGGTGCGAAACATTACAACAAAGCAGTAGATTGCTGGGCTGTCGGATGTGTCTTCGCTGAGTTGGCGAGTCTCCGGCCGATATTCAAGGGCGAAGAGGCCAAATTAGATTCTAAGAAAAACGTCCCTTTCCAGCGCGATCAGCTACTCAAGATCTTCGAGGTTCTTGGAACACCAAATGGTAAGGATGACATGAACATATTCACCAGCACGTTCCTCATTTCTTTCAGAGAAGGATTGGTCAGGCCTCAAGGACATGCCAGAGTATCAGAATATGAAGCGCCTTGACACGTGAATTTTTTCCTTGGATGATATCCGGGATGGTCTTGGACACGAGTTATTACAGGTACCCAAATCGCCTCGCTGAATGGTGCCAATCGCGTATTCGTTCGCAGCAAGGCTATGAGCTCATACGCCAGCTCTTCGCGTATGATCCGGACAAGCGCCTAACGGCCAAAGAAGCGCTAGGACATAAATGGTTCCAAGAAGATCCTCGGCCGACAAGAAAGTACGTCATATGCATGTTTTCATGCATTCTCCTCGTTGTATTTCACAATAATCATTACCATGACTGCAGCGTGTTTCATTGCGTTCTCGCCCACCACCTGCCGCCCCAACGGCGAATCACGCAAGATGAGGCGCCATCCATGATGGGCATGCCCGCACCCACACAGGCGCAAACACAGTCGCAATTGCCTCCAGCGCATGTCCAGGCTCAAGGGCAACATCTATCGCAACAGTCACAGGTAACTCTTTCCCAACAATCCAAACCAGGCAGTACTGCTAGTTTCGGGAGCGTTAGTGGAAGCTTCTCCGGAGGTCAAGGAGGTTCTTCCAGAAAGAAAGCCAGAATTGGATAGTCTTGTATGTATAGATGCCATCATTGATATTTGTTACTCTGTATAATGCCACGAGTTGTTTTTGTTTCCAAAAGCTGTTCGGGCGGTACGCCGTAGATTCGAATCACGTGCATACTAGTTTTGCTAAACCGATCAAGAACGAACGTTTGGCAACTTCCATTTGACTTCCATTCAGTAGTACGAACTACTTGTCCATATAGCACCACAGGCTGAGCCCCGTGCTTTGATCCTCCCGCTCGCTTTCACGTCCCTATCCTATACAACCCTTAATCACTCTTTTCATGCACTTTTTGCGGCAACTTTCATGACATCCACTCAGTCGTCACAATCTTCCGAAACCCAGCCGAAACCCATCACCAACGGCATGGCAGCTGTGAACGCACAAAAGCGAACTTTCTTGGTGCCAGAGCTAGCATCGTACTTTGTCGCAGGTGGAGCTGCTGGCGCTGCTTCGCGCACAGTCGTTAGTCCCTTAGAAAGGCTCAAAATCATCCAGTGAGTCCCTGCACGGTGTCATTCAATCTCCGTTTGTTCGGATCATCGTTGCGTCCCTTTCGCCGAGCACAGCTTGATCTAACATACATTTTTCGCTAACAGACAAGTGCAACCGCAAACGTCAGATGGCCAGTACAAAGGGGTCTGGCGAAGCCTTGTCAGGATGTGGAATGAGGAAGGGTTTAAAGGCTTCATGAGAGGAAATGGAATCAACTGCCTCCGCATAGTGCCTTACAGTGCTGTGCAGTTCACAACGTACGAACAATTGAAGAAGGTACGGGTCGTTTATCGTCGATCCTGACCCTTCTTGATCCTGTCATTAATTTTTTCTCAGTGGTTTACGGCCTACGGGGCAAAGGAACTCGATACCCCAAAACGGCTGGCGAGCGGTGCCCTTGCAGGGATCACATCTGTTTGTGCGCAGCGCTTGCCTTTTTTGCCCTATCATTGTCTTATACGTCCCTGCAGGCGCGACATATCCACTCGACCTTGTACGGTCAAGGTTGTCGATAGCAACAGCTAGTATACCTTTGCAGACAGAACAAGCGCTGCCGACCTCGTCGGTTATACCGGAATCTGGGGCAAAGCGGGCATTATCGTCTGCATATCACACTTCTTCCAGCGCATTGAACCGAACACTGTCAAAAAGATCTGAGCTGACCATGGTCGGAATGATGCTGAAAGTAATGCGAGAAGAAGGTGGCGTTCCCGGTCTTTACCGGGGCCTGGTTACCACCGCTGTTGGAGTCGCACCATACGTAGGCATCAACTTCGCCACTTACGAGGCGTTACGTGGTGTCATCACCCCTCCCGGGAAAAATAGCATTGTGAGGAAGTTAGCTTGCGGAGCGCTAGCTGGTACGTCCGCAGTATACTGTTTCCGGCGGGACTTCTAATCCGTTAGCGCAGGATCCATATCACAAACTCTAACATACCCATTTGATGTGCTGAGACGGAAGATGCAAGTTACTGGAATGGCCCATGGCGGATTGGGATATCACTACAATGGTGCGTTTGATGCATTAGGCTCTATCGTTCGCACGGAAGGGGTCCGAGGATTATATCGTGGACTGTGGCCAAATCTGCGTGAGTTGGAATCGTTGTCAATTTGACAATCATAGACTGAAACGTCGAGCACAGTCAAAGTCGCACCCAGTATTGCCACGTCATTCTTCACCTATGAGCTGGTGAAGGAGATGTTGGTCACGCCCTGAAATCTATCTTTAGGTGCCTGTTATCGGTTTGATTCGACACTAGATCTAGACGCACATAGATCACGCATTATATTATTTTATATTCTCTTTCTCGGCATAGTATATGTGATGTATGGTAGGCTGTATACTGATGTATAGGAATTCGGTCACCTTGGACGATAAACGATACATACTTAGGATGATTTTATGTAGAACACTGACCTTTGTACCGCCGGTAAGCAAAGAAAGACATGTGTGGCGGTGTTGAGCAAATTTAGAGTCTAATTTGAATTATTACGGGTCGCTTCAAGGTAATCACACACGACGACGACGGGCGCTGCGGTATTCCGTGTCTTTGTTTCTTGACCACCATCATCTAGGGCAGTCCAACGCTGATACTAACAGTGATCTAGTACACGGTCCTGGCTGACCCCGTCTGGAGTAATATCTAGACAACAGCATCTATTAACTATTCCCAGCGAAACGTTTAAACAACTTTGTTCAAACGTTGAACCTTGGATCACAGTTGATCCTATCTGTTCTTTTTGATGCTGCTTGACGCACGGTACGTGCTATGCTATCATTGTCTTTTTTGATTCTCTTCTTGTGCTTCCAGCCTCGCACTCACCGCATTGCTATCTTCGTCGTGCCTTACGCCTCCATCTCCACTTGACATGTCTGAACTGACTTTCATCATCTTTTCGCGTTTCAGAACCGTAATTATCTATTAAAGGCTATCCCCGCGTCCATATCGTGTGTTTGTCCGGATCTGTCTAGTCGCCTACCATCATCATGCTTGAAAATCATCCTCGCTCCCAGGATCACCACGTTGCCCAGATCAAGCAAACGTTCTCCATGTCTGTGGCATCACTTTCGTCCTCGTTGTCTTCATCGGCTGCCTCTTCCACGCTGCTTCCTGCAGGGCCTTCCTCTAGCCAGTTCAATATCGTATCCTCCGATCAGCTCCCTACGTCTTGCTCCCCCACGTTCAAGAGTCATTCAGGTGGTCCTGTTTCAAGCCTAACACCTTGCTCGTTTACCTCTACACCTTCAATGGGTCAGGTAAACAGCCGCCCACAGGTTTCTACGGCATTTTCACCACCGTCATCACCGTCTGTTCCTTCGGCGAGCGCTAGTCTGTCAACAGGATTTCGCTTCGCGCGTGCCTTTGGTGGACGACGGAAAAAGTCGGACACTGTTAATGCCTCTTCTGGCTCATCGCAGAATAGCGGCAGCAGAGTGAGGGAGCCCCAGACCAGCGACGAATTCTTCCCTGGGACCCCGCGTAGTGCGCCACCCCGCCCGTATGGAGCCAAGCAGCTAACTCTCTCCCTCGCTTCGCATATGTTCAGCAAGAAACACACAGGTTCATCCCCCATCTCACCTGCGCTGAGCCTTGCGCCGCCACCGCCTCCACCGAAGATTGCTGCGCCACATCCCCCGTCACACCTTGCACCCGTGGACACAAACGTCGACAAGCGAGTCTCAGTAATGACGACCACAAGTCCTATTGTTCCAGCTTTGGATTACATGCGTAGAACGGATGATGTTGCAGAATCCGGCCCATCCTCCAAGGAGAATGAAAGAAGAGATCTCGAGAAGTCGGAACTGAAGGAGATCCGGAGAAAGAGCGATTCCACGTTGAGCCATCACACAATCAAGCCTGGTTTTGGAACCAGATGCCCTCGTCCAGTTTCAATGGCAGAATCACTGCAGTCGAATCACACCATCGTCCCGGTCAGCAAGCGCTTGAGTGCGTTTCATGACAACTTTATGCCTGAAGAAGAGGACGGTGAGAGGATTGCAGAGAAGGGATTCCACACTCCGTTGCGCTCTACGTCACCTTTCCGTCGAGGGTCTCCTGCGTCATCCATCAAAGTGGGCCGTGACAGGCGTTCACAGTCCCTCAATCTCGGCCCCCCCTTGACATTGATGGCGTCGGCTCCGGATTGCACAGCAGCGACCGTGTCCATGAGTATAGATGCCACCCCTGTTGTTCCCAGATCCATGTCAGAGGATAAGGGAAGATCAGTGACACCTGTTGGATTCTCATCCCTGCATTCCAGAAGGCCATCACCCGTGCCGTCGCGCACGAATGATAGTTACTTGGACAGTCGCCCGTCTTCTCCTTCGCATTCAGAGCGTAATTTACCGGACATTCCTGCGCCGCAGCGGCGCATTCCACTAGCCTCGCCAGGATCACCTTCGCCACCATCATTTCGACAGACAGCCATTAGCATAACTGGTCTTGCCCCTGCCGCTGGCCTTGCTAGGCGTGCCGTTGAGAAGATGGGTCGCGTTTGGGGCAAGGCTTCCTCCCCTGGTTCGAGCTATCCATCACATCAAGGCTGGACACCCAGCAGTCGCTCCTCGCCGCTCTCACGGGCGAGTTCCGGCACGGATGAGCCACCTATCAAGAAATATGGACACGCACCTCAACCGTCTTCTGGGAGTTGGAGTATCAGTTCGGCTAGCTCATCTTCTGATCATGAAGGTCTCATGTCTTCTGGCCCTATTCTTGGAAAGCGTCTGCGTGGCCCGGTCCGCCTGAGTCCTAGGGGTGCCGGCGTCGCTGGTGGACTCGTCTTTGGACGAGACATGAAGACGTGCGTCAGGGACACGGCAATTGACTCGGTTCGCGCCGCATTGCGTGCCAAGGAATTCGACAACAGCGCCACACACGATGCAGACAGCACGGCGAACAGTGCTTCAAGTGTTCCTTCAGCTGCGCTGGAGAGTCGCCGTTTACCTGCATTAGTTGTCAGGTGTGCACAGCACATCCTTACCTGGGGCATACAAGAGCTTGGGTTGTTCCGGTACGATCTCTTTTTTTATCAGAGAATATCCGTCTCATTCGTTTTTCTCGTAGCGTCAATGGGAGGTCGTCTCATGTAGCCAAGTTACGGTCAGAATTTGATACCGGTTAGTGACCCGCTTCTATGCAATTGGAGTCGTTACTATCGTGTTCGCAGGTGCCGACTTTGATATTGCTCAATGCAATCCTGGTGATCTCGACCCTCATGCCGTGGCATCAATCTTCAAGGCATACCTCCGCGAACGTGCGTAGCTGATTGAATCGTTCTTGTCGTGCTCCTAACATGCACATTAGTTCCTGAACCAATTCTAACGAATGCGCTGTCAACTTCCTTCGAGGCGGCAATGACATCGGAGCGTCTTACGAACAATTCGCCGGAACCTTTCCCAAGTCCACGGAGCATCCACCCCGGGTTGCGCAAGCCTCCTTCGTTATCTACTCTGGCTATGCCGAACTTCTCAGGATTACATCCACCATCAGAGCCGCTTCGCAAGGCACTCTCCTCGCTGATCGCCCTCCTGCCCCAGGAAAACCGTGATCTTCTACTCACGGTCACCGAGCTTATCAATGCGACATCTCAACGCAGTCAAGACACAAAGATGCCCTTAAACAATCTGCTGCTTGTTTTGTGTCCAAGCTTGAGTATGAATCCGTCTTTGTTGCAGGCGCTATGTGAAAGCAAAGGTATCTGGGATGGTGTTCAGCCTCCTGTTGATACCAGCCCGCCTGTCCGCCCTTCGCGGGAGAGCGTCCCATCCCTCCACGACGTGGTGGAAGAAGAACAGCTCGACAAGCAAGATGATAGGATAAGCCCAACACACGACGACTCCCGATCCTACCGGGCACTTCCAGAGGTTCCTACTGATGACGTGATGGAGCCACTCACCGCCCCAGCGAATACGCCTGTTGACTCGTCGCAATCCTCAATAGCGACGAGGCCAAGCCTGGATGCTGCGGGGTCGACATCTGACGCATCATCTTTCGCACCCACAGATGATAGTTCTTCGGTGTCCCAGTCCTCGCAGCGCGAACATCCAATAACCCCGCCTTCTGTCAAGGTCAAGCTGCTAAACCCTTACTCCCCGCCGTCACTCTCATCCTCAACTGACTCTCTGTCCAGCCCTTCTATCTCGTCGAACTCTCCCATGCGGTCTACCAAGTATCTTCCATTCTTGGATGATTTTAGTAACCCTCAAACCTCGACCTCGCCACACACCCTAATCATCACCGATCCGGCATCCCTCTCCCTACCGTTTCCTTCCACCGGTGGAGACCTCGCACAGCACACAGTTATGCATCGCAAGTCAACGCCTTCTATGACATTCCCTTTAGTTCAACAGGCCGATATTCCCCGCTCCAATTCTCTTGCTTCCCGCGCAAAAAGAATGAAAAAGCCATCTCTCCATTTACTCTTTTCTAAACGCTCTGCTTCACCCATGTCTTCACCCGCCAACTTCGCTCCGACATATTCACGGAATTCGTCCACATCAGAGTCGCCAGTATCCATGATGACAGCTCAGTCTACCAGCAGATTCAGCTTCCCTCCCGTGCTGAACACGAAAATCGACTCATCTTCCATCTCACTCGCACTAGGCATTGAGGAGGAAGAGCAATCGGACCTTGCTACTACTGTTGGGCACGGAGCTACCAAGAATGTGGCTATTGAGCCTCGTGATTCGATGGCCCTCCTGACGCCAGTATTACCTGGTGGACTTCCAAGATCCCCGGTGACGACGTCCGCGCAAGCACCCTATCGTCATATCGATGTATCCTTTCCAGACGACGATGAATTCAGCGAGGATGATTGGACGCAAAGTGTGCTGTTGGCGGGGGATTCAGTTTGGTGAAATAATTAACACTATAAGACATCCACATATTCCAGGCAACTTCTAATATTTCCCTTGGACTGTTACCATCTGATCTGCAGGCAGGTCTCACTTATCATCTCACGTCATTCCATAGGCTTGATTCACTTATATACGCCAATCTAGGTCGCTTTTGTTTGAAGAGTGTTTTTTTCGTGTTGAAGCAATTACAACGTGACAAGTATACTACTACACGCATACCCCTCCTTTTCGTCTACACCTTGATAATTGGTTTATACTTTCGACGTTGGTTGTCGCTTCAAGTTGTTGCTCCGCAATTGATATTGAAATCTCATGAGGCATGAGGCCTAGGCGGCCCGCAAGCGTCACTATCTGCTCCAATGCTCCACCGTGATATAGACTAGGACTAGAATTTCAAACAGGTCAAAGTAAATTCAGCAGACAGGATTGATAACCATCTTCACCATCTCATCTCTCTTCCGGTTATCATGTCGTCAGATGCGATCAAGACCCTTCAGCAGAAACTTTTTAGAGGAACTGAGGATAACAATGGCATTCAGCAAGCGGATCCGCGTGATCCTGGACTGACGATTCAAATCCCCAAGGCAGCTGCACCGGCACTGTCTCTCAAAGCACCACCGAAAACTTCGAAGGCTGTTTCAAACGATCCCAAGATTCAGGAAAATGATTCGACCAAGAGCTACAGACAGCAGTTGTCTGAATTATTAGGCGCGGATTATCATGGAGTTGAGAAATATCGTTTGCTGCAGGATCAGAATCGTGAGCGTCACTGGAAGCGGTGGGGACCTTATCTTAGTGATAGGCAATGGGTGGGTACATGCTGGCATCTAGTTGAGTACGCGCTGATAAAGTTCGTATTAGGCAACTGTTCGGGAGGACTATTCAGACAATGGTGACGCCTGGAGCCATTTCCCCCATGAGCACTCCCGATCCCGTGCGTACAGATGGGGTGAAGATGGCATCGGTGGCATATCGGATAGCCACCAGCGCCTTTGCTTTTCACTCGCTCTCTGGAATGGGCAGGACTCTATCCTGAAGGAAAGGCTATTCGGAGTCACAGGCCACCAGGGAAACCATGGGGAAGATGTCAAGGAACTTTACTACTACCTGGATTCCACCCCAACCCATTCATACATGAAGTTCTTATACAAGTATCCTCAACGCAGGTTTCCATACGAGGAACTGGTGGACGAGAATGTTCACCGTGACCGGAACGTTGAGGAGTATGAAATTTTAGATACGGACGTCTTCGACGACGATCGTTACTGGGATGTTTTCATGGAGGTCAGTTTCTCCTACGTGTGGCGATAATAGGTGATGACAAAGTGGCCAGTATGCGAAAGACGAAGACGATCCAGACAATGTTTACATCCGTATTACGAGTTACAACCGTGGACCTGACCCCGCCACCTTGCATATTATCCCGCAACTGTGGTTCAGGAACACATGGTCCTGGCCTGCACAGAAACCGCCCATGCCATCACTATCCGCCGCCGCTACCGACAATGACATTAGCTACGTCAAGGTCAAACACCCAGACATGGCGGGGAGCTTCCTGTGTTGTCTGCCATCTCCTCCACCCGCGGGTGCGGACGGGGAATTTGTTGGTGATGATGATGATGTCGTACAACCAGATTTGCTATTCACAGACAACGACACAAATTTCCGCCGATTGTATGGCGGCATAAATCAGAGTGCATTCGTGAAAGACGCCTTTCATGATCATATCATTCCATCCCACAGATCTAAGCGAGGGCGCTCAGATTCACAAGGGCTAGATGACTCGAGTGCCGCACGCCCAGCAGGATCGATCCCTACCTGCGAAGCTCCATCCCAAGAGTTGCCGTTTGTAAACCCCGAACGACGTGGAACCAAGTCTGCCGCGCATTACACCTTCCGCGACGTCCCAGGCCGAGGTGGATGTGCCGTGGTCCGTCTGAAGTTGACCCCACTTTCTCCGAGCAAGGACAGAAGCATCGAAGATGAAGGTGCTTTCGACGATGTTATAGAGGAGCGTCGGGAGGAAGCAAATGAGTTCTATAGTTCTTTGCTCCTTGGCCCCATTAGCGACGACTTGAAGCAGGTAATGAGGCAAGCGCTTGGGGGCATGCTTTGGACGAAACAGTTCTATTACTTCGTGCAACAGGAGTGGATTGAAGGCGATCCAGCTCAACCTCCACCTCCCCCTGGACGCCAACATATTCGTAATAAGGTTAGTGAAATGAGTGACCGATCTATTGAGCACTCATTTGACCACAGCACTGGCGCCATATGCACATAGAAGACATTCTTTCCATGCCTGACAAGTCAGTTAGCAGATCATTTTATTTAGGTCTTGGCTCACGGAAGGCTGTCCAGATGGGAATACCCTTTCTTTGCCGCATGGGACACGGCATTTCATTGCATTCCCCTCGCCGTGGTGGATCCTTCGTTTGCAAAGAAGCAATTAGATTTACTAACTCGGGAATGGTACATGAAGCCTGACGGCCAGATTCCTGCGTACGAATGGAATTTCAGTGATGTCAACCCACCGGTTGGTGTTCGTGCTTTATCCGCGAGTTCATCTTCTAAATGATCCGTGAACTAGGTCCATGCCTGGTATGCAAGTTCTGTGATCGTGGGATCGTATTGCTGACAGCTACCTAGGGCGACGTTTAGAGTCTTCAAAATAGAACGCAAACTCACTGGCAGAGAGGATCTCCCTTTTTTGGAACGTGTCTTCCAGAAGTTATTGCTCAATTTCACGTGGTAAGCACCATTTTACTCTTCTATTTATTCGTCGCCCCTGATCGCCACTTTTTGAGGTGGGTCAATCGTAAGGACTCCGGGGGACACAATGTATTCGAGGGAGGATTTCTTGGGCTTGATAATATCGGCATATTCAACCGTTCCGAGCCACTTCCCACGGGCGGGAGCTTGCGCCAGGCGGATGGCACTGCGTGGATGGCATTTTATTGTTTGAATATGTAAGCTCCGTGTGTGTCTTGTATTTTCTATGCATTAATTCTTCGTCAGGCTAAACATAGCCCTTGAGTTGGCAAAGCACAATGCTGTATATGAAGACATCGCTTCCAAGTTCTTCGAGGTGAGCCAATCATGCCGGTCGAATCCTACAACGTGCTCACTTTGCCTAAGCACTTCATCTTCATTGCAGACGCCATGACTTATAGAACAGGGGATAACGAGTTGAGCCTATGGAACGAGAAAGATGGCATGTATTATGACGCCATTGAGTTTGGCCCAGGGAATTCGTTTCAGCTTCCTATTAGGAGCTTTGTCAGTCTCATCCCCCTTTACGCGACCCTTGTCTTGGAACCCGCCACAATCAATCGATTCCCTGGATTCAAGAAGCGCGTGGAATGGTTCATCGATAATCGACCCGGGATGTCGGGGAGAAACATGGCGAATATGAGGGGTGAGTCGATCTAAATATGTTCACATACGTTATTCACGGTATCGTAGCTGGAGGTAGAGGCGAACGTCGTTTACTCGCTTTGGCTAGTAAAGAACGCCTAGTGCGCATGCTGGAGAAGATGCTAGACGAGGATGAGTTCCTCAGCGAATACGGCATTCGTTCGTGAGTATTTTCTACGCGGCAGTCGCCGGGCTGCTCTGATGAATCGAGATAGATTATCCAAGCTGCACAAGGAAAAGCCATGGGGAATGCACGTCAACGGAGAATGGCATGAGGTTGGGTATTGGCCTGGAGAATCCCACTCTGGAATGTTCGGTGGAAACTCGAATTGGAGAGGGCCTATCTGTAAGTTTATTCAACCGTTTTAAAATTACTGGTCCCTAATAAGTGTTCAGGGCTTGCTGTCAACTTCCTTCTGATAGAAAGTCTGCAGCGGTTTTATCAGTATTACGGTGACGACCTGCAGGTAAGCGTAAAAAAATATTTATTATGCCCGTCATATTGACGCCTTCTTAGGTCGAATGTCCCACCGGCAGCGGAGAGTATATGAACCTCGTGGAGGTGGCAGAGGAAATACAGCATCGAATAATTCACATTTTTGGACGTGATGTCGAAGGCAAAAGGGCCACCAACGGTGGGAACGTGAAGCTTGACCATGACGCGCACTTCCGCGATTACGTCTCCTTTTATGAGGTAATGTTGATCAACATTTCACGGTTGGGCTTGTACCGAAGCTGTATCTTGGCAGTTTTTCCATGGAGATACCGGGCGTGGCTTAGGGGCATCGCATCAAACAGGATGGTATGTCGGATGCCATCGTGGTGGTAGAACGGGGATAATGATTGGTGTCTAGGACTGGCCTCGTTGCATATCATATCCTTCAAAGCGGTGCGAGCTGTCGGTTACCTAAAACTCCACGGAGTATGTTCTTCTTCTGTATGCTCGACTATCATTAACCATGAACCTTCTCTTACAGCACCCCGAAGCCTCGTCAATCATTACTTTGACGTAAGTCACTTCTGTCAGGGTAACCACATTTTGGCTTACAGAATCCCCCAGGAAACAATCGATGCTCATTCCGAGCATGGTGAAGATACCCGGTCGTTGTACAGTGCCATGACATTGGAACTCAACACATTGGGCGACATCTCTCCCGACGCTCTGTGATAATAGATATCAGAAACGATGGGGACATAGAAATTGGATTGCCTTCCCATGTCCTTCTCATACGACTCACCAATAGACGATGCCTTGTCAGTGTTAGATTGTCGGTTATATGCAAACGAAAACCTCTTAGACGCCAATAAACATGATGTATTTGAATAAAACCGTAGCAATGAGTGCAGTATTCTAATAAAAATTACACGTGACTAGTGCTCCACTTTTAGATGATATACGATGCCCAAGGATTCAAAAGTACTACAAAGGAAGAAAGAGAGCCATGTAGATATCGATATCAAAGAGATGTGAACCACACAAGGATGGTCTCAAGCCCGATGAGCACCTGAGTCAAGGAAGTCAGAAAGCGATAGAGAAAACCATATAGAAACGAATGTGGTGCGAACATGCCAGTGATACATATTATGTACAACGAGAAATGCGAGTCCCCCTGGGAAACAGCAAGAGTATGTATACGAGTCGAAGAGGGGGATGGAAGAGCGGTGCGATGTCATGTCACGTAGAGCGTGACTTGCCCGCCAGGTCGGAACGACTCAAAGGCCATTTGGACATCTTCGGTGGAACCAAGAGAGACCATATCTCCGTCCTCATCCCGATATCTTACCCGCAGCGGGGTATCATCACGGCGCGGCCCACACAGCCGGATTTTCTTGCCGACTTTGTCGACAAGGTCACAATACTCTGTGCATCGCGGGACTTGGATGACGAATATATCCTCGTTGAAGTGTACCTTCACCTTGACTGGAGGTGAGAAAGCGAGGTGGGCGCCGCTAGAGACCATGGTTTCAAACGTTTGTGACCGAGGGGATCGGAGAGCTGAACCTCCAAGAGATGATTCGCTGGATCCGAATGGCGTGATGGGCGAGGAACTATGTGGTGACTCCTCCGACGAACCCCCACCCGTCGACTGACTAGATCCACTACCCCGCTTGCTACTTGAAGCAGCAGAATCCTCCGATCGATGAGGCCACATTACGTTGTTAGGAACAGGAGGAGGGGGCGCTAGTGGTACATATGCGCTCGGCTGACTAGCACTCCGTGATCTCAACGGCAGTGCATTACTGCCATTCAAAGCCGGCGACGCCGTAACGCTACGGGAACCACCGCTATCGTACAGGGTCGTCAGCTTCGATGAGCTGATCTGGCCTTGCAAAGGAACTCGAGGAGGACGTGAGGGGAAACTAGGGTCTGTGCCAAAACTTGCAGTAGAATTCACCCTGTTGGCCATGGGGCGATAGGAAAGGGGAACGGGGGGATTAGCTCCAGGTGGCAAAGGCAAAACGCCATTCGCCGTTCGCCATTGCGACATGACCTGACCATTGATGTCTTCTGTCCTGGCTCGGGGGCGGTCATCGCCAACCGCCGAGTCGCGTGGCTCGACAGGCATGCTCTGCATTCGATGCATACCCATGGGCGTGCCACGACCGGATGGTGGCATGCTCGCAGGAGGGTAATCCTCATACTCGTCCTCCAAGTCGAACTCGAAGCCCTCGTGGCTAGGATAGCTACCGCTGGAGTAAGATCCAGCCACCGAGACTTCCTCGCTGGTGCTGTAGGCATTGACACGATGACGACTGCTGGCTGGGTGAGGTGGAAGGCTATGTAGGGAGTGGGCATGAGACACCATCGAGGAACCGCGGTCATGAGCGAAAGGCATTGAACGCGGCAAATGTGCAGCAGGAACAGAGGCGTGACTGCTGTGTTGAGCCATGAGTTGGGAGAAATTCCGTTCTGACGCTCTTCGACTCGCAACCTCCTTAATGAGACGGTTAATCTGACACTCCCACTGTCGCAGTTGCTCTTCGGATCGGCAACGGAGGGTAAAGAACTCGAGGTCGTCATCGCCTCGCCACCACACAGCCAGGGAATGTGGGTTGATTGTGGTTGAAGCTTGAGGAAGAACTGTCAGTATGAGACATTCGCAAGACCAACAGACCTACCAATCGAATTCCTATTCGAGCTCGGAATAGCTTGGGTGACGTTGTTCAAGAAGATACGTCCTTTCAACAGGAGAGGAGTGTCTTTTTTCTTGTTCGGTGAGCTCATGGGTGGGGGAGCAAGGGCTTGCAAGCCATTCTGCTTCTTAAGAATAGAATTATTCTTTCCTCCGCGTTTGCCGTTTTGAGGGGGAGGTGCTGCCTCCTTACAGCAAAGTATGATCTTCTCAAAGAGAAATACGTGATATTCGCGATCGACGTCAGACTTGGTGACGGTGAAGATATCATCGAGGAGAAGGGCGCCGAAATTCGACAAATGGTGACCTTTCCAGTCTTGAACGCGACCTTCCAGATTTTTGACTGTCTGGACATTCTCAGCGCGTCTTTGTGCCTCGTTAATCTTATCGGTAATACGTTTAGCGGCAGCCGATCCAGCTTGGAGTTCCTCAGAATGCGGGTAATCGGTGGCAGATGTCGCCTTAATAAGCGACTACAAATTCCAGTCAGCTCATGATGCTTTCTTTGATATCGAAATTACACTTACATCAAGGAGCAGCGGATATTTGCAAATTCGCTGAACCGGCTTGATCAAAAAGGCAGGCAGTTCAGATTTGGCGTTGATCAAATTATTGTGGACCTGAGGACGGAGATCAGTATTTGGATGTTCTATTTTTAACATATGTTCGCGATATGTTCCGTCACTAAGCATATGACGCTGAACAGCCCAACAATGCAGGTACAGGAACTGTCACGGAGGAAGGCTCACCGAAAGATTCTGCTCCTCCGCAACCATGAGATCTACTGCATTGGTGTAGTTTGCACAGTAGGGTTCGTATACTGCGAATTCCTCTTCCTGTTGTTCCCAGAATGAACCAAGTTGAATAAACCCATAAGGAAGAAAAGAAGCATCGAGAAACACGAACGTTTTCTAGAAAGAGGACTCCCCAGCGCTGATCTCGCCACGCCATCTCTGCGGTGCTCTCTAATCGAATGAGGAACTTCCTTTGGAAGTTCAAAAGTTTGTTCAGTCCTGGGAAAAGGTAGTGAATGGTATCCTGGTCGATTGTATTGCTTTGGGACAAGGCAGTTGCATATTTCTTTTGTCAAGTTAGACAAGAGATACTAAATGCAGATGTAGGGTACGCACCTGCATGACCTCCAAGTCTTGGACGTATTTCCGTTCGGTCTCTACCAACTCTCTGATAATGTTGTTACGGGCGGCCTCTTGCGCGCTTGCGGGAACGGGCGTATTTGGTACGTCACCCACTAGCGAGTCGATGGAATCATGCGTGGACATCAATGGAGGGGACAAAGGAGCTGCTTCGAATAGTGCGGACGGCAACATATCGACGATGGTGGTCACTGTACTGACGACCTAGATGGTCATGAGGTGTTAGAGCGACGAATGGAGATAAGCCAGGAACGCACCTTTACTAGACCATCGGTCGAGTGTCTCTCCCATAAATCGGTTACGGTGAACTGCTCGCAATTGTCGAGGTTCGTTATATTCATGACGAAGACAGCGATGGCATGCTTCTTTGCACGTTCATTACTGACGTCGAAGATTGAAGGATCCGTTTTTACTGTAGATGTATTTGTTCTGCCAGGAAGAAGCTGGTAAAGGAAACATAGTGATATTCCGAGGGAGAAGCAGTCCCAGAGTTGAGTTACAGGATCGGTTGACTGACGTAGTGAACCTGAGTGAGATGACAGTATGAAGAAATTTGAGAATCCAGGGATACGCATTAAGCGAGTTCGCAAGGAAGAGCATTGCTGGTAGAGGGATGTCGATTGAGAAGCAGCTTTGTTGAGGATATTGTTGTTAGCTACTGGAGTTTCGATTACAAGACCGGGATTCGATGCTATTGATTTTTTACGAGCAGCGACGTTCGCCATGATGGCGGTTTGAATAAGAAGAAGAGCGCCCGGCTCAGTCGATGAGTTGAAGTAACTAGTAGTAGGGAGGAACCGTCACAAGAGATAATACTATTTAAAACTCCGATTGGTCATATTGTTGACTTTACACAAACAAAACAAAACAAAACCTTCATAATGTCTTGTTCTCGTAAACAACAATACAAGTCTTGTGGCTACTTTAATATTCATTGTCTACTTGCTAGTCTAGACTACCTTCTAGAGCTTCACTTCTAAGTCCTTCCACAGACTCATCTACTTCCACTGCATCTCCACTCATTCCTGTCCTATTAATATCTGTAACGGGTAGGGGTGTTACAGGGGTTAAACAGTGTTACAGCTAAGTACTTGCTGTTACAGATCGGCACCGCCCTCCAGCTCGGCGCCCAGCAAGTACACCGTATTCGTCACCGTGTGTGACCCGCATCACTATTCGTCCATCTCTGAGTTGACGCCGCACCAAACATCCGGGCGAGTTTACTCCGATACTCCTAGTATATTCTCAACCCCTCTCAGCCCGCACTGGATGCTTCTCAATGCCTTTTTTAGATTTTTTTTTGCGAGCACACGGCTGTACAGTGCACACGGACTCCAGCGGGGGGCACGAGGTCATTGTCAAGTTCGGATTCGTATGGGCGTTTGTCCTTTACTTTCTGGTTGATCCAATCATGGAGTCTCGAGTGCCCATAATGCGCTGCTTTTCTATGGAGATTTGTTTCCATCACTTCCTCTGCTTAACGCGTGGTTAATATTAATAACACACCGTATGGACCATCATTTGGCAAGGAACGTTTTTGCCTTGAATGCGGACGTGCTCGCAAGTAACATTACCCTCGGTGAATTCACCCGTCACGATAAGTACCGTACAGGTTTATCAGCACTACATGATATCAAGCACTTCGAACTCACAGAAGATGTAGTACAGTATTCCGTGGGATGATGCGGGTATGTTTTTACGACTCTTCCGTGTAACGTATTCTCATGATTATCTTGAGCAGTCCTAGGGGGAACGGGCTGGAACGGTTGTTTGAATCTAAGATATGTCCAACACTCAAGTCATGGCATATTAAATTTCATGTGCCTTCGCAACAGACGCGTTATGACCGTTGCCGATAAACATAACTTTCATTATTGATAGCACTGTCAACAATGTCCAATGGAAATAAAGCTGAACGAACGACCCTCTTCCTTCTATAGTATAGGTCTGACTGGGGACGAGACAGTACTAGATAAAGCTTAAGCCAAAACTTGGAATTATGTCGATATTGACACACTGTCAAGAACATCGAGTACTATATATATATATCGACATGTCATGTCACCTTGCTTGCCCACATGCAATGTTGCCCCGTAGACACCCTAGAATTTGTGGTACATACTGTACATTTATAGTAGATGCAAGATTCTCAAGCCTCCTCACCGTTCTCATCAATGTCAATGTTCTCGCCATTCGCCAATTGCTGAATGAAGTGATCGATCTTAGCTTTGTGTATACGGTGATGTTCCTGCCATCCCTTCCAAGGATGATGAGGATGCTGTGAGCAAGACCAGGTCAGTCAACTCGATATAATACCAAACAGTGGAGACTGACTGTACGACCAAACGCCTGGAAGATCTTATCTGACGTCCCTTCCGGCTTTGTGAAAAAGTACTTGGCGAGCAGAATATCATCTCCGCGGCTGTAACGCATCTTTTTCTCCGGTGGCTGAGGCAGAGGCTCGTCCTCTTCTGTGCGATTCAGTTCGTGCTTGTGACGACGCCAGAACTTCATCCATGACGCGCGCGAGTGATGCGGGGCCTGAGAATGATCAGTCAAGAGAATATAACGGAATGTGAGTCGATTACCTTGGCAGCAACGTCCTTCCAGAATGCAACCATATCGAATCGATCCTGGGACCTAGGTACATCATGAAATCACCGCAAGGAAATCATGTTGTAGTACTTACTTCCTGTACTCCATAAAACGTACAAGGAACGCAACGTCCTCGTCCGTGAAAGCTACTCCCTTCCCCGTTGTACTCCTGAAGAGAGCGCGAGGTGGAGTCGGAGAGCGATTACGTGGACGGTTAACGTCTTGCTGCAACCGAGCCTGCGCAGCCGCGATGATACCAGGACCCGTAGTTCCGAGAGGCATTAGTTGCTCTTCCTCTTCGGGCTCAACTTCGCCTTCAGGGCGGGGCGTGTTGTTGTCGCCGGTGTCCATTGAGTAGCCACCCAACCGGATCTGATGCTTATTGCAGTATCGACGCCAAGAGTAAAACCTGCGGCACTCGTCAGATTGATAATAATGCCTTACTTGAGACTCGCTCACGTATGATGGGGCGCCTATCATGCATCCATGCACGACCGTCAGGAAAGGTTGAACAACACTGGAGATGCAAGCGACTTACTTTGACTGCAATCCTCTCGCAGATTTCTCTTAAACTGGAGATAGTTTAGTCTTAGCCGCCAACTGTCAGTAAATACCCACCTGAGGACTAGACCTTGTTCTTGACAGTAATCGATGTATCGTTTGAGGTATAATACGTCATCAGAGGTAAACAAGTTTCCTCCGTATGTGCTCTTGATTACGCGCGTTGGGGGAGTTGGTGAACGTGCCGGGGGATTTCGGCGATTCAATACAAGAGCGGAGGGTGGGGCGGCGGGCGGCGCCTAATGATAAAATCATATATCACGTCAGATGAGATGAGGTGAAACGTACAGTATTGCGAGTGCGTTTACGACCACGGGGCTTTTCAGCAAGTGCACTATCAGCGGGGACCGAAGACGGTCCAGCCGCCGACGGTCCTGCTTCTGGCATGTAAGGTGCAGTCTGATCATATGGATGCTCATACTGATATTGACCATATGAATAGCAACCTTGACTAACGCGCGTGACAACTTACCGAAGCAGGGTCGTAAGGATATTCATTAGCCGGAGGAGCCCATTCAGGACGATCATCTCCGTATCTATAGTCATAAGTTGGCGCACTCGGCCCAGCTACCATATGGGGCGGAGGCTGGTTGAAGGGCGTCACCCAAGGTTCGTCCCGATATGGATGTGTTTGCCGGGCAAGCATCGCTGCAGTCTGGGGTGAGGCTATATGCGTTTGCTGGGGTGCGATGGCATTGGGGGCCTGCCATGATTGGGGCGGGGCAGCTGTCGGCGGCTGCATACCTCGAGGAGGAGCATGCATTGGATGTCCGTACACAGGGTAACCGTAAGATGTTTGAGGTGGATGAACCATGGGATCTCCAGGGGGCATAGGAGGCATTGCTTGCGGGTGGGGAGGCATGGGACTGCATTGGAGCAGGCTGAGATGCGGTGGGACGCGTTTGATCAGTCTGAGACGGGACGATGGTAGGTGGCGTCACTCTGGTGAGGTTATTCAACATGGGGAGGAATATTCGGTGGCAAGGAAGAGACAAACTTCTCCATCCCAGTGACTTTACAACCCGCCCAATTGTTCTGGAATGTTTGAAGAGCGCCAGTACGGACGCACTCATGAACCCAGCGGTAGTGCAGGACAATTTTACCCTTTTTACCAGCGTACTGACGGTACAAGTTCTGGCCTGATTCTTTATGTGGATCGACTAATAGGGCGCAGTTGTATGAAATGTGGCGGACATGGTAAGGTTCGTACTCACCAAGAATGTATGGCGTCCCGCTATACCCTGGTGACGATGTGCCGCCGTGTTTCTGCCACAAAGATTTAGTAACCCATCCTCAAAGACACGAGATCCGAAGGGTGACCTACCGTTACAAGTTCGACGAGAGTGTCCCTGTCTTCCACCTCCTTCTCGATATACACATTAAGAGGCGTGCCCATCATCGGCTCGAGAAACAGATTACTTCCGGGGACATCTGTGGTGGGGGACGCATCCGGCTGGCCCGAGCGCAGGGATACACTTTGTTCATGCTGATTGCGTCTGGTAGAACGCGCTGGTGCCATGGGTCTCAGCCAGGACTCCTTGATGTAATGATAGAAGTGGTGGTTGGGGTCAAGGTTTGAGTTTCTGGGGCGGAGTGGCAGGAGGCTACCGGCGGAGATCTAAATTTGCCGGATCTCACCGCTCTGTACATAGCAATGGCATAGCCCTAAGCTATATATTAGCTATGTAGCCTTGTTATCTTATCTGAGCAGTTGACACTCATTAACCGACCTAGGTGCTCAGCGCTCAGCGAGCGACGTTAACGACCCATGACGCAACCTCTGGAATATCTTTCTCAGGCGCATATCGACAAGGTTAGTACTAGTACTCTTGAATACTCTTCCATGATTTCTAATACTATGGTTGTCAGTTTTATAGGGATGGGTAAGTAGGATATCTAGGAAACTCGATGCTCTCAGTGACCGGTCTACTCAGGTACTTGGTCGTCCGTGGTTTCCTCTCTCACGACCAGACAAGTTCTCTTTTGGCGCGGTCCAAAGATCTCCTCGATGAATTTACGCCGGAGGACCATCCCCTGGTGAGTGCGCCTACTTAAATCGCGAACAACATTCAGGACCCTGGACGCGTGGCAGATCAAATTCACAACGTCGGATAAAGACCACGTCGGTGACGACTACTTTCTGAATTCAGGCGATAAGATCCGCTATTTCCTTGACGAAGACGCCAGTCGACAGTAGTGGGAAGCTTACGAGGGATAAGGCAAAGGCAGTGAATAAGATCGGTCACGGTTCGTTGCGAACACACATGAATCTTCACATGAATCTTACTTAAGATAGCCCTTCACGAATTGGACCCTGTGTTCCGAAAGGTTACTCTGGAAAACGATCGACTGAAGGCTCTAGTAGCGCGACCTGCGATTCCATCATGATCCAGTTGGTAATGAATCATGTTTGGTCGCCAGAGGGGACACTGATATATAATTTCTAGCAATGCAATCAATGGTTATATTCAAACAGTCTCAGACTGGTGGTGCAGGTGAGCAACTGACATCAGCCGGTAACGACATTCTGGCAAGTAGCTAATACATCAACCTTGGAGTGCCCGAGCACAACGACTCGTAAGTGGCAAGTCACTGACGTTGAGTCCAAGTCTAAAATGGGCCTATGAAAATGCTCAGCACGTTCCTCGTCAGTATCAGTCTTTCCCCCTGTTTCCATGCCTTCATTCTCAGGTCATATTTAGTACACGTCACCCCTAAGTGCTCTGGGGTTCTGGATGGCTCTTGAGAAGTGCACACCCACGAACGGCGCCCTGTCATTCTTGCCCGGATCGCATCTGACAACTCCAATCACGAAGAGATTTGTACGATTACCAGGGGGTGGTACCGGTTTCGAGCAGCTTACCGCCCCTCCGCCTCCCCCATCCGACACAAGCGAGAAAACGATGCAGATTGCGTCAGAAAGTGCCTCCGAAGGGAAATATGTGCTGGAAGCTTGTGAACCAGGTATTTGGTTACGTGCTAGCCGGATGACCATCGCTGAACACCAGATGCTAGGCGATCTCGTCCTCATCCATGGCAGTGTCCTTCACAAGTCAGAACGTAATACCAGTGCTCACACGCGATTTGCGTATACTTTCCACATGATTGACTCACCTCCTTACGCCAAACACGACGAGAAGAACTGGCTTCAGCCTACTGAAGCCATGCCTTTCTCCAGAATCTTGGACGCACCAATTGGAAATACTCTTTCCACTCCTATATACTAGCCAGATGAATCTTTGTCCGTTTAGAATATTGTTATACACGAGATATCTAGTCGCTAACATGCTAACTTTGCATCGCCGAGATGTTACATACTGTAATTTCATAACACTTGAACTTTTGCCCTGGAGAGCACAGTTTCTGGCTTCAAGTGGTACAGTTCATCTATGAGGGCTGGGAGGAACGTTCCAGACCCATGGACATCGCTTCTTTCAGCTGCACACTCGGCTGCCACCGTCAGAGCCAAAACACTACCAGCCATTAGCTAGTCTTCTCATTGTACGAAATTGCTTGATCAGATTTGACTTACCCACCAACAGCGCCTATCAGCATGTTTCCCCTGACGAGCTTCGCTGGCTCAGGTCCAGGGCTCGTTTCATGGGTAGTGGCAAGAAGTGAGGCACCAGCACAAAACGTAGCAACGCAGGTCCCAACAACACATCCCGACCCCGTAATATCACCGAGCATTTTATGGCCGTTTTCCAACCTCACCACGATGGTGCCATCGGACACCCAGTCTGTCGGTCCCGTCATCACGACGACGCATCCTTACGGCGTATGAGTTTTAAGACTTATGCACTCGCGATATTCACGGCGCACTCACTTTCCTTCTTGGCTATCTCCCGGACAAAAGACGCCGGATCTGCGAACCCAGAGCCAACGCTATCAACCCCTTTAGCCTGTACCTGTAAATAAATACCATAAATTCGCAAGTTCCACGCGGAAGCAGGATATGTGTAACAGACCTCTATCGAGTTAGCGAGAGCAGCCATCTCACCAGCGTTGCCTTTGATAACGCTGGCCTGCCATGCATTCAGGAGTTCTGAAGCTGTCATCTTCCTGAACTGAGTAGCGCCTACTCCGACTGGATCAAAGACTAGGGGTTTTTGTGCTTCATTTGCGTACTGCCCCGCAAGAATCATGCTATCTTTGTTCGTAATGGTGCCAAAGTTTATGAGTAAACCGCCTGGAATGCGACTAAGATCATGCATCTCTTCGGGCGCAGTAGCCATAATGGGACTTGCACCCAAGGCTAAGGTGGCATTCGCGGATTGGTTCGTGACCACGACATTTGTTATCTGTGTGGCAGTTAATCGATAGGCAAAATATCATCATGCGTGAGAGTGTCTACTTGATGGATGAGTGGACTCTTGTCTCGTATCACCTGCATAAGTTCGACAACGCTGTTCTTGATGGTCTCCACATCGTACACTTGCGGCGCTTGACTTTGCACATCAAAATAATGAACCCACGCATCGAGGCTATCCCTGAGCCTTTGGGCTGCGGAACGGGGTGCTGAAGAAGCCACAATGTCCGAGACCACAGCGATACCATCCAGCCTGTGTCCAGATGTTGATACAGATCCATGTAAGGTTCTCAGGACGTTGGTGTGATTTATCCCCCCTGGAGAACAGGTTTTTAGACATCTCAATGGATGCAGTGTGTGCATTTCTGCATACCGATTGCAACCGCCTTGGTATCTGTCCCATCTAGAGCTCGAAGCAGCGAGCCAACACCTCTGACCCCAATGATTGGGCTGGTCAGCTGCTTAGTTGTCGTGCCCCAGACGGCACCGATGCCAACATAATCAACTTGGTCCTCTATCGCTTTCTTCACATGGTCTATATTGTTGCAGGAGACACCAATCACCATATCTGCGGGAAGTAAAGTCTTTGCGACATGGACCGGCATGTCTGTTTGCCCCAGATGCACACCATCGGCTTGAACGGCGAGCGCGATATCAATACGGTCGTTGATGATGAGAGGAACCTTGTATTTCGTGCAGAGGATCTTCGACTCTCGTGCAATTTCCAAGAACTGGGATAGGCCGTCTGAAAGGGCAATAAGGAGACAAACGATCACTTCTCACTTCTAGTGTGTCGGACTTCTTTTCTCGGATCTGAACAACAGTAACACCGCCTTGTAAGGCCTAGAAAATTTGGTGCAAGTAGAAACGCCGATCAACACATGTCACTTCTGAAAATGATGCCCAGACCTCTTCCAAGGATTCCAGATATTCCTAAAAATGAGCGAGCGACTTTAATGGCGTTTGAAATCATGGGTATCGCTGACCTTCCCTGGTGGCAGCAGCTCCCGGCCTGTGACCAAGTACAGTGAAAAGTCAATTCTCATTATTTTGACAACGGCAACCGTAGCCCAGAGTCAGTGTTACACGCGTTATAGCGAACAAGAGAGAACGATCTCCGAAGCCGCGGTATGTCAGCGGGTCCTGATAACGGCACCGATTGCTTCGACGTGCCAAGAAAGGAAGGTAAGAAAATCACTACCTACATCTAAAAAAAGTCGAATCGGTCGAAATAAATTTTTCAACAACTCACATTTGGCTCAGGGCGTACGTTCGTAACTGTTCGCATTTGCAAAATATAGTAGTGTAGCAATTAAATATACTGAATTTCGCATTGTAAAGTAGAGACTGGGAAACTAGTGGGAATCTACGACAAATCTAGTACGAATTATGATTCCAGATCATCCAAGTCGAAATCAGACAATCGCTCAGTAGTGTGCTGTTGGGAGCTCCCACAAATTACCATGTAGTCCTTCCACCCATCCAGCATAGCTTTCTCGTCGTCGTCAAGATTGGTCATGGTCGAACAACTCCTGGTGAATGAGGCGGCGTTTGATTCCAGGGCACTTCTGCTCTTTCCGAGCCTCAGTCGACTCTGTTCCAACAAAGCAGACTCTACACTTGCGCCAATGGCGTGGTGTAGCTGTTCGCGCGGCGAGTGGAGAAATGAATGCAGCCTGTAGGGCCCACGCCAGATCAGTCTCACAAGAAGGTGAAAGATAAACAGGTTTCTGAACTTCGCATGAATAATAAGGGTCCCGTCCTGTTTAAAAACTCAGTGTGAACTCGGACAAACACAAAAAGAAAAATATACTGCAGCGAACGAATAATGAAAGCCAACGGATTGTCTCGAACGAGATATTGTACCCGATTAACGTGAAATACCTCTGGGGAGACGTCACTGCCTAGCGGAGGAAAGAGCGAATATCCCATCGCGATACCACCGCGAGCGAGCGTCATGACTTCCGTACGCATCGCGATAATTGCTCCTCATATTGCCGTAACGTCCTCGTTTTCACTCGGCCAGGGTACGACCCCTAGCGATCAATTTCTTCGGCGACTTGTTTGGAGAGTTATGACCGATTTTTTCTGAACAGCTTCGCGGATAAGGAGAGTTATCATACGTTCAGTACAGAGTTCGCATAGTATGACATGATCAGCAGCTAGTACTAGTAGCACAATCTTCAATCTATGCATTAATTGCCGCATCGAGCTGCAGGTCGATTTTAATGTCTACCATTTCAATTGTTAACGTACATCCAGATATATATATTGCACAACGAAAAAGTCTCTTCTACCAATCGCGTTGCTCCATCACTAGCTCATCGTAAGCATCAAACTTCTTTCTGACAATCGAGAAAACTGGGTGTTTTGCTGATGGGCCTAGAAGTACCTAGTTGGCTCACAAAAGTATTTATTCCATCTCAATTGTGCGGCTTCGTGCGGGCTTTCACTGATTGTAAGTTATTATCATTATTCATGATCAAGCATTCTGCGCTTGTACTGTATTGCCCCCGCTTTGGAGGTATGTACTACATCAACCTTCAAAATCACTGAATCCTCTAGGGTCAACGGAACATCATTGCAAGTACTAGCCAAGGGCAGGAACGCTCGTAAATGGTGGGAAGACCCTACAATTAGCTCTTTGCGCCACTAGCTTCCCATTGTCTATAGGAAGATCAGGGCTTCAGCTCACTTAGATTCTCCGGATTTCGTTAGTGCTCGAAAACATGCGAATTTTCGCTTCCGCACTATCAATCAATCCACCACGACATCATACTTCCTAGTGCCTCTTCCCATCTGGTGGCTCCCCTGGATTGGCACTTAAAGAGAATGATATATGATTTGCGTTCGTCCGATAACGCCTCACATCTTGCAGATTCCATCACCTCCTCATGGATCCTGCTACGATCTGGTGGTGCTTTGGCAGTCTTGCCGTTGCATTTGTGACTTTCCAGCTATCCGCCGTACCATCACACTTGCGCCATCTCCCTCGTGTTCCGATCCTCCCTCTTCTGGTTAGTTATTTATCAGGTGAGGTCGAGGATGTGCGTATCAAGCGCCTCATTCTGCCCTATGCAAACGAGAGGGGTGAAGGGCTCGTCCTCGTGTGGGCCTTAGGTCGATGGATGATTCACATTCTTGACCACAAGGTAGGCACTTCATCTTTTTATCGATCTCTTATTTATCTTCCTCTAGCTCGCGATCCAAATGTCCGAGAACCTTTTGTTATATCCGAAAGAGTTGCCGCCTGATGGTCTCTTGTTATGGCGCTTCATCGGGAGCTCAAATGTCCTAATGGCAAATGGTGACCGCTGGAAGAAACACTCAAGGGTCATCCGAGATGCGTTCAATCTTTCCATCCCTGTCGACCAATTCACGCATTTGGCCAAGAACCTCTTTGATGTCATTAATCCGCCCTCAGAAGAGAACGACACCAATACTGTCGACTTCTCTGAACTCGCGCAGCGTTTCGCCCTCGATGCGGTTGGCTCTTCAGTCCTTGGGCATGACTTTGATGCTATTCGCACCGAGTCCTTGTTCGTCAAAGAGTACAATGGCATTATGCACGATATTGCCAACCCTCTTTACCTGATCATGCCCTTCCTCGAGAAAGTTTTTCCTCGCAAGGAGGTCATCAAGCGCATGGACAACTTGGTCGACAGGTTTAAAACGTTGCTCCAGGAGAAACGTAATGACCCTGGAGATGATATGATGACTTTCATGCTGAAGGAGCCCACGATGTCTGAGGAGGAACTTCGTGATAATATGGTTGTCCTCTTTATAGCTGGCCACGTAAGTCTAATCCGCTGCACTCGGTAGCAGATGTTAACTCCAGCCTATATTTTAGGATACCTCGGCTGGAGGCCTCTCCACTCTAATCTACTTCCTTGCTATTCACCCAGAAATCCAGGCCGTTGCGCGCGAGGAAGCTCTTGGCGTTCTTGGCCCTACTGCTGATCCCAGCGTTGATACCCTTTCCGCTGCGTCATTACCTTACCTCAACGCCTGCATTCGCGAAGCACTCCGTATCAACACTCCGATCTCATACATTGTTCCCCGTGTCACCGCCGAAGCTGTTACCCTTGGAAAGTACTACATTCCACCTAACACCTCACTTATATACAACATCTACGCCATCCATCACCGTAACGACGTCTGGGGTGACTCCCACACATTTAGGCCCAACCGCTTCCTCGAGAAGACCGAGAAGAGCTCGACTCTCAAGGATGCCTGGGTTCCTTTCGCCTCTGGGCCGAGGCAGTGCCCTGCTCGTAACTTTGCGCTCTACGAGCACCGCGCCCTAGCTGTGATGTTGCTGCGAGAGTACGAGTGGACATTACCGGCAGATTCGATTCATAAAAATGGATTGAAGAACGCCTTCTCTCCCTTTGCCCTGACGCTCCCCCACAACCTTCATATCTCTTTCACAAAGCGCAAGTATTAGAAGATAGTACTTTTCGTGAGTATCTATGTCACTAGCTTTGCTGCGCATAGTCCAAAGCAGTTGGTTCAAGAGTAGAGATGGTTATACCAAAGTTCATTATGTCGTGAGGCAGATTGGTTACATGTAAATAATAATTTTATGAGTCCTACAATAATAGTATTTTGCTACAATATTCTTTCCGTACATATGCGAACGTCATCGCCATGCTTCTTTGAACAGCGTTCGGTATAAATATCGTCAGACCCAGTATTCTAGCTAGGAGTGATACAAATGTCAGGCATGTATAATAAAGTTTCTTTAATTAAACCGGACTCTACGTCCCTCCGTATGCGGCCCGCGCATCAAGCGATACTCCTTCGCGCTTTGGCTTCCTTCCTTTTTCTTGCCCATTCCTGTTCCTGTGGAGGAGGGTCAATGGTTCTCAAGTCCCCCCACATACCCGTCTTGTAGATGGCCCTGATATTCGGAACGAGCAGCAGAGCGACGGCCAGCCAGTCGCTAAGCATGTGGAATATATAGAATGTTGCCTTCTCTAAAGAAGTGTTGCCCGAGCCCGGGGCTAGTGACGTAAGAGAGGTCGTGCGATGATACATAAACATCAGTCGGAAGATCGCAGAGGATGCCTACGCATTGAAGAAAATCATGATTATTATATTGACGGATAAGCAGAGTACACGGATCCTTACGTTGCAAGCGAGGATGACAAGAAGTAGAACGGCTTGAATGGGCTCCACTTTGGGTAGCTTTCTGGCGCGAAAAACCAGAACCCCCACAAAAAGTATGAGGAAGAGAGCAATACTGGAGCTTATGTACCTGACAAATATGTTTATATAAGATGGAGGTGTGTGGGTGAAAATCGAATGCACCTGGTGATCATCACCTCATTGGCTGTGCTTGTGCTATCCATTCCACCACGATAATGTACATTGCCAATTATACCAGGGATAATGGCAACAAGGAAGGCCAGATTCAGCACGTCGGTAAACCAGCGATAGAAAAAACGCTTTTTTGGGTCGTCGAGTATGTCATCCGAAAGATGAAGCGAAGCACTGTGAAACGGGGAAAGAGGGTGCATAGAGGATGACATCGACGGAGCGATGGGTGAATCTTGCGAATCCGTAAAATCTGCTGGTCCCTTTGTAGAGTTCACATACATGCAGCGTAGAAGAACTACGACGTCGTGCGCTATGGAAATATATGGTAAAGCAATTGAGACTTGCATGTAAGTCGTCAATGAGGGGGATATCCTTTCAGCTGGGTTGCGGGATTGCCAGGCTCGTAGAGAGAAGATTATGACTCTGGAGAGCTGACATGAGGCAACGCGCGTTAGGGAAGGAGGGAGCTGTGTTTACCTTTCTATGACTGTAATCATCGCGTTAATGCTCACGACAGCCCGCGAATGCTTGTTAGATAGTCGGGCAACGAAGATGGGTATGAGGGAAAAATACAGTAGGGAAAAAAACATTGATGGGCCAAAGTCGGAAGTCATTGGGACACCGCCAACCGGCGACGGGAATGCAATGTCGCTTGCCATCACCCACTGCAGATTCGGGCGACGGGATGAGCTCTGGAGAAACGTAGAGGTCGCAAACAGGCAGAGAAGAATGAAGACAGAAAGGATAGCCATTCTGAATCTACGCATTCAAGGGTGGGATCAACCCATTCAGTCTGAATATACATGCTCGAAGCTGCGCAGCATGTGGGTGTCGCGAGTTTGACCAGCCTGCTTCAACGAGGCCTAAAATGAGGCAAAGTTGTGAACGTATACACCTGCCAAATTTGGGAGAAGCCAGGAAATTGGAAATTGTGGCACTCTCTGGCCGAACTGCCGCCGAAGTGATGGAACCTTCGGTCGGGTGGCCGACTCGGGCCTATTAATATTGGTAGTTAACTAGGGGAGCTCAGAGTAGGCCGCTGGCCGCTGTCGCTTTCGCTTTCGCTGTCCGAAACAAATTATTTTACAACTCGCACAAAATAATCCGAAATAAATCACGTATACCATATTGAGCGCTTTGTTTATCGCCTTGAGCCGCTCATCATCCAAGCTCAAGCTTATATATGGTTGGCAAATCCAAAAAGCCCAAGGTCTCGCTGCCGGAAATTCCATGGAGCGAGAATAACCATTCGCGAGTGTGGAAACTCATCACGGAACTCGGCCAAAAAGCAAATTACAAGGTGTTGTTTGGAAAGAAAGACCAACACGAGGTGAGCAACTGTAGTACTAAGTATAACACTAGTATTGGTGCCATTAATTTGACGAATCACATCAGAACACCTCTGATGGTCCTCGATTAATCCTAGAATCACTTTAAATACTTCCGGAGAGACTCAGAGCATATTGATGAAGCGTTGGTGATTGGCAGGGCTGTTTGCCCATTCCCATGTAAGGTGTAAACTGCCAGATGATTTGAGAACAGGGGGACGAGAATAGAGGTAGCGAGTTTGTTGTATGGCTATGATGCAATTTATGTCTATATTAAGCTCTTGTGCTAGGTCCTCTGGTGTTCATGCAGGTTGGAAGAGTGCTCGAAAGGCCATAAAAGGCTATATACTGCTGATGTAGCGAGCGAGTTGGTGAACAGCTAATAGGGAGCTATCTGCTTATATAACATCTGCTAACCCTTGACACTCACGTGCAGCGACAGCGAAAGCGAAAGCAACAGCGGACAGCGGCCTACTCTGAGCCCCGCTAGTGAATATCGCTGTTGGACCAACCTAGTGGTATCGGGAGTAGCTGGAAGGAACGGTAGGATATGCAGGATTTTCTGTTCAGAATATCCGGTCAAGAACCCAACAGCTGTCTTGTTCACGTACAGTCTTGATTCATGCTTGTTAATGCCTCTCGGTCCTGCATCAGCAGCATGCAGGAAACTCGGATTATCCCGATACTTTGATACTACCTGTGAACGTTTGAACACAGCGGTTTTTACTCCATAACATACTCGACTGCCGTCTCTAGGTCAGTGGCATTCCCACAGCAACTCAACCCTCAAATTGCTCCTCGCGGCAATGTCATGATTCCAGCTTGCTCCCTTCTCGCAACCTGGTAAGTTGACTAGCGAACAAGTGTTGGGCAATTTTCTTGGGTTCTTGAACGGCCACATTCCCAAAAGATTCTAGTGAAAGAAAATAGGGAAGCCATGGTTCTGTTATGTCCTGTCAAACAATGTCAGTATTGCTTCATATCCGCGCTCATCCGTAAGTCGTGACTATCATCTGACCTCCTGGTTACAGTGAACGCTATGAAATTTCAGCACTTTGCTTTCGCTCCACTGTCCGCAACCTCCCGACGGCCTCCGAACGAGTCGGCGTCTCTGTCACTTTACTGATGCGCATAATTTCCGGATTCCATTGCATCTTCTCGTATGGCTCCATGTAGCTATGCCACTTACCGCATCACGAAACTAAAAGCCGATGTTTCTACGGTATAATCACTTATGTATCTCGAGGTGACGAAATGATCCTTGCTGGATGTGGAAGGCTATCTGACTGAGAACAAACCCATCCTTCTTCAGCCCTGATGAAGTAACGATTATCTTTGTCGTACATGTCTGGTCTCGGCGACAAGGCGCGGCTATGTATCCTCTGGAGTGTTCTCTTGGTGTTACGTTCGCATTCCCATGCAGATGCCCCTGAGTCATTGTGAACTAGAAACCCGTCTTTGTGACTGTATTGACCACCCGGCGGAATGCCACCCGCTCACGCTGTCTCGAAGCAAGGCACCATTTATAACAGTTGCTGAAACACTCATACTGGGCAGACATCCTCCATATCCCCTCGTACAATCATGACAACCAATTCACGTATCATTTTCAACGAAATGCCTCATGGCCTGCCAAATCCTAAAACAGCTTTGATTGTCGACGATACACAGTCTATTGATCTTGATAATGTACCACTTCAAGGAGGCATTCTCGTCAAGGCGCTTGCCTTCAGCCTTGATCCCTACATGCGCAATCGCATGCGGCCCGTTGAGATTCAAGGGGATATTGATGCATTCGCCCTCGGCGAAACGTAAGCTGATGCAATAGACTTTACCAGATACTGATGGTTCGCAGAATTACTGGTTTCAGCGTCGCTGTGGTCTTGCGAAGTGAGACGCCCTTGATTCAAGCCGGCCAACATGTGTATGGATTCATGCGTGCGTATACTGCTGCGGAGTTTGGCAGCACCTATTATCTTTCGTTTTGTTGCAGACTACGAACGCTACAGCGTCATCCCATCAATAGACGCCAATGCACTTGGGATGAAGGGCCTGAGCCTACAAGTCCTTGACAACAAGTATAACCTCCCATGGCGATATTATGTTGGAATCCTTGGAATGACAGGGCAGACAGCATATTATGGACTCAAGGATATTAGCAACCCTAAACCTGGCGAGACGCTCTATATATCGGCCGCGTGTGGCGCCGTGGGCCAGTATGTATCATCTTGCCCTCGATCATCATTTTTGATTATCCATTTCGTAGTATGGTGGTTCAGCTTGCCAAAGCCCAAGGATTGAAAGTCATTGCATCCTGTGGTAGCGACCAGAAGGTCTCGTTGGTGAAGTCACTCGGGGCAGATCATGTCTTCAACTACAAAACCGCAAATACCGCTGCAGAGCTTAGGATGCATGGCCCAATCGACATTTACTTTGACAATGTCGGTGGTCCGACCCTCGAAGCTGCCATAGACAATGTAGCTTGCAACGCGAGGATCGTTATCTGCGGGATGGTTAGTCAATACAACCTAGGTACGGACAAGACATATGGTATTCGAGTGAGCACGTTTATTCTTGGAGGCCCTTAAACCCTAACAGCGGAAATAGAACCTGTGGTTGTTGAACAGATATCGAGCGAAGTAAGTTATTCTGCTAATGATATTACTCCTTGACCATGTTTCTCAATATTTGTTTCGCGATGCAGGATGGAAGGTTTAGTCGTGATCGACTGGGCAGATAAGTATCTGGATGAGTTCCATGACGTTGTCCCGCGAGACTTGGCTGCCGGCAAGTTGAAATATCTGGAACATGTATACAATGGTATGGAAAGGGTCGGTGAGGCACTGGTGGATTTGCTGATTGGCAATAATGTCGGCAAATCTGTACTAGTTCTCGAAGATGGTGTGTAGGAAAGTAGACGCCACGCTACGCGTGTGCATCATACTTCGATTGATCTGTAAATCTCAGCTGGTTGAATTTGGGTTGAATGCTTCGCCGTAACACAATATACGATCATTCAAGTGGAACCATTTCCATGGTCCAGACTAAGACATACAATCGGGTATAGTACTAAGCACACAATTATGTAAATACACATCGATGACGGACAAGTCCACTCGAATGACAGCATAAGTGTACGTTATGATATATAAATCGGAGAAAGCATAATTATCTTCAACGTCCTTTCATCTCGGTCGTTTCCCCCAGTCCTGTCAAGATCTCCTCACCGATTGTTCCTTGAACGCCTGTAGTTTCCAAATACTCCACAAGCTGCGGTGCAGAAGCCTAGAATCAGCGCAACCAGCGCGCCAAGCGCAAGCCAGTTCGCGTTTCCCCAATTGGCGCCAATGCCATTACTTCTCAGGCGACTTCTGACGACACCGAACAGGGACATGCTAACGACCCATGCAATGAAAGTGCACAGCGTGGCAAGTCCAGAGAGCAAACTCATGAATACGGTGCCCGCACGGTGGTATGCAGCGCCACACAATCCGAAGAGGAGTGCAAGACCGGAAAGACCCGCTGCAATGGGATAGAGAATAAGAACGAAGGTGAGATTGTGAAGTATTCCGGTGTTGATATCTCCGGGGAGAGGGAAGTAGTAACCAACTTGAACCTTCGAACCCGTATAACCGAATACACCAAAGGAGTATTGGTTGGCATTGAGAAATGATACGCTGTTCCATGTTGGTGGTGACACAGAAACCTGTCAACAAACGCATCAAAAACATGATAACGATAATAAGATTAGATGGAACATACAAAAATGAGGAGGACCATTGCCGCAAAGCAGAAAAAGAGACCAGGGAGTGCGCCTGATGCTGCCATCTTTGATACAGAGGGTTATTGAATAGACTGCTACTAGAAAGGCGAAGAAAGCAACCTTAGTTTTTAACGTCCGGGGAGTTTCGCTGCGCACTGCGGGCCACAGGTGGTGCCAAGCGCACATCCATGACGTCAGCTACTGCTGCAAAGAGAAGAAATGATGTCATCCTCCATTTGATGACAGTGATGACATAGTATTCTACTTTCAGCATGTAAATGGCTAAAGGAAGGTCAGACAGCTAATAAATTAAATGATTTTAACTAATATTTATATTTAATTTTAATTTTTCGACTATAATTTAGTACAAATATAGAGGTAAGATTCAATTTGCACGTGATCACAATTGCACAGCATTAATAATAATATCAATATCAACGCTGGCATAGATCCTGTGCGTATTGCATTGCCAATGCTATATAATTTCCAGTGTTCCATTCTGCATACTCTTTTGCGGACTGGCGCAAATTTTGCTACAGACGGCAACTATCCCTTTCCGAATTCAAAATCATTGTGACCGTCCTTCCGAGTTTGTCGCAAACCTCTGTCGCCAGCTTTGCACTGCGGGCCTGCGGCCATGGTAGCTCTAGGGCTATTCACGCATAATGCTGTACATGCGTACAGATTATATGCAAATTGCGCTAGTGTCACGGAGTAAGTATGTCTAAGTTGGCCAAATATTTGACCATGAAACAGGTATCCAGTAGACCTCCCCGCCTCCAAGAGCGGGCGATCCATTCTGCCCGATGCGAGCAAGTGAGCGCGTGGATTTCGATATTTCCAGAGGTCAACTATAACATCATTCAGAGCTATGATCAGGCTCGGCTCTATCATACGCTAGACGTACTGGAGGTCATAGTCATCGTGCGTGTAATTCCGTTGGAACTAATAGCAATACTTGCTCTACTGTTTACACCACCTCCAAATCTCCCGAGGTGACATACACTCTATGCATCTCTGTCGATACGAAGGAGCTTGGTCTGATCCACATTCGGTCGGGTGCAATGGCATAGTACGCTTTACAGGTACGCTGGGTGGTCTTGTCTAGTTAGACAATTAAAGGAAGAGCAATTTGTCCCTTTTAGCGTCTCTGCACACCGTGGCAGAAGTCGTGCCCGATCCTTGTTTCCCATGCCATCAACGTGCCGACCATCATTACCGACGAGTCTTATTGCGTCTTCACTGGGAACAAGCGATCAGCTTTCTCAAAACAGTGAGCACTACGCGCGATGCATTCATTAAGCCAGTCTGTGGCAATTATGCCTTCACGGTGTGTGGGGTCACATATTCTGCCTTTGTGATGCAAATGGGTACATCAATGCCATTGGCTCTGGTTCTACGTAAGCAAACAAAACATTCACTAGAAACTCGTCCACACCTTCAAGCGGTTGTGGACCTTGAATAATTGCTTTGAGGTTGTGGATCTGTGGATATTGATGGGCATGGTGCGTCCACAGTGGCCAGACTGATATAAATTCAGAGCACAGATTCCCCTCTACCACACAGTCAATAAGCTGCCATTATTCGCAACTCTATCTATATTCATACATTTTCCTTCTCGTATCAACGATGAATTCCTTCAAAAAACTGTTCCAAAGGTTAGTCGACCGTTTTCATAATTCACTCCTTGTCATCATAGTAATCAATACGCCTCAGGTCCGACGACGACAAGATGGCGTCGCTCAAGCACTATAAGTCGGTGCCATACGGGCTCTCTTCAGAGGGGAGAACGCGCGAGTCTCAGGCCGATCCGTTCAAAGCCGTGTACCATGGCAAGACGCCCCTCAAAGCCTCCGACATCGTGTACGGTGGGCAAGCTCCGGGGATGCTTGACATCCATCGTACACAAATGTACCAAGAGATCTCCGACCACCCCCCAACTCGCGCCCACTTTAACACATGCGGGGACTTGCTGGACAGGTTTCCCAATGCGCCTCAGCCACCTCCGAAACCCCCTCGCAACGCCTTGCGCACGACATCACTGAACTCAAAGAGCATCCGGCCGCAATTGGCACCCAATAACTACAACCCAAGCGGACAGCATACCGCAGGCAGGGAACGAATCTTGCAGCGGTCCCCTTCAGTCGCATGCTTTTCTCATCCTACAGCCACCGCCTACCCCTCCCTTCGCAAAAAGCAGAGGCGCCAGGCAACTGCTGATCAAGCTCTGGAGGACATGTTGAAGCCAGCTCGCGGCGTGGCTGCTCCTATCTTGGGTAGTAGTAGACAGGCAGAACGTGTTCGTGCCAAGTCGAGCGTTGGTCGCTCGTACACCCCTGCTCACCCTCCCGCTCCCCCCGTTCCCCCCGTTCCCACCACCTACTCTTCGCGTCCATCGATCTCCCGGTCAGCGCATAGTTCACGTGCAAATCTGCGTCGCGTTCCATCCCACGTCGCTATTCCATCCACTGCTGCTCCGGACCATGGACAGTCTTACTGGCCTCACCCGAATTATCGTGAATTTTTACAGGAGCAGGACGTGAACAGGATCAATTCCATGATCAATCGTTGCCCTGTAGCTCCTCTCAGCAGCGAGCGTACTCCGGAGCATTTACGACCGATCCGTTTTGACATGGAGAATCCGGATCACTTCCAGAAGACCCTTAGCTACTTCATTCATATTGCTGTTGCACAAGGTCGTCCCCTCGATGCACGCGCGTATGGCCCGTACCGCCGCATCGTTGAGGCTGGTGACCCGACGGGTATCGTTCCGGAGGTTGGCACTGATTGGGCTCGCCAGATGGAATGTCGGTGAATTTGTGAGGATGGAAATTCGTTTGTGGGGATGGAGGATAGTTTGTGAAAGCTAGAGTTTTGGCGCTGTTGTCCCTAGTAGTGTATGTTTTGTATATGTATGTGTATGGATATATGACTATGATCTATGAAACGAATTACCATGACCAGCTTGACGCATATCAGAACTGCGATGTAGATGGAGGTGTTTCGTAGTGCGACAAGTGTACTCGGTTCCATCACCATCCGGCAGAAACGTTAAAGGAGGGTTGCTATCATTCGCCGTTGCAAACTCCCTATCACCAGATACGTTTCACCATTGTAAATCGAGTCAACTCTTCAAGGGGTACCCGCTTTTTGTCAGCACCACCACCTTGTCCATTCCCGCCACGTGTGTACCCCTCACCCATCTCACCAACTCGTGCGGCATCATCTCTCCAATCATCCACCATCTTCTTGAGCTGTTTATTGTACTCACGCTCCTCCTTACCTTCCCCTATAGGATCTCGCCCAAAGTCATTGACGGTGTCTGCAGTAGCACGGGCCTCCATGCCTGCTCGGCGACGTGTTGCATATGAGATGAGGTTCACACCCAAAAGAACTTTTAAAGCGAGAAAACTGAACAAATTAGTTAGCTTTTGTTGAACTCTTGGGCATGTCAACGACTGGGAGCCTACCATAACCAAAATGCCACCCCCATCACTGCCCACTTGAGCAGATGTACGACTTCGGCATGAGACATGTCCATGAGAGCGTCCCAACCCCACTCATCTTCAAACCGAAGAGAGAAGACGAGGGTCAATGACTGGAGGCCGACTAGCATAACGACAAGTGCGAGCGGAAGGGAGGAAAAGCCAAGCCGCCGGGCCACTAACGGTGATTGGTCGACATAGCTATGCTACGCTCGGTCAGTAAACAGTCACGAGTCAGAACCAGATGTCAGACCTTTCGAGCACCCAAGCGTCCTATAGCACTGCCACTAGCCAAGTCACGACAGAGCACATCTGTGTATCGCTCATATACAGATGGCCGTATGTGATTAAACTTAGTGATGAATGCGTGTTTCAGCCAGTCCACAAATATCTCAGATGCCATCACTGTCACAACGGGCTGATCGACCTTCGTAAGTGGCTCTGGAAGCAGCGTCTCGACAACCTACGTAGGATATTGTCCATATGACGTTGTTGCCTATGAACCAGCCAAAGCTCACGGGAAGGACGAATCCCCCTGTGAAATCGAATTCGGATCCGCTGAGCTCGATTAAATTGCGGAATGCCACAATGAGCAGCATGAGTGAGAGTGTAAATCGTTCCACGATATCTGCGCATGTGATCTGAAACAGGTTGTCTTTCTCAAATTTCTTGAAAACACATCCTTTGATCTCGACGAACTGGTTCGAGACGAGAAGAGTCAGAAGTGCGTGGTCATAGGAATTGACGGCCACATTAAGAGCTAGCAGCTGGTAAATCATCACCAATGCGTGAGAAACTGAACGTGCATCAGGGTCAATGACGTGATAGATGGCCCTATCGACAGAGACTTACCAACGTAGAGGGTGGCGAGCCCAAAAAACACGAATGGACGAAGTGTACTGGACGTAACTGGCACTCGACGAGAAAGTACCTCGAGCGTTGAGCGGGAAAATAGGCAGTCAAGGATATCCTGTCCCTATTGATGCGCACAAGCGGTCAGCAATCTACGACGGAGAAAAATTCGTCATGTGCATCGGTTAAATTGACGCAAACATAAACGTGCATACCTCTAATGCATTGAATATTACGTATAGTTTGATTGTATCTTGTCCGCGTATGGAGTGATAGATCTTACTGGCATCCGTGAGTGGAATCAACACCATGATAGAGACCACGAGCAGCATCATTCGAAGGATGTCAGCTTTCTGCGATGGTGGGAAAGCCAATTTGGAGGGTTTGAAGAAATTCAGGAAAAATCGGATAGCCGCCAGCATGAACCGGATGGGTAATATAGTAAAAGTATAGAGGAACGAGTCTAAACAAAGTATAAAGCCAAAGCCAATGATCTATATGTATCATGAGCACCGTTATGTGACTCAAAAAATCCAACGTACACACCTTTTCCATTGCTAGAGGAATACTCAAGAAATTGCTCACCCTCTCCCATTTCAACTCCTGATGTGAGTCAAAGTCAGTCGCAAGAAGTTCCTCCCATAGGTAGTCCCATAGAGAAAATAGTGGCTGATCTTGCTGCAGCTCCTGACTTCGGACTATCGGAGGTGGAGAGGCAGGCGGAGACGGTAGAATCGGAGTCGGAGGGAGTGATGCATACGTCAATGGATGTATTTCAAGCTCAGGTTCAAGCATCCTCTCGCAGTCGAGGGCACGGTCACTGAGCGGTGCATGTCTCGTTTTCTCTTCTTTTATGTCTGAACTGTGAATAACATCATCATCAAAGTCGACGGATGAGGACCTTCTGCGACGACCACGCGAGACTGATGTGGACAATGGTGATAACTGCGCATTCCATGTCGCACCAATAGATGCGGAAGAGAAGCGTCTTCTGGAGCGTCGTGGGGAGGTGGCCATAGCTATTCTAATTGGTGAATGACCACGACCGTAAGTGCAAAGTCAGTCCACGGTTGCTGTCAATACACGTAGTGCCTGAATTGGACATTTAGGTCATCGATTGATAGAGACCGGTGTTTGGCTATTGCCTTCCAAGACAGTCCGATACAAGTATGCAAACCATGCCATCCGTTATGCACGACGCAGAAGACACGAGAATAGTCCCTTCAATGGAGATAAACTCTCGTCCTCAAACCCACGGCAATCAATCTCAGGATGGGCCCGGTGCACACGGCGGTACGTCTAGTAGATTCAAATCTGTTTAGCAGTTCTTGACATACCATAGGCCTCTCTGTCCCATCTGAACTAATACATCACATACTTGGATACCTGGGGAAGGCAGACCTGGTGAACACGGCAATCGTGTGCCCAAGTTTCCGGAGCGTTTCCCAGCGCGTGATTTACAGGAACGTCGAACCTGCCGAGGATATGGTTATACCGTGCCTCAAATGCCTTTCATCGTACCCGTATCTCGCATCTTGTGCTCGTACTCTGATCTTGTCTGATGCTACTCGACATTATGACGTATTCTCCAATTTTTTCAACCTACTTCGTCGCGCCTTGTTAAACACTTCTTCGCTCACGGATCTTACGCTTCTCCTCGACGGCCCCTACGCAAGATATCTGCTTGGATGTTCATTTCGGCTTCGTTCTTTGACCACGACACTCGCTTGGGACAATGACTTCATTACTTGGATGTCAGAGCAGACGGAACTGCGCAATGCCATGTTTGGCGGCAAATTCATGAAGCACATGGTTCTACCTAGTGACACTCTTCAAAAGCTTACAAGGGTCTCCGCGTCCCCTTTGATATTGGCTGTGGTGGTTCCCAATCGAAAAATCAAGGAAGTGGAACTATGCTTACTACAGCAGGAGCTTTTCAAAGATGATATCCTCAATACCGCATCGAACATCCTTTCCTATTCCACCGGTCCGTTGACCGCACTGCAGATCATCGCCTATCTGAGTGATACCCAGGATGCACTCGCAGCTTTGAAAGCGATTCCAAATAATTTGCCCAAACTGAATTCATTCGCCTTTTATTCGAGTGATGGAGCAGTCTCGCAGGTGCACCATCTTTTACCTATCTGCAAAATTTGCTCAAAAGCGTCTACAGGAACTTCTCAACGCCTTTCCTGATTTCCTATGTGGCTTTGAGTGCCTCAGGTCGCTGACACTGATGTCGCGAAATAAAGCCGATTCACTACATGACAAAGCTTTCACGGCTGGCCTTGCGTCAAGGTGGCACAAAGCATGTCCCTCTTTGCAAAGCGTCTCGCTTGCGGGGTCCATATGGTTACATAACCCCCGGCACGGTTGGGTGACGTTGGCGGATCTTGAGCGTCTCCTGCGAGACCGTCAGGGGCTGCTTCTGTCCCGACAGAAGTACTGGATAGAAGCGGACCCAAAAACGCTCTCCCTGGAAGAGGTGAACATGAATTTAGAAGAGGACAAAGAGGAGGCAGAGCATGGCAATCAGATGCAGCGGCAGATGAACATGCTTCAAGATAGTCTCCTCCAGTTTGGTGGCCCTTGATCGATTATTTTTTGCAGTCAGAGTAAGTCCTTTGGGGTCATTAACCCAATATCAGAAATGTCTAGTCATATCCTTGATCGATTATCTCTCTTCCACGTTATGTATAAATTCTGATGAGGGTATGTATCCTATGCCTGTAGGCTAATCAATCAAGTTCAAGTGAAATGTGCCTTTGATTTGGACGAAATGTGGACATCAGAAACGTCGTTCCCTCGTCTGCCGCCTGGTCGCTTTCGCGCAAATTAAACAACACGCGAGATGCCAACATACTGTGAAGGACAAGTTGTGGCCTGTCATAGCGCATCAGTTATTTTACCAGACCATCCTAAATGAATTGCCACGCACACATCCATCATCATATCATACGACGCCTTCCCCAAGTCAGCAAAAATTGCGATAGCAGTAGATGTTACCCAAGCAGGCAACTTACCGGCACCGCAGACATGATCACTATATTAGCCACGGAAACAACTGGAAAAAGCAGCTTCAGCACGGAACAGACGAATTATTAAAAGCTCATCGCACAAATTATGGCAGTCATATATAGCACTCCGCCCTGAAACACGGCCTTCACTAGACGGCTGTTGGAATCTCTGTAGTCTTTATATTTCTTGAACACCGTTAAAGACATTAGCACTGTGAATGGAATTAGAAAAACGCCCTAAAGATGGGACTGAAACAAGATATCCTTACAAAGTTCGTAGGCCACGAGAAAGCCGTATTGAATGGCACTGCTGCGACCCGCTTCAAAAGTGCAGTTGCTTGTGGGGGGATCTTTAAAACCAGGGTTGTCGTCTACAACAAGGAAAGAAGAACAAAGAAGGCGCACCTGAAGGGTTTGCAGGCGTTGATACAATATTGTCGACAACTTGTGTGATAGTCACAGCACACGTTATACAAATCTACGTTGCGATGTCAACAGGCGATGAGTACGAGCATGCATTACCAGACCGACGTACTGCTGCCAAAACCACTAACACAATCAAGAACTTTTTGTTGCGTTTCCAGAACGCATATGTACGAATGATCAAAAGACCTTAAAAAGAGATGGAATTCAGGCCGAGACGACACTACAGACATGGAGCGAACCTTCAGCAGCTACGATACTGATGATGTGAATTGCTGCAGTAAAAATTAGTAACAAAATGCTGCCTGCTCAGGATATTGGCTACCGTTTGAAGCCCTGCTGAAGTGGCTGCACTGTACATTAATGTCTATCAGTTACATGAACGGCCGTATATGAAGTATACACTAACATCTTCGTTTGCTCGTGTAGCGATGGCAGCTAATGACTCGTCTGTATCACCTACCAGGAGATACAGGCAGGTACTCACCGTACGAAGTCATGCCAGCAGCTGCAAATGGCATGTAGCGTGCAAGCACGAAAACAATACGGCCGACGTCCCAGCGTCTGTTCCATGTCCACCGAACCTTGCAACATTATCAAGGGGAGTTTGACGATCAATGAAGGAATACTCACTTCAGGTTCCAGAGTTAAAAAATAGTCAAAAATCTATAGAGCTGAGAAGGAATATCATTCATCCATGGCTTATAGACCCACCAAAACTCCTAGGCCAGCAACTGCGCATTTTCAAGATAAACAACCCCTGTATGAAGTCCACGTACCATTGCAATACTAGAGTAGTTGCAGTCAATCAACCTCATCCGCAAAGTATCTGAATTCTTACCTTCGCCGTCTGAATCCCCGTATTGACTATCGGCGCGACCATTCTGCCCTCTTTGTAGATAAGACTGCGGAACTTGCTTTTATATACTTGCATGATTTGAATTTGCATCAGTTCGCCGTGTGAGATTTGATAAGACTAGGTCCAATTCGTATTGTCTGGATTTCTCCGCACCAGTAAAAATGAAACATCCAATCACGAGAACAGAATGATCCAGGTCATTCAGGTCGAAATGTTGAAGCAGTGTTTGCTCCACTCCTTGGCGGCGACTTTGATACAAATTGGACAGCATGCGAGACACCAGTATACTCTGCAGAACAGGTCGTGGGCTGATTTGGGCATCGATGCTTAGCAATGTGCTCTCGGCGCGTTGCCACTTACATGTCCATCATCTCGCCATAGGACACCTTCAGTGACAAGGTACGGTAGCGATCAGTCTACTTACTTGCCGTAAATACGAATATGATAAACATGTTCGATTTCAGCAGAGGAGGTGGAAATATTCACACACGAATTATATGTCTCATTCCATCCAAGAAGAACATCTTGACGAGCCTATTTTTGAAGCCCCGGTAATCTAGCTATCCTTTGGAATTATTCAGAAACATCAGAACTTACGCATGGAGCTTAGCCTCCGAATCCATTGACCAGACCCAGTGCTCGAAGGGTAAAATTCGTATGATCGTCGTCAGGCTTACAGAGCCTGCGATAACAGCCTGGAAAAAATCAGTCTAAGGCCCAGATCACGAAGATACTCCGGAATCGACAACATCACTGGTAATCTGTTGTCACATTTCCAGAATGCGTCGTCAGTGGCTTGATTAAAATTGCCACACTGTGAAAGTCATCGCTAAGCTGGTTACACGGTGATACTGGGAAGTGAAAGAGCACATTCTCATTTGCTCTTGTTGCGATCACAGCTGTCGGGCAATGACACGTGAGTTACCACTGAATTCAACAGGGTATGACTCATCATAAGCGATCATTCGCGCACCCAGGAACACAACGCGAATTGTATCCCACCTCCAGTCAAGGACCATTCAACCTTGCCATTGTCGGTTAATTTAAAGTCGTTATAGAGAGAGGACTCTTACCTCAGATTTCAATGTTAAAAAATAGTCGAAGATCTGTCGCTGCGGAAGGAGAAAGTACCTATGGATACTCGGGACTCGCGAGGACAGCTAATGGACAAAATCTCGAGTCAGATCAAGAAGTAGCAACACAACTTGCCGTTTGGATTCCAGTATTGGTCGGTGGCACAAACATGATTGTCTGTGATCCTAGTAAATGAACCTCAATCCGTGTAGGGATACCTCCTCTTAATGACTTCCTCTCGCTCCGTCGGTGTAAGTGATGGCGATCTAGTATGACAGGGTGTCGGCCAAGCGTGTTGATACGTATCAGATAAAATTCACTATCACCTTGAGTTGAGAGAGGGTCCAAACATTCATAGTTGCAAGTCGCGACGCACAAAATTAGACTGCAAGAGTGTAATGAATATGCTTCTTTTTCTCGCGTACGCGCACTAGTGTTTCTGGAGAGATGTTGGAGAGGATCATTGTGTCCATGGCCCGCTGGCATCTGGCACGGGTATTCAACTGAACAGCACTGCGCCACCCACCACCTATCAAGTGCGAGTTGCTCATCATTTTATTGGTGATCCAACAGGACATCATGATCTGAGAACTTGAAGGCAAGTCATAGAAAGAAATTAGAAGACGAATTTGGTGGTAGTCCCACTGGGAGAGACACGAATGGAAGATGTTGGAAAGATGGGCACAATTTTGGCGAAGCCTTATGTAGCGCGCGGAGGTCGCCAGTGTCTTCCTTCAGAAGTACATCAGTGATAGTAGAAACTCGTCATAGGTATTCAATTTGAATCGTACTCTGCGCGTTCGCGTTGCTTAGTCATCATTCAATGTCTCTTCCGTTTCTCCTTCGGAGGTCATTTTCTACAAGTATCAGATGTCCCTACAAGGCTAAGCACATTCCTGAAGACATCGTCGCCAAAGCCCTCACAACGCAGCCAAGTAGGCGCAGTCGTCCCAAGGATACTGAGGACATCAAATCCAAAGCTGACCCCCAAAGCGCCTCGACTTCGAAAGTTGTTCGCAGACCCAGAGCAGTAAAAGGTAATATATCACTCCCGGTCAACAGGTTAGATCTACCTCCGCGTTCAGAATGGCGAAGCTACTTTTCCACTGGCGGCATGACGTTGAAAAGTCGTATTTCTATCGCTAACCCCGAGACGGCGGCACTAGTTGCAGATTCATTCGTTCCTAGCGGTTCGAGAGATAAAGTTATTATAGAAGCGTATCCTGGTGAGATCACCGATATTTAAACTCTAATTTCTTGGCTTACAGAGCTCACGAAGGTCCTGGTGCGTTAACTCGTGCTTTGATGCAGTTGCCGAAGGAACGAATCCGAAAAATCATTGTACTCGAGGACACAGAACAGTACCTCAACTTTCTGAATGTGCGAATTTGTGCCTCACAAAACTCAATCACGCTAATAGTCTTCAACTAGCCGCTACAGGAAGCGGACCCTAGGGTTCAGGTTTTGCCAATGAACGGCTTTTTGTGGGACACCTATCATCAGCTGGACGTCCAAGGCTTCCTTGACGATGTGGAAACTACTCCATGGGATCAGAAAAATCCATATCTGCACTTCATTTCGCACCTTCCTATGGATGTCCTGGGCGAGCAGCTCATAGCACAACTGTTCCGCTGCGCCCCAGAACAGTCTTGGCTGTTCAAACACGGCCGTATTCCAATGAGTTATCTAATGCACGACTGGGTGTGGGACGTAAGTATTTCATTTCACAGACGCTGTCCCTATCTGACACACCTAATAGCGTATCACGGCATCTACTGAGGATCTAGCTCGGTGCAAGCTGAGCATCATTGGACAGGCTATTTCTGAGTATAATCTCTCCATTGATCCACAGCTGCTGCTACCATATAATAACCACTTCTACCCTGACGCCACAAACCCTGCATATAGCTCCAAGACGGAAAACAGGCGCAGAGGTACACCATTCGTAGCAGCTACCTTCAGACCATTACAGCATCAGGTATTTGCAAAACTTCTTGCACAATTAAATTACTGACGTAGAACGCAGATCATACAGCCGGGTATGCTTGATAAATGGGATTATTGCCTACGGAAACTCTTCGTGCTGAAGTCGACTCCTTTAAAGAACGCCATTGGGTACGCTTAAAGTTTATTTTTAGGATAATTCATCGATCTTTCTGTAGTCATCTAGCACCCGGATCAGACGTTCTCAAGTCCTACCTCACGAGCGATGATGTTCCACTTGAACAGAGGACTGACCTGAAGAAGATTATCAGGAATTTGAATGTAGAGGACTGGGCTGCTGTCGTTGGTGCCTTCGATCGGTGGCCGTTTGCACCCGAGGTAGATTTCAATATCTCGACCTCGGCGGTAGGCTAATACGCAACTGCAGGAACTCTTGATCACGGATACTTTCAGCAGAGACGACCGTATATAGGGTTCCGTATGACGTTGCTCTTTGCATCAGTCCGCGAGAGGTTATGTCTGGCGGGTGTGTCTTACCTGCGAGTACGCGGATATCCTTGCTCGGACGGCATGCTCATCTATGTCAGAGTCTCAGACCTCCTCTGCTTACTCTTTCCATGTCACGGAAGGAGTTCACATTGACAACTCGATGTATTTGCCCTTCACCTACGTTTATATCGTCCTACCTGCCGACACAGTAGCAGCAGGCATCATGAACTTCCAGCTGCTCTTTGATGCCGATCGAAATGCGTGTCTACAAAGTTTCCAACGGTGATGACCGCGTTTACTGGTGGATGTATTTGAACAAATGTTTGATCATTGATTTGAACATGGAATGATGCAGATCATTATGAAGTAACCGGAAACAAGAGCGGTTACATTTGGGTGGAGCTCCTGGCACCTGAGAGTGCAAAGTTCAAAGCAGGAATATCGGACAGTTCAAGGCCTTCTGAGTTTCACAGTACTGCGTACTTACAGGCTAGTATACATGTCGCAAAGCAAAAGATATATAAGCCAAGATCAACATATGAAGTACGGGCAAAACCTAGTTCTTCTCCTCTGATAGAGCCCACATATAGTAAACACCTAAACTTCGATACGGCGCCCAAGACGCGGCCAAATCTTCCATTTCTTTCGGAGTGAGGAACGCTCCTCTTCGGAAGTCTCTGTGAGAAAGGGTCCACAAGAGAAAAAGCCAGGTGACATACTTGATCTTCTTTCCTTCAAGCCTTGCTTTTAAATTTGCTACGCTCAAGGCCTTCGGGAAGAGATTCTGTGTTCATCGCGTCCGCCTCGAGTGTCTTTTCGATCGAGGGCGTGAAAGGTTCAGGCAACGCAGGAATCGATTTCATTGAAGTAATAGAGGGTGTGGCCAGAAGCGGCGCAGCTGGTACTGACGACTGATCTGCGGGGCCAACTTGTGCGGGAGTCTGCGATTGAGATTCAGATGATGTCGGCAACGCATCATTATCATCTCCTGTCAGTTGAGAACCAGTGGTTATCTTCGGTCCAGGTGTTGTAGGTGGCGGTCCCATTATGCCAGTACTTGTCTGTTCTGATTTATCAGCGTTGGGTTCGCCATCGCTCAATTTATGCGGTGAAAGCGTAAACGTGTGCTTAGACGAGTGGCGCGAGAGGAACCAGCGCAACATTCCTCGCTGGACACCGAGGTCACCCTACTGGGAGGATGTTTGGACGGCGGAGAGAGAAAATTGCGAACATATCAACTGTGCTGGAATTATTGAATGTTCTTGGAAAAAATGCAACATAGGACTCACCAGTCCACTGGATGACAAAAAGCAAGGACATCAATGAGGCACAAAACGATGAGTTATCACATTGCATACCTGTCCGATCCCTCGCACTTCTATAAGCATTTCGGCGAGGGTTTTATCATCTGCGGCGAGCAGTTTTTCTGTTGAAAGCCTCCCATCTGCAAATCGCGCAGCAAGGTCTTTTACTGACGGGAAATTACGACTTAGACTTGCTTGATAGTTATTTCCAGCGAAATGGACGATGACACTGACCATACTCGGCTTTGCGTGTACTGAGACCAGCAGACTTGAGTGTTACGATATCCGTATTGGCAACTTGATAAGGGGCAGGGAAAAAAGATGTTGGAGATTTGGATGCACTTCAGAACAAGACCATCAACACCATGCAAGGACTGATGCGAACAGGCGTAGCATGGCAAAGCATGCCCCCTGGCATATAATTCCTGACTCACGAATAATCCGCTGGCTTTTCAGGTAAGGAGGGATCATACAACCGAACAAACCTATGGTTGATTGATCGGGCCGCCAACCATGAAATTTGCTGACCACTGCAAAATTAATGTTCAGTCTAACGTCCTCACTTGTGCAGGAGATAATTCTCACAGAATGGACTGTACCAGCGCCCTACGAGATACGTCAGCATTCCATTTCACGCAGTCAAAATACCGCGCTCACCGGAATGGATGAACCTGTTCAAGGTACTCAAAAGGCTTACATTTGAGCTTTGCGAATATATCTTCAAAGCGGTGATCGGCGCGAATGAGATGCACTTTAGCCTCCTCAAACGAGAATGTCAATACTGCAGGAACAAGGGTTTCCTCCTCTGGCACATTCTGCAAGGGCGGTGGGGGAGGCGGAATGGAGACATCCGATATGAGCGGAGTAGCAATACTTTTGTCAGAAGACTTTGACTTCTTAGCACGAGGTGTCTTCTTGGGTGTTGTGGGTTCTCCAGCGGCTTTTCGCTTCCTAGAGTCGACTGCAGACGACGTTGTTGGCTCCTTGTTTTCTCCCACTTGGCGTTGATGGAACTGACCGAGTAGCTGACCGCGTTACAGGCATAATAAATCTAAGAGATGTAAGTCTAGAGAAGGCAAATCTCATGCACACAATGGCAGGAGCTTGGTTAGCAAGAAACCATTCCTCTGAACCGTCTCGGACTAATAACGCGAACACTTGACTCAGCAAACGCCGATCGCGTCGCGTCCGGCACCGCACCCATGGCAGGTTTCCTTTTTAGGCACGGTAATATCAATATGCCGGCACAGCTGGCAGGTCCCGCAGTCCTCTAGGAGTTCCGATAAGTACCTCTCGCTGGCCCTCTCATATCCATACCAACCTCGAAACCATCACTTTACACTAAACAATGCAGAGTGCGTATACCACGCCCAAAGAATTTCCAGTCTAAAGCTCACCTCTATCATCAGAATACGTCGTCACTCTCAAGTCCGGCGCAGACTACGACGCTACCAAGCGATCCATTGAACGCCAAGGTAGGCTGATAAGTCATCGTACGCATCTTCGAACCCTTGAAAAACCCTTCGTTAGGCGGACAGATCGTCGATGATAGCATGCGAATTCTTGGCGTTTGTTCTTCAGGCTCCAAAACTTTCCAGTCGCTGACGCTCATTGTTCATGTAGATGATCACTGTCCAGATGTCTGACCCTTCGTTATTGAAGTCACTCACCGACGAGATCGTTACAGTCGGTGCGCTTTCTACTTTAATCGCAGCTCGGGATGGTACTCACTGTTATTATGTTTGTCTCAGAACCTGACCACGCTGGTTTTTCGATCCAGACCACCTAATAGCATCGACGGTGTGCGACGTAGGACAGGACATCGTGATATGCTCGGTGACAGTTTGATGTATGATATAATGAGTATAGACCTGTACGATTCATCGCTTGAAGATGTGGAACGAATGTAGCGGAGATGTGGTGATCTGATAAGCTTCGGAATTCCCTGAATAATCTAAGCGACCTCTCAATGACTCGAGCCCAAATAATAGCTTCCAACCTAGGCTGAGGAATTACTTTGCATAAATTGCAGGGATGGTAAGATAAGCCCTGTAGTAGTGATGAGAAAACGAATGACAAATATGTAGCTAACGAGTGTGGTGTAGGAGGGTATGTAAGTCCAGACGATTATCAGGGTATGTTGCAATCGAAAACAAAACGGCAAGTGGGTATCGAACAACAAAAGGTGACCGGCAAGCGAGACAGTAGGTCAAATGGATCGTGACGAGAAAGATAGCAAAGTCGACTACAGAGAAAAGGGATCGGCATCCCTGGGAACATCCGCAGAGGGTTTATGGATTTCAAGGTCGATGGAAGGTTTGCCTTCATGCGACGCAGGAGAACTTACTACCAGCTCTGGAAGAACGGGAGGGTCGCTTGATATCACGTGTCGTGCCCCTTCCTCGCCAGTTTCGCTGGAGTAAGCAGACGAAGCACGCGGCGCATCAACGGAAGGCTTGGGCGTAGCAACGACTGTAGCGGGCCTCGATGCGGTGGGTGCAAGGTTTGCCCCAGGGCCAACTACAATGGTGGCAGGAGGCGGGTCAGGGAAATCCCATGGACGAGCAATCATCGCTGCTGGCATGATCCTGAAATACACGATCAGCAATCAAGTCGTTGCTGGACATCCGAAAAACCTACCAGGTAGCACAGCAGACCACACCCTTACCCTTATCGGCTGCCTTGATCATGCGCCACTCAGTTTGCACGAATTGAGCCACATAGCGAATGAACGGCAGCACTTCGCGGACTCCAGGACTGACCAGTGATAATGCGGTTAGCAAATTGAGCAAAGCAGTGCCTGGAGAGGCTGCTGCAGCGATGTGCTCAAGTGTGGGTGGCGGCATGCAGACTTCAAAACCCCACCAGTCTAGAAACAATCGATTAGAGCTGGAACGATACCAGTAAAATGGGAATACGCACATGTGAGAACAGAGAGACGATCTGTAGGCACAATGACGCCCTTGTGATCCGGCAAAATCGCCTTGCTCGTCGCATAACCAAGCGCAAGCAACTGCGGTGTTATTTGCTGGAGGCCATCAATGATAGTTTCTGCACTGGGAACGGCACCTGCCAAAAGTCCCGGGGATGATGCTGGTGCGCCGAAACCCATGTCAGGGGCGGCGAGAAGGTCAACGAGATGCACATCAGCCAACGCTTCAGATAATGCAGTCACTGATGCAGTAGCAACCGAGCCAAACTGTACAAAGTACTGCTCGTGGGCTTCCTTGTCGGTTGAGTCAAGACACACTGCACGGATTGGCCCAGTATTAGCAGTGCCTGAATCTGATAGTGATGCAGACATTGCGTGCAGATGGCCAATGACTTTGCTGGCGGATTTGGGGTCGAGTAGCTGCGCTTTGACACGCGCGAGGTCAGATTTAGTGAGTGGTTTCGACTTCTTTACTCTGCTATCCAGGGCTATCTCATGGTCCCCCACAATGACGGAACGAACCAGCGCCGCGGTGTCCCTGGCACGCTTATCAGAAGTCTTGGACTGCAGCGCGCGAACCGTGAATGCCTTGCTCGCACGTGATTTCTTCTCCTTTTCATGCACCTTGGATAGCACGGGGGGCTGTGTGTGAATAGGTTCGGAGTGGTGGGAAGGCTTGCGCTCCGGCTGAGTAAGTTTTGACTCGGAGCGCAAGAAGGAAAATGAACGGAAGGAGAAACGGACAGGATCCTTCCCGGTCTTAGCGTTGGGGTAAGGGCTCGCGCCTAGCACCTCCGGAGTGGAGTTGCTCGTGGATTCAGCGGTAGTACCTTGCCCAGGACTAGGAGGCACTAAAAGCGACTGCACAGATGACTGTGGCAAGGGCGCAGACTTGGGGTGCACGGGCGTGAGCGACCCACTGGCTGCTTGAGGAGTAGCATGACCCGAGGGTGCTCCATAGGCATCTGTGTGGGAGGATGAACTCAAGGAAGAGGAAGAGTTTGCTGAATGGACAGAAGCAACTTCTGCGGCTGCAGATTCAGATGTATCTGGCACCGGAACTGCGAGGGCGGCTTCATCTGCCTGCTCGACCTTGGCTGGCTCTGCAGCGGTCGAGGCCGAAACGCGAACACCAGCGGACTTGAAGAAGGTCAGCATCACAATGAACTAGCGTTGGAAGAGAAGGGGGGCGAAAAAAACTCAACGAAAAAGCGAGCTGAGAGTAAGAGCGAGACCCTAGGTCACGTAACTTAAGTAGCTGAACAGAGCATGGCCAGCTTCTGCGTGAGAAAGGGAGGGTGAGGCTTGAAATGCCTTGCTCGCTCAGAATAGGACTCAATGATTGTACAGCAAAGTACTTGACGAGTAATTGTAACCGGCCCCCCTTGTGCTGGTCATGACAAGCTTGAGAGAAGTCTATGCACGGGAAGTTCTCAGGATGAACTTAACACCGATTCCCACATCGAGAAACACAGTGATCGACAGACGAGTAGCGCGTAAATGGTAACTCAACCTCTAAAAGGGGGGTCGCTGAAGTAAGCATTCCGACCGTGGGAATTCAATCTACTGTTGTCGCTGTTCGTTCCGCATCATCGGGGACAGCATCGAGCTCAACTTTTTATCATCCCACTACCATGTCGCTCGGTATTTTGAGAGCTCCAGGTGAATACAAGTGTTTAGTCTTATTATAATTTACGAACCTCTTGAACAGTTACCAGTGCTTGTAGGGCAGCAGCACTCAGACCCACCCTCGGGATTTATGGTATGTTCCATCAGTTTAATCAATTGGGAGCCCCTTCCTTAGCCTTTCCGCTGCAGCCTCTCGCTCTGTGCACACCTCAAAGTCCGCGCAAGCCCCTGAAACCATACCTACTTCGACCACCTCTGCCTCTGAGCCGATCACCACGTTAGCGATGCGCGGCTCAAATCAATTCAGCCTTGAGCAGCCCCAGAACAAGGCTGGTGAGTATATCTACTACACTTCCCACTGAGTAGGCTTAATTGGAGTGTAGAATACGTCCTGTCGACACTGGACAAAGTCGTAAACTGGGCACGTCAGGGTTCAATATGGCCCATGACTTTCGGTCTTGCATGTTGCGCCGTCGAAATGATGCACATGGCTGCTGCTCGCTATGATCAGGATCGTCTCGGTGTCGTTTTCCGTGCCTCCCCTCGTCAATCTGATGTTATGATTGTCGCTGGTACTCTCACAAACAAAATGGCCCCTGCTCTTCGTAAGGTATACGACCAAATGCCTGAGCCAAGATGGGTAGTGTCCATGGGATCTTGCGCCAATGGTGGTGGCTACTACCACTACTCATACGCTGTTGTCCGCGGTTGTGATCGTAAGCATTCTTTCGTACCAGTTCAAAGGCGACCCAATTAAATTTGCGTGACAGGCATTGTGCCCGTGGATATCTACGTGCCCGGGTGCCCACCAACTGCTGAAGCGTTGCTGTATGGTATGTTGCAACTGCAGCGTAAAATGAGGAAAAACAGGAAGAGCGTGCTCTGGTGAGTTTCACTCTATGCGTTGTGAGCTACGCTCATGGCTACATTTCAGGTACCGCAAATGAGGTGATTTGCGACTTGGGGGCAGCGTACATAGACTAGCATTTCCATTGGCATGTTTCGTACATGACTCATGGCTGGCATGCGTTGTCCACAACCCTGCGGAAGAGACTTTTTCCCGTGATCTGCAGGCACCATGGGTTTACCAAATTTATTTCGCCTTCAACGGAGTTCATTTTATGCAAGGAAGTCAGAGTATCAACTCACAATAAACAACAGATCAAAGCATTTTTTCCCCGACATACATACCTTTTTGGAGCGAGAAACACATTCTCTTCGTGATCCGTGAAGGCTTCCTGAAACTGGCTGCAGTTTATGTCGGTCTTACTCGGAAACGGCGATATCCACCAATGTGGTGTTTGCGTGCGGTGCACTGCGATCAACCCTGAGCGCACACACAGGGGTGCAATTATCGATAGTCCGCTCCCTCCTGATGCACCCTGGTGGAGGCGACGCCCTGTGTCATGGCCAACACGAAGTTCGCCTTGCCCCTCAATAAATGTGACATGGATGACAACTTGGATCTTCTCTCGCTTGCATCATTAAAACAGCACGCCGTACTATGAATCATGATGGCCGCATGCCACGATTGTGAATTGTGGGCGCGTATGAGTGTTTAAACGTTCACTCACTGCACCCGGCTCATCAGAAACAATTATTCCATGTCATTATCAAGCGCTGGTTAGCAACTTCACTATCTACCAATAGTCAGTGGTCAGCAAGTGCGAGTGGTGGGTTCGCAGCAATAACGTATTAATCATGTGGGTACGTATGTGATCAACCCAGTCAGCTGAAAATCGGCTGGACGTCTTACTCGCTCAAAGCATGCAGGAAAGTAATAGCGTTGGTGACATAAAGTGGTGAGCGTTCGTTGCACTCCACGGCCCCCCCACTCACGTCGTCCAAAGTCCAGTCCCACACAGGTGCGTTGCGAAACAGCGAATAAAGCTCTTGGAGGCCATGTCAGCATATTGACAAAGTCTTCTCTGGCGCATATGCAGCCCATCATCAAGGCTTTCCAAAAAAAAAAAAACATATTCCTTCGGAGAGATTTTTCTTTTCATCTCCGCCCACGGCCAACACACCGTCTCACGTTAAGTGTTTGAGGTGGCGCGTACCAACGAGATACTGCGGTCCAGTTCGTCGGCAGTCCACTGTCATGGGACATACTGCTCACCTTTCCACAGCTGATGTGGCGTAGTGGCCGGAAAGGTTCTACCTTGCCACTGCCCAAGTTCGCGAGGCCATGTGCTTGGCTCTAGGTGTGAATCTTAATTTCTGTCTTAGCGTCGATAAACACAACCTCACGGGAAAACAGGCAGTTTCTATGGTGAAGACTGCATTTTTGAAAATGGGAATCGCATCTATATGCTAGAGCTTCAGCTGAACGGTATCTTCTTGCCTGTCATAGCCACCTTGAAAACACTGGTCGGCGTAGTTCGGAACAAAGGAGGTATGTAACTCAGATTTCAATAGTTGGTCCGTGGCGTCTTTTTACCCATGTACTTGCTCAAGAAGCACAGCAGTTACAGTATTCGATGAAGTAAGAACACACGACGACTACAGGTCAATTTGCCAAGTACTTGGCGCGATATTCAAACTCCAGACTACTCCAGAGCATGGTAGATGCGTACGTGACATTCGTGACGTCATTATGTCATCCATATGTGACTCGCCAAGCCTCACCACCACCATGCCCTCAAGAGTTCTGGTTTAATCAATCATCTTCGTTTGGTCTGCCATCTCGTATTCGTCAATGTCCTCTCCACGCTGAGAATGATGGCTAGCGTCCACACCACTACCATGCCGAGATCGACTGGCAGCGACCTGGATATTAGCCATCACACACTCCGCCTACCTATCAAGGATGGCCAAGGCCTTTACTTACGTACCGACAAGCTACTTAGGCAAGTTAGTGACGGCATTATCAAGAGATTAACTAATATGACGTATTTATGTATCACAAGCCAATGGGACGCCTTAAGACTGTTCAGAGGCAACAGAAAATAATGTTGGTGTGGGCAGTTGTGATGCATTCCACTTCAAGTTTCCCAAGAATCTCACTATCATGCCCGTCTTTATGTTCACGGTGAACTTGAAGTCGGACTCGACAGTTTCGGATCTGGTTATTTGGCCGGGTGGCAAGGGCAATTAGAGGTACCATCGAGAACGTGGTAGAGCTGCCTGTGAGTGATCTTGCATATCACTTGTTAGTAAGTCATCATTCGTGACCGAACTGATGGTCTTATTTTCAAGTCAGACCACGATCCTTTGATTTTTGGTGTTGCAGATACTTCTAAAGGACCTAGTAGATCCGCAGCACCAAAAATCACCCGCCCGAGTCCTGACATTACATCGTCTGAACCTTCCCATGTAGGGACCTGAACCTTATTTATCAGGGCGGGAGGTAGTCATTGTCAGCGAGTCTCCTTGTACATGTATTTACTCGTGAAGCAGAAGTATTCATTCGTCGTCAAGTATGACTTCAATGCCTTCTTGCCTGGCTGCCTCTATTATGGCCTCTTGTTTCTGCCCACAATACAACTTCAACGAAAGGAGGATGTCACGTTGCCCTAGCAAACGACGTCAGGAAACCCCACGACGAATATTCTGGTGACCGACCTTCTAGGTAATGTTCCAGCATGAGTCTCACAGCTGGGCGTATGGCGGCGTCCTTCTCGTCCGGGACCTCTGGAAGACCATCATACTTCTTTTGGACTATTTCTAACAGCTCGCTCGTAGCATCTAAATCATCGAAATACTTCTCCGGAGTTGCAGGGACTAATTGTCTCACTTCGTTCCAGAGTCCCTCTGCACGGCTCGCATGACGACCAATCTCCCACTTGTTAGGGGAGCCGCCTAGCTGTAAGGCAATCTTGTCATCCGGGTTCTGTGGAAGCGAGAAGCCATATCCGAGGATCAGCTCGTCGTTCGCTTTGGGTCCATAGTTATTGAATATTTCTTCACCAGGTTGCGTCGTAGTGTGTGACGTGATGGAAATAGCGGTTACATCGTCCCTTTCTTCTGTATTTCCTTTCGGGTAAGACGTACACCAAGTAACAGGCTGTCCACGAGAATGATTGAGGGTATCCACGCCAGGAAGTAAGATCGGATAACTCGAGGAGGTGGTCTGCAGTATAGGGGATTGTGTAGGAGATCGAGATAGAAGCAGGTCGGATGGAAATGCGCGGGATGAAAGATACGTTGATGCTGTCAGATATTTGTCCCTGATAGTGATTAAGGTGGGGGAATGAGCAGGTACAGGACACGCATACCAGGTGTACTTTTCAGCCCAGTTTTGATTAACGGCATGGATGAAGGTTTGACACTGCCTCCACTCAGCAATCCAGCTTTCCTGACGATCACGGGTAGCGCCGTAGATGTTAGTTCCTCGGAATGCCTCGAGTTCAGACGGCGTGAAGTGAAGGGGCGTTAGCAGTGCATCTACAGGTGGAAGGCTCTTCAGGTAAGGCAAATGTAGAAGTACATCAGGAAATGGGCTGCATTGTATGATCATCAGATGCGCGCATCAGATGGACAATGAGTTCAACGTGCCTTGAATCGGAAAAAATCCAATGGAAGCAGATGTACGTGCAAATAAGTTGTCTTTCCGACCACGACTGTAGGCCAACAAGAGTCGAATCGCCTAATAGCGCGCTCAGAGCATGCAGAGCACGCTTCACGTCGATGATCAGTGATGATGGGCAAGAAACGATAGTCGTATCAGCACTGATAGTATTCTGCGCGATGGCAGAGAGTCCGAATTTTCCTGGCGGTGAATGATTAATGAGTAATGGAAAACATATGACGTGATGTGTTAGATCGAGCACCTTGGGACAAAGAAACGAGTGGATGGAAAAAACCGCCATAGGAAGCAAGCCACTGTTTCAGATCAGCAGCGGTGCTGGGCTCTGTTGACATAGTTTTGTGAATCGGAGTAATCGTTGGGACCCTGACTCGGACCTTTTGATGTTTTCCAGGTAAGTAGTGGATTGGATTGTGATGTAGCGCCTGCAGTGACTAGTCTAATCCGAGTCAGACCAATGATAGAAGGCAAGTCAGTCTCATTCATAATACATGATGCCCCTAGTAGGCCAGCAGGATGGAACACCAAGGTGCATGATATTGGGGTCACTGCTCCTCTAGCTCACATCGCCAATTATAAGTTATCACCCAGGTCTTACTTATGCGTCAACTTCATGTCTCTCGCGATTAGCCGATACTTGTATTCGATTCCGTCTGCGGCCGTGCACAAGTGCACACTGCTGCCAGGCTTCAGCCCAAATAGAAGTGTGCCTAGGCCTAGTGCCAGCAGCTCGCGCTCCAACAATGCTGTAGCGGGCGATTACTTATACATCCCGCTCAAACCAAGAGAGGCATGTTTCACGCCATCACGTTGCAATTGCCAGGAGAGGTATGTACCATGAGTATACGCTCGAAACTCACTGCACACCTGGCCCGATGTACTGTGACTTAACCTTCCAACAAGATCAAACATATTCATGTTGGCCAATTCTCTCCCAGTCTCGTTTCGCTGTGCAGCTCATCACCGTCGAAGAAACTTCCTGGTGGGCCAAAACATCGTTTCCCAACGACTTTGAAGCCTTTTCGATACTTACCCTGCTTCAATTCTATCACAGCTTAGGATCCGAAGTTCCAGTTTAAAAGGTCCTTATAATTTGATCATTTGACTGATTAACGTCTTCGTACGATAATCATCGCTCACATGATTTCTCAACACATTGTCGAATCCAACAGTACTAGTCCGCACAATAAGGAAGGAACGACTGTCTCCTTTCTAGTTAGTCTGCTTTAATACTACCCCAACTGTTCTATATCATCTCACATCTCGTCATCAAATTTGGTCAACGAGTCAGGATCAATGTCAGTACTGCAGCCTCCCTCAAGCACAACATAACACATCACCCTCCCTCCTCGCACATTCTTCTACCCTCAGTAGTGCACGATATTCCGGAAAGCACGGCCCTGCTGGATGCACTCTCACAATTGAAGAGTCAGAGGTAAGCTACTCAACCCCGCGACACCCGGAAATTAAACCACTCTTTATTCTTCATCATCCAGCCACCAGAGTGCAAGTTGTAGGTATCCTGTGACTTCAGGGAGATCGCAATTCAGAGCTACAGTCCCTGGCAGGGACGCCAGGCTGTGTCATGGCCAACACGAAGTTAGCCTTACCCCTCAATTAATGTGAAATGAATTGAGAAGTTGGGCCTTCTCCTGCTTGCGTCATTAAAAAACGAGTTGCATTATTGATCATGATAGCCGCATGCCACGATTGTAGAGTGTGGGCCATGAGAAGCTATGAGTGTTGGGATATTTACTTATTGCACGTGTCATTATCAAGCGCTCGTCAGCAAGTTGACTTTAAAGTTTACCATCGATCGATTGATAGTTGGTAGACATCAGTGGTCACTGTTCGACTACGTATCCGCAGCATCAATCATGTATGTGTACTCTTAAGCCAGTTCTTTACTTCGTTAGCTTACCTCCATATGATCTTCGGTAGCATGTACCTTTTGCACACTACGACCAAGAAACTAGAGGAATTCGTTGATCCTCCAGAATATGCTATTCTCTCGCACCGATGGCGCGAGGAAGAAGTCCTCTTCGCAGATATCCATCACGAGCATGTGAAATGCATGAAAGGCTATGCTAAAATCGAGGGATGCTGTGAACAGGCGCGACGCGATGGGTATCAGTACGTCTGGATTGATACCTGCTGCATCGACAAAAACAGCAGCGCAGCGCTCGCAGAAGCAATAAACTCCATGTACATGTGGTATGAAGATGCCCAGGTATGCTACGTGTACCTAGACGATGTTGCGGATGACGGAGACCCGGGAACTGGGTCCGCATTTGCGAGAAGCGAGTGGTTCACCAGGGGGTGGACTCTGCAAGAGCTCATCGCGCCCACGAGCGTGTTCTTCTTCAACAACCGTTGGAGAGAGATCGGGAGCAAGAGCAGCTTAGCTGGACTTCTCTCGTCCATTACGAGGGTGCATCCCGACGTATTAACACGCGTACATGCCGAGTCAGACATATTAATGGTCACCAGAGCATCCTTCAGTGTCGCAACCAGGATGTCGTGGGCTGCAGGGAGGAAGACAACTAGACCAGAAGACAGAGCCTACTCTCTCATGGGACTATTCAAGGTCCACATGCCTGTCATCTACGGAGAGGGGGAAACAAAGGCTTTCTTCAGACTTCAACTGGAAATCATGCGTACTTCGCACGACCAGAGCATCCTTGCTTGGAGCAAGCCTTTGGCAGGTGGCAATAAATCAGGGACTCAGCCCTTTGCGCTAAATCCTGATCATTTTGCCAAGTCGGGCGATATTGAAGACGTGCCCTCCAGGCAATGGATACGTTACAGTCAAGAATTCATTAGCCCAGACTCTGTCCCCAGGCTTGACTTCGCCGCCACCAACGACGGCTTGGATATAAGCCTTCCCTTACTCGCTCTGGGGGATGAATCGGACGAGTTCATTGCTCTCCTGAGCTGTCAACGTCGCGTAAGCGAAGGAAAGCGCCCCTTCGTCGGCATTCGTCTTCGGAAGTCCTTGCCCAATGCCGAACGTTACGAAAGGATAGATGCTCATATCCTCGAGGACATGTTCGACCCTCGCGATGAATTCAAATTCAAACAAATACACATTTCGTATCCGTTATCTGTGGACACCCATATGATCTTCTTCAGCACCTCAACGTCGCTTTTCATTCAAAATGTCAGGGTAGAAGAGCACGGCTTCTTTGTGGTTGATATGGAGACGGCCCCCTCATGTGTCCTGCAGATGCGTGATAGTAATATTATCCTGCAGATGAGAAGACCACTCCCATCAGCAAATCCACTACGAGATTCCGAAGGATCACAAAATCTATCTCTGACTGTGGATTCGTCATGGTTAGCATCATTGACCTACCAGAACCCAGATACGAAAGAGCAATTCGTCGTCTCTGCAGGGGTATCATGGATACGAGATGGGGGCCCGTGGCTCCAAATTACCGCAGAGAAGCCTCGTGATCAACCCAGTCCGCTCAAGATCGACTGGACTTCTTACCCGCTCCAAGCAGGCGGGAAAGTGACAGCGTCGGTGAGGAAAGGTGGAAATGCTTCTGCTGGCGAGAGGCGTTCTAAAATCATCGAGCGGTATTCAGTCAACATTACAGTCTATGGTGCCTTGTGACTCGAAAACCGGAAGCAGGTTTGGAGGGTCGGTGGACTGGGGGTTCCACAGACAGGAACTATGCACTCGGGTCTCCACGGCCCTTTCCATAGCTTAGTCAGCACGTAGACTAGGGTTCCAGCATGTTTGTAGCTTAGTTTCACCATCATCATAGTCGGTTTGCCTTGCCTTGGCCTAAGCCGCTGGCCCCTGCTCCATCAGCAAGGTATGGTTATTAGCGCAAATATCTGGTACGTAGGTCCACATACCTCGTGTACTCGCGTAGAAGACTCTTACGCGCTTCGAAGTACTTGGAGGTCTGTATGAACACGGCAGTTCGTGACCGGAACTGGTGGTTTGAAATCTATCGTCTGTGCCCTAGAAGTTAGATTTGTTCAAATCGAAAGAAACTCAAGCGTCTTTAAAGGCTGGACATATTGCTCAACCATCCGTCACACATACATGGTACGTGTTAGTACGCATGACCACACTAATTTCGTGACGCATCAGTCAATATATGTTGCATATGTGATTATGCAATAACGGTGATACGATCACTGACCAACAAACATTCTAGCAATCCAATCTGCCCGGCGACTAAACTGAAATCGGCATCAGATGAAGATTTAGATGTTGTCGTGGCCATATAGACTTCAGAGGCGATTACGGATAAATTCCGCCCAAAGAACTGACCAGCATCAGGTTGGGAAACCTTCAGTGAGTTAGCGAGATTGCACTCGTGAAGGCGACATGAATCGTTTCTTCGATGCAACATAGCGATGCGTCGATCGACACGACCAGATAGTACTTGGCTATCTGGGTATTCACCCGTATTAAGGAGAATATTGTGCAAAATCACAGTCTTAGTCTGGCGTCCTTCCTACGAGAACACAGGCTATGCAGCGCAAAGGGAATGATATTTCTATCGCGCGTAGTGAAATGCGTAATCGAAGGAACACCAACGATATTTCAGGAGTTAAACTGTGGTGCACACCGGTTAGCCTTATTGAGAGGCACGCGGTGCGTAAGATACGAACAGCGGTAAGATACGATTCGGCTACCGTGCGCGCACGCGCATTGAGGCTAAGTTTCATCTCGCTTATTTCCCTGTCTACTTCCTCCATAAATCTGATGACCGGGGGTGAGAGAAGTTACAACGGTGTAGAAGCATTCGAATGCCACGCACTGTATGATGAAATCGACCACCTTATGTTTCAACATGGTTTCTGAATGGACGTTCGTAATAAGGAACGAGATGTCGTATCCCTGTGTAGGTGTTAGAACATGATCGCCGCGAAATATCCGGGCTGTTCACTTACGACGACGGGCTTCCTGCGCAGCACGACGAAGCTCTCCGCTCTCTGCATCAAGAATCGCGTGAACTTGTGGCATAAGATGCGCTCGATTTCATCGGCCTGCTTGATCTTAATGCTCATTCGTATTGAGTTGACAGATGGCTCGATCAAGACGCGTTCATTCTCATTGCGTGATATCGTCAATGGGTTCAGGAGGACCTCCTTGGAGCCCCTGCAACCGATCGCCATTAGTACACGCCATGATGACACGAAACATACGGTTGTACCTGACTTCTACTTCTGGCTTATTGTGTCGTTCGACAACCTAAATAATTGTGAGCTCATGAAACTGCCAGATAGCACTGAGCATGATTACTTGCGACGAGAAATTCTCAAGCGTCAGAGCCGCTGTTAAAGTTGACTTTACGGCTGAGAGATACGGTCTGAGTGTGTTTGACTACCATCCAGGGAGGAGTCTAGTCAGTAGCATTGGTCATGTACTCTGCCAATCGACCTACCATCGAGTTTAGAGGAGGAATCTGGAGAATGCGGAGTCTGAATTGATCTATACAGTACATAATAACAAATTTGGAAAGAGCGCGTCCGTTTCAGGAAACGCGTCCTCGCCAAAAATTTCGACCTTTGTCTGCTCACCACCACTAATGACTGCTGTCGCTGTTTGGCAAGTTTTTTTAAAGCCTGTCTCTAGCTATCTCTCATTTTTTTTGCAGGAGTATCGTCTTGAGGCCTGGCCAGAAGGAGACAATCAGTCCCTCAGGCAGACTTGCAAATCAAGAATGCCGCTCTCGGAGAGGAACTATCTGATCAGTCTGGCAGAACGACCGTCAAATTAACATTACATAAATCCTGCAACTGTTGACGAAGAGGTGGATGAAGTTGACGAAGAGTCTCCAGAAGCAGAGTTGACCACTGTTCTCTGTTCGCTAACTGCTGGCAAGGTCAGTGGCACGATACGTCTTGCTTCACCCAAGCACGCGACTAATGTGTCATTCTTGCATAGATCGAGCAGTCAGCATGTGACCTCATTCTCGAGAGCGACGAGGAGTATACCTTTGAGCTCATCGGAAAAAAGTAAGCAGTATTCAAGCTACTAGTTGGTCCAATACAGCTCATGCATGTTTTCCCATTCAGCACCGTCTACCTCTACGGAAACTACATTGGTAAGCCCCAAATGTCACCTGTGCCTATTAGACTTTAGTAATACGCGCCATAGACCAAAATGCCAACCAACCACCATTACGATTCTGACATGGAGTCTGACATGAGCGACGAGGAGGGCTATGACCTGGATGATGTCAGCTCGGACGTCGAAATACATCCTGATGAGCTACAAGGCCTCGAGGACGACGTTGAGTGAGTACACCCTCGTCAGTTGCTCTACGCCACGTATCTGACCGTACTAGTCGGTTTGAGGAATTGGCTGACCTTGTTGAGGATGAGCCAAAGGTAGAAGAGCCTAAGGCATCAAAACGTCCTCGTGATGAGGCCATGGATACCGACGAGCAACCTGCTGAGAAGCTCTCCAAAAAGAAGAAGGCGAAGAAGCAGAAGGGTGAAGACGGCAAGGCAGTCCCTGTTGTCGTTGAGGAAAAGGCAGCCGAGCCCAAGGGTGAAAAGGAACAAGAGAAGAAGGCCGACAAGAAGGAGAAGAAAAAGCAAAAGGCTGCTGAGGAGAAGAAGGGTGGTGCTGCCAAAGAGCTCACTGGTGGGGTCAAGATCCGAGACGTGAAAAGCGGTGATGGCAAAACTGCCAAGAACGGCGCTAAAATTTCCATGCGTTACATCGGAAAATTGCAGAACGGAAAGATCTTTGATCAAAACACCAAGGGCAAACCTGTAAGCAGCTATTAGGTTTCTTGCTCGTCGGGCATGTGTTCACTATGCCACAGTTCACTTTCAAGCTTGGAGCGGGTGATGTGATCAAAGGTTAGCGGCTTTCGCTTATGACTTCGCCTTCATTATTGATGTTGTGTCAGGTTGGGACGTCGGAGTTGCTGGTATGCAAATCGGTGGAGAACGTGAGATTATTGTGCCACCAGCAATGGGATATGGCGCGAAGAAGATTGCTGATATCCCTCCCAACTCCACCCTGATCTTTGGTGAGTGAACCCTCTGTGTTGAAGGTCCGACAACTCATTACAATATAGAGGTGAAGTGTCTGGAGATCAAGTAAAAAGTACTGCAGGCTTGCAGACCTGCCACATTCTAGTATACGGTGGCATAGTTGTGATTGTTATCTATTAGTACATCCGTGAACGGTAGTCATGACTTGATTATGACTGCGTCACTGCTTTTGGTGATCCGAACCTGTACCCATTATTTTGAAAGCGGCCCATCAGAACCCATCTCATGAAAGCTGTCCTCGCAATGGCATTGTCTGCCCAAGCCCAACGCCAATTGGGGAAAATGGCTTTTGTGACCCTGAGCCCATGGGACCAACAAATGGGTATGTGGATGGAGATAAAGCGTGCAAATGTCTCTCCACATTCTTCTTGTAGGTGTCACATACGTCAGCTGGTTCCGTCCCGCTGTATCGGGCACATCCCGACGAGACCGGATGAGGGCAACCCCAAGAGTCGTGTGATACGGCATGATATAATGTTACGAAATATATAACGGGAGCAATCGATAAGCCTCCAAAGTAGTACAACTACGTTAATCCGTACAAAAAATACATGAACTTCATCATCGCCGAGATTTTGATCTTGGAATGCTGCACATCGCACGTACAAAGCCACACATGTCTTGGACAATGGGTAATTCTCGACCAAGTTTCCGGATGGGTTGAAGTGACAACGCCTGCCCACAACACTCAATTTTGAAGCCCGAAAAGCTTCCTAGCTGAAAGGACAGGAGACTATTGAAAACGTCAATGGGTAGTAATAGACCTGCATCCTCATTCATTTAAGGGTGTTGACGTGATTGGGAACGTTCATGCCGCATGCGGTTAATAGGTTGTGTTGATAAGAGGAAGGGAAAGTCACCAAAACTGGCTTGCAGTTTTCCAAAGCGCCAGAGTGGTACGATCCGTGTCATATAGAAAGGAGGACGATGGTCGTTCCTTCTCAGAAAGGGTCACTACGAGTTGTCCAGTGCTGTCCAGTGCGCAGAAATCCGCAACGTAAGCACGTTTACCACAATGCTCCTCCTCACAGTACTGCGCGCGACTGGCATATACCACTACAGATTTATGTCTGCTTGGCAGGTAATTATACTGAACCCTGCGGAGATGCAACACGAATGAAAAACGCTTGGACATCAACCTGTATCGACGCAGGTGAAAGGAAGCTTTTGAAGAATCACATGTGGCGGTGGCGGAATGGTGGGCGAAGTTCCGAGAGAGTAACAGGACGTAGGACTGTAGTTAATAGAAGGGTCTCAGTCAGCTGTGGCTGGATAGAGGGCGTGTGGGTGATTGTGCCACCAGAAACACTCATGACGGACCGTTCAGCGGAAGGGAACCGCGAGGCTGTGGGTGACCAACTGGAAACTTTAAAGTATGATGTAGCGGAAGGATTGGGGAGGAGAGTAGTTATTGTCGTCGCCATGCAGCGTCCGAAGTTTGCCTTTCCATTACCATCGTAGTAATACTATCTGGTGTGAACTCCGGGTGATCCTGCCGTTCAAGCGGTGATCATCCAGTTGTGGCAGCGGCAACAAAGGGTGACAGTCACTTTACCGCGACCCTCGCTCTGACCATGAGACTCCTGCGCACAACACCGATATGGTGATTGACGAACGCCCAAAATATTAATGCTTCCGTTTGATAGACCTCGATCCTGTTCTGGGGCAAAAATATGGGCGGCGAAAGAATATTCTGGGATGAAGAAACAGCATGTTTGTTGTACAAGGGTCACCTCTGACAGCGGGTAGTTGATGTGTCCCCAGTAGAAGACAACTGGCCTGGAACTTCGGAGAAAACCTCATAGATCATCGATGGAGCACACGAGCCTGTTGTCATGATCCATTTTTCGCATCAAGAATGAGGCTTGCTAACTCGACGAATAGTAGCCAGGGTATGAAATTCTCTAAAAATTTTGGAGATAGATCGGGATGCGAGGGTCAGTTTGGAGTGTGTGCAGTGCCAGGATACCGGCGGTTCGAATGGGAGAACGCAAGGGACCCCAAAATTCATATGCACCTGGCAGCCAAGACATCAGAGCGACATAATTGATTGGGAAAGGGACCTATCTGAAAGATCTCAGATAAGGAAAAAAAGTTGTTGACTGGGTCCTGACAATCTGTTGCTTTTTTTTCGTTGGCTAAATTAGAAAGCGCCCTTAAACTCGTCCAAAGAGACTCATACAACTTCACAGAAGGGGAAAGGAGACTGCCTGATCTTGCAACAAGCATGCCGGACACGTTCCTAGCAGGCTGAGAATTACAAAAAGATGGTTATCATGGGTGCCAGACGGGCGACCTCAGGCGACCTCGGATACAACTGGGCAACAGCGACGATTCGTGATGTGATCGCGACGAAAGCTACAAAATTTGTGAGCACTCAGATGGGCCGCCGATATGTCACAAGCCTCGAGGTCCTTCATTGATATGTCTGACCCGTAGCTGAGGTCACGTCGGCTGTAGATTGGTTCATCAAATTGATCGATTCGTCATAACCTGATAGAATCCACGTCCTCGTGCTGACAATCCACTGCTGAAGTTAGGCCACAATCCGCGGACTATAAATTAGCCACAAGTTCGAGGCAAAGTAAGTTGTACCCTCTTGCCCATCCTTACCATTTTACATCTCATATCTCTCTAGAATCCATACTTTGGATCTGTCCCTTGTAGACGCAAGATGCGTCACTTCTTCACTGTTGCGAAGGGGACTGATCAGTAGAACTTCCCACTGTGTCCGCACCCTCAGCCTTGGCCAAGGCTAGAACAACAATTTCGGGATACCGACCCCTTTCGTGTAGTACTTGCACTTCGTGCGATGTATGTATGTGCTCGTCCATGGTCAGAGGCGCTTCCTTCCCATCTGTACTGCAGGCATATGCCCCGCATACAAAGGATACCGCCCCAGTACATACCATGGGAATGGAAGATGCCTAGGACCATGGTATAGCGGATGGCAGCATCGTCACAGCGCTCGTACCTGCTACGCAAACCATCTTGATGAAGACGGATGTTCGCAGTACATCAAGCATATATCAGTGGTCCATGTTACGGCGGCGTCAAGTCTGCCTGTGGCTACGATTAGCGAGCGGTAGGTGTAATTAGAAGGTGCGTAATTCTTTGCATACTGTTAAACAAGCTGAGAGTATAGCAGCTTCAGGCCTGCAGGTTCGTTGACCTATACGTTCTGATATTCTGATACGATTGGTGCCAGTTGGTGCCACAGTCAAATGATGCTCTGAAATGAATGAATGGCGGACTTGGTTAAGGGAGTTCCCATTTTTCTTCAATGTGGCTGCCGTCAACAGCCGCCGGGAAAACTGCATTGTGACAGAATCGTCTTCTGTACGTACTACCAGCCTGATAGCTCTGTTCTGCCAAGTCATTTGCACCTAGAACATAATCATGCCTTATGACCTCTTGGACGGCGACTCGATATCAGATTAAGGAAGGGATTCAGAGGGAGCAGGGTTGCCTGGGAACGACCTAAGCAAAGGTGAGAAGGTTCCGTCGGCTCTACTAGTAGAAGCCATTTAACTTGAAAGACGATCACTCCAGCTTTGACCGACGCCGCGTTGTCGTTGTCTATATGGTGTGCGGACCAAGGGTGGCAGTTACCATTGACTGTATACTACATAGTCGTGAGACGGCCTCTTTGACAAAATTCAATGCTTCTATTGTTTTTTTTTCTTCCGAAGTTTGCACCAACCATGTATTTCATTCATCGTTCCACTGGCGGCAGGTGTTTGGCGGATCCGACTGGAATCTGTCTCGACGCACTAATATCCGTGGCTTCAAGGTCTGCATGTCAAGCGCACATAACTTACTGGAATGGATTTTCGACATAGCGCTTTCAGGTCGTTCAACTAACGTAAAACTCACCCAGACCGGCGGCAAGCACTTGGGACCGAAAAAACACTCAGAAGAACTGTCGATAATACATAACTAGGCATCGTGTCCCCTGCCATTATATTCATACCAGAGTAACAGTCCTAAATTTCAGAGGTCTCAGCGGTGTGTTGAGCCATCATTGACGTTGATGAATGATGAACCCCGCCACGCGGGAATGACAGACTCAGACGTGCTAGTCGCTGATTGTGCATGAGGGGAGTCCTGGAGGCGATGATAGTCGCTGGCTGAAGATCCCGAAGGCGACGAGATAGTCAGTATCACGGTCTGCACGGCGCTGAAATGGCATATTTCTTGTCAATCCATCTATTTTCTCGCCTCCTGGCAATCACCAACAAGAAGACGGAGACAAGGAAGCCATCAACTCCGCGGCAGAGATCCCACACGATTAAATAAGTCCGCCTTCGCGGAGACTGGGTGAGCTCTGACCCCGTTCAAAGCTGCCTTAACTTGAAGCACCAAACTCATGTCGGTGATACTCGGGCAGGATTTGATGCCCATGCCTACTTATTCAAGAATAGCTGCCTCCTCGTGCACAGGTTATTACCGGTGATTTCAACCAGAACTAGTAATCGTTGCGACCAGAGCCAACTTCATATTAGATGGATTGATATATATACGACACGCGAAAGTTTGGATGGTCCCGGATGTATACAAATGTGGATATAATAGAACCTTGGATCATGCATCACAACCTTTGACTCTTCCGCCTTCCGTGCGCTCGACTCAATGCAAGGAAACCGCGAGGCAATGGAAAATTCCCTTCGACCAACATTGATTTCTCCATGAGTGTGTGCCAGACAATGGGAAATTCCCCTCGAGCAACATTTCACGATTTCTCCATGGGTATGTGCCAGACAATGGAAAATTCCCCTCAAGCAACATTTCACAATTTCCCCATGGATATGTGCCTCACACATTGTTACTTCTACCGTGCTTGTATTTCAGAAGAAAAGAACCCGGGAAGAGCCTAAAGAAAGTAAACATGTCATAAATTAGCTTCCAAGCCTCTCATACAGAGAATTCACTCCACCCTGACTACACATCTCGGGGTTACCTTATGTGCTTGGGCGTAGGGTGATCCTGCGGGTGTCATGGAGGTGTCAGACACGCAAATGAGAACGCTCACGCCATACCAAAGGACGCCGCTGCTGATCAATCCAACTCGTCTTCATATCGCATGTTGCTTGTGGTTGGATGAACGAATTGCAGTGTTCGGAATTGGTTCGGAAGCACAAACTCGTGGAAGTATCGCGGGCTTCTAAGACCAACAATCCAGCCTCAGGCTACCCACGATCGTATGCTGACAATTGCGGAAGAGTGCGTCTAGAAGCGCACTTGTACGCTTTCTTTGGCAAGTTCAAGACAGCCAAAAACAAATTGGCGATATGGGGGGGTAAAAATTAGATGGTGGCCTAAAACACACTGGAGATCGAGAAGAACTTCGGGGTTTCTGAGTAAACGTGATGATACTCCGCGAGCCACAAAACAGAAACAAATACTTTCCAGGTGTCGTTGCGTCGAGAATACTTAGATGAAGCTAAACACGGGAGGTGTCTACCATCGGAGCAATGGCTCCATTTCTGTCGACTTCCAACCGATCTACAAGGCCTGGCGCAAAGTCTGAACTCGTAGTATGCATGGTCGAAGTTCAATCCCCCATCAGCAAGTGCCACATCGGCGGACTTCTAGAGGATACGAGAGGAAGACGACCTCAGGTGATAATCTATCGAAATGGGTCAATCACTGTGCGGAAACCCGTACGGAGGAGACCGCAGCATTTTTTGATGCTGCTTACCCTTACAAGACATATCATTTCCCGCAAAAGCGTTTCTGTTCTAATTAGTGGCAATCGAGACCCAGCATCCATTCTGATCGGCAAGCATGCTCCACTGGATCGTTGCTTTCTTTAGTGCCGTACGCTGTTCCGAAGATCACTGCGTAGGAGTGTGAACTCCCCCAAACCGTGGTTGCGAGGCGTCTTCGGAGTCATTCGATTTGTTGGATGATAGAAGGCACAGATATTCCTACCCTCTTTGGTTCTGGTATCAGGGAGCAGAGGGGTATTTCCGGGTGCACGTACATGGGTCGTGAGTGAGTGACTTCAATTGGATGAGATTTGTTCACATATAAGAGCAGGGCGAGCCCTCCAGGTCCTTGGATGTCGCACCCCAATTCCTGGCAGAGTGATATTCTGTGCTATGGTCAGACTCCCTTCCCTCCCATATGTATTCTTGCGCTTAGGCCTCTCTCTTCATGGCTGCAGTGAGTTCTACATACCATGGGAATGGAAGGGAGTTTCGACCAGTGTTCAGGAGAACCACCGCCAGCCCTAGTCCTCGTATCTTCTTCAGAAGTAAGACACTGATTATGATTACGCACAGATGACTATGTTTGTCGGTATGAATCAACCATGCAGCACTCTGGCTGTAGTTGTGATTGGCAAAGCTGCGCTCATAAGCATGAGACAGCGAAAGCCTTTGACAGACTGCGCAGATAAAGTGGTGCACCCGCACTACATTGTGCCGCTTCGAGCGCGCAGATTCTTTCGCAGTAAGTTCGGTTTCCTATTTACTATGTATGAGCGAGGCAACATCACGTATTGTTCATTAAAGGGACTATACCCGATCTACTGAAGCGCGCCGCCTCTCAAGATCGTATCTCGACAAATTGCTTTCCGCCTCTGGGGTGCGTATCCTTCCAAGTTTTGCAGAAGTCGGGGTCGGTGGGAGAAGTGTTGTATTTGTATTCTGGGTTTACCATGTCTCGCACTTTAGCTTGTCCAATTCATCGACCAGAGTCGTCTTTGTATCTGAATCATTGAACGCTCGCCTCAGCACTGCTACTCCACCCAGGTTGTCGACCGATGGTTACTAGATCAAGGTGGCGGGTCCGAACGCGATGGTCCTACGATCGATTAACATTAACAGGAAAGTCAAGTCCGACTGATGAAGCAGGTGCACTTTGAAGACCACTGAGCCAGCATTTATAATTAATGACAAGAGACTTGCAAGAGACGAGGAAAAATCATGTCGCTTTAGTTTGACTTTGGTTTAACCCATGATCTGCGTCGCATCACGTATTTTGTTGGTAATCCTAACTTCTTGACAGCCTAGGTGGGAAGCCTACCATCCGTCCGCGAGCGTTAGAACTGAGCTAAGTATATGTCACTCGAAACAGAATAAATCAAAGTATTGGTGACGGCTGACGCGGACGGTCGGTCAGATCTAGACTCGGTCTCGCGAAACTTTGACTCGTCCGCAGGAGCACGTGCAGTACATGAAACATGAGGAAAATTAATGCTCGACAAACGATCATCCATCCGCACTGGACTAACCTAGACGCTGCTGCTAGAGGTAGCTCCGTGAACATCTATACTACTTGAACTCCTCAAGATTTTGTCTCAGACGTCAAGTCAGAAAAATTAACCACGAGGCGCGGAACCGCACTTCGATCAAGGATCTTGCAGAACCAGATTCCCTTACCCTCCCGATTCCATTCAAGGACATTATTCAATAGTGTCTTTCTGTTGCGATTAGTATATATCAGGTATTAAGACCCCGAGGAAATCCAACGAGAAGGCTCAAGTGGAGAGACTTCATACAAGGACGAAATTAAAAGGTACTATTAGGCCCTGAGCAGCAATGAACTGTCTCTGTAGCATAAGTATAGGCAGCGATGCCGGGAGGGTTTCTTGGATGCTCGAGCACTCATCGTGCAGGGTAGGTTGAATGGATAGTTGAGTATACAATCATTGAACCGACTCATCGCGCATGCGTCGACTGCCTGTGGCGCTTCGATTCTGCCGCCTCGAACTTTAGCCTATCGTCCTACATTTCGCACACTCCGCAAGAAAAAGACTCGAAACTAACTCGAAACTGTTGCGTCCAAAAGGGCGCCCTGTAGTTGGGAGCAAACTCCGCGAGCACCTTCAACGCGGAGTCGCGGCACTCAAAAACGCATACGGTGAACCCTGGCCCCAAAACGTCATTAAGTCCCATGTTGATTCAATCAGTATTAAGTACAAAACCAACAATGTGACAAAAACACGGGAGAAGATGCGGTCTGAGATAGTCTGGCGGCATCAGGCCCACCGTCCTGGGACTACAGGGTGCGATGACGAAAGCCCTCCATCAACTGCAATATTCTGTCCATTGACATAACTCGATTCATCTTTGTCAAGATCAGATCTGGATCGTTTTTCGTGAAGGGAGGTGTCCTTACCCGAAGCCAAAAACAAAGCCATTTGAGCGATTTCTGCAAGACGTGATAAACTGGGGTACACATGGTCACAACACGAGGTTCCTACCTTGGGCGACGCCAAACCGACCCATTGGGTTCAATTGGCCAATCTTACTCCCGCTGCCTCGTTGGCGAGCAAAGTCGAATACGTCCTTGGTCATATTGGTCTCGATCAGGCCTGGGCAGATTGCGTTTACGCGAATGTCAGTCTTCTGAAGTTGATACACGCTCGTCTTCGCGATCGAGTTCACACTGTGATTCGAAATGAGTTTCTCAGCTGAGAATAATGATCGGAATATTACGCTGCTTTGCTCGCGCTATCTGAATGTGGGGTCAGCCATAGCACGTAAAGGTTGAAGAAGAGAAAGACTTACAGTCTATGGTCCCCGCCCCGGACCGCAGCCCAGCCACTAAGATATTTGGTTAGAAAATGTGCAGTAAGGCGAAGAGGATGAAGAAACGTGCCAGATGCAGTCAAGATGATGCTTCCTCCACTGAGATCCTTCCCTCTCGACGAATTAGTCTTCATCATCGCGTCGGAACCGTACTTGACGGCAAGGAAGCACCTGTTATTATCGGTTCTCGTCAAACCAAGTTGGATGGAAAACGACACCGACAAACTGACGACAATGCATTGACTCGCATGCTTTCCATGAAACCTTCTGCGGTCATATCGGGAAGCGCCTTGTTACTTGCGAAACCAGCCTTCGGGCGTTGTGTTTGTTGAGTGCATCATGAGATTTTATCCGTCGGATCTGACACATACGTTGGCAAAGAATACATCTAATCGTCCTTCATCTTGTAACGCTCGTTCGCAGACATCTGCTATGGCAGTCTCATTTGCTGCGTCAGCTTCGATTATGGTTACCTGTGATATATTTAATTATTAGGCACATAGCGATGTCAGTATGTTACCTTCACGTCTGGATATGAATTCCCAATTGTCGACTTGAGACCAGGCAAATTCTCTGGTGAGAAATCGAGCAAGTATAGATGAGTCGCTCCTGGACATAAAAATTCGTAACGAGTGCTGCTTCCAGAAGGTGATAGTTCACGAACCTTCATGTGCGAAAAAGAGTGCAGAAGCACGGCTAGTGCAAAATATCAGGTCAATTTCACTGCATAAGGTGGGGTTATCAACGAGTGAGCATTACCCTATGCCATGCAATGAGCCAACGCCGGTAATAATGCATGTTTTACCCTTGAGTCGCTGTCCACGCGGAGAGCTGGAGAGGTGTGATTGAATTTGTCCAATGCGGGCAAGTGTGCGCTGATGATGTTCTTCTGCACTGGTTTGTCTCCCTGAAGCAGCCATCGGATGAGAAGGCATGATAGTTTGTGTTGAGTGGGGTGGGACTGGCGTCACATGGCAATTCGCTCTTCATGAAACCTCGGCGCTTGTGTCTCACTGGGATCTTATTGTAACCGAAAGCTAGTATATACAACAATACTGCAAAAACAAAATACGGGAAATTTGGTATAGACAAGTGTAGTCGGAGCCATCATACAATAATAAATGGGTATACGGGTCTGCACAACGTCCACCAACACCACTACTCTCGGTCAAACTAGTTCACCCTTGTCCAATGAACATCAACCAGTGATGCCGCCAAGAAGGTTCATCGACCGACAGGAATTTCATGTCTAAAGCAACTAGTCGCGATACCCATTAATATTGTTGGGATAGGTGGGGCAGTAGGGCCAGGGGGCACCCTCTTGAGGCAAGAGGTAGCCCGGGTCTCGGTAGACTTCTGGAGACACCCTACGTATTTGTGCGTAATCTGCATTGGTGGCAACACAATTTTGCCCCATCACCCCTTGATGAAAAGGATAATGGTCACTGTCCGGCACGTAATGGGGATGTACTGGAGATGAGCCGTAGGAAGTAACAGGAGAAGGAGAACTTCCTCCAGACAATGGAGAATCGTGCTGATCCGCATACCGATGGTTGAAGTACGCGGTATGATAACTAGGGGGCTGCGGGGACTCGTCGCTTCCACTGGATGTGCGAGGGCGTTTGGAAGCGAGGGTATCAGAGGGCGGTGGGTCGTCAACTTCATCAGAAGTCCAATCAGATTCATTGGTAGACGAGATAGGTGTAGGCTGCGAAGACAGGGGTGTCTGCGGAGGAGGCCCCTGTCGCCCTGTCGGTATCATTCTCACAGCGGGATCGAAAGACAGAGCGGGCGTGTCCGGGATTGCCTGCCTCCTGCGCTTGCGCGGAGGTGAAGAAGGTTTCTTCTCCCTACCTGACAAAGCCAGGGGTTCCTGAGTGAACAGTGGTTTTAAATCCGCTTTCTAATTCTCTAGATTAGCCTATGGTAAATAAAACGATGTAGAACGTACTGATTCCGGGCGGGTCGCGGTGAGCTGAGGAATATGACTGCCAGGAGGAGTGGTCGAAGGTGAGGAATCAGAAGATGAAGAGAACTTTTGAGAGCGCTGCATGTTAGAGAAGAGATACTCTGTGAACAGGAAGCTTAACTGCAAGTTAGCAGAAGATTTTTTTGAGGAGAAAAATGGATCTGAAGCTGAGGATATATATCAGTAGCGGAAGCTTTTGGAGGAGCGTCATGATCAGTTGTAATTGGAGAGACTCTAGCACGTTTGGTTGATAAAAACGCGACTGCCAGGCGTCCGTAGCGCAAAACAATGAGCGCAGGGTGAAATGAGTTGTGTAGTTCATTGAAGTTGTCATTCAATGAATTTCAACGAAAAGATAGCTTGGTTTGGTACTCCGCCATCCGAGCGCATTCCAAATCTAAGTGACTACAACTCGCGTATTTCCTTCCATTGCTCTTTCCATCATGTCCTCCTCTATAGAGTTGATCAATCCAAAGGCAGAGAGCGTAAGACGCGCTGCTGCCTTGCAGGTAAGTCGCATGTCCTTGCTTTTCGCTGCTGGAATTTCATGCATCACTTTACTAGGTCAACACCACAGGCGCGATGGGTCTTGCGAACGTAGTGAAGGGTAATCTCGGTAAGCATTGACATCACCTCTTCAGCGACTATTTCGTTCCGATCGGACTCCACATCAGGTCCAAGAGGTACTCTCAAAATGCTGGTAGACGGCTCCGGTCAGATCAAAATGACCAAGGACGGTAAAGTCCTGCTATCCGAGATGCAAATACAAAATCCTACAGCCGCCATGATCGCTCGAACCGCGGTGGCTCAAGATGATCAAGTTGGTGACGGGACTACTTCAGTAGTTCTACTGGTCGGAGAGTTACTTAAACAAGCCGATCGTTACATTTCGGAAGGCGTACACCCAACCGTCATAGGAGAAGGATTCGATCTCGCGAAGAAAGAGGCTTTAGCGGTTTGTTTTCAAATTTGTATGTATGTAATTTACCTTCCTGATGGATACGTCTAGTTCCTCGACACGTTTAAACTGCCGTCCAAACTGGATAGGCCAACTCTGATCAACGTCGCACACACTTCGCTTGCCACTAAGCTGCATGCCTCGTTAGCGAAGCAACTCGCTGCGGACGTTGTAGATGCTGTGCTCACCATCAGGCCACCAGCACCCTCCAAAGGCACGCTTTTCATGTAAACAACAGGGTTCTTTGGCTAAAGGTTCCTACAGAAGCTAAAGATCAGTACCGTGACCCAATAGATCTCCACATGGTGGAAATTATGAAAATGCAACACCGCACGGCGTCAGAAACTCAGCTCGTGCGTGGCCTGGTCATGGATCACGGTGCCAGGCATCCGGATATGCCCAAACGCGTCGAGAATGCATTCATTCTGACGTTGAACGTCAGCTTAGAGTACGAGAAGACGTGCGTTGTTCGGCACCGCATTCCCTAACTCTAAACTCACAAAAGCTTAGAGAGGTTAATTCTGGCTTCTTCTATTCGTCTGCCGAGCAACGTGAAAAACTCATCGAATCCGAGCGGCGTTTCGTGGACGCCAAAGTCAAGAAGATCGTGGAACTCAAGAATCTCGTGTGCGATCAAGCCGTTGGCGGCAATGAAAAACCAAAACACTTTGTCGTTATCAATCAGAAAGGCATCGATCCACTTAGTCTCGATATCCTTGCAAAGAATGGCATTCTTGGTTTACGTCGTGCTAAGCGACGCAACATGGAACGGTAATGTCTTCGGCGCTACGTAAAGATATGCTCTGATTGCGGTTGCGTCTTAGCCTGCAGCTCATTTGCGGAGGTGTTGCGCAAAATTCCGTAGACGATCTAACCCCAGATATTCTCGGCTGGGCGGGTCTAGTTTATGAGCACACTCTAGGCGAAGAGAAGTACACCTTCGTGGAAGAGGTTAAGCAACCTAAGAGCGTTACGCTCCTTATCAAGGGTCCAAATGCGCATACGATCCAGCAAATTCAGGATGCTCTACGGGACGGTCTTCGCGCCGTCAAAAATGCGCTAGAGGATGAGGCTCTCATTCCCGGTGCGGGAGCGTTTGAGGTTGCATGCGCAGCTCATTTGAGTGGTCCTGTAAAGAAAGCTGCCAAGGGTCGCGTTAAAATGGGTGTGCAAGCATATGCAGATGCGCTATTGATCATTCCAAAGACTCTTGCGCAAAACGGAGGTTTTGACGTTCAAGATGTGGTGGTTGCGCTGCAGGTTCGCGATATGATCCCGATTGTATTTGATTTATTTACGTTAGTCGAAACAGGACGAGCAAGCGGAGGGAAACACGGTTGGCATCGACTTAGAATCAGGGGAGCCATTTGACCCGACTGTGGAGGGCATCTGGGATAACTACAGGGTAAAGAGGCAGATGTTACACTCATGGTCAGTGGATATACCTTTCTATCAGAAGAAATGGTTGCTGAAATCCAGATCCCAGTTCTGTGATCGCGGTGAATCTCCTTTCCACAGACGAAATCTTACGGGCTGGCCGGAGTTCATTGAAGCCAGATGGGCAGTCGTGAAGAGCTGCAAGAATTGTAAGTGCAACGTGCCTCACTGTACCATTGTAATACGCATTCGACGTGGCCGATAATGATGTATATGTGGAACGTATGGACGAGAATTACAAAATGCTACCGTAGTTGATACAAGTAACCATCTAACTGATTGTCGAAGGTGAGACGGAACCTGTGACATAATTTAGTTTAATATTATTCGTGTGGGCCATGCAACACAGAGTCCGCCCAGGCAATTAGTGAAGCTTTTGAGTGACTTGAGTCAGAGCAGTCAGACTCCCAACCTGCGTCAATGAAACGAGTGGGAGATGATGGTTCGTCGGCATGAAATGAAGCGGATTTACGCAAATATTGTGACATGGGTGTTCCACGAGCGTTCTTCCAGGGTACTGGGGCGGGAAGTTTAGCCGTATAAGTGACACGGAGATGAGAGAATTGCTCCTCATTTACGACGCTGGCATGAGCCTCCTTGCTTTCAGAAAGAAGCCCTTCGACAGCTCGATCGTCGTCAGAATTGGTCGAGTCAAGTGCATCTTCATCCGGAAAAGAAGTGCGGCGGTGCACATCTGAGATCGGAAACCGTTCGCCCAGCTGTGAATTGTTCATATGCAATTCTAGGTATAAGAAGTAGATGTACGTACGTCGTCAAATGATGATGTGTAAGACCCGCCACGAGGAATTGCACCACCTTCTATATACATATTCTCCGAAACCGACGAAACGCGAACGCTTGATCGTGAACCAACAGTGGGGGTCGCATAGGGTCCATCTGCGCTAAGAACTTTCGTGGAACTATCTTCTCCACAGAAGGAAGCCTTTGGGTTCAGTCGCTCGCTGCGGCGAGTTGCTGGACCAGAGTCAAGGGGGGACTTGGTAATCGAGGACCAGCGACGTCTGGCAAAATTGACTGGAGATGGTTGGAAGGTTAGAACGCTATTGTGTGCGGGCCCCCGCCAACTAGCTCGCTGAGCCAATTTTTCCGTGACTGTATGCTCGAGCTGAGACGGACCAGCTATGGGTAACGGCGTCTGGTCATCAGGTGTGACGGGACCGATACTGTCACTTTCCAGCGTTGGCAGAGAGGGGCCGCTATCCTCTTCGTCCTGAGAAACATCGTCAGGGCACGGTGGTGCCCACTTGCGACGAGCGTAATTTGTCGGATTGGGGTGATATAGAAGACTGCTACCCACCCCTTTGAACCTATAAGCCACGGGCCCTGATGGTACAGATGTGCTGTATTCTAACGCTTCGTCGTTTCTTTCGAAAGGACTGGTAAAATGTCGGGGCTTCTTTGCCAGCGATGCTGAGCCTTCAGGTGGGAAAGATGCCGCTCGTTTCCCAGTAGGAAGAGTCTCTGGATCATTCGGTTGATCCCAGTCCTGCGGATCTGCTTCTTCGCCGTCCGTCTCATCTTCTTCATGCCTGCCTGCGAGCCACTGCGTAACCTTGATGTTTCTTCTGTGGAAAAGCCTCTCTGTGCGTGTCAGGTTCTGGAAAGTACCAAACTTCCTTCTGACGAATCTGCCATTCGTGGTGGCTTTCTTGCCGAAACGGCCGTTTGAATCTCGAGGTTGAGATTGTACCGCCAAGGCCTTTGGTCTGGTATGACTGCGTGACGAAGAAGGGGAATGATCGCTATTCTTGACACTTGGTGATGGGAGTACGGAGGGTTTAATCATAGGTGCGGGCGGAGTCAATGGAGGCTTAGGAGGTAGGTGAGGATGAGACCGAGGAGGCACCTCGGGAAGAGGGTATTTACGAGGTCGACCTCTCTTCCGTTTCGGTAACTCTTCTTCAGGAAGAGGGTACTTGCGCGGTCGTCCCCTCTTTCTCTTCAGTGGTCCAAAAAGCTCTTTGGCTTTCGCTGACATTTCCACGCTAGGTCCGTTATCGGCTCTACGCTTCTTCAGAGGACGCTCATCGACGGGGGGCGCGGGCTTGCGCTCCACGACAGGAGCGCTCTTCTGAGGGGGGCGCCGCGAGGAGTTGGCATCCACATCGTCACGGGATGGGGCTACAACAGCTTGGCTCAGAAGACGAGCTGGCCACGGCTGGCCATATATAGCGATGTGACGCATGCACCTGGCGCAAAAGAACTCCATCAGCATACATAACGAACGGATACTAACGGGATTACCTTGGACACTCTTGTCTTTGTTTGGACTTCTTGCTTCGCCGTGGAGAATCTAGATTCAGACCCCACACAATTTTGGAGTCCACTGAAATCACAGGCAAGACATTCGAGCACGTTGCGCACGTTGGCAACGGCCGTCCGTCTTCGCCACGAGGAATCTCGCGCTTCGGGGGCCCCGCCGAATCAATTTTTTCCCCAACTACGGAAGGACGCGCTCGGAGAACTCTCGCTTCAGATTCTTCCTTCACTTGAACCTTTTCTACATCCTTTCCTTTGCTCCTACTAGGCGTGACAGACACGCTATCCCGATGACTTTGACCCCTAAGGCGTGACGATAGGTTGTGCGAAACATCACGGGGGGCAGGAGTAGAATGCTTGCTGGACGACTCGTGCGTCATCTTCTGTCTGCGAGTGGAGATAACGGACTTCGCCGGTGCTTTCCCTGATTCTTCGGCGCTCAATGATGACATACATGATGGCCGGACATCAGGATCAGGCGTGGCGACTGTTGCATCTATAGCCGCAGAATGGCGAGAGGACGACGAAACGGCTACCGAATGGGAAGCTTCCCCACCTAGTTCCATATCCACATCATCATCCCCAGAAGCGTCAGGGGCATCAGCAAGCGGTTTGTCACCCTCCTTATCTTCGTCATCGCTGTCCTCAGAATCAGAATCTTCCTCCTGAACTATAGCGTAAACGCCACGCCGCGTCCTGCGCTCATTGACGTCGGCAACGGTTGCGGCAGGTACTTCAGCGTCATCATCCGACACTTCGGCATCTTGTTCACCGGCCGAATCCACATCACCGTCGGAGTGATCTGGAGCGTAGCCTCCTCTACCGTTCTTCTCGCAAGTTTCACAAAGGCAGTGTCGATTCCTGCCCCCAACTGTGATGTAGGACATAAGCCCTGGAAACAAGAGCGGATAACGGATACGCACAGTAACCATCGCCGTAATGTGCGGTAATCTCTTCTCCGATGGAGATAGCCCGGAGAGTGCGAAATGTGATGTACTTGCCTTCCCGGAAAAGCTCGCAATTGTTGTCACAATCGTGCTGCCAAGCGAACTTCAATGTGAAGACCAACGGGGGAAAATGCATAGACCGTCTGAAACTTACGTTCACAAATCGAGCGGGACCCAAAAATAGATGGTTCTTCTTCATTTGACGTGAATGGATGACGCTAAAGTCCCTCCTGATGTCAATATTTCTCAGGTCGGTCCGCTTGAGTTCCTTGTCTTCCTCCTTTGAAAGATGTGCCATTGATCCCTTCAGCTCAATGATTACCACTCCAGGGGCCAGAGGGCGAGTAGCGAGGATGCATAACTCCGACTTTCCTGTCCTGTGAGAGTATCTAGATGTGTGAGCAATTTCTATGCACCCTGCAGGGTTGTAGAGCTCAAAGTATCGCGAGGCATGTCTGTGGTAAAATCGAGTTTCAGGAGCAGGACATTGATAGTGAAACCTGATTGTACACACGTGGCGAAGGCATTAATCTGCTTCTGCGTGTAGGGCTTGAGGTAGTAACGAACAGAAGGCAGGCTAAATAATGATCGTCCCTGAATGTCTGGTGAACATACACAACAGAGAGAAATTAGACGAACGCAAGGAGGTCGTCCACTGCTTGTCGGACAGCATTCTGAGGACCAAGCTTACTTGCCACAAGCTATGGCACGATGATGTATGACACCATACGCGCGTCCAGGGAATAATTAGTTGCGCGTATATGAAGCGAGCTAAGGGTATACTCACGCGTCTAACCATTTGCATAAGATCCTCGGCATTGGTCTTTGGAAGTCTTCGAGATGGATCCATCTTATGAACGAGCAAAGGAACGGCGCCGGTACCAAGCTTCTCGACGAGTAAATGGCTGAGGAAGTCATCATCCTTAGAAAGGTCACCCATGTTCATGATTTTGGTAGGACGCCATGTGAGAGTTGTCCCTCTGGCTCGTGTCGAAGAGCCGTTGGCGAGCGCTGTCGCGGACGCTGGCGCCATTGAACGGTAAACGAAAATTTACGCGTTCGGGACTTTAAGAGAAAAAAGCACTGAACTGGAATGGACAGCAATGACGCGAAACGGAGGGGGAAAAGGAACAAGACGAAAGCACTGTTGCTGGCGAGATTACGGCACTGACCCACTTAGATTATGTCAGCCTTACACCCACACTTCCTTGCGAACAATAATATTTTAGTTCAGAACGTGGTTATCTTTCCAGAAGCACAACATGCATGAAGAGGACATGGATTGCAATTGGATAAAGCATACGATAAGATGGCATGGTCGTCATACACTAGAGCACTAAGGATTCTCCATATTTTCACCATGTCCTCGGAATCTTGTATGTATGCTCATCAAAGGGTAAATCACTAGGGTCGCGAAGAAGGTTTATGCGTTGTGTGCGTGCTTCTGCTTGCCTGTCCGGAGCTTCCTGACGTAGAACTATTGGTGCCATGTGAGTAAGCGATACAGAACGACTTTCAAACCGCAAGACGAACCTCCAGCTCCTTACCCTCCAGAATGTAACCGTCTCCACGACCAGACTGTCCAGGTCTGCTTGAGATGCAAGCATAGAGACGGCCAGCAGAGAACTGAGACTCGAGAAGGGGGTCGATTTTAGCATCTGATATAGGTAATGAGCTATATAACACGAAAAGATAAAACGGCATTCTTACTCTGCTTCCTCTCGGCAAGGATACGTTGAACATGGTTAGATTTTTTCCCCTCCTCATCAGTGGCAGCGGTCTTTGCGCCCTTCTTGCTGATGGGTTGGGCGTACTATTATTGCATGAATCAGCGGTGGATAAAGGACGGGTTTCAGGTACACACGTGGGCTTCATACCACTGCCTGAAAGGGGTAGCATCAATCTGGATGATGGCACCCTTCACCAAGGTATTGGTGCGGACGAGCTCATTGTTAGATGCATTGTAAACCTAGATTGAACATAAGTTAAGCGGGCAGTATTACATTAAACTATATGCGGTATCAAGGATGCTTACAACACCGATAAGCCTAGTCTTTTTCGTGACATGCTCAGATGCCCATGCGAAGTTACCAGTGTCGAGACGGAGGGCACGGTATTTGGTGTTACCACCGCGAACGCGCACAGTGTGAATGCGCTTGGGGCCAAGTTTGGTGTTAGCAGGTTGACGACCGAGCTCGAACTTTCTCTTCTTGCGATAGTAGGCGCGCTGGGCACCAGTTGCCGAACGTTTGTGCCGGGACGAACGAGAAATACCTAGACAAGTAGTAGTTGAATACCATCAGATGGAACAAAAATCTTTGTGTGTAGGTATATCGGAAGAACAGCACTCACCCATGTCGGATAGCCTTGAGGATGGGAGTCGTGTAGTCGAGTCGAGGTTTTGATGATAGCACTGAAAATCAAGGTTTGAGTATTCGCACTCAGATCGGCAAACGCCGGTGCAACTTGAGTTTGGCTCTGCTTGCACATCGCGTTTGTTCACATCCTTCCTTACTAGAGATCTGCTAGTGCATCATGCATATGGAATTATGACACAACGTGTTTGGCCACGAACCTCCCGTGGCCAGCTGATCCGCCTGTCCAGTACGAACCTGACGTGATCGGTGCCAACTTGGCGAATCTGCAGATGTGAATGGCACCAGTATTTCTTGTCTATCAGATTTTGGGGCGTACGATTCCACCGCGGCAGGCCCGGTCACTGCAGCCAATTGCTACTGTAGTCAGCTAAGTAGGTGCATGCCGCAGCTCGGGCCACTGATTCGTACATTTCAGTAGGTATCACCTTTTTCGGTCGGTGTTCACATTTTCCCTCCGCGTTCATCCGTATCGTGTGCATGGAACCTTTACTATTAGGCTTTCCTCATGACGCATAAGTCCTGATTAAGATGTGCGCATACGCTGCCCTTACCAGTCTAACATGAGTCGCTCGTGCGCCCCGTGCCCATGTCCAGCCGGTTCGAGGAGTATTCTGGGGATCACTAATATGAAATAACGCTCGTCAACGGGCATGGTACAACGAGCCTCCTTTGCCCGTCGCCCAATCCGTCTGTCTGCGCAAACTTGAGGATCCTAGGCTCGTAGGACGGCCGAATGACGCATGCTGTGCGCTTATTTCCAGGCCTCATTGACCAGGCGTGTATATCTTGGCATGTATATCTATGTGGACGTGCGCCATGTTTAAGGTCATTGTTTTCTCTCTCGTTGTTTTGTGTTCGTTTTGAGATGACTTTATTCAAGGCAGCCAGCTTCAGGCGGTTTCGTCGGCGCAAGGCTGTTCGACCGAATGAAGGATCTGCATTAGCCAAAAATACTCAAAGTGACCTCAGTCGACTAGTACGCACCGCGGCCCCTGCGGTCAGGAAGGTGGAACCCTGTTACAGTTTTTCTAATCCCATCCGTGTCCTGACATATCATTTCACCAGGTATTCGATGTAGAAATGCAGTCGTTCTCCAAGCTGCACGCCCGTTATCTTGCAGAACATGGGAACCGAGAAATACTGTGAGTTCTTGCAACATCATTTTTCTCGCCCCTTTCGTGTAATTAATGCTGTCATGCAAAGTGACTGGGATCGGATCAAATCGCCTAACGATAAGCAGGTAATTCCTTACAGCTTCCTTCCACAGGTTGCCGGTCCAGATGTCTTGTCCAAGTTGGCAGTTCTAAAGGTCAATGGGGGTCTCGGGACCTCTATGGGTATGGCCTGTCAATTCCCCCTGCACTTGTACTTATGTACTTCCAAGGTATGAGTGGCGCGAAAAGTGCTCTCGAGGTCAAAGACGGGATGACCTTCTTGGACCTCATCGTGCAACAGGTCGAGCACTTGAATACAGTTCACAAGGTCGACGTACCACTCATCCTCATGACATCTTTCAACACGCACGAAGATACATTACGTATCATCAAGAAATACGCATCTCAACGCATTAGCATAACTACTTTCAATCAGTCGCGGTATCCGAGGATCTGGAAAGAGACGCTGCAGCCGTGTCCTAAGCATGCATCAGACGACAAGACACACTGGTATCCTCCAGGTCATGGCGATCTGTATGAGTCGCTGATGCATACTGGCGTTCTTGATCGTCTCCTTGCTGAGGGCAAAGAGTATTTGTTCGTCTCGAACTCTGACAATCTCGGTGCCGTGTAAGTCTTCACATTGATGAGGAGTCAAATGAGTAGCTCAACAATTTCTACAGAGTCGACCAACGCATTCTTCAGCATATGGTTGACACTGATGCCGAATTCTTAATGGAGGTCACCGATAAGACCAAGGCAGACGTTAAGGTTGGTCAATATCTTAAGATCCTCGATCTGCTGTTCATGCTTCACTCGCAGGGTGGCACTCTCATCGAATACGATTCCTCCATGAGGCTTCTGGAAATCGCCCAGGTACCTGCGGACCACGTTGACGACTTCAAGTCAGGTAGCGTATACATTCTCCCTTGGCTCATCCTCCTGCAGCTGATGATGTGCAAGTCCGGAAATTCAAGATCTTCAACACGAATAACCTATGGATTAATCTAAAAGGTTTTCATCAGTGATCTAGTCGTGTAACAGTAACGGTCGTGTTGATGGTTTACCTCCCAGCATTGAAGCGGATCATGAATGGAGGCGGCATGGACCTGGACATCATCGTCAACCCAAAGATGACTGACGACGGCCGAGCAGTGATCCAGGTCGGTTGTTCGCTTGGGACACCAGGCACGATTTCTGACCGTGAGTAGCTCGAGACCGCGGCAGGCGCAGCCATCAAACACTTCAAGAACGCCCATGGCATCAACGTTCCCCGTTCGCGCTTCCTGCCCGTGAAATCCTGCTCCGACCTCTTACTCATCAGGAGCAATATATACTCATTGCAAAATGGCTGTTTGCATATGAGCGACAGCAGAATGTTCGGCAGCGTCCCGGTGATCAAGCTAGGGGATCACTTCAAGATGGTTGGAGCGCCGTTGGAGTTTGGATCTTTTTTTTGCTAATGAATGTGATACATAATCAGATAAATGATTTCCAGCCACGATTCAAGAAGATCCCTAATATCATCGAGTTGGACCATCTTACGATAACGGGCGACGTTCATTTCGGTCGAGGGGTGACACTTCGTGGTACTGTGATCGGTAGGCATCTATGTTTTCTTTGTATATGTTGAATGTGGCTAAAACTTATATATTAGTGGTGGCGAACGAAGGTCAAAGGATTGACATTCCTGATGGTTGCGTGCTGGAGAATCGTAAGCACGACCCAAGTGTTTTCATGACGGCATATAATTGATATCCCATTACAGGTTTAGTCTCTGGGAATCTCAATATGACGGTAAGGTTCATGAAAGCCCCCATGAACTTTAACACTTATAGTTTTTAATCTGCAGGAACTTTGATCTTATTGATTTGAGTTACGGTTTACTTTGCAACTTGAAGCTGCCCATCACTTATGATTACCAATGTTCTTCATGCATGCGCCGTCAATGAAGTCTCTTGACATCCTATGGTAGTAAACGCCAGTGAGATTGCCGCAGAAGGTAAAAGTAGTTTGGTCAACGCGACGCTATCATGAAACCAAAGCCATCGGAAGCTCGTTGTCCATAATAGAAAATCGGTACAAGGATGATTTCAACAACAGGATCATGCGTGAGTGAGAAAAAAAACGAGCAGAAAACAAGTAAGATAAAAAAAGGAATATGCCATCTATGTAATTGTCCGTGTGTCGTCGTAAGGTTTCTTCCTAAGCAAATTACAACTCCTGCACAGGAAGAGAGCCATTAGTAGTGGCTTGGCAAGTCTCTTGCATCACTTACGATCATGTTCAAGTTTCCAGACAACAACCCTGTGAGTGAGCGGAAGTATGAGATCGGGAGGCATGGCATGGAGATAAGACATACTGTTCTCAAGGATACAGCCATCAGGGATATCAATGCGCTGACCCTCATTGGCAACGACTACGAGGCGTTATCAGCGGCTCGCATCAGATTTGCTCACTTGGACTTACCGATTACAGTCCCGCGAAGAGTCACGTTCCGGCCGAAATACACATCGCCCGTAACAGTCAAGTGATCGAGCTCGATGATCTTGGGGATCTTCTTGAATCGTTTCTGGAACTGCTGGATCTTCTTGAAGTGGTCGCCGAGCTTGATCACAGGCGTGGTCTCGAACATTCGGCTCTCATTGAGGACGAGCTGTCCGTGTTGCAGCGAGTATATATCGCTCTTGATCAAAAGCAAGTCGGAACATGATTTGACCGGCAAGAAGCGCGATCGTGGCACGTTGATGCCATGACCGTTCTTGAAGTGCTTAATGGCCGCGCCGGCGGCGGTCTCGAGCTGGACCACAGATTGGCCATCTTCGTTGGTCTTCGGATTAATGATGATCTCGAGTTCCATGCCCTCGGTCTCCATGATGCGCTTGAGCGCTGAAAGAGAATTAATAATGTAAAAAAAATAGATGACTAAATGCCAATACCTGGGAGGTTGATCCACAAGTTGTTTGTGTTGAAGATCTTGAACTTGCGCACTAGACACTACGTCAGAAGCGAAAATACACGCACAAGCTCAAGAACTGACCAGATTTGAAATCCTCGACATGCTCTGATGGAACTTGCGCAATCTCAAGAAGGCGAACTGAGCCCTCGTAGTCGATGAGAGTACCACCCTGCGAGAGAATTAGAGACTATGAAATGCACACAATCTAGGTACGTACCTTGATGTCAGCCTTCGTCTTGTCAGTGACTTCCATCAAGAACTCCGCTTGAGAGTCGATCATGTGTTGCAAGATCTTTTCGTCAACACTACAATCAAGCATCGTTAATGTCGGCACAACGTGGATATCTGTTTAGCACTGACACTGCGCCCAAGTTGTCCGAGTTAGAAACGAAGAGGTACTCCTTCCCCGCATCAATCAACTGGTCCAATAGACCAGAGTGAAGCAGCGCATTGTACAAGTCACCGTGGCCAGGAGGGTACCAGTGCTTCTTGTCATCGTCAGCACGCTTTGGGCAGGGAAGCAAGCTCTCCTTGAAGATCCGGGGGTACCGCGACTGATTGAATGTCGTAATGCGGAGTTGCTGATTTGCGTACTTCTTAATAATACGCAGGGTGTCCTCATGGGTGTTAAAAGACGTCATGAGAATAAGCGGAACATCGACCCGGTTGCTCGTGTTGAGATGCTCGATCTGGCGCACGGTGAGATCCAGGAAGGTCATATCATCCTTGACTTCCAGCGCGCTCTTGGCGCCAGTCATGCCTATCGACCATCAATGATGACGCAATTGGGCCCACAAAGCAAGACATACCCATGGAAGTACCGAGACCACCATTGACCTTGAGTACGGCAAGCTTGTTAAGGTTACTGTGGTCATGAGGTTGAGGTAGGCTATCATAAGCTACAATCTGGTCGTCTGCAGGGGACTTGATGCGATCCCAGTCGCTGATAAGACGCAATTCGTTGAAAATCTACTTCTGAGCAAAAAAGGAAATACGCACAGATCCACGCTTTTTGCGCGTTCTGAAAGATAGCGGGTGAAGAGATAGAAGAACGATTGCATCTCGGTGTCAAATGCCTGCTGCGCATCAAACATGGCAGACACGTGGACGATATGCAGGACGCACCTGCTTGGCTTGATCATCGACAGTGCTCACTAGATGGCTGAGCTCATTGCGCATTGACTTTGCTGCAACGCCGGTGGTCGCTGTTTTGAAGTCGATATGACTGCTGCCTCGAACGCGAGCGTTGAGGGTGTTGGTATTGGGTGACAGAGTTGCCATGGTCCTAGAAAGACACCATCAGATATGGAATGACGCAAAATAAATAAACATACTTGGAGCTTGGAATATGTATAGGCTTTGTGGTTGCTGTAGAAAAGTAACAGGGTTCTGTTTGAGATCTTATGAGGGGGCTCCTTGGTTTGTGGTGTCGCTTGAAAACTTCGGAGCTGAGATCAAGATGCTTGTGGAGAGGCACGGACAAGTCCGAAGCGAGAACGTTGAGCTCCTCTGGAATGAGCTCACACAAAGATTTCCAGCTAGCGCGTCGTTCGTTGAACTCCCTGGAAGAAAACTTCTGTGCTGATGGCGATGAGGGCGTTGGAGGCGAGCTTGAGCGAGTGACACAAGATCGCGGTTGTAGACCAAGCAATTTCAGCGGACGGTAGAGGTCGTTATATGAACTTCTACTGTTTGAGGACGAACGTGCTTGCATAAAATCGATAAAGGAACCTCCGCGTCTCGCCGCAAAATGGATACCCAGCGAAGGGACAACGTTTAACTAGCACTGATTCCTGAACCTGGCTTTTATAACGAACCTTGCTGACTTTTTAGATACCTTGTACATATCGGGTCCAACTCTATAAAATCCGGATCATCCTTCATTTGTCCCAGTGGTAATACGTAGGTATGCCTTATCCATCCAGGCAGTGCCCACCACGCATGCATCTGCCAGCGCTAAACCCGTTCCTTTACACATCCCGAGCTCATCCGAACGCTTATCTTCCAAGGTAAACTCTTCGCCATATTCACGCCCTCATATGTGTCAAGATTCTCTTTACTGGAAAAGGTATATACGGCGGACGCACATGCGACTCAGAAACCAGTCGATTTCGATGTGCACCCGAGGCGGACAGCGAGTTTCACCTGTCAAACAAGCGGTGAAGTCCAGATTGACATCAGAGTAAGGTCAGACGCAGCGACTAGCGCTCTTTACAGTCCGGTTCCCACAGCGCTGACGTGCATGCGTGATTGCATCACGTCTGAGGACCTGAGCTTGCGACAACAAACCTGAATCTTGTCTGCATCTCCCTACCGGAGTAAATATCGTACCAAGGCACGCGTTTATGAACGCGAACCTCAATACCGAGCTCTCAAGGATCGGCCCTTCATTTACAGAAAAGCGTGCTTATCAATGATACGAACCAAACTTGGGGTGCCTTGTCGGGACACCTGTCTCCGTACCCCGACTGCAGACCCTTGACGTGTTTCTGTGCCTTATACAAGCCAAAGCAATTCCGGTCCATTTTTGGATCCCCCTGCTTGCTATCGGATTCGCAGCCACCTTTGCTGCGCTAGTTCAGGGGAGGCCCTGTCGGACGAGGCATTCAAGGGCATTTACTGTGAGTGCCTTCAGGACGATTTCACCTTATCAGGTTATCTCGTGCATGTTAATGCATGTTCTGTCAATCACAAGGGGAAGTTTGGGCTGTTCGCCATATCTGTCCCTTGCACGCTCATTGTTCCTTGGATCATGTGTTGTGTCTACGATGATATAGCCACACCTGTCAGTTCGGAGATTACAGTGTTATTTGCGTGTAAAGTTGCTTTTGAGTATTGGCACTGCGAACTGAGATCGACGGCTATGGCCCGAAAGCATAACGATAGTGAAATTAGGTGCGTGCGTTGTAAACTATGCTGCGTGCCTCTATCAGCATCATCCAGTGAGTATCCTCCGATGCCATCTCAGGAGTGCATCGCCCACCATGCCGCGACGCAAAACACGAGAAGAGGAGGCCACGCCACGTCCAGCACATCGCGCAGAAAGCCTCGAAGGACCCCCACCTCGTGCACTCCGCGGTTGACCCTTGAACACGGCAGAGACAGTGATATACGTCTTCGGCGCCCCAGAAGACAGAAGGACCATGAATGGGAAGAAGATGAGAATCTGCCGCGGATTTTGCTTGAGTGCCTCGACCCTGCAAGTTTCGTCACAGGGAGAGGCAGGAACGGATCCTCGTCGGTATCTTCCGTGTTACTTTGCCCGAGCCAGCGTCGAGATAACTCACGATCGCTGGTGGCACGACTGAAGCTGTGTTCGGAATGGCTGACCCGAGAAGAAATCTCGGGCCGGCGCTGTGTCTGTTGGTTGCCCCTAGTGACTCGGTGAATATTAAATGCGAGGAGGCTAAGCACCGAGAGCACGATGAAAGGGAGGTAGACGCTGAGATAGATACCGAGTTGGTCTGGGAGGAAACAGGGTGTATCTAGAAGAGAAGGCGGTGAATTTGGCAATTGCGTTAGGTTCTCAATTGAAGGGACTATTGAGGTCAACGAGAGAAGTTGGAATCCTGGTCGACGTATCCCCATTGCCATTGAAAATGACTTCACCGTAATTTCTCGCACTGTCGTCGAACCAGAAGCGGATTGAAAGGGCAAGGGGTGTGAATATTCACAGTAGTCGTGATCGTCACCACTGAATATGTAACTATGCTCAGTAATTGGCTCTGCATAAGAAGGGGAACAACGAACCTGAATATAAGAGATGGTCCGAGCGAGCCAAGTAGAAATTGCGATGCTTCGTCAGAAAGGGTGTTCTGGTACCCGAAACCATATCCCTGTCGGATGGTGCCCCGTTCTCGTAGCGGACCGCAGTCCGTATCAAGAGGCCGAGCAAGAGGAATATGCGTGAAGAGCACAATCGGACTGGCGTATTCGTTAGTAGCAGACCGCTTCACGAAGTCGATGGATCCTCCTGCCACTGCGGGCCAGTTGTCATACGAATACCCTCGATCTGCGCGGACAACATCTTCTTCAAGCAAGCCGACTGCATCGATGAACAGAATAGTATGGTTTCCAATCGTAGTCTTGTGATTCCGTGGTCCAAAGTGAGAGGTGTACCTTGTTGCAGCTTCAAGAGAAAAGGAAACGGCGTCTCCGAGTCTGTGCGCAGAAGAAGTTTCACAAGAATGCTCTAAACATGGAGAACTAATGACGTACCCGAGATCATGATTCCCAGGGAGAAAAAAAGTTGGTATGGACAACTCCTCCATCTTGAAGATGTCGAAAAATCGTGCAGCATACGCATTGTACCTTGTGAGTAAACGAGCAACCTCAGTCGCAAGCTGAAGTTTCACCGCCTGGATGCAGCTATGAATTAAGAACATACTCGCTATTCGACATGGTGGCGCGGCCGTTGTCCATGAGGTCGCCCAGGAAAACAACGACATGAGGTTGCAAATGACTTATCGTCGAGCGCCAGCTCCTCCGGAGGTTGAGATCGATGATGAACTGGCCCAAGACTTTCAGCAGGGGACCACGTGTAGGATACGAGCGGTAGTCAATTATTTGTGGGTCTGCCACCACTAATACGCGTGCAATACGGGAGTTCGGGGTGTTAGACTGACAACTGACACATAAGCATTAACTTGAGACCCTGCGGCACTACATCTTCACCTGATGAATATCTGGCCACTGACAAGGACGTAGGACATGGTCGAACGTGTAAACCTCATACCAAAGGACAACGATTATCCACGCTGCTCGAAGGCCGTTCACGACCATGATATGTGATGGCAGCCATAGCTTCAAGTTACGTGGATAACCCGACATGGCGAGCAAAAGAGCAGGCAAGCTCTAACAACCTACGTGGAGTTAGTCTCTCCTAGGCAGACCAAATAGAAGGAAGATAGTCGTTCCCAGTCGTTTCTTCGTGCACTCACAAACGAAAATGGGAGAAAAGTATGAAATAAGTATGAAAGCGGCTATTCGATTGGCCATGGTTGTCGGAAGCGGTCACCGGAATCGCTCGGCACCTATTCCACAACACAGTCAATTCACCTATTTTGACGATATGCAGTCGTACATCGACACGATGACACTATTATTTAAAACTTCACTAAAATGGTATTATAAAACGTCCCTGATGATCACCAAGAGGTCTTGAGATGAGCGCAGGACAATTTTGGGGTACTAACAATGAGCGAGGTTGCTGAAGCCGGGCCGTGAACTTCAAACTTCTCGGTCTACCACCACCTCCGTGATCTCTACCACTCTTCAAACTTGTTGAGAGAACTAGAGTGATGTTGTTCACAGCGTTCGTAGGAGATGTGATAGTGTGAGATGGTCGATTGACTCACTGAATTGTTCGGTAAGCGATGGCAAAGTACCAGTCATTCATCAAAATGGAACCGAGTCGCAGGGAAACAAGACAAAATGATCGAATTTGATATCACAGAATGGCATCGGGCAATCTCTCATTTCCTCGGAAAACAACATGACCGAGATCTCGAGCAAAGTGGGGCGGCAGACGGGGTGCACGCGACTTCTTTTGTCCACGCTGCGCTGACCCTGAAGCATTTCCTGCTGTAGTGCCAGGAGCTGTTTGGTCCGTCGCAGTGGATGATGATCGAGAATGTTGCACACCTTGTGGTTCATTTGCATCCAGTACTGGAGGCGCAGGTATTCGTCGTGACGTTCTACACGAGTTACAAGTGTAGATGATAAAGTGTCCGTGCGATGTCGAATCTAGATATCATAACAACTTTATGAGCATGTACAAAAACGATGTATACTCAACACGCACTCTTCACCCGTACGGTCGCGGAGGCACCAGGCATTAACACGACGTTGCATCCCTTACATATAACGCGTTTGACTGTTGGATCACTGCTTTCTATCAGCTCGACCATGCAAAAAAGACGAGACATATGGGCCCACATCTTGACATTTGTTTTCTGCCCGACCACCTTCATCGTGTCCACGTAGCTTCTCGACAGGTCAGAAGTAGATACGACTCTCCTTTTCCGATTGTTCGGCCGATTTTGCGCGTCGTTGGCCTCGCAAGGGCTAGACGGAACCTGCGAGGGGCTAGCTATCATGCCATTGAGGAGAACACTGGCCTGGTAGAGGAAGTTGAGACGTTGAATGATATCCCGATTGGCGACGCTGTTTGGGTTAGGGATATCGTCTTTGTTCTTTTTGCCCATCGTGCTCAGTAGATAAGTACTGTACTGCGAGTGCAAGACGATATGACCCAAATATGACCTGGGCCGTAATTGCATGGGACTTATATGTAACGTTTTAATGAGATTTGTCAACCGACCTTAGCTCAGTTGGAAGAGCGCGAGACTGTAATGGATAAACAATTCATCTTGAGGTCGCCTGTTCGAGCCAGGCAGGTCGGACTGATAAATGGCAACTCCGTTGCTTTTTGGCGCCGGCGTCGAGATCATGGTTCAACAGAGCAACGTCCCTAGAATCGTACTTAAGTTTTCAAAGGTTGGCACATCGCGCCCGTCCTTCAACCCCATTCCATCATCCAGCAAGCGTTCCATAGTAACTACTTCCCATCCTGCCCAATTAATATTACCGTCGAACAAACTTAAGTACTCCTGCAGACTGGGGACCTCATGCACCGAATTCACGAATATACATAATACCAGTACTAGTGCGTTCAACAATTCTTGTTCTTGTCGTATCTTTCTCGGTTTGTATTTAACCTCAGGAGACGCCAACTGTTGGCGCCAGGAGGTGTCATCTGGCTGTGCAGTGCCAGCCCATGTACCTCCGATGATGTCGCCACACACAGCAGCCTCGTGTCCTCAGACGAGCGCCCGCTCGTTCTTCAACTGCCAGGGCATATCCAGCGAGCTTTCCACATCGAAATATATCGAAACCATCCTCCATCTCGCTTTGCACTCTGCATCACTCCACAGCTTTATCATTTCGTGACCTAAGCCTTAACCTCGGGAGCTTCAAGAACAATATAGATACAAGTAACGGCTTGGACTCGCATTGATCTCTTGATTCGATTCTTCGTACGTCGTCCTTTCCTATAACTTTCGCTTAGATGATTGCTAACTACACCCTCGAACTCAGCTAGTATTATTTCGTTGTTCCATTCCATCACACAATTCCTGTTACAAGTGCCGTGAATGAGTCAGGATCAATGTCAGTATTGCCATCTCTTATCCCTCTTTCGAATTCTGACCACAACAACAGTTTCTCGATCGTTTGAGGGAACTTGGGAGAGGCTGTCCCAAGTCGCTGTCAAGGGTGCTGAATATGACTCCCGTGAACGCCAGCCCCATCCAAAATGTTTGGAAGGGACCCGGGTCGACCTTCTCAACCACATCAACACAATATTAGACAAGCGGGAGAAGAGTCAGCTCATTTGGCTGCATGGCACGGCGGGTGTCGGAAAGTCTGCTGTCGCGTTCACTGTAGCTGAAAGGATGCGAGGTTTGAAAGTGACTGAGCAGACGAATGTCGAAAAGCGGCTCGCAGGGACATTCTTTTTCTCGCGCAAGCACACCGAACGCTGCACGACTGGATACTTCTTTGCAACACTTGTCTACCAGCTTGCCAGAAATTTTCCTAGCATCCGAAAGGATGTGAAAAGATCCATCCACGACGACCCCGCGCTTCTAGATCCCAACAAGTCTCTCCGCGACCAGATGGAGGCACTCTTTCTCCAGCCTCTCCGGAGGCTTAAATCCAGGCTGAGCGAGTGTCCGCCTTTGACTTTTGTTGTTGATGCCCTTGATGAGTGTACATCTGAACCCGAGCTTGTCGATCTCATCCTTTTCCTCGCACTGGCTCTTCGTGACCCTGATCTGCCCGTGACCCACATTCTGCTCACGAGTCGCTCGGAATCGCATATCTCTAAAGCGTTTCAGAAAGAAGAGGTGCGCCCACTGGTCTGCGAGATACCCGTACAAATTTCTGGGGAGGGTGTTGCCACCATCATCTCGTTAGATGGTGCCGATGTCGACAACGACATCTACATTTTCTTGCGGCATTCCTTCAGAGAGCTGGCAAGTCGCCATCCCGATTTCCCGCAGCCGTCGAGGGGTCAACTCGAGCGACTGGCGAGCCGAGCGGGCAGACGTTTCATCGTGGCGTCCACGATGATGAAGTTCATCGACGATGGAGACAATGATCCGTACAGTCGGCTTCAGCTCATGCTCGAGCTAGCGAGTGGACTGCTACCAGGAACGGAGGTGTACAAGTTATACGACTGTATCCTCTCCACATGTGCCGATCCCAAGCGGGCATACCTGCACTTGTCCATTGTTGCTGCCCTTGCGGACCCACTGCCGATTTCACAACTTTCGAAACTTCTTGGCCCCGGTCTTGGCAGGGATGTAAAGGCCATACTAGTGCAACTACGATCTGTCATGGATATTCCTGCCGACGACGGTCTCCCCGTGAATATATATCATGCGTCCATTCGTGACTATGTTTCCAACCCCTCAAACTGCAGCCTCCCTCAAGTACAAGATATGCCATCACCCCACTCCCTACTCGCTGATTCGTCTTTCCGCTTGATGATGAAGGATATTCCAGAAAGCACGGCCCTCCTAGATGCGCTCTCAGAATTGAAGAAGCACAACCAAGCTATGAAACCCCATGACCCCCAGAAATTGAAAGGCTCATTATCCTTCTTTGTTCGACCACCGGAACCATTGTCAGTTCTTCTAGGTCTGCTATGGCTTCGGGGACATCGCAGTTCAGATTTGCAATCCTGGCTAGAGACCCCAGACGGGTGTTCCTGGCTGCAGACCCAAGGAGGGGAAGACTGGTTGCAGACCCGAGAGGGGGAAGACTGGTTGCAAACAGTTAGCGGGAGAGACTGGTTGCAGACCCAGGGCGGGAAAGAGTGGCTCCACACTCGGGGTGGGCGAAGCTGGTTGCACACCCAGCGCATACGAGACTGGTTACCCACGCGGAGTGGGCGAAACTCGGTGCAGACCCAACGCATGCGAGACTGGCTGCTGGCTCAGGGGCGCGCCTGGTTACTGACCACGAGTGGACAAGACTCGCTACAGGCTCTGCACGGACAAGACTCGCCGCAGAATCGGCACATGCAAGGCTCGCTACGGCCCCCGTGTTCCCTGCTGACCCAGGGCGGGTTAGATTGGCTGCAGACCCAGCACGGGTTAGACTGGCTGCATACACAGGGCGGGAAAGGCTGGCTGGATACTCAGGGCGGGAGAGTCTGGCTGCGGAGCCACGGAGGGAGAGACTGGCTGCGGAGCCACGGAGGGAGAGTCTGGCTGCGGAGCCTGGGCGGGCAAGCCTGGCTGCAGACCTTGGGTGGGCAAGCCTGGCTGCGGAATATGGGTGGCCAAGACTGGCTGCAGACCCAGGGGGGGAGAGACTGGCTGCAGACCCAGGGGGGGAGAGGCTGGCTGCGGACTCAGGGCGAGGACAGCTGGCTGCGGACCCAGGGCGGGAGAGACTGGCTCCAGACTCAGGGCGGGGAAGGCTGGCTGCAAACACAGCACGGGAAAGCCTGGCTGAGGACCCAGGATGGGGGAGGCTGGCTGCAAACACAGCACGGGAAAGCCTGGCTGCAGACAGTGAGCGGGAAAGCCTGGCTGCAGGATCAGGGTAGGAGAGACTTACGGCCTGGCACGCCACAGTGGCTGCAAGACCACAGCGGGAGAGACTTGCGGCGGGCCCCGGGCACGCCACAGGTCCACGGCGTGACAGACTGGCTGCGGAGCAGTGGTGGGAGAGACTGGCTGCGGAGCCGTGGCGGGAGAGCCTGGCTGCAGAGCCGCGACGGGAGGGACTGGCTGCGGAGCAGTGGTGGGAGAGCCTGGCTGCGGAGTTGCGATGGACAGGACTGGCTGCGGACTCAGGACGGGCAAGACTGGTTGCGGACCCAGGATGGGCAGGACTGGCTGCGGACCCAGGACGGGAAAGACTGGCTGCGGACCCACGGTGGGCAAGACTGGCTGCGGACCCACGGCGGGAGAGACTGGCTGCGGACCCAGGACGGGCGGAAATGGCGGGACTGGCTGAGAGACTGGCTGCAGACCCATGGCGGGAGAAACTGGCTGCAGACCCAGGACGGGAGAGATTGGCTGCAGACCCAGGACGGGTTCGACTGGCTGCAGACCCAGGGCGGGTTCGACTGGCTGAAAGACTGGCTGCATACTCATGACGGGTTCGACTGGCTGCATACCCAGGGTGCGTTAGACTGGCTGCAGACCCAGGGCGCGTTAGACTGGCTGCAAACCCAGGATGCCTTAGACTGGCTGCAGACCCAGGGTGGAAGAGACTGGCTGCAGACCCAGGGCGGGCAAGACTGGTTGCAGACCCAGGGCGGGCGAAATTGGCTGCATACCCAGAACGGGCAAGATTGGCTGCAGACCCAGGGTGGCAGCGACTGGCTGCAGACACGGGCCGCACGTGACTGGCTACAGACGCCCCATGGCCAAGCATGGCAGTCAACTCCTGGAGCATCTTTCTGGGTAGCAATGGAAGAATTCTCGGGCACATTGCAAGCAATCAACAAATATACAATCATTCCAGAATTGCCTTTACTTCCAGCTGTCCAAGCAATCCAGCAGTTCAAGAGCTTGCCGGATTTCATGATGTTTCCGGCCGTCCTCGCGTTAATGTACCGGGATCATTCCGTCTCTGCATTTCCACAAGGTCATTTTACAGGCATGGAGATTATTCATGCCATGGAGGCCTTTGAGAGTTTCGCAAATGAAGCGCGGGAACGAGGTCGAACAACTTCGGACGCTCTCAAGTACGCATGTCAACATTGGGCCATTCATCTCTCGCGAGCTCCAAATCCATGGGACGATACTGTCAACCATATATTCCTGGCTTTCTGGAATCGTCATCTTCTTTCCTGGCTTGAAAGGCAGTGGTGTCTGAAGGGTCTACCGTCTTGCCTTGTTATTTTATCCGAAGGGCAGAAACTTGTCAAGGTATGTAGTATTCACCAAAGTCAACAAAGTTGATATATGACACGCTTTTTAATCTGCTCTCGTTTTTCTCAGGCTGTATCTGTCAACGTACAGTGCCAGCCATCTATCCCGACTCTGAAACATCGGCAATAGAAGTTGACACCTGCTCACACCAGCGAATTGTCAACGAGGGATTCGTCGACTCTCACAAATAATTACTCCCAAAGAAGAGCTTGTCATGGCGCCTGTCCCTTCTCTGAAGCATGCTGTCACGTCCATGTCAGATAAGCATAGGATGGTGATACTAGGTTACCATAATTTCGGTCAACCACTGGTTCGGACACTTTGCAATAGCTCACACAATTCAGCCTCGATAAATCTTCTATCTCACCACATATCATTGTACACATATTCTAAGCTACTATAAAGTTGAATCATCGAAATTGGTGGAGAAATGATTGAGATAGTTGTTGAGGTGTGACAGAGCAGCTGTTTGTCACTCAGCGAGTCTGCCGTGGCGGAGTTTTGATACCTTGTAAGAAAGATGAGCTCGTAACGCCAAATACCTGGTGTTAGTACTATCTGATCATTGATTTACCTCCAGATGACGAATTCGAAGCATTCTCCGCTAAGGATGCTGACGCGACCGTGACACCCGAACCCATGAGTAAGAAAAGGAAGACAGATCAGCATGCAGCAACAATTAACGGCCCTAAGCTTGCGAACGTTGTGCAAGCTCCTAAGGTGTCGGCGGCCCTTACAGAAGGCAGAGGGGAGCCTGCCCCACTCGATGCTCTAGTTGCATCCTTGTTGAAGTCCTCTGCGAAGTACAAAATCTCGATTGCGAAGTTGAATGCCATGGTAGAGGCAATGGTAGAGCTCGGAGATGCGGCAGCAAAGCTTAGAGGTAAGATCGAGAAGTGTATTGAGGAGATGGAGGAGGCGCAGAGGGAGAAGGAGGGGGAGATGGTGGAGGAGCGTATGGTGATCCGTCTGCGGCAAGACCAGCTGCTCGAGACTATCCGAGTAAGAATGGCCAGCGCTATGAGCAAAGTCAGAGAAATAAGACAGATGAAGTTGAAGTCAGATGCGGTGATCGAATGTAACACATCCATATTACGGTACATGCAGTGTACGATATCGCATGTACCTACTCTTTCTGTCAAACATAGTACTGGCTATGTGTAACGGCCAGTTCCGGAACTTCATGTTTTCTGCTACACACGCTGTAGTAATTTGAATTAATGTATACACGCGCTCTCCAGCATGGCACCGGCGATCTGCTCATCCAGAGGACGGATAACACTGTCAGATATCTGCTAGTAACAAACATTACATGTCGATAATAGATTATCGGATCGATTATCGATAGAACCAGCTCCAGTCAGCAGTTCCCTGGTATTTTATAGCAAACCTCCAAGAGCGTTCCAAGGCTTTGAACGTTCTGAACCCCCACATTGCTCTCGTCGCCCTAAATACGCCCATTACTATTGTTGCATGTCAATGGAGCAAAGAGAACGTCGTGCAGCAATCCTTACGTATCACGTCGGAAATAGGAATTTCTCAAGAATATTCAAAGGTACACCGTCTTAACCAACTCCGTTAGTCCGAGACCAAATATTATAAAGAAGATAGTCGTTTCTTTTTGATTATAACTCTGTACCATAATTGTGTTCATCGCAATATCCACAGAAAATTCCCTCGAAGAAGCAAAGAATGTGGTACAGAGAAAACTGCAGTTACCGCCGGGCTCGGTGGTCAAGCTAAGAGCTGCTCGGAGTTCCAAGACGTTTATTGAGTTGGATGATGGTAAAGCGCATCGGTTCTGCAATATAGCTCCTCTTATCTGACCGTCCATTTACTACAGATGACGATTTTGATGCATTCTCTCTGCGGGCGCAAATGCTTAGGTTAGTTGATGTGGTGGTGGATGTGTCAGTGCCAGTATTCCGCATATAGTTGGCTCGTATTGACCCGTTCCAGCAAATACCCCCTGCCAATGGAGTCACGTGCGGCTAAGAACAAACGCAAAGCCACGAATGACCAGCAGCCGGAGGACGCTAACGCGACTGCAACACCCCAACCAAAGATTAAGAAACGGAAGACAGATCAACCTGCAGCAGAGGGTAACGCTCCTAAGCACGCGCAAACTCCTGAGGTCCCCGAGACTGATTTCAAAGAGAAGCTGAATGCCGCTGAGCGCGCGTTGAAGGATTGCCAAGATGAATTCGATAGGATATTTAAGCAGATGGAGGAGAGCTTGAGAGGATGAGGGTAGGGAGAAGGAGGAGGCACGTAGGCTAAGGAAGAAGGAGAAGGCATGTAGGAAGAGGGGGAGGTGTGTGCAGATTGAGTTTGATTGTCGAGGAAGCCTCAAGTTGCTAGGTCCTGTTTTCATTTATGTGAATGTCTTGATATATACCCTGTGAGTTGTCATCGAAGCCTGATCATGAACGTCAGCCTCCGTATCTAAGGCGTAAACTTTAGGAATGACTAGTCAATTGGCGAGATGGGATTTGACATAGAAGATCTAGAGCAAATGTTAGGCTAGTTTGATTCTACTTACAAGCTGTCCAAGGCACGAAGGAAGTAGTCAATGTGTAAGTTATAGTCGAGGGCCTCATCTTAGAGTCAACGGTTACCGGTTATTTTCTCTCAGTGAAGCCGTGTCTCCGAGTCTACTCCCGTTTTTCTTTCGCAGAGGAGATCTCCAACGCTCGTAGCAGAAGACTTATTGGTGGCGAAGGATAATGAATAAGAAAAGTTTTGGGTCCACTTCCGTCCTATGGTGCGAGTAAAATGTGGGTGTATCAGCGAATACCCATAACATTACAATATTTCTATGGAGATGGTCAATGATGCTCCGAGTGCTCTTCGTGGTGGCCATGTCCATGGCCCTCCCATGGATGCCGGAGACCCTGCAAAATAGTGTTAGAGACGCAGAATGGCATTCTGAGGAGAAAAGGCTAGGTACAAGAAGCTTAGGTCCATCCTCGCTGGTAAGAAGTCAGTACAAGGCTGCGGATAAATATCGTTGGCACTTACCGTGCGCGATATAAAATGAAGAACCACATAGTGGCTCCAAGTGTCTTTGCAAGGAACTGGTATCTGAAACCGGGAAGATGAGGGTTAAAACCTGAAGCTACAAATATATCATGAGCGCAGCAAAAAGGACGAGCTGAACGTCGCATACGATGTCCACCAGCCATAATATTGAGTGTTCCGGGTTGAAGGTGGTATTTGCGTTTGTTTGTGGATTGGGTCTCCAAGAAAACTTGACACCCATCTACACCCACATATCCAAGCCTCATATAAGCTCGCACAAGTTGTTCTGTGGCGTCTCTCGTACGCGTTAATCCCGCTGCAATGGAAAGCGGAAAACGAAAGCGAGAAGAGGACCTACCGAGCATTACTTATCTAGTCGGAGATAGGTCTTTTGACAGACTTTTCAAAGGTACCCCCTCGCTAACTAACACTGCGTGGCATTGTGCTTATCTCTGTATATACAGAACAGTCTCTCGAAGAAATAAAGAATGTGGTACAGAGAAAACTGCAACTACCATCGAACTCGACGGTCAAGCTAAAGCAGCTGCGTGGCGGCAAGGTCATTGATTTGGATGATGGTAAAAGCGTCAATTCTACAGTATAGTGCCTGTTATTTGACTATCAATCTGCTCCAGATGACGACTTTGCTGCATTCTCCGCGAGGGCAAAATTAATGAGGCTGGTTGACGTGGCAGTGGAAATATCAGTAAGCCCAGTGTTCCGCGTGCAGTTGGCTCGTCTTAACCTGCTCCAGCAAACTCCTGCTGCGGCAAATGGAGCCGCATCTTCTGCCGGTGCGGGGGACGCGTTAAAATCTTCAGAGAAGAGCGTAGCGAAGAAAAAACGCAAAGCCACTAATAACCAGCCTTCTAAGGATGCCGACGCGCCTGTGGCACCAGAACCGAAGGCTAAGAAACGGAGGACAGATCAGCCTGCTGCGAGTATTGATGCCCCTAAGCCTACGGAGAATGCGCAAACTCCCAAGGTCGCCCCTACAAAAGGCACGGAGAAGCCCGCCCCAGTCAGTGCTCCAGAAGCAGCCTCACTGAAGCTCCCTGCGAAACCCACCGTCTTGATCAACACCAAAACAACCCCTGCTGGTGGAGAACCACCGAAGAAGAAGTCGAAAACTGCAAAGGCTGACACGACCAAGGATGCTGCAGAGAAGCCACCAAAGAAGACCAAGAAGACTGAAAACGTCAAGGAAACGGAAACCCCGACGCTACCACTGCCAAATGACAACGCAGTTTCAGCCCCTCCAGGACCTTCAGAACCGCCAAAGAAACCACCAGGGACAAAGAAGGTCGCCACAAAGCCGCCGGCTCTTCAGTCTGGTAGGTACATGTTTTCTTTACATGCTTTTGGATGTTGAATATCCTATCCTGAAAGTCGGGGGCAAGAGTTCCGCGAACGATACAGTTAACGGCGCAACTGCCTCTGAAAGTACGCAGGAGTGCCATATATTGATTAAACACCTCTTGATAGACTGCTTTCAGAGAAGAAGGTGAAGAGCAAAAGCAAACAGAAGGGTAAAGAAGTTGAAAGTGAAGCGGCTCCAAGCGAATCAGCTCCTGAGACCTCTGGTTGGTCTTCCTGATTCATCAGAAGTTTCTTGCCATCAATAATTTCACTACAGCTTCAACGAAAGGTCACAAGAAGGTTACAATTGCGGAAGCTTCAAAGGCTCCAGCGCCGAAAGAAAGTGCGTGATATCATAAATTGGGCGATCACCTTCTGATGTTCTCTCCAGAGAAGACCAAGCAAAGCAAGCCCAAAGTCAAGGCTTCAGATACAGACGGCGCGTAAATCATGCTGACGGTAGTCACGGTCTGACCAATGCTAGATCAATAGCTAGCCAGCCTCTTAATCCACTAGATTTTCAGGGCATTATAGATGCGATTGCGCGTGCCTCGGCGCACTCGGGTGGAAAGGCTAAAAAGAATACCAATACTGAGGTGAATTCGGTTGCCACTTCCCAGCCATCCGCTTCATCGGCACCCTCTGTAATTACGACTACCAAGAGTGGTGTGTCATCTAACCCGCTTTGTCATGTTTGTTCTGGGTCTTTTCATCCTCTCTATCGGTGCCCAACGGTGTTGGCAGGCGACGAAGCCATACAGAATAGACTTGAAGATTTGAGGAAAGCAGGGGAAAAGGAGCATCAACTGACCATCAAGGATTTGGAGTCGCTGTTAAAATCTTCTGGCCCTGCAGCGTCTTCTGCAAAACGCAACGCAGCAGATACTACGAAGCCGTCGCGAAAGCACTTGGAGGCTGACGACGAGTCTGAAAGAGAAGCTGCGGAAAGCGATGAGGAGTCTCAACCTTCATGGACGCCCCTTGTGCCAAGTAACTCACTACTTTCAGAAGTAACTGTGGAGAGTCGCGACGAAGGAAGCAGTTCGGAGGAAGAAGACGAGTTCGCTCAGCAGTTAGAACAAGAGGAGCATGAACCTGAAGCTGGTCAGCCTTCGCTCGATGATATTGACTTAGACGCTATCATGCGAGGTCCGACGCCGATCAAGCTCCGCAACTTGCTCGAGACCATGGAGTCGAAAGAAGATGGATCTGACACCGAGGACGAAGGCGGTGATATTGGGCCCTTGGAAGTGGAAGACGACAGCGAGAAGGAGCGGAAGTACCGTCGATTATCGCAGCGCTTGCCAGGATCGTCTGAGGAGGAAGGGGATGATGACGAAGATGACGGAGTCGACGACGATAGGGAGCAGAGGTCGCCGCCGCCGAAACAAAACACTTCCGACGCGTTGCCTTCATCTACCACATCAAAGTCTTCTGCGGGGCCTGATGAGACGTTGAACGCCACAGACCCAACTGAAAGTAGCAAAGACGGTGTGCAAGCAGATGCTTTTGATACGGATGACACCCGCGTTTCCGTGTCCAAGGCTCCAGGTAGCGACAAAGATTCGGGCAAGGATGACGGCGACGCGCCTGAAGTCCTAGACCTGGACAAAGTATCAGATCCGTCACCTACTCGCGGCACGACCCTCTCTCACGACAAGGCCGACAACACTAACGACGACCCCATTGAACCAGCCGATGATCCGATAGAATTCCGGCAAGTGAAAACATCTGATATCGATCCTATTGAAGTCACGACGCCCCCAACTCTGAAAGCTACAAGACCACTTTCCCCAGTAGCCCAATCCACTCCAAAGCCTGGCGTAGCAAAGCGGATGAAGAACCGACGTGGGCAAGTTCCCAGCCCATCACAATTCCCTGTGCGTGCTGGTGGTCCCGATGTTGATGGACCCCAAAGAGCAGGCGCCGAGGAGATAAAGAGAAAGAAGAAGGTTGCCGCCAAGGCAACACGAGAAGACCTCCTTAGCCTGTCCTCGCAACCGGTCAAAAGGAGCGGGACATCTGCCGACTTGAACGGTCACAGCGCGACACCCTCTCATTCACAGCCTTTACCAAGACATCCACCTTCCCTTACTCAATGGGCTGCCATTCGCGAACCTTCGCCGTCTGTCATGATGGATGAGCTTGATTCGAGTAATTCTCCGATTGGGCAGGGTGGCATACTTGGCGAGCTTGCTGGCAAAGCATCTGATCGAAACGTCGTCGGGGAACATTCCGGTGATGATTCACCCGCCAACGCGAGCGAGCCACTTTTCAACCTGACTGCGAGCCAGATACCCTTTCCATACTCACAGTACAACGCGCCTGTACAAAAACGGGTGGAGGTGGTGTCGGACTCGGAGTCTGAGGCGGATGCGGGAAGTGTGAAGAAGTCGACGACAACGAATGCTAAAACGCGCAAATTGTACCGCACACTCACAGATATCGCGAGCCAAGGCACTCTTTTCTCCCAAAGTACACCGGTTGCGCCAGGCCCGAGACCCATGGCTAGTCGCAAGGGAAGGCAGGCAGATGATGATGACGACGATGAATCTTCGTCATCCGAATCTGATGACGAGGGCCAGTCACATATCCCAGAAGCAAAAAGGGCAGGGAAGCTACGCTCTAAAAAGCCGAAGGGACTTTTAACGTCTCTGAATTGACTGATTTGCGGATCTTAGTCTTGATTGCGTTTACCTTGCATATCTACGATACTTACACTGAGAACCAGTTCTCTTTTCTGTACAGAGCACCGTCCGTTATGGAAGTTCATCAATTAGGACAACGGTGTTATCTCGGATTTACAGATGTTGAGATCCTACGAACAGTACTGGTTGGAGGGTCCGTAAGTATCCCGAAAATCGCGACCAAGCTGAACGAGGGAGGAACCCTGGCACCTCCGATGCGTGGCGCCTGATGAACAGCGCATGATCTCGTGTATCGTATGTTGTTTCGTCACTCACGTGAAGACGTGGCGAGTGCGGCTTTGAACATGATCACGCTGGTCAACGGAGTGGACAAATCGGAGCTGGGGTCAACTGTGGGGCGTCATGCTGGCGTAGAAACTTGTCAAACTTTTCAACTTTCAAATACCATGAATTAGGGGATGTTTCCCAAATAAGGAAGATCGCCATAGGATCACGGGTTGTGCAAATAATGACAATCAGCTATATAAGTTCCGTCATCATCCTCGATCAAATTTTTGCAGTTCCCTCTGACAGTCAGCAATTTTCCAACTGCAAATTGTCCTTTTGAGCTCTAAAGCTCGTCTATGATCTTCACCCAAAGCACACGCGACGAGTATGTCTTTTTCTTTTAAGTAAGACTGCTGTTGACAATTTTGACCTGCAGCTATCTCGGCGACCTCGTCTTTTCCCTCATCGGCTTCTAATCAATAAATCATGTTCGCTCGATCCATTATTCGTATACCAACTACTCTCTCCCGAGGTTTTGCGACACATACAGGCCCGCTCTCAGCGTTGCCAGCAGTCTTGCATCTCAAGACTGGCGAGTCCTTCCATGGCCGTTCATTTGGCTCTCCCAGGAGCGTATTCGGCGAGACTGTCTTCTCGACATCAATCACGTCTTGTATGTCGAACGTTGATCATTCCATGCCTGATCGTCTCATTTCCTTATTCTATAGACACCGAGTCCATGACAGACCCTTCTTACCGTGGTCAGATTCTTGTATTCACGACACCTCTCATCGGCAACTACGGCATTCCATTCAACAAAACGCCCATTAATTCTCAGGACGTTGGTGTAGTCCTAGAGTCTGAGGGCATCCAATGCAGCGCTATTGTGGTAGCCGATGTCGCAGAAAATTTTTCTCACCATTCTGCCGTGGAGTCATTGGCATCATGGTGTCGCCGGTCAAACGTCCCTGCCATCACCGGCGTAGACACACGTGCAATCACACGCCTCCTTCGTGACCAAGGAACCACCCTTGGTCGTCTTGCTGTGGGTGCAGATGCTTCCGCTCCTAAACCTGCCTCCGAGCAATATTGGGATCCCACTTTAGAGAACCTTGTCGACCAGATTTCGACAAAGCTTCCCTACCAGCTTAACCCCACTGGCGATATCAAGATCGCTGTCCTTGACTTCGGTGCCAAGGCTAACATCCTGCGTTCTCTCGTCCGCCGAAATGCCGCAGTCACAGTTCTTCCCTGGAACTATGATTTCAACTCTGTTCGAGACCAGTTCGATGGTCTGTTCCTGACCAATGGCCCTGGCAACCCGAGTCAGTGTATGGAAGCAGTTTTGAAGCTTCGCAAGACACTTCAAGAGTGGGATAAGCCGATGTTTGGTATCTGTATGGGTCATCAGATTATTGGCATGGCTGCCGGCCTCGAGGCATACCGCATGACCTTCGGCAATCGTGGGCACAACCAGCCTGTCCTCGCTCTCGCTTCTTCAGGTTCGATTAAAGCTGGAAGGGTTTATGTCACAAGGTTTGCATTCTATCGCCAGTTATGAGTCACAGGTGATGCTAATGGCGTCATCAGTCAAAATCACCAATACGCTCTCAGGTTGTCCGACCCCTTCCCGGAGGGTTGGGAACCATTCTTCATCAACTGTAATGACTCTTCTGTGGAGGGCATCAAGTCCACCCCTGAGTCTGGAAAGAGGATATGGGGTGTTCAGTTCCATCCCGAAAGTGCTGGTGGTCCCCTCGACACCATTGAGGTCGGTTGTTGTCATTCGTCTAACTCAGCAATTGTTAATTCCATCGTCCAGATGTTCACCGACTTCGTTGATGAATGCCGTGGATACAAATTAGCGAATGTCGAAAAGCCTGTGGATGATATCATGGGAGCTGCCAAGTTCATGATGGAACAACCTGCCCGTGTCGCAGTCACTGCTTGATTGTATGTCTAATCGTTCTCATTCTCATTACATACGTGCATAGTATCGCGTTGTACGACAAATGTACGATACTCTTTTTTGGTCAAATATTTAGATCTTTGTACTTGTTTTTTCAAAATTTCAAGTTTTGGATGTATCCACCTCAGGTTCTCGCATGCTTGAGCTTGAAGCAAATTGAAGACTTGCCTAATCGGGTGTTGATGTGTTACGCAGCGACGTGCGCTTCCTATAGCTAGGCCCCGCCGTGTGTGCACAACCTTCCTTGATAACCATTGACGATGAACTTCCTTGACACATATGGACTGACCGGAACGGGCGCGAACACTCCGCCCGTGAATGCTCACCCAGAACAGAGCCTCAACGAAGAGGTTTCTCAGGTCATTGGCCAGCTTGGAAAGTTCTGGGGAGGATTCAGGAAGCAGGCACGTTCAGAATCAGATACGCTCTACGACAGCGACAATCAAAACTGACGCAGAAGATCTAGAGCGAAACCGCGTTCGCGACTGCGCGCAAGGATTTCAGCGAGGTAGTCACGCAAGCGCAGAGGGAGCTTGGCAAGCTCGCTGTATCAACCGAAACCCCTGCCGACACCCCTGCCGATAGCCACGATGATACTGAGGGTGCTTCTGAAAATGAGGGCGAGAGCGAGTCTCATACGGCTCCTGAGACGCCCACCGCCGAATCACCCAATGCAACAGGCTCACTTTCGACTTCGCAATCAATCTTTGCACGCCTCCAATCCTCGCTTCCGCCTAATATCGTTTCGACAGTGCAAGCTCAGCTTCCAGAAAGCCTTAAACACCCACAGAACATCGATCTATCGCAGCTGCGGACGACTTTATCCACAGAGTTTCAGCGCGTCCAGGGGGTGACGCGTGCGCAGGCGGAGGAATATGTCCATAAGAGCGAGCATCTACTGCGCGAGGCTATGAAGGAAGCTGGCGAAGTTCTGCGGGATGCAGTGAAAGTGATTCCACCAGAAGAGAGCGGTGGATCTTCGAGTCAGGGTTTGATTTGGGATGGAACTGACATGTGGCTGCTACCGATGGCAGAAGGAGGGGATGTGAAGGGTAAGGGCAAGGAGACGAATTCGGGCCCTTCTTCGAGGCGGCAGAGTGAAGACGCTCGTCAGGCTGTGGCGACCCGTGCGCAAGCGCTGTTAAAGCAGCTCAAGAGTAATCCCGAGATCATCAAGCTTGATCCTGAGGCTGATACCTCGGGCGAGACGTTCCATGCTTGGGTGTCTGAGATGCAAAGCAAGGACGAACATCCCGGTACTAAAGTTTGGTCAGAACGCGTCGCAAGTGCGTTGTCTGATACAGAGGATGGCCAAACGCTGCAGGAGACGTTTGATGCGCTAGGTACGTTGACTATTCCAATCGTCATCGTCAACACTCTAATGGCTACTTCAGTGCCTTCCATGCTTTCTGACGAAGAATTCTGGACACGATACTTCTTCCGCGCTTACCAGATCGAACAAGAAGAAATGAGACGCAAGACTCTCATTCACGGTACACGACTTTCATGTCAAACGCTGCAGCATTTTATTGATTTACGTATTCACAGGAACAAACCAAACCGAAGAAGATTTCAGCTGGGAAGACGACGATGACGAATCCGTCGTTCCTGAATCCAGACCCCTCGGAGCGCTCAAGTCGTTGGCGTCATCACAAAGAACACTGGCACCAGAAGCGGCGGATGCGGGTGATGTTCGATCGCTCCCTTCCTCCCAGTTCCACACTCCTATGACTATGAGTCCTAGGGAAAGCAGCGAGGACAGTTATGATGTTGTTTCTGGTAATGTCAGTGCTGCGGGAGATGTGCAGGAACATGCAAAGCAGGATGAAGAAGAGGAAGAGGAGAGTGACTGGGAGTGATATTTCATTCTTCTTGTTCTTATGTCGTTGTATGATAGATTGAACTAACCTTTATAATACCTGTTCCCTATAAAGAAGGAACGGCTGTCGAGATTGCTTCTATTAGTATAGGGTCTGACTACCCGTTCCCGTACGTGTTGAGTGCTATTTACGTTTATCTCAATCAAGCAAACCCTAGCTATAAATCCCACAAAAGCATCCTTTCCAACTGAATCAGTGTTGCGCCTTCTACTTGTCAGCTCATCCATCGCAAGTGATGCGTTATGAGCTTTATCTATGAAAGGCGCACAAGGAAATCGCGTCTTCTCTCGCGAAACACCATCATCAACCTCCTCCGCTTCTTTTGGGTCGTAATAGTCATTTGGTGCGAGTTCGGTGTCTTTTTTTATAGTTTATCAGATTGCAAGTGGCCAGACAAGGAGTTGAGGGAGGTGAGTCTTCGAACCCGGTCGTTCTTGTCTATATAACTTAAATGGTGTGTTGTAAAGGCTGGACCCAGCCAGAAGCCAACCCGAGTCCTCTTGATTTCCGACCCCCAACTTCCAAACCCGAGGCGTTCCGGGATTTCATGGTTCGGCCATGACGCATCCTCTACGAGGTACTTGCGGAAAGGCTGGAGTGTCGTCACTCGCTTGCATCCTCATGTAGTTGTCTGGCTAGGCGACGTGCTTGCCTCTGGACGTTACGTTACGAACGAAGAAGAGTACGTGTCACTATTGTTAGCATCTTGATGCGTGCTAAACGTTCTTGCGTTTCTGATAGGTACGAAGACTACGTGGATGAATTCAAAGGGATATTTACCACGGACAAATCCGTGCCAAATTATTTTGTTCCTGGAAATACTGATGTGGGGTATGTGCTGGACTTGTAACTCGGTTATTCGAGAACTTATTGATTTGACTTGCGCTTTCCAGTCTCGGAGAGTCTTCTGCTTTCTCAAAGAATGCACGTAAATACTTTACGGAGTACTTTGGACCTTTGAATCAAGAGGTCACTCTGGCCGGTCATAGGTTTGTCTTCATTGACGCCCCTGGGTTAGTTGATGAGGATTACCGCCGACATGGGATGGGCAAGCAGTACGAAACTTGGACACCAGCCGCAGGTGGTCCGATCGAGTTCATAGCTTCCCTTGCCATCAAGGGTGGGTCCTTCTTTCATCCGCCGGACGAATTTCGCTGAAATTTGGCCGTGTTAGCATCGCCTAGTCCCATCATCTTATTTAGCCATATCCCATTGTCCCGACCAGCAAGTACATCTTGCGGACCACTCCGTGAAAAAGGCTCTATACGAGCCAGTGCAGGGCCACGGGTATCAGAATATGCTCGGCAAACAAACCACAGGATTTGTTCTGCACACCCTTCGTCCAGCAGCGGTCTTTAGGTATGTTTATATGCGCGCGTCAGCTGCTCATTCCTGTGTTTACATTACACGCCCCTATACAGCGGTGACAACCGAGATTACTGCAACATGACCCATCGACTCTCCACAACAGATACCAGTATTCTAGAAACGAACTCCGTCCGCGAAGTGACCGTAAAATCATTTTCCCGATCCAGGCACATCAGACGCCCAGGCTTCCAGCTCCTTTCTCTCATTCATCCAGACTATGTGGCATCACCCTCTAGCCCTACATTCGCAGATGTGCATTGCCTTCTGCCCGATACATTCCGCATCTTCAGCTCGATATACCTCCCTGCGCTCGTACTCACCGCTATCGCAATCTTGTACCAAAATATCGCACCTAACCGGCACTATCGCCGGTTCTCCACTCTCTCGCCTGTCTCCGTCAATAGGAGCAGACCGGGATCCCCACCGCCAGGCCCAGAATCTGCGATATGGACAAATTGGTCTCCGCGGAACGGTCCGACGAGTCCGACGACCACCCTCCCACCATCTTTGCGTATCCCCAGTGCAAAAGAGATCTTCACATTCCGTGCCTTGTCCTCGAGCTCCCCCGAATCACCGCATAGTTCCCCACTCCTCAGCCCTATTCCGCTCTTCCACGCTGGGCACGAGGACGAGATGAACCCCATACACTATCCATCGCAGCATCACAACGATCATGCGTGGCCTTCGGGCGAAGACACTCATGAGGCACCGACGTTCCTTCCCTCACCGAGTGCACGTCGATCGGACAAGAGATGGTCGTGGAGCTGGAGCTTCGTGTTCCGAGGGAGGAGGCGGCGGATGACGATTACGCTGCCGACGTGGGGCGAGATGACGAAGCTTGCTTCGTTTGGTGATAGTACGAGCAAAGGGAAGCGGAGGGGGCTGGTGTGGAGGCTGGCGGGTGACAGCGTTAGCGTGGCACTGCCTGCGGTTATTATATGGGCTTTGATTGGCTGGCTGTTCTTTTGAGATGCTGGCGCTTGCGATTGCCATAGACTATTATCTACATGCATTCTTAATGAGTGGTGTATTATACATTGCAGGACTCTAGTGGAGACTACATTGTATACTGTAGTGGCGGGCTTGGGATAGCGATGTCGACATATTGCATCCAGAATTATGACATTTGTAGAATCCCACTGGCATAAGACTACAACAGCAAAGTCACCATATAACCCGCGACTCCCAACACTGGAAAAAAGATCCAATAAGCAGGCTGTCGATCCTAAAATGAAACAGAACGTACGATAGCCAGTGAACTTCTCAAATGGCGAATGGAAGTACAAGCTAGTGGTGTAGATTGCAAACAACCAAATCGCAACGATCCCGACATTGAACACGACCGCAACGGCATGTGTAAACGACCATTTCCTCGCGCACAGCGACATTCTAAGCTGGTCTGCCAAGAACAGGGCGGACATGGTAAGGAGGAAGACGTGACCCGAAACATCATGTCCCTTCCTCAGGCGGGGGAGCACGGGTAACCTATCATCAGGCACCCACGAAGACGCACTGAACAAGAACGGATGGGTCTGTGCGGATATCGCCGTCCGCGTCAGACAGTATTCATACGGGACAGTCACCGCGCCAGAGTCGAGGGTGGCCATGCACTCGCCCCCCGATGCTACTGTCAGCCTTTCGAGGAGTGCAGGGCCGAAGAACCAGCTTGTGAACACGAGCCATAGGGCTGTTTCTGTTCCCCACTTGACTAGTCTGTGTACGGTGCGCTTGTGCGGTGGGCTGGTAAGCCAGAGGGTGAGGAAGGCGGCTGAAGTCCAACCCCATGCACGTTTGATGAAGTATAAGTTGAGAGGATTGGCTTTGTTTGCAAAGTAGTGGGTCGTATGTAGATGATGGGGGAGGTGGGTGAGGAGGGGATCGGAGGTGTCGAGGTAGGTATCGTATGTGACAGAGTAGAGTGTTCCGATGAGGAGGATCGCTGTTATTGCTCCGAATGTTGCATGACGCACATCAATTGACATCTCGTAGAAATTATTATGATACAAGATATGGAGTAGTTTGAAGAGGATACAGTTGCGTGTAAAGAACGTGTCCTTCAGTACCACTATTGCAGACGTAAATACTGCACGTGCCCGGTAGTGCTCGGTACAACGCGCAGCACCGACGTGTTCAGTTTCATGGGAACACACGAGAAGTCACTCTGTGTTTTCTTGGGGAGATGATCCCTTCATCCTGTTTCACTCCAACACAACAGGCGAATCAAGGCCTTGCCATGCACTGCAATATATCAACAATCGAATCGGGATCGTCGTCCATTCTGTAGTATGTGTTTCATTAGTAGATACTAAGCCATCATACCGTGACAATCGTGCGGACAATAACGCCACGATCAACGGCACCGAGCGTGTTTCCACTAGATGCTTAAGCAGGAAATAACCTTACAAGCTCAGAAGATCGCCCCATTGTAAGTTATCCCGCTTGCACTTCACGAGTCTTATGGAGAGCCTTCTCCGAAATCACAGGTGCACGCCATATGCATAAGGAGGGACCGTGAGGAAGCTCATAAAATCTTTCAAGGGTAGTTCCCCGTCCACCGGTTGCAAGGCTGTTGGGGAAGAGAAATGCGGCTGAAGGCCGAGAGATTACAATTTAGAATTTTCCGTCTTTCACCCGTCACCCTTTCGTCACCGGTTCAGCAGGTGAAACGAATGATGCACCTGCTCAGCCGGTGATAATAACCTCCTTCCGGTTTCGTAGCGACTGTTTTTCTACGATGAATGACATGATGCTTCCCCAATGCTCACCTGTTGGGGTGGAGTACCTGGCAATGAGTGACATTGGGAGGGATCGGTACGATGACGGTGACCCAACCTTTGTCTTCGCCACTACGCCCTTACAAAGACACTTGTTAGTGAATACACAGAATCACATATTGACAGCCTGTTTGAAATAAGCGCGTACTGTTCACTATTTTAATGCAAGTGGCGGGTGCACGTGTGGAGAAAGAGAATGCTTCAATGATGCTGAGTCACACTTTTGGGAACCAGGTGAAGTAAGGACAGTTGTTAGTTAGCCAGGCAAGGTAAATGTACACTGCTGAAGATTCACGGTCTAGTATGTTCCGCGATCACAAATGCCATCTCTACTGCATTTATTTCTCCAAATCCTCATCCCCGACGCGTTTGTATTGGGCGCGATCTGCACGGCGCAATATGCCTTTGAGACGACGGAGACCGCCGCCACACCAAGCGCACCACCCCACTGCTGCAACCACGACCACCAAAAAGAAGATAGCTGCATATCTCAGACGCTCCGACGACCCAGTAAGATCCTCCACATATTCAGGGGCAGAGCTATCCGACACTGCAGAAGGAACCGACTCCGCAGGGCTCGTCTTCTCGCCAGACGCCAGCGTTGTGGGCGTTGTGACGGGCGATTCGTCTTGGGCTGATGAAGTATTCACAGGTATGGTGGCGATGTCCTGTTGGCAAGCAACAACATTTTATTTGCATTAAGATCTCAAGGGACACAGGCCGCTGAAATCATAGCTCAGCGTGTAGGGGTACCTCTTTTCCTTCCTCATCCACAACTGACTCCACTGGCAGCTAGACGGGCGGGATGAACACGCTGGACATAGCACTAACGAGTAGAATAACATACCTCTCCAGAGTCGGAGATGGTGACATCCTCCACTGGGCGATCGTTGCGACCCTTAGCAACGTCCTCTGAACAACGTGTGAGAAATAATGGTGCTGTAGAAGTCATATAAAGCGAACCGATAGCGTATACAATGTCCATTCCCTCTATGACTTTTCCGAAGACGACCTGGTTTGACGAATCTCAGATGATACGCTCGTCAAAATGACGCTGAACTCACGTGTTTACCGTCCAGCCAGCTGGTGACAACAGTGCAGATGAACTAAAACAAAACTACTCAGTAAAGCTCATCAAGAGCCGGCGCTGACATACGAATTGAGACCCTAGATAGACCATGTTTAAACAGCAGAATCGATGAGAGAAAAGCCTGCTTACCGTTGGTGTCCTTGCCTGCATTAGCCATGGAAAGAGTGCCGGGTCCGGCGTGCTTGAGCTTGCTAAAGTAGATGTTAGAGTTGCCATTGTGAGCTTATTCACGAAACTGACAAGTTCTCATCCTTGAAACGGTCGCCGTAGATAGACTGAAGGACCTAGGTAAGTGACGTGCCTGCAAAGACTGGTCCTAAATTACCTTTCCACCGGTGCCATCGCCACGGGCTATTGAGTTCATCACCGAGTTAGCACGAAAGCGCGTGTGACAATGATGGTACACATACTGAAGTCACCACCCTGGATCCTGAGAAAACGTCAGACGTACGTCCATGAAGCAACGGGCAAGTGACTCACATGAAGTTCTTGATAACGCGGTGGAACTTGGAGCCCTTGTAACCATAACCAAGTTCTTGACCATCCTTGTCGACACCAGTTGCAAGTGCACGGAAATTCTCGACTGTCTTGGGAACGGTCTGAGAGAGGCTCATCAGTCCACTGCATGTCTCTCAGAATGATTGAAGCAACATACCCCACCGTAAAGACCGATGACGACTGTTTAATATTTGAGCCTCATCAGATCCGTGCGGACGGTCTTAAAGTATGACACAAACCTCGGCCTAGTTCCTTCTCACCATGCTTGATATCGAAGTAGACCTTGTGCGTAATTTTTGGGCCCTTGGCGGCATCCGCAGACTGCGCACAAAAGATCGCAGCTATAGAAATTAAAATGAATGCAAGAGAAACACGACCGAACATTGTGTAGGAAAGAGGTGAAGGTGGTGAATGCAGAGTACGTGTTCGACGAATTTGACTTGAGAAAGAACACCGAATGTGGGAACGACATTCCTTTTCAGTTCACTTGCTTCTCGTGAACGAGATCAAGATTTCAAGACTGAAATTTAAAAGGCTCATATCCTAGTGCCGTAGGGGAAATGGACGACGAACTTGTCCTAAACATCGCCGAGGATGCATCTTCTGGACCCGCAAAGCTAGCATCGAAAAAATCTGGTCGCTGGACGGACAGGTGAGTAGAAACCCGATTTCATATATGCAGCTGATCATCATAGCCCAGGTTGAAGGCCAAACGAGTCCAGAAACGCAGGACTGACCAGCAGTCTGATCATCCTGGCAGTGATGACGATGATAACCCTCGTCCTGCGAAGCGGATGCGGCAGGACAAGTCCATGCCTGCTTCCAAAGCAATTTCTGCAGCGGACCGTCCAGCACTTCCACCCAAGCCTCCGACTCAGATAATATCTTCTCTGTTCTCATACAACCCTAAGGTCGAAGCGCCTACACCCTCCGTCCAAAAAGCACCCTCTAAACCAAGTAATGCACCATTAACTGGTTCAGCTACGTTCGCAGACTTGGGTCTTCACCCTCTTCTCGTTGCTCATCTACAGTCCAAGATGGGTATAACAAAACCAACATCTATTCAACGCGCCGCCCTTCCTATTTTTACGAACCCCTCTTCCGAGGACATGAATGCCCGAGACGTATTCATACAATCGCAAACTGGTTCCGGAAAGACCATGTCGTTCCTCCTACCTATAATCCAGGATCTTCTCCCCCTCAGCACACACTCTTACATCGACCGCTCGATAGGAACACTCGCTATCATCATCGCACCTACTCGTGAATTGGCAAAGCAAATTTCCGACGTCCTAGAGGCGGTATTGACACTAAAGCTGCGTGCAGAAGGCGAACAGGAGGACGCAGAGAGCTCTACACGTTATACCCGATGGTTAGTTTCCGGCTTGCTGAGCGGAGGCGCAACTCGTACGCACGAGAAAGCGCGTCTACGGAAAGGTGTACCCATTCTTGTCTCGACGCCAGGTCGACTACTAGATCATCTGCAAAATACATCTTCTTTCAATGTTGGAAAATGCAGATGGCTTGTACTGGACGAAGCGGACCGCTTGATGGAGCTTGGTTTCGAAGACACCATAAAAGGGATCATACAGGGTCTGGATGGGAGGAGGAAGCTCGCATTCCAAGCCGTTCAAGACGGTAAGACCTTCGAGGTTGGAGGGTGGGATTGGGATCGGCAGAGGCGGACAATCCTTTGTTCAGCTACTATCCGTGAAGATGTGCAGAAACTCGCAGGCACTACTCTGATACGGCCGCTGGTAATCAAAGGCCTCGACAAGGAGAAACCGGAGGATGCGTCTAAATCCAACCTTGAAAACGAGCCAGCCACCACCAGTACCGAAAAGTTCACCCCACCGTCACAACTCTCCCAGAAACATGTAATCGTGCCCCTCAAGATGCGTCTTGTCGCACTGGTCGCACTTCTCCGCTCTTTGCTGGCACAGACACAAGGACAGAAGGGGTCGAAAATCATCGTATTCCTCAGCTGTACAGACTCCGTGGATTTTCACTGGCGCTTGCTAGGCGATTCATCAATGGAGAGTGAAAAAGCTGAACGTACCGAGTCCGGCGAAGACAAGAGTGATGACGAAGATGATGAGGGAGACGAATCTGTTCAAGAGGAGAAAGACAAAGAGGAGAACAAAATCGCTGCTCATTCCCCGCTCCTTCCAGGTGCCTCAATATTTCGTCTTCACGGCTCCCTACCCACGCCCATCCGTCTCGCCTCCCTACGCGGATTCTCAGCTACACCTTCCTCAAAATCGAAACAACCTGCTGCCACGTCCTCCATCCTCCTTTGCACATCCGTAGCGTCCCGTGGTCTTGATCTACCCCTTGTTCGCGCAGTCATACAGTACGACCTGCCCACTGAAGGTGGTGCGACTGAATACGTGCACAGAGTGGGCCGGACGGCACGTGCAGGTAAGGGCGGCGAGGCTTGGAGTATTGTTGCGCCCAGCGAATCTGAATGGGTGAAATGGGTGGAAGGGAAGATGCGTGGGGATATGACGGGAGATAATGATGATAAGCCCAGCGCAGATAAAGTCAACATTACTCTTGAAGGCGCAAGCATCGAGGGCGTGCTAGCGAAGGGCTTTGGCGGCAAAGGCACCGAGTACGAGGCACGTGCGACAGAAGTACAACTTTCTTTCGAACGTTGGGTCTTGCGTCGTAAAGAGGTACTATCGATTTAGAAACGATATCGAGCGTGCGTTGACATCTTCTTTGCAGAACGCAGAACTCGCTCGGAGAGCATTCACTTCGCACATGAGAGCATATGCGACCCACCCGTCGAACGAGAAGCACATCTTCCATGTCCGACACCTTCACTTCGGACATTTGGCAAAAGCATTCGCACTGCGTGAGGCGCCGAAGACGATTACTGACGGAAAGAACAAAAATTCCAGTGCATCCAAAAGTCGTGGCTCACGTCCTGCTAAATCTGCAAAGTCTACAAAGCAGCATGATGTCGGTGATGCAGAGCAACGGATGCAAGATATTGTTCGTGCGCAGGGCCGGTTGTCGAAGCAGGGTGGCAAGATGATGAGCAGTGGGACAGACGAGTTTCAGATTGCATCAGGCGCTGCCTTGAATTCACTTGTTCATGGCTATCGAATGTAGTCAGACAGAGGGCTTTAAGTTGACCTACTTCTATAGCATGCGATTAGTGACGTGGTGCTCATTACTAGGCTATGAAATACATATATTACAACAACCTGCCAAGAATACGAGGATACACGGGTCGTCTGCAGTCGCCTGATCCTTATCGGTAAATCGCATCCGCTGATATCTGATGTCAAATGTGAAAGAGAGAGAAGCAATATACGACGATTGGTCAACGGATAATAGATATATAAGGTGATATAGCAAGCAGGAAACTAAACTCTGCGCGTTTCGATGAGGTAAGAGATGAGCTGCACGTCATTGAGAAAGTAAGAGAGAATAAAAAGGCATGGTGTGAGTTAAATATCATCGAACCTGATATAAGGCGATATCCGAGTCAGTTTTGGGACTTTCGCGCGAGAATGCTTGAGATACACACACCTTTGCAAATTTTTGCCCGTCAGATAAAATAACGAGGCAAGACCGCAAACCCTTCAGACACCACTGCATTTCGAGCCAGGGGAGGAGATGATGATTCCAGAAAGCCTGGAATATATGATCGAGCTTGTCGTCCCATGTATTCGGAGCTCGCGAGAGATGGACAGCCCAGTTTTGACAGGCGTACTTGAGAGCGTCGGAAGCCGATCGACTGTGCTCATGTGCTTCGTTTGCGAAAGTCACAAAGGTAGACATTGCATGGATGATCTCACGCTCTGTTGGAAAACGAGCTTGTGGTAATGCAGAGGTGGAATGATCCTCGTGCCTGAACGCCAGGAAGATCGGAAACATCAAGAAATCCGGCAAACTCTTCAACTGCTGGAGGAAGGCTGGCAGTAAAGGCACTTCTGAGACGATGATATACCCGTTAATTGCTTCCAATGTGATGTAGAATTCTTGCAGTGTGATCCAGATAGACGTTGCACAAGTGGAATTCCAAGCTTGACCATGGTGTGTCTGCAGCCAGTGTTGTCCTGGCAGGGTCTGCAGCCAGTTTCGTCCACCCTTGGTCTGCAGCCAGTGTCGACTTGCCTCGGTCCGCAGCCAGTCATGAGCCCCCTGGGTCTGCAGCCAGTCATGAGCTCCCAGGGTTTGTAGCCAGTCTTGCCCTCCCCTGGTCTGCAACCAGTCTTGCGGCTCTTGCCCTCCCCTGGTCTGCAACCAGTCTTGCGACTCTTGCCCTCTCCTGGTCTGCAGCCAGTCTTTCCCTCCCTGGGTCTGCAGCCACTCTCGCACTGCCCAGGTCTGCAACCAGTCTCGCCCTCCCGTGGTCTGCAGCCAGTCTTTCCCTCCCGTGGTCTGCAACCAGTCTTTCCCTCCCTGGGTCTGCAGCCAGTCTCGCACTGCCCAGGTCTGCAGCCACTGTACCCCATTGCTGGTCTGTAGCCAGTACTGCCCTCCCGTGGTCTGCAGCGAGTCCAGCCCTCCCTGAGGCTGAATAGACTGCAGCAGCTGTAGCGGCTCTCGCCATTCACGCCAAGTCTGTAGCAAATCTCGCCCTCCCTGGGTCCACAGCCGGTCTAACTGTACTGTCGGCAGCATCATCTGAAACCAGTCTCCCCCACTCCATGTGTGCAACCAGCTTCGCCCACTCTGGGTCTGCGGCTCATGTTGCCTTGCCTGGGTCCGCAGCCAGTCTTGCCCTCCCTGGGTTCGCAGCCAGTCTTGCCCTCCCTGGGTCCGCAGCCAGTCATGTCCTGCCTGAGTCAGTAGCCAGCATATTCCGCTCCAATTCTGCAGCCAGTTTTTCCCTCCCCAGGTCTGCAGCCACTCTCGCCCTCCCTCAGTCTGCAGCCACTCTTGCCCTCTCTGGGTTCGCAGCCAGTGTCGCCCGCTTTCGGTCACCAGCAAGTACTGCCCTGCCTGGGTCTGCAGCCAGTTTGGCCTTGCCTGGGTCTGCAGCCAGTATCGCCCTCCCTCGGTCTCGATCCACTCTAGCCCTTCCTCGGTCCCGATCCACTCTAGCCCTCCCTCGGTCTGGAGCCACTCTCGCCCTGCCTCGGCCTGGAGCCACTCTCGCCCTGCCTCGGTCTGGAGCCACTCTCGCCCTGAGGTCTCAACCCACTCTCGCCCTGCCTCGGTCTGGAGCCACTCTTGCCCTCCCTCCATCTTCAGCCAGTATCGCCCTGCCTTGGTCCGAAGCCAATCTTGCCCTCCCTCATTCTGGAGCCACTCTCGCCCTCCCCTTGTCTGCAACCAGTCTTTCCCTCCCTGGCTCTGCAGCCACTCTCGCCCTGCCTCCATCTGCAGCCAGTATCGCCCTTCCCTAGTCTTGATCCACTCTAGCCCTCCCTCAGTCTGGAGCCACTTTCGCCCTCCCTCAGTCTGGAGCCACTCTCGCCCTCCCAGGGTCTGGAGCCACTCTCGTCCTCCCTCCATCCGCAGCCACTCTTGCCCTCCCTCAGTCTGAAGCCGGTTTTTCTCTCCCTCGCTCTGGAGCCAATCTTGCCCTCCCTCATTCTGGAGCCAGTCTGGTCCCTCATCCTGGGGCCACTCTGGTCCTTCATCTTGGGACCACTCTGCTCCCTCATCCTGGGGCCACTCTACTCCCTCATCCTGGGGCCACTCTGCTCCCTCATCCTGGAGGCCGTATCGCCCTCCCTCAGTCTGCAGCCAGTATCTCCCTCCCTCGGTCCGCAGCCACTCCCGCCCTCCCTCGGTCCGCAGCCACTCTTGCCCTCCCTCGGTCCGCAGCCACTCTCGCGCTCCCTCTGTCCGCAGCCACCCTCGCGCTCCCTTGGCCCGCAGCCACTCTAGCCCTCCCTCGGTCTGGAGCCACTCTTGCCCGCCTAGAGACTGCAGCCATTCATGCCTCCCCTCGCGGGTCTGTAACCACTCTATCCCTCCTTCGGTCCGTAGCCACTCTAGCCCACCCTGGGACTGCAGCCACTCTTGCCCGCCCCGAGAACGCAGCCATTCACGGCCCCCTCCTTGGGTCTGCAGCCAGGCACGCCCATCTAGGGTCTCTACCCAGAATCGCAAATCTGAACTGCTATCTCCCCGGAGCCATAGTAGACCGATAAGAATTGACAACGGCTCCGGCGGCCGAACGAGGAAGGATAATGAGTGATTTAATCTTTGGGGGTCCTCGGGTTCTATAGCTTGGCTGTGCCTCTGCAGTTCTAAGAGCGCATCCAGGAGGGCCGTGCTTTCTGGAATCTCCTGTATCATCAAGCGGAGCGAGGATTCAGCGAGTAGGGACTGGGGCGATGGCATATCGTGTACTTGAGGGAGGCTGCAGTTTGCGGCGTCGGAAACATAGTCACGAATGGATGAGTGATAGATGTTCACGGGGAGAGTGCTGTCTGAAGGGATATCCATGACAGATCGCAGTTGCACTAGTGTTGTCTCCACATCCCTGCCCAGGCCAGAGCCAAGAAGTTTCGAGATCTGTGACACCGGCAGAGGGTCTGCAAGAGCAACGACGATGGACAAGTGCAAGTATGCGCGCTTGGGGTCGGCACACGTGGACAGGATAGAGTCGTACAACTTGTAAACCTCCGTTCCTGGTAGCAGCTTGCTCGTCAGCTCGAGCATCAGCTGCAGCCGGCCGTGGGGATCAGTGTCTCCATCATCGATAAACTTCATCATCGTAGACGCCACAATGAAACGTCTGCCTGCTCGGCTCGCCAGCCGCTCAAGTTCATCTCTCGATGGCTGCGGGAAATCGGGATGGCGACTCGCCAGCTCTCTGAAGGAATGCTGCAAGAAAATATAGGTGTCGTTGTCGACATCGGCGCCATCTAACGAGATGATCGTAGCAACGCCGTCCCCAGACATTTTTACTGGTATCTCGCAAACCAGTGGGCGTACCTCGTCTTTCTCAAAGGCTTTACGGATATGCGATTCTGTGCGACTCGTGAGGAGAATGTGGGTACCACGGGTATATTAGGTGTCACTGAAGAGCTCGTGCAAGGAGAAGGATAAGATCGGCAAGCTCGGGTTCGGATGTGCATTCATCGAGAGCATCGATGACAAACGTTAAAGGCGGACAATTGTTCAGCCTGGATTTAAGCTTCCGGAGAGGTCTGAGAAAGAACACCTCCATCTGGTCGCAGAGAGAGTTGCTAGGGTCTAGGAGAGCGGGATTCTCGCGGATGGCATTGTTCATGTCTGACCGGATGCTGGGAAAATTGCTAGCAAGCTGGTAGACAAGCGTCGCAAAGAAATATCCAGTGGTGCAGCGTTTGGTGTGCTTGCGCGAGAAAAAGAATGTTCCTGCGAGCCGCTTTTCGACTGTGGTCTCCTCTTGTTACTGTTAGACTTTTCATCTTTTCAGCTACAGTGAACGCAACAGCAGACTTTCCGACGCCCGCCGTGCCATGCAGCCAAATGAGCTGACTCTTCTCCCGGTCGTCTAATAAGGTGTGAATGTAGTCGAGAAGGTCGACTCGGGTCCCTTCCAAACATTTTGGGTGGGGCTGGCGTTCACTGGGAGTCATATTTCGCACCCTGGACGGCGACCTGGGACAGCCTCTCCCAAGTTCCTTCAGATGATCGAACTGCTAATGGTCAGAGAGCAAAAGGGAGGCAAAGAGATAGAAATACTGACAGTGATCCTGACTCATTGGCGACGGTTGTGACAGATGGGATTGAACGACTCAGGGAAGCTGGGTTTGAGGTTGTGGTTAGAAATTATCTGGGCGCTGGTGATCTTGAGGAACGACGTACGAAGATTTGAATCAAAAGACAAACACCCAGGCTGTTACTTGGATCTAAATTGGAGCTAAGGTAAGTTGTGAAACGGATTAGGTCGCGAAACGATAAATCTGTGGAGTGATGCAGAACGCAAAGCAAGATGGAGGATGGATGTTCAAGCCTTTTCGATATAAGTATTTTGCTGCGGAACGATAGATGGTGATGGAATGCGCTGGCAGTTGAAGAACGAGCCGGCGCTCATCTGAAGACAGGAGGCCGCTGCGGACATCATCGCTAGCCGTGACATGGGCCGGCACTGCACAGCCAAAGATAAACGACGCTGCCTGGTGACGGGTTCGACAGTTGGCGTGGTAGTTTCCTGAGGTTAAATATAAATCGAGAAAGAACTGTTGAACGCACTAGCGTTAATCTTAGCTAGTATGTATATTCGTGAGGTTGCCAGTCTGCATAGTACTTTCAAGTCACCTTCCTCTAAAGACACGTCATGCACAAGGTGATTATCACAGGGGCCCCGACTCCATTTGCCAACAAACTTCCATTCCTAATACGGCCAAACAAACCCTGTTCGCGAATCATACGACCGCCGGGACATACTTTCACGCATTCTGTCGAATAAAATCCACACGCTCTCACCCTACTTCCCACACCCGGTGGGATGGGCAGATCTATTCACACATGTCTCAAAGTTGAAAGGACAGTACGTATGCGCTATAGCTAGTGTCGTGCCTCTAAATCTCAACATATCCATCGACGGCTCCCTTGCAATTGGCGACTTAAGCGACTCCGTAACCTCCTTATCCACATCCGTCGTTTCTCTAGTGCCTCGAGATGACATTGCGCTCACGAACGAGAGCTTGCGTCTTAACGAGGAACTCGGCTTCTCAAATGTGGGCGCGCGTCTGGTTGCAGGAGGCCCCGAGGCTGCAGTGAGTACTGACATAGTCTTCCGAGACTCGAGCCCTTCCCGCCGACTCCTACGACGAAATTCAATCCAAAAGAACATTCAATGCCTAAGATTCAACTCCAGATTCTGACTCGCCAGTCCCCTAGGTGTCGGCGCTGGAGTCGATTGAGGTAGCACAGATTCTACAGAAAACGTGTTTCAATTTCTTTCAAATCATCAAGGCGGTTGTAGTTGTATATTTGGCAACAGGTTCCATTCCTAACAAGACCAAACATCCTCTCACATGGATTGATACTGAGCAGAAACCCGACTTCATATGGCTCACACTGTCAAGGCCAAACGAGTCCAGAAACGAAGGACTGACTAGCCAATTCTTCAACCTCCTGGCAGCGATGAAGATGACCACTCTCGTCCCGCAAAGATATGACAAGTTACTTCCAAAGCAGCTTCCACTCGTCTATATTAATTACAGAGCCCATGACCAGGCACACAATAAATTTCACTCTAATATCTCTCATCGATCTCATCCTAGATTTACCGAATCCTTCCCAATGTACTTAGTATGATTGGTTTTTTCTGTTCGAAACCTAAGTCTCCCGGACCCTAAGTCGACTCTTTCTGAATCTCAATGTTTGTGGTATCAAATCATCCATTGATCAAGCCATGGACTACGTGAGGCAGCCAAACGGCGACCTAGTGGGTCAACCCTTGCTAGGAAATTTCACTCTAGCAATTCTCGCATAGGTCTGCTTTGTATCTGCCAGTAAGCTTGGTACTTCTGACCAAAAGCTTCTAACACAAATACCATCAAGCTCTCCGTTCATAAATCCTACCACCGCTCGGACATGCTTGCACACATTCTGCCACGAGTATATCATTGTAGCCCTACAATATTCTTCTCAGTGCCCCGTCGAGCGCTCCTCGCTTTCCCTCTACGATCTATCGCCAGTGAATCCCATCGTGAAACATGTGAGTGAGATTGGTAGCGAAACATACGCGAAATATTGACATAGTCCACCTCAGCTCGTAGACGAACTAATCGTCGGATGCCCCAACCGAGCCTCCGGATGCACGCAGACATTCCAGAGGCAATTGTTGTCTGATCACATCAAGGACGCCTGCCAATGTGTCCCGATCCCTTGTTCAGAAGAGCAGTGTCGCAGGGTGATCCTTCGGAAAGATGTTGGTGGTGAGCACAAAGACGCGTGCACATACCGCTCGACGCAGTGCGATGTGTGTGGTGCGACCATCAAGAACAGCAATCTCATCGTGTGTGTGCCCGTCACGATCCATCCTTAATCTACTGACCAAGCTTGAGCCGCTCCACAACTTGGAGTATCCTTCCAAGTTTGCCGCTTGCGAATTCTGCTGCGAAGAGTTCCCGAGGCCACAGCTGCGAGAGCATGATGCCGTCTGTCACTACTATGAGATTCCATGCACGCACGCTAATGATGGCTGTTCCTGGTATGGACCCCGGCATATATTCTGGGACTATCATTCCCTCTCCTACCGAGCAATCAAAGATACCCCATTCAAATATCAGCGCTGGACACGGAAACCGCACGCTTTCAGACAAAAAGACCACCACTAAGGGACATTCAAAACATTCAGCAACGTCCTCGGTACCGACCAGATATCCAAGACCTACCAAAAAAAACAACTGCTCACCCATCAATCAATGCCTTCGACCACATCTTCTCAACTCCCAATCAAACCCAACAACCTTCATCCGCAGATCATGGAGGGCTCATCTTGCCGCGGCCAATAGTGACGTCGATGCGCTCGCACCCTACTTGCTACTCCCCCGAGTACGCACTCCCAGAATCCCAGAATTATCCCCGATCACGCTAGTCATTCAGCGAGATTGCAGATCCACACGTGTCTCAACAGATGTTGTATCAATACCTGTCGCGCCTCTAGTTATCAGCACATCCCTCGAAGTTCCCCTTAACGGCTTGTGTGACTCCGTAGCCACTGTATCCGCATCGGTCAGCTCCCTAGTGCGTCGAAACGACATCGCGCTTACGAACACAAGTGTGTCTTAACGAAGCACTTAGTGGGCTCTTTCAATATGTCGTTCACGGCATATGTGTAAGGGTATTCTTGCGTTGTTCCTCCCGTCTATCTTTATTTCAGTCTTTGCGTCGTGTGGCATTGTTCCAATAATGCTTATTTGATAGAGCTTCACCGTCATGAGGATTATCGAGAACTTGAACCCAAGTAATATCACAGGGGACAGATATGATGGGATAACAATGGTAGAGAGATGGAGAGACGAAATAAAAGAAGACAAGGCGAGGCATGGAAAGAGACGACGATGATGAATAAGGAGACGAAACGGATGACAGCGAGCAGGACCAGGATAAACGATGACCAGGGGGGGTAGCTAACAAGGGAATAACAAGTAATTGGACGACGAAGCGAAAGATTAAAAAATTATCCATACATAGATCTCGTGTGAAATCGATTTTGGGAACAACGTTCCTTGTTGGCTCAACTTCAAGTTGCGAATGAGAACTAGGCAAGACTCGTATCAGCAGAGACATGATGGACTCGTCCTATAGTTAAACATTGGAGAGGGTACGTACATCTTCGGGCTTGCAGCATCCAGTATAGCATCCACAACATGCCAAAGTCCCTCCGCACTTCCAAAGCAACTGCAGCACTTCTAGCCAAGCCTCCGACTCAGATCATTATCCTCCCTTGAAGCACCTACACCATCTGCTGTCCAAAAAGCACCCTCTAAACCAAGCAACGCACCGTCAACTGGTTCAACCACGTTCGCAGACTTGGGTCTTAACCCTCTTCTCGTTACTCACCTACAGTCCAAGATCGGCACCATAAATCCGGCATCTGTTCAACCCGTTGCCCTTCCTATCCTCACGAACCCTTCGGAGGAGGACATAAACGCGCGAGATCTGCTCATACAGTCGCAAACTGGTTCTGGAAAGACCACGTCATTCCCCCTGCCCATAATCTTCTCCCTCAGTACGCACTTTTACGTCGACCACTCAATAGGAATGCTCACCATTATAATCGCGCCTCCTCGTGAACTAGCGAAGTAAATTTCTGATGCCCCAGAGGCTTCATCAATTGACGATGAAAATGATGAACGTGTTGAGTTCGACGAAGACAACAGTGACGACGAAGATGACCACGCGGATGAAGAGGAGAAAGACCAAGAGTCGCTGCACGTTCCCTACCCCTCCCAGGCGCCCCATTATTCGGTCTTCGCGGCTTCCTGCTCACGCCCGTTCATCTCGCCCCTCTGCATTCTCAGCTACCCCTTCCTCAAAACCCAAAAAACCTGCCGTCACGTCCTCCATCCTCCTTTGCACATCTGTGGCATCTAGTGATCTTGACCTACCCTGGTTCGCGTACAGCACGACCTACCGTGCACAGTGGAACGGACAGCGCATGAAGGGGTGACGAAGCTTAGAGTGTCGTTGCGCCCAGCGAATCCGCATAGGTGAAATGGGTGGAGGAGAAGATGCGGGGCGATATGATGGGAGAAAAACTCGATGATGACGAACTCGACGTTACTCTTGAATGTACAAGTATCGTAAGTGCGCTGGCGAAGGGCTTTGGCGGGAAAGGCACCGAGCACGAGGAATGCACGACAGAAGTGCAACATTCTTTTAAACGTTGGGTTTTGCGGTGCAAAGATGTAAGCTCGATTTCGAGAGCAAGCCGAGTGTGCGTTGATATCGTCTTTGCAGAACGTTGAACTCGCTCAGAGAGCATTCACTTTGCTCGTGAGAGCATATGCGACCTGCCCCTCGAACGAGAAGCACATCTTCTACGTCCGACACTTTCACTTCGGACACCTGGTGAACGCATTCGCACCCCGTGAAGCACCCAATGTGATTACTAACGGGAAGAAGAAAATCTCCAGTGCATCCAAAACGGCTCGCGACATGCTGAATCTACAAAGCAGCACGATGTCGGCGATGCAGAGCAATAGATGCACGATACCGTCGGTGTGCAGGGCAGCCAATCGAAGAAGGGTGGCAAGATGATTAGCAGTAGGACCGACGAGTTTCAGATTGCAGCAGGCGCTGCCTTGGATTCACTTGTCCCTGGTTATCGACTCTAGTCAGACGGCAGTTCTAGTTTTTCCACTTCTGAAGTTCTATGGCATGTACCCAGTGCTAGCAATGTGGTGCTTACAATTGGGGTATGGAATATCATATTACAAGATGTGCAAATCGTATCTAATGATCGGTATACCGCATGTCGAAAATTGAGAGCAGGAATATGCGAAAGCTGTTCGAATGATGTAAAGTAACATAGAGTCATGCAAAACGCAAAAGAAAGCAAATCGAAGATACTTCAATACATATTCTACAACCCAGCTGGTTGTGCGAACCGCCTTTTTGGCTCATCTAGACGCTCGGGTGAACTCCATAGATGTCGGGATTAAATAAATCGCTCGTTGGTGGTCAGAGACAATATTTTCAATAACGAGCGGTGAACCACATCACGCTCTCCATCGCCCCAGAGCATACTGCGTTACCTTCTGGCGCTTTTGCCAGTCTTGGTCTACAAGCGCTGTTCGTCTCGTTTCAGATATAACTTAGGAGCGTCTGAATCAATAGGAGCATCCAAATCAAGCGGGCTGCCGTCGCTATTGATCTGAAACTCATCCAACGTGTGGATGTGCCATCGTGGAACACAGCGGCGTTGGGCCTCGGAGAAGGGACAGATGGCAAGGGGGGTGCAAGAGGTTCAGTAGCGGGGGAACACTGCGGGGTTGGGTTGATGGGGCGGGGATGAGAAACAGGGCTCGCATGTGGGGCAATGGGGAACGCCTCTGTGAGAAGAGGATTTGCGGGAGTTGACGGACGTCTCGTCAACATTTCAGAGGTGAAAGCAGGTGTCGAAGTTTCAAGTGTTGATTGTCGGGATTCGGCATTGATGGCTGAATGCGTATGATGAGAATGGCCCTAGCACAAGACAATGTCAGGTTTTGGAACTTTGGTGACAGAATTGAGGAACATACCTTTGCGAGTTTCTGCCCTTCAGATAGGATAACGAGGCAAGAGGGCAGACCCTTCAGACACCACTGCCTTTCGAGCCAGGAAAGGAGATGACGATCCCAGAAAGCCTGGAACACATGGTTGAGCATCTCATCCCATGGAGTCGTTGCATGTGAGAGATGGACAGCCCAATGTTGACAGGCATAATTGAGAGCGCCGGAAGCTGATCGACTTCGTGCATGTGCTTCGTTCGCAAAAGTGGTAAAGGCATTCATAGCACGGATAATCTCCCCGTCTGGTAATGCAGACGTGGAAGGATTGGGGTGCCTTAAGGCCAGGAATGTCGGAAGCATCAAGAAATCCGGCAAGCTCATGAACTGCTGGACTGCTTGGAAAGCTGGCAATTCTGGGACAATGATAGTATACCGGCTGATTGCTTCTAGTGTACCTGAGAATTCTTCCATTCTCGCCCAAGCAGACGCTACAGGGGTGAATTTCCAGGCTCGACCTTCAGGCATCTTCAGCCAGTATCTCCCCTCCGGGGTGTTCAGCCAGTCTTGCCCTCCCTCGGTCTGCAGCCAGCTTTGCCCAGGCAGGGTCTGCAGCCAACCTCGGCCTCCCTGATCATGCAGCCAGTCTTGCCCTCGCTGGGTCTGCAGCCAGTCTCGCCCACCCGGGGTCGGCAGCCAGTTTCGCCCTCGCTGGGTCAGTAGCCAGTTTATCCCAATCTGGGTCTGTAGCCATTGGTCTCGTCCGTCCTGGGTCTGCAACCACATTTGCCCGACCCAGGTCTGCAACCAGTCTTGCCCTCCTTGTGTCTGGAGCCAGTCACTCCCAGCCTGGGTCTGCAGCCAGCCTCGGCCGGCCTCAGTCTTCGTCCAGTCTTCCGCTTCCTGGGTCTGCAGCCAATCTCTGCCGGCCTTGGTCTGCAGCCAGTCTCTCCCAGCCAGGGCCCTCAGCCAGGGTTCCACTCCCAAGGTCTGCATTGAGTCTTCCGTTCCCAAGGTCTGCAGCAAATCTTGCCCTCCCTGGGTCTGCGGCAAGTCTTGCCCAGCCTGGATCATCACCTGGCATGGCCTTTTCCTGAACTGGGTCTCCAGCCAGTCTCTCCTGGCCTCGGTAAACCACCAGTCTCTCCTGGCCTCACTCTCCAGCCAGTCTTTCCCTCGCTGGGTCTCCAGCCAGTATTTCCCTCGCTCGGTCTTCAGCCAGTCTTTCCCTCCCTTGGTCTTCAGCCAGTCTTTCCCTCCCTTGGTGCTCAGCCAGTCTTGCCCTCCCTTGGTCTTCAGCCAGTCTTGCCCTCCCTTGGTCTTCAGCCAGTCTTGTCCGGCCTCACTCTCCAGCCAGTCTTGCCCTTGCTTGGTCTGCAGCCAACCTTGCCCTTGCTTGGTCTGCATCCAGTCTCGCCCGGTATGGCTCTCCAGCCAGTCTTTCCCTCGCTGGGTCTTCAGCCAGTCTTGCCCTCCCTCGGTTTGCAGCCCTCCCTTGGTCTTCAGCCAGTCTTGCCCTCCCTTGCCCTGCATCCAATGTAGCCCTCCCTGGCCCTGCAGCCAGTCTTGTGCACCCCGAGTTCGCAGCCAGTCTTGTCCGCCTCTTGTTTGCAGCCAGTCTTTCCCTCCTTGGGTCTGCAGCCAGTTTTCCCCACCTTGGGTTTGCAGCCAGGCACGCCCGTCCAGGGTCTCCAGCCAGGATCGTAAATCTGAACTGCGATCTCCTCGAAGCCATAGCATACCAATAAGAACTGACAGTGGCTGTGGTGGGTGAACGAGGAAGGCTAATGAGCCTTTTAATCTCTGGGGGTCCTGGGATTGCATAACATGCCACTGCCTCTGCCTCTGCAACTCTGAGAGCGCATCCAGGAGGGCCGTACTTTCTGGTATCTCCTTCATCATCAAGTGGAGCGAGGATTCAGCCAGAAGGGAGTGGGGTGATGGCATATCATGTACTTGAGGGAGGCTACAGTTTGCAGCGTCGGAAACATAGTCACGAATGGATGAGTGGTAGATATTCACGGGTAAGCTGTCGTCGGTAGGAATATCCATGACAGATCGTAGCTGCATCAGTGCTGTCTCCACATCCCTGCCCAGGCCAGGGCCAAGAATTTTCGAGATCTGTGACATCGGTAGAGGGTCCGCAAGCGCAATAACGACGGACAAGTGCAAGTATGCGCGCTTGGGGTCGGCACACGTGGACAGGATGGAGTCGTACAACTTGTAGACTTCCGTTCCTGGTAGCAGCTTGCTCGTCAGCTCGAGCATCAGCTGCAGCCGGCCGTGGGGATAATTGTCTCCATCATCGATAAACTTCATCATCGTAGACGCCACAATGAAACGTCTGCCTGCTCGGCTCGCCAGCCGCTCAAGTTCATCTCTCGATGGCTGCGGGAAATCGGGATGGCGACTCGCCAGCTCTCTGAAGGAATGCTGCAAGAAAATATAGATGTCGTTGTCGACATCAGCGCCATCTAACGAGATGATCGTAGCAACACCCTCCCCAGACATTTGCACTGGTATCTCGCAAACCAGCGGGCGTACCTCGTCTTTCTCAAAGGCTTTACGGATATGCGATTCTGTGCGACTCGTGAGGAGAATGTGGGTCACGGGTATTTTGGTGTCACGAAGAGCTCGTGCAAGGAGAAGGATGAGATCGGCAAGCTCGGGTTCGGATGTGCATTCATCGAGGGCATCGATGACAAACGTTAAAGGCGGACAATTGCTCAGCCTGGACTTGAGCTTCCGGAGAGGTCTGAGAAAGAATGCCTCCATCTGGTCGCAGAGAGAGTTGTTAGGGTCTAGGAGGGCGGGATTCTCGCGGATGGCATTGTTCATGTCCGACCGGACGCTGGGAAAATTACTAGCAAGCTGGTAGATAAGCGTCGCAAAGAAATATCCAGTCGTGCAGCGTTTGGTGTGCTTGCGCGAGAAAAAGAATGTTCCTGCGAGCCGCTTTTCGACTGTGGTCTCCTCTGTTACTTTTAGACTTTTCATCTTTTCAGCTACAGTGAACGCAACAGGAGACTTTCCGACGCCCGCCGTGCCATGCAGCCAAATGAGCTGACTCTTCTCCCGGTCGTCTAATAAGGTGTGAATGTAGTTGAGAAGGTCGACCCGGGTCCTGTCCAAACATTTTGGATGGGGCTGGCGTTCATGGGAGTCATATTTCGCGCCATGGACGGCGACCTGGGACAGCCTCTCCCACGTTCTTTCAGACGATCGAACTGCTAATGATCAGAGAGCGAGAGGGGGGTTAAGAGATGAAAATACTGACAGTGATCCTGACTCATTTACGACGGTTATGACAGATGGGATTGAATGATTCAGGAAAGTATTAAGTAGCTGGATTTGAGGTTGTGATTAGAAATCCTTTGGGCGCTGGTTATCTCGAGGGACGACGTACGAAGATTTGAATCAAAGGATCAACACCCAGGCTGTTACTTGGATCTAAAGTGGAGCCGAGGTAAGAAGTTGTGAAAAGGCTTAGGCCGTGAAACGATAAAGCTGTGGAGTGATGGAGAGTGCAAAGCGAGATGGAGATGGAATGTATGGATAAATGTTCCAATATATTCAGCTATGGGAAGCTCGCTGAATGGTGATGTTGAATGCAGTTGAAGTCGGATGAGTGGGCGGCGGACGCTCGTCTGGTTGTAGCCTGTAGGAGGACACGAGATTGCTGTGAGTGCCGGCATTTGTCGGAAATTTGCGATAGCGGTTGCAATGACCCCCTATTTAGATGTCATTGAAATGTCGCCTGAAATGATAATGTAATACTGATTGCTGAGTTTCAATCAATTGTAAGCTGTGATGTGACATATCAAGTCATGCATATATGCTTCCCCTCATCATTCTATCAACGCAAACTCTTTGCACTTCCTCAATCCTTCAAATCTCTGTATATATTACAACTTTGCATTTCTATCACAAAATGGCCCCAGACCGCACGAGGTTCTGCGATTTATGCAGCCAGGATATCAAGCCACGAGGCTGGACGACTCACCGGAAAGCTTGCAAGACTAACACAGAAAAGCGATGTCGCGATCAGGTCATTGTAGATGCAATTCGGAAAGACAAAGGTATATCGACTTTGTGTTGGATCTAAAAGTTGAAGATCAGTCTTGTTATCCAGCAGCGAACTCTGTGCTTGATGGATGACGGACAGCTTGACCCAGTCGCGCTAACACACCAAGTACGTGTGATGCTATTTTGATGTCTGTATTTCTCACTATTCTGTCTCCCAGTCAAGGCAAGAGATCACCAGCATGACTTTGCACATGGTCTTGATGTAGACTTCGGCCTGATCAGTGAGTCTAGCAAGTGATCTTGCTATTGTTACTATCTATAACACTATTGATTTTCAGACCCTCTTGAACCTGAACTCGTGGATGCTGCAGCACTCCCTACCTATTCGCGTGACGATATAAAGGTTGAATACCACCCAAATAGTGGTATTGAGATGAAAGTCCATGCATTTGATAATTTCCATCGTCGTCCGGCAGCCTCTTCAGTTCATACTCCTCCTGATAACCAGCCTTGGCGCCCATTTCAATCTCGGCTCAAATTTGACGTTGCTGAGCTCGCTCTCGAGGCTGGATTAAACAACAAACAGACAGACCACCTGATCAAAATTTGCCATCACAATTCTGTTGGAAAGGAAAAATTCACATTTAGGAACCATAAAGATATTCACAGCAAGTGGGAAGCAGCATCTCATCGCATCACAAAGGTGGTGTCATTTCCCACTGTATGAAATCAGAATCTGACCTTGTTCGAAGTGCAGTTCATGAAAGAAGTGATCTCAGTGCCTTATGATGGCAAGATGTGGGACTTTGATGTACACTACAGGGATCTTTGGGAACTGGCTACTGACCTGCTTCGGGACCCCCGCCTGTTCCCGCACTTCACATTTGATGCACAGCGCTTATCAAAGTTTGATGGGCAAACTTTCATCCGCTTCATAGATGAACCTTTCACTGCACAAGACTTTTGGGATGTGCAAGTATGTGTTGATTCAAATATTCAGTCTTATATATATATATAAAACATTGTACGTTTGTAGTCGCAACTACCACCAGATGCAAAGCCGCTAGCTGTTAAGGTCGTGCTCAAGGGAGAGGTTACTCAAAGGGCTTCGGCTTCAGCTTGTACGCTGCGCCCCTTACCCGAGTACGTGCCCTTTAATTTCCAGGGGACAGAGGGGAAGTCCAATGGAAGTCTGGGGAGTTCCGAAGGACTTAGTGTCGGTGGAGTTCGGCAGAACTCCGGAAGGTTTATACGGGGACGGAGTAAGGCTACTACGGAAGTCCGGAGTAGAAACTGAACAGAGGTTAGACTACCCTAAGGTAGAGCCAGAGAAGTAGTCCTAAGGTTTAACCCCTAAGACTTGGAGGTGGACAAGAGGTGAGACTCAAGTCCGGAGATTGCAGGAATGAGCAGAACTAAGATGATATTTGAACTGAGGAGTTCCGGAGTATTACAGGGGTTTATATACTGTAGGTATCATGTAAGTAAATCAGTCAGCAAAGGTAAGGGCTATGTACAGAGCATGTGGAAAGTCTATTACTAAGTGTAGCGGATCAATAAGCATAGCGGAAAGAACATAACCGGTAACTGGAGCAATGGCTAATCTAAAAGGAGTTAGGGGTGAGTGCGGAGATGAAGGCGGAGTGCCAGGCGGAATAGTAAGATGGAGGACCGGACTTTAATGAAGTAGATCCGGAATTCCGGATCCGGAGGTATGGGATATGACACTAGCTTTCATTCTGTATGCAGATAAAACAAGGCTATCGTCGTTTGGCACTGTGAAAGGTTACCTGGTTGTTGCACGCTTAGCAAATCTACCTACAGACATCCGGAACGGATGGGGTATAGGTAGTGGCTACATTGTAGGATGGCTACCAATTGTATGATCCGATATCTGTCTCATCATCGGTGCTGATGGCGCAGTTGTTAGGTGCTGGAAGATAAAGACCATGCTGGAAAGGCGAGCTGGGTCAACTTCAAAAACACAGTCTGGCACGAGTCGTTCACGAGAATCACGTCTTCGTTGGCATCAAAATCAAAGACTGGACAATGGTATTCCTGCCTGGATGGCGTTAATAGGTGGTTCTTCCTTTGTGTATTAATTTTGTCAGCTGATTACGAGGAACAGTAAGTACTAATTTTTTGCTTGTATTCTAAATCATGTTTTCGCTAACAATAATTTACAGGTGCATCATGTCACTTATCTGAGGGATCATGAGCCTTTGGCCATGTCCCATCTGTCTTGTTCCTCGAGATGAGCTTTGGGATACCTCAAAACAATATCCCTGCTGAACTGCAAACACATCACATGATATTGTAATGGCTGCGCGGGAAAAAGACACCTTTGAAGAACTGGAGGAGATCCTCAAACAATATGGACTTCGTGACATTATTGTGAGTTTCATGTCTGCTTGCGAAGCTCTTAAACTTACTTTCAGAATTCACTATGGGCCATCCGGTACTCGGATGTCCATTGAGCATTGTCGCATGACCGATGCCACTATAACCATGGTGGCCTTTGGTCACATCATTACTGGGTTGAGCTGCAAAAGTGCTTGGCGAGTCTTGGAAGGGCAAAAGTAGCCCAAGTTGATAAGAAGTGTGTCCATTTTTTGTGCTATCTAACATGTTACCGTCTTCTAATACATCTATAGCTTTGTGGTGTTTCCGCGCTGGCGAAATTTGAAGCACCCGAACCAGGTAATAAATGTTGCATTTGCAGACAGCTCTGTCCATGAAGATATCTCAAAGGTTCATGGTTTTAATATTTTGCACAATCGTCTCACAAACATGTTATGCTCCATTGATTCACAGATGATCATTTATGCTACACACAACATCCTGACAGAGGAGGACTCTCTGCTCAGATACCTTCTGCTTCGCTGCGTGCACCTTTACCTTGAGGTCGACATGTATGCTGCCTTTGAGGTTCACACAGCCAATACAATCAGTGAAGGCAGAAGCGCCGTCTGAGCTCTAACAGCATTCATGAGGGTACGTCTAATGATACTCTACTTTAGCAAATGAATAGTAGATTGATACTTTAGTAGCAATATATCACGGCAACTGTTAAGTACCATGCCGGCTCAAGAGGCAGAGGGGTCAGGGCTTGGCTTCAGCTCTTGCGCTGCGCCCTTAGCCGAGTACGTGCCCTGAATTTGGAGCGGGTTCGATGTTGTCTGATGATAGGATGAATGGACTGCTTTGGTCCGCTTGAGGGTTGGGAAGTAAGAGCTGCTAGTGGCAGGCCGACTAGGAGCGGAGCGGAGAAGACGGGGGTTGATGCGGAGGGTGGATAGGAGCAGTGGGAATGTTTGGCAGAGGCGGAGAAGGCGGGGGATGATGCAGAGGGACGAGGGAGGATATTGGATAGGGGCGGAGTATATGGAAAAGACTTAGAGCTCAGCTCTAAGTCGGAGCGGGGGATCGGAGGGTCGGAGGTGACGACAAGTTGAGACTTGTGTCCAGAGGAGGCAAGGTCCTACTGAGAATTCTAACAAGGTGTAACTGCGAGAAGACAAGTAATATTAAGACTAGGGAAACATATCTAAGTACAGGATATGTTATATACTTTTATGTGAGGCAGTGATCAGGATAACTATGTAGTAAAGCTATGTACCAAGGATATAATTTGTAAGTACTTTACATAGGTGAAGACATAAGTCGGAGCGGATATCAATATGTATGCATCGGATCAGCAATCGGGCGGTAATAGGAATTACCGGTGATCCAGAAGTAAGAGTCTATGTACCGAAGGGGAAAGTATATGTCTAAAAGGGGAAAGGGATCCAGTTGAATGGAGAGGTTTATGGAAGGGGACCGGTTGAGCGGTTGAGTGGAAGTGTAGGGCGGAATGCGGGTTTTGTGGTAGAGCGGAGCGGAGGATGGATGGGGTGGAGGGGGTCGGAAAGTGGGGCGGATATCAGTATCGGAGCAGTCGGATCTGGTATATGACAGCAACTGACCAGGAGGACGACAAGAATTGGAGTTTTCCTAAACTCCATATGACTACACATCTATTCAATGATATTGAGGCCAAAGGAGCCATGAGGAACTACAATACGAAGCCAAACGAACAAATGCATGGGCCATTGAAGGACTCATACCAGAACTGGACCAACTTTAAGAACTTTGCAGCACAGGTGAGGTACATGGCTACTTTTTCATTTACCTACTGATCTTGTATCATAATTACAGATTCTTCATATAGACCACTGGCTACTCGTTGCGGATGACATTCATCGTCAAGTCTTCGACTTGGATGAATATGTAAAGGTGACATCACAGGACCAAGTAAATGACGCCGATGACATCGACGACAACACAAATGAGGATGATGCTGACTCCGAGTCAGACCCTATCATACATGATTTCATCCCTTTGGATGGGTCTATGCATGTGAAACTTGGGTCGAGGCAAGCTCCACAGGCCTTTAGTCTCATTGAGAATGCTCACCAGGATGACGACACATTTACTAACTTCCGTGTCAAACTGAACTCGTTTTTAAATGTATTTCTACCTGCAAGTAACATACCCCTGCCAGACGGGAAAAGAGTTCATCTCCCATCGAATCACACAGTAAGTTTGTTTTATTCAGTAACCCTTGATACTACACTAATAACACAACAGATCATCAAGTGTCGATATCTGCGAGTCAACTATGAGTCGATGGTAGATTGGTGACAACACACAGATTACCTTCACTGCAGTCCACGGTTCTTTAATGCACCACATTTTGATTGCGTGTTCATCCAGACCAAGTAAAAGGTCATCCTTGGACACCTGCTATTCCTTTTTGAGTGCCCAGTTGGAAAGGATGTGTTTCCACTTGCTCTTGTCCATCCATATGATGCTCCCACAGGTCCACAACTTCGAAAAGACAAGCATCTCAACCTTTTTAGGGTTTGAGCAAAACCACGGGCACAGGCAGAATTCTTCTCTGTCAGGTCAATCCTTTGCGGGGCACTTCTAGTGCATGACGAAAACCTCGATTACCTTGTTGTCAACATGGTTGATACTGACATGTTCCTTTGTGTGAAGGAAATGCATCTGCAGGCAGGGCATGTGGTGCGCATTTGATTGGTGAGTGTGGTGTCTCTTCGACAAGTCTGATTTGTATTAACATATGGGATCACTATGATGCACAGCACCCTGGCTCCAATGTAACGAGGCATGAGCAAAGGAACCTTGCGCAAGCGGCGGATGCGGTACACTCCTTCTTGTCCTCGTACCACATCCATCATTCCCTGTTGTTCTGTTGTCCACAACGACTCTCTTCCTCCGCTTTTCTTTTCACCACCTGCCGCTCCATTTTCACCTGCTCCATCACCATAGATGTCGCTCCTCACACACATTCTTTGTGCACCCTTGCCATCCATGGCCAAATTAGAAGAATAGTGAGTTTTCATTGCTCCCAGTATCTTTTTCAGTGTTGACAAGTGTCTCGATATGTGCGGCCTCAAGGATTATTATGATCGAATTGTAGCTATCGATGAATACAACAAGCCTGGCAACGACAAGTTTACCTTCCTTTTGACAATGCGTGCTGGCGGTCTTGCCATCAACCTGACCACTGCTGACATCGTCATTTTATAGGATAGCAATTGGTTTTGGCAAAACTGTGATTGTGTGTCATTGCCCTTCATATGACCCTTGTGCTGTTCACTCATAAGCTGTCCACCTCTAGATCCGTGACCTTAAGGCGAGGATCTACGCTCTTCATGCTTTTGTTATTCGATGCTGATATTCATCCACTTAGAACGTTGCTCTATCAATGACTTTCTCTGGTCATGTGTACAACACGACTGTTGCACATTTTTCGCCATCTGGCTTCTACTGCGTGTCCACAGACACTACTGGAACAGGTGCGCCTCTACTTGTGTTGGGGGTGACGACAACATCTGCTAATCGGGGTGTGAAGTCAAGCAGAACAAGTGGTCAAACCTTGAATTTCTACTTGCGAAGAAGATCGCCCTGGTGTGCTACCCCATGCAAGAGCTCGAGCCTAACTATCTGACCACAAAAGGCAAGGTCTATAGCGAGGAAGCAGATTGGTACCTCTGCCGGCTCAACCACTAGTTTCCTGTATTCCGCTTTGATTGGTTTTTCAAGAGCTGGATGCCACAGGAACTGCAGTGCAGGTGTAATATGTTGCTAGGTATGATTGAGAAAGAGGCAGAGGTGAGGTAGGCGGAGGAGGTGAAGCCGAAGGGCGGGTCGCTGGTTCAGATGCCATCGTCAAGCATCAAGCCCTGCCATGAATGATGTTCGTGTTTGCAAAACCATCCACTGATGCTTGTACTAATATTACTCGCTATCTGCCACAATGTGCTTTTCATAGGACTGTTGTCATATCCTGTACCTCCGGATCCGGAATTCCAGATCTACTTCATTGAACTCTGGTCCTCTGTCTTACTATTCCACCCGGCGCTCCGCCTTCATCTCCACACTCACCCCTAACTCCTTTTAGATTAGCTATTGCTCTGGTCACCGCTTATGTCTTTTCCGCTATGCTTATTGATCTGTCCATTCCTACTTCATTTCCAACTTCACTGCTTTGATCCGTTACACTTAGTAATAGACTTTCCACATGCTTCATACATAGCCCTTACCTTTGCTGACTGATTTACTTACATGATACCTACAGTATATAAACCTCTGTAATACTCCAGAACTCCTCAGTTCAAATATCATCTTAGTTCTGCTCATTCCTGCAATCTCCGGACTTGAGTCTCACCTCTTGTCCACCTCCAAGTCTTAGGGGTTAAACCTTAGGACTACTTCTCTGGCTCTACCTTAGGGTAGTCTAACCTCTGTTCTGTTTCTACTCCAGACTTCCGTAGTAGCCTTACTCCATCCCCATATAGTCTTCTGGAGTTCCGCTGAACTCCACCGACTTCTGTCCTCCGGAACTCCCCGGACTTCCGTTGGACTTCCCCTCTGTCCCCTGGAAATTAAGGGCATGTACTTGGGTAAGGGGCGCAGCGCACGAGCTGAAGCCGAAGCCCTTTGAGTAACCTCTCCCTTGAGCACGACCTTAACAACTGTCTATAATCTACCCTGCACATCATTACCTGGCCCAACTACCTGTGGCAATGCCTCGCTGGTACATTATGCCTGGACCCTTCATGTGCAACCCAGCTATTACAAACATTGGACAGCATCATTTAATTTATGCACCATTTGTGCATGTTCTATTACTTGTGGTACATATTTCAACGCTTACAATTGATGGAGTGCTAACCAATATGTCTTGATTAGCAGGGGATTAGAACATTTCAAGGTTTCCATTACGACTATGGATGTGTAAAGCTGCTGTGAGTGATATTACGTCAAGCGTGCATGAGGTAGGCATAGTATTATTTAAAGTGTTGTATTAGTTGACTGATTTTGTGTCGCCTTCCCATCCAACAATATCCTTGTCCAAAGTGATTCCGGATGGACATGTCGCACGTTACACGGTTGTACTCAGACACAGAGAGTGACTTTGATGATTGGGATGGCGATCCTAGCCACATCTCTATTCCAGGCCCCAGCGCTTCTAAAGGGGAGCTCCTAGAGGTAAGACATAATTCGCTTGTCGGAACATTTACTAACTTGATTCATTTCAGACACTTAAAGTGCTGCAGGTTCAAATGCAGCGGCTTCAGGAAGAGAACAGGTCTATCAAGGAAGAAAACAAGACTTTGCATGCTGAGAAGCCCAAATGAAAACGGCATGCAGACACTCAGCACGAACTTAGCATGTACGAAGACACCATCACCATCTATGCTCGTAAGTATGGCATGATGGTTGAGATGTTTCCTAGTAGCGAGCTTCTCAACAAGAAGCTTCCGGAATCTCCAACTTCATTTGATAGCCCTGACCGATATGCGACTGCAGCAACGCAGGACTCTGCCTTCTTAGATGAACTTTACCAACATTTCCCTGAATCGTTGCACAAGATGATGGAAAGCTCTTATTTCAGTGATCTTGTATGTAGTTTGTTATTCCTCAACTTGTCATGTCACTGACGCTACAACATCCTTGTCTTAGGTACTGAAAAGTATTCCCGATGCCCGCACAAATGAAATCAAGAAGCTTCGTGGTGTTGCTGGTGATATCTTCAACCTTCCGTCAAAGTATTTCACCAACCCCAACTTCGAGAGAGCCACTATCCCTGAAATACAACAGCTACTTGGGGTGTCACGAATTCCTAATATGAACCATTTTTCATTTCTCGGTTTTCCTTCGGCTACTTCCAGTACCTGAGCTGGTCACGTGACTCCTCGTCATATGTCACCCGTTGCTTCTCCGATTGGCTCCCCTACTCCACGGGCTAGAACAATCTCGCTTCCTAAAGAAGAACCGGTCGGATCTTGGGTTTCTATTTAGTAACCGTCTTACTCAGTCGCTTATATGTCATGAAGTCATACTTACTCATCTGCAGTATCGTACGACTCTTTTCTCATTGGCTGATTTCTTTCAGACTCCTACTCAATGTTATATATAAAAGTAGGGTAGTTAGCGTAAGAGCTCCTTAGACTTAACCTCTTCGTTTCTACTGTTGTAGTGACTTAGACGTTCACGCTCAATACTATCCTGTTCCTCATCATCTTTGACCGAGTCCTAGTGGTTGTGAACTCGCCTTCATCATTATTGGTGAACGTTGGTCATAACATGGGGTGACATCTGCTACAAATCAGACGTACAAGCCTTTTCCGCCAGTATTGTTTCCAGGATTGAAGGAAGACAAGTCGCTGAAGACAGTGTTTGGGAACTGGAAGCTATTAGCCCGAGTAAGTCTTACTATCACATTGATGATCTATCTTACTGAATGCAATTTTATTATCTAGATTCTCAAAGCTTCATTATGTGGTGTTACCTCGCTCCACCAAGGCTCGAGCGGTGGTGGTGCACATACCAACTCTCTTAAGTGGAGTGTCCACCAAATCACCCCAGGATCGATAGCGTGGGCAGCAGTTATTGTAAGTCAGTGTCACCATCATTGATAACTTGAGCCTCAGTCTTCGTGTGTTGTTGCAGGCCATATTTCTACTTTCACCGGACACCGAGTTCTCAGGCTCTGGCCTTGGGAAGAAGTTGAATATCAGCTACAAAAATCTCTTCTACAACTACAAGAAAGTTCTCATTGCAAAATGGGCCACGAGGCACATCCTATCAATTGTCGCTAATATCAACAACTATGTTTTCAAGGCCGCAAAAGGACCCGCCTTCGATTCAGCCGAACAAGAGGATCATACGGACGCCATTGATCGTGCACTAGCAGCACTGGACATGGATAGCGATTCGGATGACCAATCCAACCTTTCGGCTCTGTCATCTGCAATGTGTCCAGTTGCTGATCCGGAACCTGATATTGCAGCTGCTGCCACCCTAAGCACCACTGCGAGGGATTCCGAACCTGAAGCATCTGACATCATACCAGAGGCTGCTGACATCGATCCACAAGTTGCTGAGGTGATACAGGATGCGGGAGGTAGTGCCAGTGGACGAGGGTGGGCAAAAACTAGAGGGAAGAAGGCAGCAACTCACCAAGCAACTTCTCGTGCAACTCAGTCTCGCAAATATTAGTACCTCATTATCATCCGTTTTTGTTGATCATTGTTATCCCTGACATGAACCATTCTTGATTATCCATTCCTGCACTTATGTTTTCATGCTCATTCAATAATTCTTTAGCTCTATTATCTACTTGATCCTCATCATACTAGTGGGAGCCACCTGACAGTTTATTATTCAAGTCCCACGATATTGGAGCCTGAATAAAGTGCTCTAATAGTACCCAAATTAGACTCCGTCTTTCCTTTCTCTCCCACTGCATTGTCACGAATTCCTTCTCCCACTTGATAGACTTTCTTCTGTTGTTCAACGAACTCTATGATGTCAACACCAACAACTGTAAGAAGACTGTTCCTCTCAATTCCATCTCAATCTCACTTCAAGTCACCCTCTTTATTTAGACTCATTAAATGGTGGCATGGAACATTTAAATTCAACTTCGCATTTTGGGATCCTCCATCCTGCTGCCTTCAAGTGGAGTATTAGTTTGCCGGTGTTATCAAGGTATGTTTTTTTCTGTTATGTTCGTCTTCCAGATAGGCTAATAGCCTCATCATTCAGACCACAGAATCATGATTTGCGCAGACAAGCAAAATTATGGGGTCGAGACCATCAGAACCGTTTGGGGTGGTCTTTGAGGCCTCCTTGCAGTTCACTCTCGGACCTTTGGATTACTTTTATTATTACAATTAAATAGTTGCATCCTGTATTAGTACTAAATTGCAATTCATCTGACAAAGAAATATACTGGTGTTACAATATGATTTCTACAACTGCATTGTGATTGCAATATTTGACTGTCCATTTGAATGAACTTGGAATGACTGTTGTGACGATGATGGCGATCTCGATTACCACGTGATGCAATGTTGTGGTCGTAATTGTCATGACTCGTCATTCATTGCCATGCTGTGGCAACCGTTCTTGCAACCGTCATTTAAATGATCATGAGAATAACGACTCTATTATAGAAACCTATTTTAAAGACAGGCTCTGCATTTGGGCATTGAAACGCGTTGCAAGGCGTTGAAATCTAAATTAGAAATTTCCGACATTGCTTGCCCACGTGGGTCACTGCACAGCCAGACCACCGCCAGGCCTCAGTGATTCAACAATTCAACGATTGGCGCGCTAGTCTCCAGAGGTTGAATACTTATAAATCAAGAAAGATTTCTTGTGTGACCAAAACCAAGGATCGTTGAACACACTACTATTAATCAATATTAACTAGGATGTAGAATTCGGTCTGTGAGGTCACCAGTTTGTATGGTACTTTAGAGTCATCTTCCTCTAAAAACACGGCATGCCCTAGCTGAAGGTAGCGGGAATTGCATATTCACAGAGTCTCCCGACTCCGAGTCTACTAGGCGTCAGTAGTTGTCTATTTGCCAACAACTTCCATTCCTAACATGGCCAAACAAACCCTTACTGCCCATCTTTTCAGTTCTAACACCCAATCATCGAGTGCCCTGTTCACAAATCATACGACCGCCCGGACATACTTTCTCATCACAGTATCTGCGCAAGCACTCTTGTCTAAACCAGTCCCCACTTTCACTCGAAGGTCTATCGCCAACACCCCCAATCATGAAGCATGTGAGTGAGTCAAATACTTAACAACATATAGGTTCAATCCCTGACATACTACGCCTCAGCCTACGGGTGAGCTTACAATTGAATATCCAAATTGAGTTTCGGGATGCACGCAGATATTCTAGAGGCTATTCTTGTCCACTCACATTCAGGACATGTTGTGAAGTGTAGTGCGACGAGCTGATCCTTGGGAAGGACATTGGTAAGTACGAAGTCACTTGCGTGTTCCGTTCGACACAGCGCAACGCGTGTGATGCGACCATTAAGTACAGCAAGTATGTGTCTCCACAACGATTTATCCGCAATCTACTTACCGCGCATGAGCAGATTCGTAGTTCTTCCAAGTTTGCGACTTGCAAATCATGCTTTGGGGAATTTCCTAGGTCACAATGGCAAACACACACTCCATCATGTCTAGACCACGATGGCTGTTCCTGGTTTGGTCCCCGGCTCATCAGCTTTCTGAAGAACACGCTCTCTCCTGCACATCTCTGTATCAAATTGCTGGCGGCTCGGTGGCAAGCCTTGTTGGACAATGCCGACTGCCGATGACATGCTTGACTTTTGTCTCTTTTGCCCGTCAACTGCATCATGTTCGCTCCCCAGTAAACTGCTTGCAGTTTCGTCTCTTTAAATTTACACATAGGCAGCTGTACACTATGCTCTCCAAGGACAAGACTGCGAGCATAGTTCGCCGTCAACTACTTCTCTTTTCCTGGCGTTCTTATTGCTATTCTGCACTCCTTTGCTTCGCGACTATGACGACCTGCAGTGACAAAGACCTCGCAAGGAAATGCGCTTATTTGCCTGAACCACGGCCATTTCACACTCTTTTGCTTTTTATTATTGGGTCCCTATCCGGCCGTGCGGCGTAAACCGCATGCAATTACTTCGGCTCCCACATGTCATTGCTTTCAACGGTTGTCAAGCTCTTACAATTGCCCGCGCTGTTCTCCGAGTCAACCTCCAGCGAATAAACCCCTTCGCACACGGGCAATTATATCGCACTAGCCACAGTACATATCATATACACCAGCCTGCATGTATTGCGTGCTTCCACTTGAAGGGTTATCATTAATAATTCATTATGAAGTACGCACTACGCCGAGTCGCGATCCGATCGAGAATTACGACGTGCAAAGCGCGTAGTAAATGAGATTTGCAATGAACTAACAACGAAGGAAGGAACTAAAATGAAATGTCTGTGCTGCGTCTATAAATCAGCGTATCGAGCGGAGAAACAGTCAATAAACACCAAGAAACGAATTCAACGTGTGGGGTTGTAGATAATGATAGCGGGACTGACTGGGCCTGCTGCACCCGGTGTGGGTGCCGAGGTAGTGGCTATAGTACTTGGGCGTGCTGCTGATGTGCTCGTTCAGGCCGCTGGGCAAAATACAATGTCTGCAGAGATTATCAGACTCCAGCCATTGGAAAGATGCACGAGGAAGACATACCCATTTGTCCTGTGCTGCAGGAACTCCTAGCAAAACACTGAGGCCCTGCGCGTGATGAGAATTTCGCCTGGAGCGTTGCTAGAGTCGCAGCCTAACACAGAAAGGGCGGCTATCTTCCTTCTATTGGGTCTGCCTACTGGATACTAGAGTTGCAGCGTCGAGATGATGAGATGTCGCGGATGTGACCACATGAGAGCATAGAGGTCAGAATAAGAACTAGTGAATTGAATTGATATGAACACATGAACAAGGTGATTATTTTGGGTGTTGGCGTCAATATTAATTAGACGTTCCCTGGACTCGGATGTCCTGAAAGGCTGAGCTGGACCTTGCGTAGCATCGATCTAGAACGTAAACAATTGAAAAGGTCGAAAAACACCTCACGTATTTTGGAGGGGTAGTATATGGGAGAAGTTCTGCTTCAGTGAGTCGCGCATGCTTCTTAGAAACCACAGAACGCACCGTTGTGCCGGTCAAAGTTCACTTACACGCCATCGGGTTTAGTTCACAGTAGCGTTGTGAGAATTACCGAAAGGCTTTTTGAGCGAACCAAACATTATTCGGAAATCGGATAGTGTCTGGTTCACTCACAAAGTCTTTCAAATTTTGAAGGGATCCTGAATATGATAAGGGGCCAGGAACGAGGAATCAACGGTTTGTCCGTGATAAAGAAGGAACGACTACCTTTGTGTTTACGCTCTATAATGTGGAGGGAGTCGGAAAAGCTGCATGAAGGTCAGCTCTGGCTCGGAGAGACCTAGTACGGTTGAAGTTCTTGTGTGTGGAAAGGGCTAGCTATGCCGGTTTGGTACTGGACCAAGGCGCCAGTTCTGTGCTCGAAGCAGTGATTCTGAGAAGTGAATGAATGAAGATAAAACTAAATATCGGAATCGAGGAGAGAACAGATCTTCTAAGCGCGTTCTTATCTGGGCCGTGGCCCGTGCGCAGACCTTGAGCCTGAAGGAGAGTCCAGATCAAAACACACTAAAATGAAGATGGAATGGTGAGTGGGTCAAAAAAAATCATACGCGGGTCGCAAGATCTGAGTACGACTCTTCGAAGCGTGGTATTGCTGTTATGTGGAACGCACGAGCCCAAGCGCTTCACTGCGTGATGAGCATGTTTGGCTGTGTTAGGAATGGAAGTTGTTGCCAAACAGATGACTACAACCACACGTCCCTCAGTAGGACGACTGATTATAATACGCGCAACGGTTTAACTATGCAGTCCCATAACAGCTACGCAATGATATCAACATTTACAGCAACCTTGTGTCATCCAGTAATTCATCTTTGGGCGACCTAAAGGTCCTAAACCTTTTCATAACTTATCTCGGCTCCAGCATGTAGCTTCTAGTAACAGCTTGTGCATCGATCATTTCGTTCAAACCTCCGTGCGTCGTCCCTCGAGATAACCATCACTCACATAATTTCTAATCACACCCTCAAGCTCGAACCCAGCCGGTACTTCCCTGAGCTGTTCCATTCCATCACACAACTCGCGTCACAAGTTATAACCGTCGTGAATGAGTCGGGATGGATGTCAGTATTTCCATCTCTTATCCCTCTCTCGCCCTCTGACCTCATTAGTAGATCCTCGATCGTTTGAAGGATTTCGGGAGGGTCGTACTAGGTCGCTTTCAAGGGTGCTGGATATGAACTCCTGGATGGGACCCGAATGGACCTTCTCGACCACATCCCCAGATTAGACGACCAAGAGAAGAGTCGACTCATTCCCCCTTTCAGGCGTCGGACGTAAAGGTGTCGGGCGTGAAACGTACTTATCGTTTGAAGGGTCTATGCTCATGTGCAATGTTCTTTGAGCGAGTTTAGCATTCTGAGGAATACGTCGACGCACGCTTGAATTTCTCTCTACATCTGCATCACCTCTTTGCACCACAGGACCCACCGTTCAGATTTCTATCACACGTTTCTCGTACTCGGTGCCTTTCCCACCAAAGCCCTTCGCCAACTCGCTCTCAGCTTGTACATTAAAAAAAAGGATGTCGATTTCGTCACCCGTTGGCGTTTTGTCCCGTCGTATCGCCCCGCATCTTGTCCCCCACCCATTATGCCCGTTCAGATTTGTCCGCAGCGACACCCAAGCTCTGCCATCACTTGCTGCACATATTCAGTCACACCGTCTTCGGTCGAATGACCGTGCTGTGCAGGGGAAAATGATGGTTGTGGGAGCATGTCGTTTGGACTTTTAGGAAGGAATGGCTGAAAACCCACGTAGGAGGCCGCGAGATGTGCGTGGCTGGACAGCCGTGGAGACGGAACCCTGAGATGCCTGGAAGAAGTTGGGAATGCACAAAGATATTCTTCTCTCCTTGGTCGTTCTCCTCCAGCGCACTCACCTGCGTTTCCATCTTCGTCGTCATTCATCTCAGCACGTTCAGCCTTTTCGCCGTTCATCGATGGACTGCCTAGCAGTGAAAATCCACGGAGTCTGTACGATTGAGGAATACAATGATTTTCGACGCCTGGAATTTGTCTCGACATCAGCCGTTGGGTAATCACGGAGCCGGCGTCTACTCAATGCGCTGCCCTTGCTATTTTCACGAACCCTTCTGAGAACATAAAAGCACGAGATATATTCATCAAATCGCAAAATGGCTTCAGAAAGACTATGTATGTCATTCCTCCTACCTGTGGTCCAGGATCTTTTCCCCCTCAGTGCACACTCCTAAATCGACTGCTGTATAAGAACAATCCCCATCATCATCGCGCCTACTGGTGAAGCAAATCTCTGACCCCTTCATATCGGACGACTAGCAGAAGCATTCGCGCGGCGGAAGGGGCGACTGGGGCGGACAGGGCGAAATCCTAAGATCTCAGATGTCCTCCGTGAGGCTGGGGGCATGCCAGGTCGAAGTCTGGGCATGGGCGTATCGCTGGTCGTGTGAGGTAAAGTTGTGTAGTGTAGGTAGTGATATAGACACCGTGTGGTAATACGAGAGTTCGAATCATGTCTGCCGCAGGTCAAAAAAAAGAGAAGGAACATGCGACACACTCGTCGATGAAAAGCTACGTCTACAAAATGAAAAATTCCTTAATACAGTCTCCTCATCAGACTACAACCACAGAAGCTCTGGCGGAATAACCTGCCAGTGCGTGCGACCTTTTGGAGTGTGTTGCTGCTCAAGAAGCACGATAGAAGTCGATATTAACCCGTAGATCCCTCATCGGCGCTTAGACGTAATATTTTTAGTAATGTATGGCAAACTATACCCCACTTTCAGACTCGAATGCGAGAAAAGAAAGTGATCTCGTACCGTAAAATATACCACAGAATTCTGCATTGCTTACTGGCAGTCTTGCAGTTCTCTCCAGCCTTTGGGCTGCAAGTTCTGCTTGTCTCATTGCAGGCGTGTTAGTCAGGTAGCGGTCGCGGATTCGAGCGTTATTGATATCAAAGTTGGGATCAATGGTTGACAGTACTTGGTTGGCCTGTGCGTGAGCGGATCCAAGCTGACAATAATAGGTTATCAAAGGGCAAATCACATACAAAGAGGAAATACACGGACCTTTGCAAGTTTCTGCCCTTGAGATAAAACAACAAGACAAGACCGTAGACCGTTCAAACACCACTGCCTTTCGAGCCAGGAAAGGAGGTGACGATCCCAGAAAGCTTGGAATGTATGAGTGAGCATGTTATCCCATGGGTTGGGAGCAAGGGAGAGATGGACGGCCCAGTGTTGACATGCGTACTTGAGGGCGTCGGAAGCTGATCGACTTTGTTCCTGTGCTTCGTTTGCAAAAGTGATAAAGGCATTCATAGCGCGGATGACCTCCCTGTCTTGTGGGGAAAGACCTTCGGATAATGAAAAGGTGGAATGGTCCCGGCGCCTTAATACCAGAAACGTCAGAAACATCAAGAAATCCGGCAAGGTCTTGAACTGTTGGACCACTTGGAAAGCTGGCAGTAAAGGGGATTCTGGGACAACGATATACTCGCTGATTGCTTGCAATGTGCGCGAGAATTCTTCCATTGTTAACCAGACAGAGGCCGCAGGAGTGGACTGCCATGCTTGGCCATGGGGCGTCTTCAGCCAGTCTCGCCCGCACAGGGTGTGCAGCCAGGCCCGGCCGGCCGGAGTCTGTAACCAACCTTGCCCGAATGGAGTCTGCAACCAGTTTTCCCCTCCCTGAGTCTGCAGCCAGTCCTGCCCTGCCCGGGTCTGCAGCCAGTCTCGTCCTCCCTTGGTCTGTAGCCAGGCTCCTCCGCCAGGAAGCTGCAACCAGGCTCGCCCGTGTGGGGTCTGCAGCCAAGCTCGCCCGCGTGAGTTTCGCAGCCACTCTGGCACACTCCCGGTCTCAAGCCATTCTGAAACGGCACGGCCTGATCTGTGCTGCTGAATCCACCACTAGTCTTGCCTCCCCCAGGTCTGCAGCCAAGTTTTCCCTCCTCGGGTCTGCAGCCAGTCATGCCCTCCTTCAGTCTGCAGCCAGTCTTGCCCTCCCTTGGTCTGAAGCCAGGCATGCCCATCCAGGGTCTCTACCCAGGATCGCAAATTTGGACTGCGATCTCCCCGAAGCCGTAGCATACATATGAGAACTGACAGTGGCTCCGGTGGCCGAACGAAGAAGGAGAAGGAGTCTTGTGATCTATGGGGACCATGATGTTGCGTAGCAGGGCTGTGACTCTTCAACTTCGAGAGCGCATCGAGAAGGGCCGTGCTTTTCGGAATCTCCTTCATCATCAAGCGGAGAGAGGAACGAGCAAGGAGGGAGTGGGGTGATGGGATATCGCATACTTGTGGGAGACTGCAGTTTGATGGGTCGGAAACATAGTCACGAATGGACGAGTGATAAATATTCACGGGGAGAGTGCTGTCTGTAGGAATATTCATCACAGACCGCAGCTGCATCAGTGCTGGCTCCACATCCCTGCCGAGGCCGGAGCCGAGAAGTTTCGATATCTGTGAGATCGGTAAAGGGTCCGCAAGTGCAGCCACGACGGACAAGTGCAGGTATGCCCGCTTGGGGTTGGCACATGTTGAGAGGATACAGTCGTATAACTTGTAGACTTCCGTTCCTGGTAGCAACTCACTCGTTAGCTCGAGCATGAGCTGCAGCCGATCGTGGGGATCATTGTCTCCATCATCGATAAACTTCATCATCGTGGACGCCACGATGAAACGTCTACCTGCTCGCCTTGCAAGCCGCTCGAGTTGATCCCTCGACGGCTGCGGGAAATCGGGATGCTGATTTTCTAGCTCTCTAAATGAATGCTGTAAGAAAATGTAGATATCGTTGTCGACATCGGCACCGTCTAACGAGATGATGGTAGCAACGCCCTCGCCAGAAATTTTCACTGGTATTTCGCACACCAGCGGGCGTACCTCGGCCGTCTGAAAGGCTTTAGAGATATGCGATTCCGAACGACTCGTGAGCAGAATGTGGGTGACGGGCAGATCGGGTTCACACAAAGCCCGTGCGAGGGAAAGGACGAGATCGGTGAGCTCGGGTTCGGATGTGCATTCATCAAGGGCATCAATAACAAATGCCAAAGGCGGACACCCGTGCAATCTGAATCGAAGCCTCCTGAGAGGTTGGAGAAAGAGCGCCTCCATCTGGTCGCGGAGAGATTTATTGGGGTCTAGAAGAGCGGGATTGTCGTGTATGGCTTTGTTCACGTCCTCCCGGATGCTGGGAAAATTGGTGGCGAGCTGGTAGACAAGTGTCGCAAAGAAATATCCAGTCGTGCAGCGTTCAGTGTGCTTGCGCGAGAAAAAGAATGTCCCCGCAAGACGCTTTTCGACATTCGTCTGCTCTGTCGTTTTTAGACCTCTCATCCTTTCAGCTACAGTGAACGCAACGGCAGATTTTCCGACGCCCGCAGTGCCATGCAGCCAAATGAGTCGACTTTTCTCTCGGTCGTCTAATTGTGTGTGGATGTGGTGGAGAAGGTCGACCCGGGTCCCTTCCAAACATTTCGGATGGGGTTGGCGTTCCCGGGAGTCATATTCAGCACCCTTGACAGCGACCTGGGATAGCCTCTCCCAAGTTCCTTCAAAAGATCGAGGATCTGTTAATGTGGTCAGAGAGCGAGAGAGGGATAAGAGATGGAAGTACTGACATTGATCCTGACTCATTCGTGACGCCGGCTGTGATAGAAATGGAATGGAATAACTCAAGGAAGTAATACTAGCTACTAGCTTGGTTCGATGTTGGTGTTAGCAATCATACGGTTATATCGAGGGACGACGCACGAAGATTTAAATTAAAGGATCAATACGAGTCGAAGCTGTTAAGTACTTGGATCTATATTGGTCCTTGGAGCCGGGGTACTACATCAGCAAATGTGGCGCAGCCTGGTAAGGCCTTCCCAGGAACGGCAAGACCCCCCCAGCCTCGCGTCCTTCACCAAGGCTGAATATACCCTGTAGAGAACTTCTCCGCCATGCCAGACAGGCACCAGGCTGCTCGAAGATGGTCAGAATTGGAGTTTTCAGAAGCCTTGGGGCGCCTTGTAATGTTGATCCAGCCTTACAAGTAGGGTGTGACATGGGTGAGGGCTACCCGGGTACCCACCCGGGTACCACCCGCGGATGGAACGTGGTACGGGTGGCGGGTGGCACGGATGGCTCACCCGCACGGGTACGGGTCAGAGGGCTTGCTAAAGTTGGGTATCCGCGGGTGGTCTAGTACCCCAATAGGAAACGATTGACGGCCGAATGCCAGCTAGTTTCAGATGAATATTGTGCCTCCCTACTTGCACTTATCCGATGTCAAAATCAAGCTCGATGAGGTATGAATGTGGTATGAACGTTCTTGAACAAGTACCAAGCAGTGCTGTATGACGATAGTCCTCATAAACTAGTTTCAGATGGATATTGGTCGTTATCAGAGGGCGCCTGTCAACATACCACCAACTGATGCATATATATTTAAATTCGATGTGTGCAGCGCACTGTACGGCTAGTTGTCACCCTCTCTCGTTGTCAGTTAACCTCGATCCTCCATGCCCGCAAGGACTCCCAGTTTCAACTCAGCTTCGGGCGCATCTTCGAAACCCAAGTCACCAGCAACAAATACACGCAGTCGCAAAAGACCGGCATCTCCGATTCCTGTTCTAGAGTCTCCAAAAAAGAAGCGGCGTGCCAAAGCACATCAGTAAAATACCACGTTACTTAAGCTGCCTTAAACAGACTTAACTCGCACTTAAGTGATTTTGCAGAAGTTGACACACTTTGCCAATATTTCAACTTCAACATGTTCAGAAAAAAGTTGTTAACATACATATTTTATTATAGTTTGCACTAAAAAAATCAAGATATGCCAAGTGAATGTTGCAGGAGAGAGAGAAAACAGTTTTCAGCCAAGTCAGCCAAGTTGATTAAGTAACGTGGTATTTGCATCGAGAGCTTGTTGGCGAAGAGCTTTGGTGGCAAAGGCACCGAGTGCGAGGAGCGTGTGACGGAAGTGCAACTTTCTTTTGCAAAGATATAATGTCGATGTAGAGCGGATACGAGCGTGCGTTGACCTATTCTTGCAGAACTCTAAACCTGCTCGGGGAGCTTTCGCTTCGCACTTGAGGGCATATGCGACCCACCATTGAACGTGAAGTATATCTCCGACGCTTAGCAACTTCACATTAAAGGATGTATGAGATTATCCGTGTACAGGGCTGACTGCCGAAGGCGGTCAGCAAGATGATTAGCATTGAGACCGACAATTTTCAGATGTGTTCTCAGGTCAGTTGCTTTTTTAGTCTACGAAATGACCATAATACATATATTACAATAGCTTGCTAAGAAGGCGGGGATAAATGGTTCAAATTAATGGAAGGAAGAGGTAAGGAATATGCAACGGCTGCAAAAGGAGATGTGGTGGTATGAGTATCGATGTCGTCTCCACTGCACCTCTCATCCATAAGCTATACAATCAAAATGGAGGCTGTCACGGAACAACTTGCTAGTGCGAACGGGCTTTGGAATGTAAGTATCACACTCAGGAGAACTCTCAGAGGTCGTGATTGTAGATAATGTCATTGACAACGAGTGGTAAACTATATCACGTTGTCAGAGTCGAATGCGAGAAAAGGGAGTGATATCGTACCGGAGAATACTGCGTTACTTATTGATGCTCTTGCTGCTCTCGCCTGCCTTGGGCTGTAAGCAAGCTCTGCTCGCCTCGTTTCGGGCATTTTGATGGGGAACGACCAATTCGAGTAGGCTATTGTTATCGGTCCGAAGTTCATCTGACGCGCGCTTGTTGGATGTGTCAGCAGGGAACACAGCGGTTTTGGCCTTCGGAGAAGGAGTTCACACCTTGGCAAGTATCTGCCCTTCGGATAAAATAAAGAGGCAGGACCGCAGACCCTTCAAACACCACTGCCTTTCGAGCCAGGAAAGGAGATGACGGTTCCAGAAAACGTGGAATATATGGTTGAGTGTGTCATCCCATGGATTCGGAGCTCGCGAGAGGTGAACGGCCCAGTTTTGACAGGCATACTTGAGAGCGTCAGAAGCTGATTGACTTCTTTCCTGCGCATCGTTTGCAAAAGTCATGAAGGCATTCATGGCATGGATGATCTCCCTGTCTGGTGGGGAAAGACCTTCTGATAATGAAGAAGTGGCGTGATCCCTCAACGCCAGGAACATCGGAAACACCAAGAAATCCGGCAAGCTTTTGAACTGCTGAATTACTTCGAAAGCTGGTTGTAAAGGTATTTCTGGGGCAATTATGCATTCGCCAATTGCTTCCAATGTGCTCGAGAAGTCTTCCATTGTCACCCAGACAGATGCCGCAGGAGTGGACTGCCATGCTTGGCCATGAGGTGTCTGCAGCCAGTCTCGTCCGCTCTGGGTCTGCAACCAATCTCGTCCTCCTGGGGTCTGCAACCAGTCTCGACCTCCCTGGATCTGCAGCCAGTCGTGGCCTCCCTGGGTCTGCAGCCAGTCTTGGCCTCCTTGGGTCTGCATCCACTCTCGCCCGCCATGGGCCTGTAACCAGTCTAGCCCATGCGGAGTCTGCAGCCAGTCTTGGCCTCCCTGGGTCTGCAGCCAGTCTTGACCTCCCTGGGTCTGCAGCCGGTCTTGGCCTCCCTGGGTATTCAGCCACTCTCGTCCGCCATGGGTCTGTAGCCAGTCTAGCCCATGCACGGTCTGCAGCCAGTCCTGGCCTCCCTGGATCTGCAGCCAGTCTCGGCCTCCCTGTGTCTGCAACCACTCTCGTCCATGTGGGGTCTGCAGCCACTCTTGCCCGCCACGAATCTGCAACCACTCTTGCCCTCCCTGGGTCTGCAGCCACTCTCGCCCTCCGTCGGTCTGCATCCATTCTCGTCCGCCACGAGTCTGCAGCCAGTCTTTCCCTCCCTGTGTCCGCAGCCAGTCTTGCCCTCCCTGTGTCCGCAGCCAGTCTTGCCCTCCCTGGCCCTGCAGCCAGTCTCGTGCACGCGGGGTCTGTAGCCAGTCTTGCCCTCCTTGGGTCTGCAGCCCGCCATGGTTCTGCAGCCAGTCTAGTCCGTGTGGGGTCCACAGCCAGTGTTGCCCGCCTGGGGACTGCAGCCAGTGTTGCCCGCCCGGGGACTGCAGCCAGTCTCGCCCCGGTGCAATATGCAACCAGTATTGCCCACGCTCGGTCCGCAGCCAGTTTCGGCCTCCCTGGGTCTGCAGCCAGTCTTGCCCTCCATTGGTCTGCAGCCAGTCTTGCCCTTCCTGGGTCCTCAACCACACTCGCCTCTTTTCGTACCCCACCCACTCTTCCCCCTCCTGGCTCTGCAGCCACTCTTGTCCTCCCTGGGTTGCCAACCACTCTCGCCCCTCCCAGTTCGGCAGCCACTCTTGCCCCTCCCAGCTCTGCAGCCACTCTCGCCCCTCTTGGCTCGGCAGCCAGTCCTGCCCTCCTTGGGTCAGCAATCACTCCCACCCCTCCCGGCTCTGCAGCCACTCTCGCCCCTCCGGGCTCTGCAGCCACTCTTGCTCCTTCTGGCTCTGAAGTCGCTCTCCCCTGCCACGGGGATGCAGGCGTCGCACGCCCCTGGTCTGTAGCCAGTAGCTCCAGTGCTCAGTTTCCGGCGGGTCTTGCGGTAGCTGGGTCTCCAGTGGGCCTCGCCTGATTCTAATTGGCAGCACGCCACGATTATCCTGTAAGTTTTGTCTGCCCCTGGTCGGCGAGCAGCCGTGCCTATGGGCCTGCAGCCGCTTTTGCACAGGCCGGGTGTGCAGCCCATCCTGCCTTGTCCGGGTGCCCAGTTGCGCGCACTGGATGTACAACCAGGCTCGCCCGCTCTGGGTGTGCAGCCAGTCTTCCCCACCCTGGGTGTACAGCCACCCTTCCCCTGCTTGGGTCCCCAGCCACTCTTGCCCTACTTGAGTCTCCAGCCAGGCACATCCATCCACGGACTCTAGCCAAGGGTGCATATCTGAACTGCGATCTCCCCGAAGCCATATCAGAGCTGCAAGAACTGACAGTGGCTCCGGTGGCCGAACGAGAAATGCTAATGTGTCTTGTAATCTCTGGGGGTCGTGGGGTTTCATAGCTTGGTTCTGGCTCCTCAATTCTGAGAGCGCACGGAGAAGTGCCGTGCTTTCTGGAATCTCTTTCATCATCAAGCGGAAAGAGGAATGTGCGAGTAGGGAGTGGGGTGATGGTATATCGCGTACTTGAGGGAGGCTGCAGTTCGACGGGTTGGAAACATAGTCACGAATGGACGAGTGATAGATATGCACGGGGAGACTGCCGTCGGTAGGAATATCCATGACAGACCGTAGCTGCACTAGTGTTCTCTCCACATCTCTGCCCAGGCCAGAGCCGAGAAGTTTCGCGATTTGTGACATCGGCAGAGGGTCTGCGAGGGCAGCAACAAGGGACAAGTGCAGGTATGCACGCTTTGGGTTGGCACACGTAGACAGAATACAGTCGTATAACTTGTAAACCTCCGTTCCTGGCAGTAGCTCGCTGGTTAACTCGAGCATGAGCTGAAGCCGTTCGTGGGGATCATTGTCTTCATCATCGATAAACTTCATCATCGTAGACGCCACGATGAAACGTCTGCCTGCTCGAGTTGCAAGCCGCTCAAGTTGATCAATCGTTGGCTGCGGGAAATCAAGATGGTGACTTTCCAGTTCCTTAAAAGAATGTCGCAAGAAAACATAGATGTCATTGTCGACATCGGCACCGTCTAACGAGATGATGGTAGCAACGCCCTCCCCAGAAATTGTCACTGGGATCTCGCAGACCAACGGCCGCACCTCGTCTTTTTGAAAGGCTTTACAAATATGCGATTCCGAGCGACTCGTGACCAGAATGTGGGTCAGGGGAATATCAGGTTCACGAAGAGCCCGTGCAAGGAAAAGGATGAGATCGGCAAGCTCGGGTTCGGACGTGCATTCGTCAAGAGCATCGACGACAAACGTCAAAGGTGGACACCCGCGTAGCCTAGATTTAAGCTTCCGGAGAGGTTGGAGAAAAAGCACCTCCATTTGGTCGCGGAGAGACTTGTTGGGGTCTAGAAGAGAGGGGTTATCATGGATAGCTCTTTTCACGTCCCCCCGGATGCTGGGGAAAGTGGTGGCGAGCTGGTAGACAAGCGTAGCAAAGAAATATCCAGTCGTGCAGCGTTCGGTGTGCTTGCGCGAGAAAAAGAACGTTCCTCCGAGCCGCTTTTCGACTGTGGTCTCCTCTGTTACTTTGAGATTTTTCATCTTTTCAGCTACAGTGAATGCAACGGCAGACTTCCCGACACCCGCCGTGCCATGCAGCCAAATGAGCTGACTCTTCTCTCTGCTGTCTAATATTGTGTGGATATGGTTGAGAAGGTCGACCCGGGTTCCTTCCAAACATTTTGGATGGGGCTGGCGTTCCCGGGAGTCATATTCAGCACCCTTGACAGCGACCTGGGATAGCCTCTCCCAGGTTCCTTCAAGCGATCGAGGAACTGTTGTTGTGGTCAGAGAGCGAAAGAGGGGTAAGAGATAGAAATACTGACATGTAGCCTCACTCATTCACGACGCTAGTATTTCACACAAATTGTGTGATGGAATGGAACAGCTTGGGGAAGTACTAGCTGGGTTCGAGGGTGCAGTTAAAAATCATTTGTGCGATGGTTATGTTGAGGGACGACGTACGAGGATCTAAAAGCTTGGGCACTGGAGCCGAGATTAGTTGTGAAAAGGCTTGTAAACGATCAAGCTATGAACCGATGGAGAGTGTCAAGCGTAATGGAGATGTGATGGATGTTGGTTTGCTATGGAAAGCTCGTCGGATGGTGGTAGAATGCAGTTGAAGGACGGGCGGGCGCTTGTGTGGTTGCACTGGAGCCTCGAGGATATCATTGCATAGCCTATATAGGCCGCTGCACAGCCAGATAGCCGCCCACCGCCGACGGGTCAACCGTTGGCGCCCAGAAGTAAATAGGAATCGAGAGAGACGCAGTTATGTGGACGATTGAATTCATGTATCATGACTACTGCTCCGTCTGAGGTCACCAGTCTCTCGAGCCACTTTCCGTGCACCCTGAATCATCCTGTGCATGCATATATAGTCTTCCGAGCAAGCACTGTTACGGTCAATTCGGTACAAGAACATTCGGACTCCGGAGCCTCAAGCATTTCAGCTTCAGCACTTCCAGAATCCGCCAGTCCTACTAGTACTTAGTACTACGTGCTGCTTGAACTTCAGGCTGATTCTTGGGTTGTAGTTGTCTGTTTGGCAACAGCTTCCAGTCCTAACATAGCCAAATATACTCTCCTAATCCCAATTTCCGAGCAAACGCCGAATCGATGATCCGATCCAAGTCATGGACTACGTAGAACAGCCAAATAGCAATCTGGTACGTCAACCTTTACTATTAAAAGTCACTCTAACAGTGCCCGTATAGATCTGTTGTATCTGCCAGTAAGCTCGGTACTTCTAATCCAAATCCTTCTCAGTTCTAATACAACACCACGTAGTGCCCCGTTCACAAATCCTACGAGTGCTCGGACATGCTTGCATACATTCTGTCACGATTGCATAACAACAGCCGTACAACACTCCCCACAATGTCCCATCGACCGCTCTTCGCTTTCACTCGACGATTTATCGCCGGCCAATCCCATCGTTAAACACGTGAGTGAGACGGATAGCAGAACGTACGCAAAAACCCTGACATACATACCTCAGCTCGTAGACGAACTCATCATCGAATGCCCCAACCGAGTCTCCGGATGTACTCAGACATTCCAGAGGCAATTATTGTCCGCTCATATCAAGGACGCCTGCCAATACGTCGAGATCCCTTGTTCGGAAGAGCAATGCGACAAGTTGATCCTTCGAAAGGACCTCGGTAAGCACAAAGACGCTTGCGTCTACCGTTCCACGCAGTGCGATGGGTGTGGTGTTACTGTCAAGTACAGCGATCTTAGCGTATGTGTCTACGACGGTTCATTCACGAATGTACTGACCAAGAGTGAGCAGATTCACAATTCGGAGTGTCCTTCCAAGTCTGCGACGTGCAGTTTTTGCTTCGAGGAGTTCCCGAGATCACAGTCCCAAGCACACGCTGGCTCGTGTCTAGACTATGAAATTCCATGCACGCAGGCTAACAACGGCTGTTCCTGGTTTGGCCCCCGGCGTCGACTCTCAGATGATCACGCTCTGTCCTGTCCATACGAAGCCATCAAAGGATTCTTCTCCATCAACAACACTCAAATCTCATCCCTAAATTCCGAAAACGCCGCTCTCAAACAAAAAATCTACTCACTCGAATCTATCATCCAAACAATGCGAAGAGAAATCCAAACATTCAGAACCGTCCTCGGCCCATGGTACCGATCAAACACCCAAGACCAAGACCAAAGCCCCCCAAACCAAATCACTCACCCATCAATCAACACCTTCGATCACCCCTTCTCGGCTTCCCCCGGTCCTTCCTTCAGACCACCCAATCAAGCCCAACAACCTTTTTCCGCAGATCACGGAGACTTCATCTTTCCCGCGGCCAATACCAATACCAATACCAATACCGAAGTCGACGCGCTTGCACCCTACTTCCCACTCGAGCACCCATTCCCAGAATCCCAGAATCACCGATCACGCCGATCGATTAGTGGGATCGCAGATCCACACATGTCGCAACGAACACTGCCATTAACGCCCGTCGCTCCTCTAAATCTCAGTACCTCCCTCGAAGGTTCCCTGAGCGGCTTACGCGACTCCGTAGCCGCTGTAAGCGCATCCGTCGATTCGCTAGCGCGCCGAAACGACATCGCGCTTACGAACGAGAGTATACGTCTTAATGAAGAACTCGGTTCCCTCAAATACGCCGTTCACGGCATACGACTCCAAGTACGTTATTTCATTCTTGTTATCTTTTCCTAATCCCTCTACCTTCTATCTATCTCTATTTCAATTTGCGTCATGCACCATGCGCCTCGTTCTAATCTGGTTTTTGGATATAGCTTCATCGTTTGATGATGGATAGGAATGCGCAGGTAACGGGGAGAGGAGGGGAGCCGTCTTTGAATTTAAGTTTAGCTTTACCTGGTCAGACGATCTTTCACCCTCCGATGATACCTCCGTTTCCTGGGACGCCTGGAACGAAGCTCTGAGTCATGTTGTTCATGTCTGGGTTTTCTGTTAGATCTCTTTCGTTATCGTAATGTATCGATCATCTATGGGTTTCGTCCGATAGGTTGCAGGATAAACTGATCATCAGCGTTCTTTTGAATTGGGGTACAGTCTCAAGTGAAATACCACCAGTCTACATAATACATATGTTCTTCGTAATCGGGGTACCCTCTCATGTCAAATTCAGTCTTCCTTCTGAGCTTCTCCCTAATCGCGATCCCCAACCACACACACACCCTACATAAGCTATACACGCGTGACCCTGTCGATCCCTCAAACAATGCACCAAAACGGTTAAGACTGAATATTGAATTTCTGAATCACCAAAGAATTAAACTAAGTACATTAATCTAACTAGAATCTCGACCCCGAGCAAAATCTCACTTGACAAAAATATGATGGGATAAAGATGGTGTTCGCGATTAAAAAAGGAAGAGAGAGATCAAGAGAGATGGAGGGAAAAAGAGAGATGGAGAAGATCTGATGTAAGAGACGACGATGACGAGACAACAGAAAAGCGAGCATGATCAGGACGAGAGGAAAACGACGAGCAGGGGGGCAACGAGCGACAGGAGGGTGGACAACGGAACGAAAGGAATGTGCTGGCAGTCCGAGTGCTGAATGAGTATCACTATCAGTATGAGCATCAAAAAAACGTTTGTAAATAAAGCGAGAGACAAAAAGAGCGACGAAACGACAGATTCGAAAAAAAGCCATGTCCCCACACAACCAAATTAGTTTGCAGCGACCATGGAATAACAGCAGCGAGCAAAAACAGTAGTAAATTATGGTACATGCAAATTCCAGATGATGGTTGGCATAGACAAGACGAGGTCTAGGCAACTTGATGGTCGTGATCTCGATAGTCGCAGTCTAAGCAACGACCGCTAATTATACGCACCAAACCGCTCTCCACCATGCCCCGCACCATTTGCAGTCGGCACACCAAACGCATACTCAGTCGGAGGCGACACATACGAATTCATCCCAGGCGCAGCATTGTTCAATGAATAACTGCCCTCTGCAGGGTACTGCATCCCAGGCTGAGCATATGAAGCTTCCGTGGGAGGAAACGTGCTTTCGCGCGGGAATGGCGGATGAGACGTATAGTTGCCTGGATGGGCATGGTTGTATTGGCTGCCGTCTGGAGCGAAATGGTATGCGTTTGATGGGGAGGTGTCTATGGGAGGTGGGTATGGAGAGTTGTGGTTGGTGCTTTGGATATGGCTGTGCGGTATTTCTTGGATGGTGGGTATACTGGGCCTGCGACTTGCTGTCGCGGCCTCCGTGGGACCTAGATAAGTGTTGGCGCTGGATTCTGGTGGGAGCTGCGGAGAACTGGTCAGTATCTCGTCAAAAAGCCAAGTTAAAACGGCTAATTACCGAATTATAACCGAACGCAGTTTCGCTCGTTCGCAGACCAGACGGACCAGGGTCCTTGCCATATGCAGCGTGTGGACTTCCTCCGGGTGAAATAGTTGAAGCAGGAGAAGTATATCCAGGTTCCTGCGACAAAAGGTGTTCCCGGTGTTGATAAAACGAAGTCGCTGCGTTCAAGTGAGCCTCGTTGAGCGAGCCCTGACTGGACCGCATGTTCAAACCGGACATGCGCGTCTCGAGGGAGTTGGATGCGCTATAACGTAAAATATAAGGGAACGAAACGTATAGATCGTGAAAGTGCAGCGCACCAAGACCCTCTCCTGCCATTCGGATCGAAATGATCGACACCAACGCAGCTGCTGACATCCGAGTAAATCGCACTGGTGGCGCTCGTATCGCTCCCACACATGCTCGCAATCGAGCCGAATCTGGACAGACCGGTCGAACTGTACGAGTCCTCCGTATCTTGATCCGTCTCGCTGCGAGGCCACGCCCACGATTGCATGTTCCCTGGGGATTCTGCATCCGGGGAGGCGTGTGGGGGCGAGGCAGAAGACGGAGCGCCAAACTGGAAGTCGGGTTTCGGAAGGGGTCCTGGGATAGGCGAGGGGAGCGCTCTGGAGGTGGTTGTATAGCGGTTGTCCGAGAGCCGGCGCGGCACGTGCGCTGACGGAAATGGCGTACGTACCTCCGGTACGATAGGAAATGGAGAGGAACGAGTGGGCGCAAAAACATGGGGTTCTGATGCTCTGTGTCCAAGGGAAGGGCGAGGATAAGGGTTGTAGGAAGGAGAAGAGCCATAACTCGTCGCGCGTATGCTTGGGCCACCCAGGCCTGAGGGAGGACGGGCCATGGAGTGACCCGACCCTGCAGGAGATATGGGCGGCCTGAGAAAGATCGCATCATTCTTTTCCTTTGCAACGTGTGCGTACGGGTGATGCATGAGCCTGAGGAGGCTGACGTCCATAGACTTACGTCTATCTGGGAAGTGTGAAGTAGGTTGGTTGGCATCTGAACTTGGCATGGATATCGTGATTGGCAAAGAGCCTCTGCGAGCGTTTAAAAGGTCGTTGTGGTCCTGCCAAGACAAGTCTGATGGTAAAGGGCGAACATGAGGGGGTACCTCTGCAGGAGTGGGTGGGTTACTATGCCAAGTTGGAGGAGTAGGAGAAAACTTGGTTAGAGGACTTGGTGATCGCTCCACTGTGTGTGGTTCTGGTGAGGGCGGTTGATCGTCTTCTCCTTCTCCTTCTCCTTCTTCTTCTTCTTCTTCTGCAGGGTTTATGGGTTTCTCCGTGGGTGTAGAAGAATTTGTCGAGTCATTAGGCGAGGTGTCCCTGGAAGACTGGGACTTTTGAGGAGACTGAGGAGGAACAGAATCCTGATGAGCCGCGTCTTGAACACGTTTGCGAAGAGCCTTGTCCTTTGCACGCCTGGGATAGAATAAGAAAGAGAGTAGGACATATAGCACAAGTGACACACCTGTTTTGAAACCATACCTTTTGTGATTGTTAGGACGCGAGATATGAAAATAGAGTAGTTTGAACGCACCTGAACTGCTCGAGGAAGCATATCGAGCTCTGCTGCTAACTTTTTACGAAGAGCAGCATTGGGCTTTGTATCTTTACGGAATATATCTTCCAAGACCTTTAGCTGGGTACGAGAAGTACGCTTTCTGTGCTTGACTTCGTTTGGAATGTAGGGAAAGAAAGTTCTGAAATCGACGGTATTTGGGTCTACACCTGGAGGAAACAAGGAATTTGGGATACAAGTTGTAGTATACCTTGGACTTGAGTCCATTTGAGAAGGAAGGTAGTAGTTGTTCGAGGGAAAAGGATGAACGCGATATAACGCGGAAGGAGGGTTCAGTGGATCGGTGTGGGAGGCAGTCTGAGGCTTGGCGGCGATGCCAGGGTCCATATTATAGAGTTTACCGTGAACACAAACAAACTAGTAGTAAGATCGTTTTCGACGTGATCCTTGGTTGTCCCATAGACGTTCTTGAACGACCTACAAGACCAACAATGAAATTTTATATATATAAAAAATGAATGAAAGAAGTAGAAGAAGTAGAAGAAAAAAAAAAAGGAGTAAGCTTATAGCAAACAGAACGTTTACTTGGAGAAGGCGTGGCGTTGCTAGGTTGATCTGGGGTCACTGTCAAATGTCAGGGTTCAAGCCTCAGGAACTAGTAAGAGACTCGACGAGGAGGTTCAATTATATATATTCGATCGACGACGACAACGACGACGACGACAACGACCTCGAGCCTCGAACCTCCTCGATCAGATTCTCATCAAATAACAACATGATGCAACTTGCAGATCCTCAGTAGAGAGGCCTAGAGTCATGCCTACCCTCGCTTCTATCATCATTCAATCCGCGGATCCGCAATTGAACCCTCTTCCAAAGGGTCCTACTTCGCTCCTCTTACTCGGGTTATGTATGTGATATCTCTCCATGGACCCGGTCAATCTTTTCTCAAGTCTGATCCCCGTCAATTCCGAACACGAGGTAGATCAACTTCGGTACAACCTCGGTACACAAACTATCATATTGCGCATATTACCAAAACACATAGCCAAAGCCTACTAATAATATGTATGGGTTACTATCCCTATTTATGCAGAAACAAATCCTTCACAATCTTAAAACTTATCTACTACCGAGGCCTAGAATGTCATGTGCGTAGTATATCAATATGGATGCAGGACGTGAGAGGGTCATAGATATCGTGGTGAGTGTCGGGTCAAAGTGGCGCCCTAAGCAAGATCGCGAGGTAATATGTTATACTGGCAAACAATGTCCCAAGAAACATACAACCAAAAATTCACATTTTGTCGATCCGTCATCGTTTTTTTTCATGGGCTGAGGTCCATAGCGTCGCAGTCGCCCATCGAAGTCGAACGACCAAGGATCTCCTCCAAAAACGTATTGGAAACGCTTGCAAGTGGTGATGCGGCGAACACCGAAGTACCTTCCCGTTTCGCTTCCTCGTACATGCGCTCCATAGCGCCGCGCGCTCGCTTCACAACAGCATGCGCGCAAACAGCCTGCACATCCGCTCGCCTAGCAGGATCAGTTCGCATCATGCTCTTAATCAACTCAAACAGCTCTGGACTCCCATCCAGATCCATCTGGCTGAAATCCTCCTGTCTTAGTCTATGCCACCCATCTCCCCTGTAAACAAACCACGCGTCAATCACTCCTTCCAAAAACGATTCAAATGTCACTCACTGATCAGGCACGACAATATTCGTCGCCGTTTCTAGCATCGTCATCCCAAGACTGCATGAAAATATCAGGGTCTACTCCCTTCACATATCCACGGGTATGCATACCTGAAGACATCGGCAGCTTTGCCGTACGTGCCCTGTAGAACTTCCCGCGCGAGGTACACCTTGTCCCCCTCGCGCTCGAATGCGCCCCCAGGACGAGGCCACACCGACGCCATCCCAAAATCTCCGATCTTAAACCGCCCTTCCCGCGTGAGGAAGATGTTCGCCGGCTTAAGGTCTAGATGGATGATCCCTGCTTCGTGGACGAAACGCAGACCCTGCAGGCACGCGGTTAATATCCAAGTTAAGACGTGTCAAGCAAAAACGGAAACGAGGGTGGAGAATAGACCTTGCACAAGATCTTCTCAACAGATATGATTGGACCAAGTGCAAATATGTAACGGAAGCAAAGAAGGGACCAAAAAAAGTTTTTCCATACACCACGCAGGTACTCACATTACTCAAGTCCACCATGATCTTCCACACCCGCGCCTCGTCCAGGCGCGGGAACGCCCGCCCATACTCCCACAGGAATCTCGCAAAATTACCAAGCTCGCAGAGCTCAGTCCTTATGAAAAGCGCGTCATCCTGCTCCCAACTGTCCACATATGTCAGTACGTTCGGGTGAGCACCCCGCGCCGACAGATGTGCCAAGATGTCCACTTCTTCTCGCAGTCGCAGCCTGTTCATAGATCCTCAGATAAGGACGAATCAACGAATAAGAAAACGACATACCGATGCCGGGGACCTTCAAATGGCTTAGATCGTTTGACAGCCCACACCGTATCCTCACGCCCATTCTTAGCGCGCACTTTCATGACCTTGCCAAACTCGCCACTCCCCACCTGCTCGATCTCAACAAACTCCTTCTCGAATCGACCCGCATCCGAGACGTTTCTCACATGCTCCACGGTAGACATCTTCCGTGTCCGTGGTCCAAGCGGCGAGTGCGAATGAGTGGCGGTCGATTTCGAGGGTAAATGCCGCGCGATCGTCGGCGAGTTCAATGAGATCGCAGAGCTATTCGAGCTCGAGCGTGAACCAGTGGCGTCCACAGTCAAAGTGCGCGCTGCGGGCATTGGCCAGTCTGCATCATGAAACAAAATGAGACGATCGATCACAAATGAACTCGGAGCCCAACACACCTTTGAGATGAATATTCCTCCGTGTCGGCGTCCCACCTGCACTTTCCCCACTGGAAAATGCCCCACTGCTACTTCGGCGCATAAGCCATCTCCCAGCAGGACGTCCAAGCCCGAGGCCTTTGTATTGTTTCCTCGAACTCGGGCTCATAGTCTCCTCGTCCTCCTCGGTGTCCGATCCGCCACTCTTGCTTGCCCCAGCATTACCTTTCCCAAGCGGAAGTGGAAATGCAGCAGGCAAGCTCTTCCGCGGCTTCTTCCCATTCCCATTCGCCCCCTCTGCACCATCGAATGAGAACCCAATCTTTGACGCAACAGCACTCTGCCACGGCCGCCCACCGTCAAGGCCCAAATGGCTCTTGAGCTTCTTCACAGGCGTACCCGGTGGTTTCTTCTCGGCTGCCGAAGGCTTCCCGCATGCCTCTAGGGTACGCAGGATGAACGCATCAACGTCATCGTCATGATGGAAATATTGGTATGGATGGGATTGATTGAATGAATGCAGATGCGCGTCATCAACACCTGATATCCTTGGCCAGCCGGAATGTGCACCAGGCACGATTCCAGGCGTAACGAGATCATCGACATTATCATTATCAGAGTATATAGAGCTCGAACTTGTGCTTAGCAGCCGAATTTCGTGCGGGAATCGATTCGTCGTCGCTGAGGACGATACCAGAATCGCGTGGTTTGTACTTGGAGGGTAACAGTCCTTCCTTGCCTTTGTGTGACCGTGGAGAAGGCGTACCCTCCGTGATGCTAAACACGAATGACGTTTCGGTTGGTCCTTCGAATAACATGTCCTCATCGTCCGAGTAGACCGTGCCTGGACCGTCGTTCAGGGGCGAAGATTGCGGTGAGGGCGTGTCCAAACCCGACCGCATTGTCCATGGCATCGGGGCAGCTGAGAAACCGACCGAATCTGGACCGGCATAGCTATGTCGATTGGACGTGATCAGATGGGACTGCACGCGCAGATCGAGGGAAGCGGCGACGGAGGAATTAGTCCGCGTGCGTGGGCACTGCGCTGATTGAGGGATGGAGGGCCCGAAGAAGAGGGTAGCTGAGCTGTTGGATGCGAGGCGGGTGAAGGGACGGGCGCGAGGCTGAGACTGGAAACTTGGACGGGAGGGGGGGTTGAAGAGGAATGGATTTGGGCCACTGGAACCTGTGACTCGTCTGCGTGGTACGGGAGAAGGCGAGCCAACAAAGGAAGTGGGCCGATTGCGATCGCGAGATGAAGAAGGGAATGCTACCGGAACAGAGGGTGGCTTCTTACTGGAACCTTCAGCCTAGAATAATTTTTTGTCAGCACAAAGAGAATATTTCACCGATGCCGTGGCTTCTAACCTTGGGTGATGGTGTGTGATTCACACTCTCGAGTAACTCAAGGGAGACGGGCCGGGAACGTGCCCGACGCTTGATAATGTGCCCCCCTGGAGAGATAGCTTCAGTGACCTCGTCCTTTGCGCTACCTTTCTGTGGCACTAGTGCAGCATTAATAAGGAGAGATTTCTTTGGACTAATAGATCGGGATTTGGATTTGCGAAGCGCAGGTAGCCTGTGTACGCCGTCTTCATCGGAATCACAGTCTTCTACAAGACCCCAATCCTCATCCGAGTCATTAGGATCACGGATACGTAGTCGCTTCATAGTCTCTGCCTGTTTCTTGACAAAAGCGTCCGTTTCAGCCTTACTCTTGGGCTGGGGAGTAAAGCGAGGTGCTGGCAGAGGCGCAAGGCGGTGGAAAGCGATACCAGAAGAAGCATCGGGCTTTGGAGCAGAGATATTTAGAGGAGTGCACGTGGTAGATGGGACGGGGCGCAAAGGTGTGGAGAAGTCGCCACCGCCGGATTGCGCCGATTTGCGTTTAGTGCCAACACCCACGCGGTGCGCTGGCTGCGTATTGAGCTGCTTGGCAGCTAGTATGGTACGATGAGAATCTTTAATTGGCGTACGCAGCGGTTGATTTGACGTGGGATGAAAGAAAGCGGAAGGTGCTGCGGTGGAAGAGGATAGGAAAAGCGTTGCTTCGTCATCGTCTAACATGATTGGTTTGGTAGGTTTGAGATGGGAGATGTGGTGGGTGTATAGACGGTGCACTGGAGGGGGAGATTTGAATGGAGATTGTAAGAAGATATCGCTGTCGTCGTGCTCCTGATCGGGTTCATCTGAAGCTCGCCGTTCGGAAAACAATGGCCGTCGTCTAAGGGGAGACGGGGTCAACATTGGTGAAAGATGTTCAGATGACACCCTATGAGCATTAAACTTTGGGGGAGTTTGATAATGAGCTGCGCGGCAGCTTGGGGAAATTGGCGACATGCTCTGATCGCGTGCTCTGGTTCTGGATTTTGGTTGTACAGAAGCTATGTACTGCGGGACAGGCGTCGAGATGAGCGCCGTCATCGTCACCGCTGTTCTTTCTCGTCGTTTCTCGTCGTCGTCGTCGCTGTGGTCAGCGTTGGGGACAAAGGTTGACAATATGAAAGGAACTTGTGGGAAAGCACGTCAAAGAGTCAGTTTAAGTTTATGGGTCACTTGCTCGAACGTGGGAATATCAATTCCCCCACTCAACAATGTCATGTGACCGCGTATTTGCTTCCATGGAATCTTTTTTTTATTTGGTTGTATTATGTCTTGTGGTTATGTCTGATCTCCGTCGTCGTTACACGAGGCTCCCATAGTGCTTTCCCAGACGACCGTTCACGACCGTGTGGCCAACTTGTGGCTAATGTTTCGTCATTTACCATGACGATCATCCAGAACGCTGGAACGAACAAAGCTGCATGCAGTGACACTGGCCATTTGTTTCAGAGTTCAAACTTTTCTTTATTAATGTGCAGAGGTCAAACTGTCCGTGACAGGTTTTGACTCCTGGATGTCACTCTTAGCAGTCGAAGGCTGTCGACGAACAAGTTCACGCACCAGCCTGAGGTCGCGGAAATTAATTTTACATTGATCTCTCGCGTCACGCCGCATCTTCTCATTCCCGTCGGCTGCGCCTACCAACTCCTGCCATAACGGGACAGCTCGCCGCTTCGAATTTTTATCCTTTCTCGACGCACAA